ATGGGCGCGTTGATGATCAAAGCGCCAGGTGGCACAGATCAGACAAGGGAGTGATGCGCGGAGGACAAAGACATTGACGCTTTGTTGATTGCTCTTTGTCTTGACGGCCACAGGGATATAACGGCGCGCAACCGGGCAGTCGTTAACACACTCCACCCACCCCCAGCAATCTGTTTCTTTTTTCCTTCATGGCTGCCACCCCGAAATTGATCGTCCCCCAAGACGGCGCCTTTGCTGTCGTTAAAATCGACCCAGTCGCGTCGCTGGAGTACCTGGACGATCCAGAGGCAATTGCCGCTGCGGCGGAAGTGGAGTTCCACGAATATGTGGTCTTGGTGCCAGGGGTATGTGGTTTTCTATATTCTGTTCTTTTTTCCGGCTACTGACGGCGGTCGGACAGTCTCGCAAGCACCTCCACGCCGGGCTCGTCTTCCGCGAAGAAATCATCGAGTTCGTGATGCAGGGCGTGCCGCCCGACGTTCCCGCGCTGGGTATCGCCTCAGCGATGTCCATCCCGCTTCCGCCCGCCTCTCACGCCCACTCGGCCGGCCGGGAGCCACTGCGGCTCGCGGGCCGGCCAGACGCCGGGCTGCCGTGGACCGATTGCCACCTCTCCGCGTTCCTCCGCGTTCCAGTGCGATGCGCCATCAAGTTCGCGGCTGACGATCCCGTGCAGCACGCGCTCGCCGACGCGGAGCTGCACCGGCATAACGACATGCTCGACGCGGACTGCTGCGCCCAGATCGCCGCACGTGATCGCGTAGACGCCGGCGCCGGGACCGAGACCGACCCGGAGGCTCCGGCCGTACTGGACTTGGACGAGGGCCCTGACGCCGATGCTCGTTCGTGCGGCTCCGGTCGATTCTCCTTCGAGGCCGACACAGCGGATCGCAGCTCGCTGTCAGCCGATCAACAGGCTGAGCTTGAAGACGCGGAAGAGACGTTGTTCCTGCTCGACCTGCTGTACGCCGCCGAGCCGCCACGCGACATGCTCACCGTCCACGTCACGCATGACCTGACCCGCGTCGGCCCGGAGCTGCGCAACCCGCGGCTGTTCTTCGAGGAGCAGGAGCAGATCGAACGGTTTGTTTGAAGAAGTTGCCTGTCCTGAATTTCGACATTTGACGCGTCTTCTAGAATCGCCGCCGAGTCCGTTGAACGCCGGCGGAAGGCTGCGGAGGCCGCCGACGCGGTGTACGCCGCCAAAACAGGTATGTATTCCTGTTGCTAGTGCCCTCGCTCATCTCAGTGTCACAGCCGCGCTCCTGGCTGGACGTTCGCGTGCCTCCGCCGCTGGTCTGCTGGAGGCGGACAGGACCAGCGAAGCCCCGCCGGCCGGCCTGTTGGCCGTCGCGAAACGATGGATTCGCCGCTTCCTCAACCGATAAGTACTCTGGTGTATATCGGCCAGTTATTCTGATCATCATTATGAAATTTGACAAATAACATTGAACTTGAACCACTTCTGTACTATTTTCACACTCAAGCAAACAATGTTCCTAGTACTAACCATTACTTACAGCATGTGATCCAAATTCATCCCATGTTATGACAATTGTGGACATAGTCTTCCTGAAATCTGTGTGACATATAACAAAAAATTATATAATGTTGGCAGTGTGATGTGTAACATAAACCATTGCAGTCTTATATTTCTGCTTAGAGCACAATGCAGTGATGCTCAACTTAGGGCTCCAAAATTCATTAAGCTTTAAGCCCTTACATAAGCCATAGGGTTTAAGCACTTGATTGCCTGAAAAGGAAATTTTCAGATGGCCCTTTTGTAGGTACGCGTACAGACAATAATCTACTACACATGGGCTGACCTTATGCTGTAAACTTACCATACACCTTTTTGAATCAAGTAGACAGTGCAGGAGGGCTGACCTAGCAGGCGAGGATCCAAAGAGAAGAAACTCTAAAGGTCCACCCAGTCATTCGTAACAGCCGTTGTAGAGCACAGAAGGCCTGAGCGGTGTTGCAGGTCTTGTCCCCAGGTGATCATTGGGATTAGGGCTCGGCACCGTACGTATATAGGAGGGGGCCTTTTACGGGCTATACAGACCAAATGCAGAGCTTACGGCACTACGGATGAGGCACTGGCTGCCACAGTGGCCGGCCTTATGGTGCAGTACGGGATGCGGCCATCTACGTCAGGCAGACCGGCTGTGTATCATGGCCTTGGTGATGCTAAGCATGCATTTTCGAGCAGATTGACTGTTTCCGCTGGCAGGTGGACACCAGCCACCAATTGCAAATCCATGGCCCAGGGAGCTGGGACAGCCGCCCGGTGATCCCATCACTGTATCAGCCTGCAGGTACGGATACAATACGGACCATGTGGTCAATTCTTGGAGCTCCACAGTACAGACCCTTTGTCTGTATGTATGTACATACGAACGTACGTACGTGTACGTATGCTGTATGGCTATGGATACGGTGCTGAGCCCTAGTTGGGATGGTGTTGATGGATCAGTGATTATATGGATGATGGTCAGGGTAGGTCAGAGCGTCTGAGGGGGGCGCCAGTGACAATCTAGTGATGGCGGGGTCCGGTTCGGCCTTCCGGTTCAAACCTGAACTGGACTGAACCCCACGCGTGTTCAGGTTCGAAGTTCAGCGCAATGCTGAACCTGAATCTGAAGTTCAGTTCGGTGTTCGGCCAGTGGTGGTTTTACTTGAACCTGGTCCAAACGTCTTTGAACGCTGAACGCTGGAGGCACCGGAACACCCGGCTCTAGGCCAATGAATCACCAATTTGGCAAATGGGGATGTAGTTGGCGAGCCGGAAGTAACTGCCGGACTGTCAATCAGCCTCGGGTAATATCGGGGAGTGTCAACGTGGGGCCGGAGTGATGATAAGTGGACGGCCCAGATTGACAAATAGCCTTGTATTCCTGACTAGTCAGTGCCACTAGTGGAGAGAAGGAGGAGAGGGACTCAAGAGGGACTACTCTGAAAAAGTTGAGCACAAAGATGAGCAAAAATAGGCACAAAAGTCAACCAAATGCAATTTTTTAAGTTGGTACCATAGGTTCAGAGTTCGAACATGTTCTGAACTCGAACCGAACCGCCCTGAACCTGAACACCAAGTTCAGTTCAGAGTTCAGCAAAAGCCTGAACCTGAACCAAAGTTCAGGTTCAGTGTTCACAAAAACATACCCCGAACCTGAACCAAACCAAACCTCACCATCTCTACGCCAGTCAGACATGCCTGGGATGTGCTTGGACAGCCTGAAGGAGGCCAAAGTGGGGTTCCCCTGACAAAATACATAAAATATATTCTTTTTCAAAGGTTAAACCCAAAATCTTGTTGTGAATGTCATCAATTGATGTCATTCATAAGGGTGCAGGTTTCCCATTCCCACATCCCCTACTTTATATCAGAAGTGAACAGCTACAGTGCAGATACATAGATACTTAGAGACAAAAGCAAACTTAGTCTGTCTGCCGACAGTGTTAGTCTTCTCTGGGTTCAAATCCAAACAGGATCATATCTGTATCTGCCATGAGCAACAAGTTTTACATCATATTTTTTTTTCAATTGTTAAGAAAGTACTGCTGCAGAAGGGCATAGGTGAACCTACTCGTTCAAGGTTTACCGCACGGCTTTTTCGTAGCAGACAGAGCTGCCGGACACAAATTGAGCTCGATGCTGTGTGGGGCCAGCAGCGGCGCCGAGCCACAACGTGCTGCCGCCGCTGCACATGGTGTTCTTTGGGCCAGGCCACCAGTGGTTAGGCATTACACATTATACAGCTGAAGAAACTGTGTGGAAAAAATTGCTAAAAGTCTTCTCAGGGATAAGCATGTAAAAAAAAAAAATGCAGCACTTTGGAGAAAAAAAATGGTAAAACAACTCCTTGGAAATAACATATATGATCATGTGTAGCATTAAACCCACTGGTGCATAGATTGATTCATGATGATAGACTAAGATTATCTTCTGCATACTTCCTAAATGTATTGATGCAAAGTAATCAGGTCATCATGATTGCCCTAACTACAATTCAAACTCTGTTCTCAGTAGGTACCACGAAGTTGGCCCGGCCGGCCCGGCCTCGGAGTCTAGTTTGGCCAGAAGAAGCTCGCCCAATCAAACCTGTGCATACGTCAGCCAAACTCCGGCTTATTAAACCCCCCGCCGGCGCTTACCCGTCCGGGGCGGTCGCGCACCCCGACTGCGCCGCATACACCACGCCGGGGCCGCCGGCGCAGCGGTCCCTGCGTGCCGCCGGCGACGAAGAGCTCGATGCCGCGGGCCGGGGCGCCGACCCACGCGATGCTGCGTGCGGTGTTGCTCTTCGGCGCGGGCCGCGCGAGCCAGTAGCAGTGGTTCTCCGCCGGGGCGGGCCGCGTGTGGAGCACCTCGCCGGTGCAGTTCGCGCCGTGGTGCCACTGCACCCACTGCGGTGGCGGGCCGGGCTGCGGCCCGGGGAGGGCATGGACGCTGGGGGCGGAGGCTGCGAGGAGGGCGGTGGCAGTGGCGAGGAGGTAAGGAAGGTGCATCTGCGACTCGGGGGACTCGGAGAAAAGGGACTTGTATGTATGGGATTTATAGCCACGCTCATGAAGGGAAGTCCCTGGAAATCCGCAGTTAAAGCTAGGGCCATCGCAAGCCAGGGATGCATACTTGCTTAGTTCAATGGGACATCCCGGTGCCGCATTCGTTTGTTTGTTTGTATTACAGTACTCAGGCTAGTAAATGCCTCCATCGGAGAGCTACTGGACCTAGTACCTAATTGCAAGCAACCTGTCCCTCCTCTACAGAGTAACCTCTACAATACAACTTATACAAGTAAATGCTAAGCCACTAACCTCAAAAACATATCGTTTTCCATTCATTAAATTTGTATTGTCACACCAAACCATCTCCAATCCTTTGACCAATTGTCGTCTCTTGGACAAATTAAACAACACTCTAGCGGCAACTGCATCGCGGTCCCAAGTAGACCCTTTCTCTTCCCCCCGTTCCTCATTTTCTCCTCGCTGAGGTCAGCCTACGACCCGAAGTAAATGTACGCCTTGAGATGGCGGCCCTTGCGCTCCACCCGCGTGAGCCCCTCGTAAAACCTGTGCAGCCCGAATCAGCCCCACCGAATAAACACAAGTATTTCAAACCACGCACCCGCCGTGCACCGCGTCGTGCAATGGCATCGGACCCTCCCCCGTCTGCACCTCCTGCGTCGCGCTAACGAACAAAACCGCTGGTGAGCCATGCATACAGAGTCACGGGGAGCACCTACGCCCGCTCGAGCGCATCAAATATGTCGCGCACGGTGATCCCATTCGCGTTCTCCACCTCGATAGGCACCTCTGCATCCTCTTCCGTCTCCGCGATCAGCGTGGCTGTGTAGACCGCGGGTATTGTCGCCAGCTCGTCCGCCGCCGCGTACGCCGCCAGCTCCCCCCACTTGTCTGTGTTCTTGTCATCGTCGTCGTTGACGTTGCCGTTGCCGTCGAGGCCGCCCATGATGTACGCGGCTTCAAGTTCGTCGTTGTCCTGGTCGGTGGGATTAATATTGAAGCCGTCATCGTCATAATTATCGAGCTCTTCCATGAGGGCCGCGTTGGCGGCGATGTCTTCCGCGGAGGCGTCGGGCGGAAGGAAGAATTTGCTATGCCAGTGGCTGTCATTCTTCTCGTCATCGTCATCACCCGAGCCAGGGGCGGCAGCGAACAGCCGGAGGGACTTCACGTGCAGGTACACGCACGGCCGCGGCGCACCCACCCCGCCCAGTCTGTACGAGACAACGTTCACAAGCGGGTGGAACTGGAAGGGATTTGGTCAAACATAGAAATAACAGTGAACCGCAAACGCACCACGACGGGCTCGCTCCCAGCCACCATCTCCGCTTCGTCCAATCCTTCAGAAAAACATTGTAAGCTTCAAAACACAAAAAACACCAGTCTCTTAACGCACCGACATCGACATACACCTTGCTCGCCCTCCTAAACATCCGCGTCTGCAGCACGGGGTCGCTCTCCACCATCCGCTTCCACCCTTTGCACACGCGCTGCGCGCCGAACAGCACGTCGTCATATGACAGCTGCGCGAGGATGTGCGCGAGGAGCTCCGGCGGGAAGTCCACCGGGAACGCCATAGTCGGCAATGCCACAGAGTCAACTTGCGTCGTTTTGGCTTGCTTCGCCATCCGAGTGGGTTTTCGCCGGAACGCGTCGAAGAGAGAGAGAGCGCGTCACACGCGTCACGTCGCCTAAAGGACCGCTCGCCACGTGCAGGCCACATGACGTGCGGGCCAAACCAAGGCCAAACAAAAGTCAATCAGACATAAAAACACAGTAAGTAAGTAAGTTGCTGTAAGTAGACATTTTGCTCCACGGCTTCTGGCAGCAGCGTGCAGAGGGCCGAGTCCAAAACTCGCGGCACAGAAGCCTGTGGGGAATCCATTCAATCCAGATTAAGTACAGGGCCAGATCATTACTCATCTACGCGAGCGGCGCTCGCGTAGACATACACCGCCTCACGCGTCTTGCCTCCTGCACCCATGGCTCCGTCCACGGCCGCTCGCCCGCCCCCGTGCTGGTATACCAAGCGCGCGACGGCCAAGCCCCCGCCCTTCTCCGACGCGTGGCCCGCTGCTCTGCTGCGCCTTGCGCGGCTCGGGGCTGCCGCCGGGACCGGGGAGGCCGGATCTGACCAAGGGCGGGGAACGAATGGTAGCAGAGAGGTGTTTGTCGGTATAGTGCATGTTTTGGAGGCCGTGGAGGTGCGCCGCACTCCCTTTCCCTTTCCTTTTCCCCGCCGTCCGCTGATCCGGCATTCTGCAGACGATTACCAATCGAGACGTGCGCACCGCGTTCAAACCGCTCTGCGAGGCACTCCTCCGCGCCGCACAGGCCCTGCAGGACTCGCTCTCACCCGGCCCGGAGGTCGCCGAGTTCGTGGAGCTGCTCGACGCGGTCCTGCTCACCGTGCGCGCCGCGCAGACCGCCCCGCGCCCGCCGCGCGAGCTCCGGAGGGCATTTCGTAGGCGGTCGGCTGCGGAGGGGCTGGTGCCGGTGTGTAAGGACTATGAGATGAGGGCGGGCGAGTTTGAAAGGCGGTGGGTGGAGGCCAGCAGCAGCCCGACGGATCAGGAGGATGGGGAGCTTGCTGGAAGGGATGACGACGACGAAGAAGTGCTGCTGTACACCGCCTTCAAGTTCCTGGCTGCCCACCGCGCCGAACACGGCCCGGAGGACCCGGTGCGGCGGGGACGCTCCTCGCAGCGGAGGACGCCGCCCGGGCACACCGCGCGCTGCGAGAGCACGCCGCGGCGACCGCACTCGAGCAGGATGCGGCGCACGGCAGCATTCGGGCCGGACCACGGGGACACGCTCCGGGCGGCGGAGGCGCTCGCCCGGACCCGCGCTGCCCAAGGAGACTTCGTCGGGACCGAGCGGCTCGAGGCAGAGATGTCCTCCAACGGCGGACGCAGACACTCGGGCCGGGGCACGCGGACACACTGAGGGCAGCGAGCAACCGCGCGTCTACGCTGCACGCATTGGGCCGGTTCGCCGAGGCGGTCGTAGTTGAGGAGGACGTCTCATCTCAGTAGACGCGGCGCATCAGCCCGGAGGCCGACGAGGTGCTCCGCGCGATGGGCAATCGCGCGAGCACGTGTTCCGTCCTGGGCTACTACACGCGGGCGAAAGAGCTGGAAGAGGCGGTGCTACAACGGCGCACGGAGACGCTCGGCCCGGACCACCCCGACACGCTGCTTGCGGCGGGCAACCTGGCCGCCACCCTCCACGCGCTCCGGCGCTTCGCCGAGGCGCAGCGGCTGGAGGCGGACGTCCTGCAGAAACGCGCGAAGCTGCTTGGTGACGAACATCCGCTCAGTGTGCTCGCCGCGGCGAACCTCTCTGCAACCCTCGTGCAGCTGGGGCTGTGCGATGAGGCGCAGGCGCTTGCGGAGGGCGTGTTAGAGAAAAGGACGAGGTTGCTCGGACCGGCGCACCCGCAGACGAAGGCGGCGCGGGTGGCGCTGCGTAAGACGATTAGGGAGGTGCTCCGGTAGGAAAATCCCAGGAAATTCTACTACCGCGGTTAATTTAACACATCTGTAGCGCTATGTAGTACTTACTAGTAGTCGTAGCTCATATTAGCTCTTAGCTTCGAGGAATCCAGGAGCAAACGATGCCTTGCCTTGCCACGCGCTGTCGGCGCGGCACGGATCGATCTGATTCGATCATACAACCTGTGGAGCAACTTCTCCCGGGCCGTCAAGACACGTTGGGAACGACCTGCATCTGAGTCTGTCTGCAGGCTGTCGAAACTGTGTGATATATAAACGACCCCCCAGGCCCGCCACATTGCAACCATCCCTTCTTCCGAGAGTGCACCACAAACAACTTCAGCAGCACCAATGAGTATAGAGTACTTGACAATCAACCATGTTTCCGGTATGATGCCAGTGGCCAACTGGCGGTCATACTACCAGTGCAGTAGCAGCTGACCCGGACGTTAGGTGGAATTGGTGGAGACGGCGGCAGGGGTGCAACTGGAGGCTCAGGAGGCACTGGAGCAGGACCTATATTCAATATCGGGAATGCTACTGTCAATACAGCAATATCTCCCAGTGAACTGTAAGATTGATGGGTTTATATGGACTAACCACTATTGACATTCTTCTAGACAGCAAATGAGTGAGGACAATGAACATTGATGATATTTGATGACATTGAACTAGATGAACCCTTTTCTGGATGCCCACCACCCTCACAATTCTTTGTGGGACACCAGGACATTCTTGATAAACTTCAAGACTATTTTGGACACCCAGATTCAACAGACCATACTCCCAAGAAGCAGACAATTGGTCTACTATATGGTCTAGGTGGCATTGGAAAAACAGAATGTGCCCTGCAATACATCTCAAATTCAGGAACACAGTATGAATCTGCTTTCAAAAATGATAATAGGCTTTTATTTAACCAGTATTCTAGATTCAGAGACAAGTTTTACATAGATGCAACTAGTGAAGACACTATTCGTGCAGGCTATCTGGAGATTGCCAGAGTCAAAACAGTTGACAGAACTGTAGATGCAGCCAAGCTATGGCTGAGGACACATTCACAGGAAGAGTGGATTATTCTGCTTGATAATGCTGATACCTTGGTGGATATCAGGAGTGCACTTCCACAGTGTGCTCATGGGAATATCCTCATCACCTCACGCAACCCAAAGCTTCGCACTCATACAGGTCCTACAGGCATGGCACTTGAAATTGTTGACATGTCACCTGATAATGCTGTGAGATTACTGCTGAGTCTATCCCAGAGCAATGATGCATCAGCTGCACAGGAAATTGTGAAGGTAAAGTATAGATGAATGCTAATTGTTCAAATGAGTGATAAACTTGAAATCTAGGAGCTCAAATTCTTTCCTCTGGCTATTGCACATGCTGCTGCATACATCAGGAAGAATGATGCATTAAAAGATAATCCTTCAGGATATTTGCACATCTATCAAAGAAAGAAGTTGACTTTGTGGAATGAACAGCCAGATGAAAAAGAAACAGTCTACAGACACACAGTAGGGACAACATGGAGGATCAGCTTTGATCAGCTTTCTCCGCTTGCACAGGAGTTTTTAGAGATTTGTTCTCTTATGCACTATAACAGAATCACAGCAAATATATTTGAAAGAGCTGCAGGATATAAGCCTAAGAGCATCTTGCCACAAAGAAATTTTCATCTATGGGGCTTCTTGTCTGGGAAAACTAGGCTGCTTTATTATAGTGTGATGCCTCCACCAGCCATATGGAAATTGGATGCTACTATAGGGTTCTTGTCTTCTTTTCAGACTGAGGAGGGGAAATGGGATGACATTGCCTTTGCATCATTGCTCAATGAGATACAGCAATATTCACTAATTGGAAAAAGGAATGCTGAGTACTTTATGCATCCTTTAGTCCATGAATGGATTGGCTTCCGGATCAGGCATATGAGAAGGACAGAGATGATGGTGATGACTCTGCTGGGAATGGCTGGCACTGGCAGTCAAACTATAGAGGAGTACATCACTTTGCAGGTTCATATAGGAAGGATCAAGATGGACCTCAATAATATTCCCTGGGAGTTCAAAGAGGTATTCAGAGATATACAGGAGATAGCAGGAAACTATGCGGATGCTGCTAGATTAGGTTTGCACATGATTCAGGCATGTGAAAGAACAGTAGGCAGGGGGGGTCTCCAGACAATACAATCAAAACTGGCATTGACAGTAAGCTACTGGCACCAGGGAAAGTACACAGATGCACAGACTTTGCAGGAGGAGAGTGTTGAACAATGTGCTAAAATGTTTGGTATAAACCATCTACATACAATTGCTGCACAATCAAACCTAGCTTTAACATACCATGACCAAGGAAGATATACAGATGCACAAGCTCTACAAGAGCAGGTAGTTGCAAAATTTCTCCAGATTCTTGGTGCAGAGCATCCAGCTACAATTACTGCACAATCAAACCTAGCTTTGACCTACCACAGCCGAGGAAAGTATACCAATGCACAAGCTATACAAGAGCAGGTAGTTGTAAAACGTCTCAAAATTCTTGGTGAAGAGCATCCAGATACAATCACTGCACAATCAATCTTAGGTGAGACCTACCACAGTCAAGGGAAGTATACAGTTGCGCAGGCTCTACAAGAGCAGGTAGTTGCAAAGCATCTTCGAATTCTTGGTACCGAGCATCCAGATACAATTACTGCACAATCAATCCTAGCTGAGACCTACCACAGCCAAGGAAAGTATACAGTTGCACAGGCTTTACAAGAGCAGGTAGTTACAAAACGTCTTCAAAGTCTTGGTGCAGAGCATCCACGTACAATCACTGCACAATCAAACCTAGCTATGACCTACCGTAGCCAAGGAACATATAGAGATGCACTAGCTCTACAAGAGCAGGTAGTTACAAAACGTCTTCAAATTCTTGGTGCAGACCATCCAGGTACAATCACTGCACAATCAAACCTAGCTTTAAGCTACCATGACCAAGGAAGATATATAGATGCTCAAGCTATACAAGAGCAGGTAGTTGCAAAACGTATTCAAATTCTTGGTGCAGACCACCCCTATACAATCACTGCACAATCAAACCTAGCTTTGACCTACCATAGCCAAGGAAAGGATACAGATGCACAAGCAGTACAAGAGCAGGTAGTTGCAAAACGTCTTGAAATTCTTGGTGAAGAGCATCCAGATACAATCACTGCACAATCAATCCTAGCTGACATCTACCACAGCCAAGGAAAGTATATAGATGCCCAGGCTATACAGGAGAAGGTAGTTACAAAATGTCTTGAAATTCTTGGTGAGGACCATCCAGATACAATCACTACACAATCCAAAATAGCTATGACCTACCATAGCCAAGGAAAGTATACAGATGCCCAGGCTATACAGGAGCAGGTAGCTGCCAAATCTCTTCAACTACTTGGTGAAGAGCACCCACATACACTTACTACACATTCAAACCTAGCTTTGACCTACTACAGCCAAGGAATGTATACAGATGCACAGGCTATACAGGAGCAATTAATTGCAAAACATCTCCAAATTCTTGGTGCAGACCATCCAGATACAATGACTGCAAAATCAAACTTAGCTTTGACCTACTACAGTCAGGGAAAGTATATGGATGCATAGAATATACAGGACAATGTCAAAACCATAACTTTAGTTTTTATACAAATTGAATCAATCATGACAGTATTATCATATTTGAAATACCAAGTCAGTCAAGCTAGCTGTTACTGCCTCCAAAAATGTACATAGCAAGGTCCTTAACTAGTGTCTCCTGATACCAGTAGCTAAATCCTTCCTAGGGTGATGTGAGTACTAAACATATATAGTAGAGCATAAGTACAGAAGTCTTACTATGCTGTGATTCCAATAAGAATAGTTGCAGCAGCTGTAGTGAAAGCTGGGAGGATATATGTGATAAAATGGGCCTTCCTGCAGAGGGGTGGGTTTGTGAAACTGCCAAAGACAATGTCTGAGCCAGTGGCATTTGCCGTGCAATAGTTGAGCATAATTGTAGCAACTGGGCATGGTAAGTTAAACATTTTGCAGCAGATATCTTACTAAGAGTGCCAAAGAGACATATTCCTAGAATTACAATCATCCAAGGCTTCAGATAAGCCTTCAACATCCAAACACGGTGAACAATGATGGCATCTCCAATCAAAGCCTGTCATAAGATATATACAAATAAGACCTAGAAAAAATATGATAGATTTTGCTCACTGTCAGGGGAACCCCGCCTCAGCCTCCTTCAGACCATCCGATTAACCGGTTAAGATTGCCGGGTTTGGTGCTGACTCAGGCTCGGAGTACGAGTCCATACCCCCCCTCGTCACTGCCCCTGCCACTTGACCCCTATCATCTTTACGATATCTTTTCACGGTGCTTCTTGCTTGCCTTCACTGGCCAACTGGCATCCTCTGAATTGGTGTTGTGTGTGACACCTATACTGCAATAAAGGGGGCTATAAAACTGCAATATCTCTGGGACCCCAGGCTCTAAGTCATTTCGTGTGTTATTGCATAAGGTCAGTGTGACATTTTGTGACATTTGTGACTGGCATGATACTATTGATTGTAATCTCATATTAGTAACAATAACACCTGTGTAGCCTGGTACCCACTATGAACTGTCAGGTTTACTGAGGGCCTGCTCGGTGTCACCGGGTTCAATCCCGTACCCAGTCTGGGAGCTCGGCTTATTATCGCCAGCACTCGGGTCACAACTGAGTAACACTTTTCTCCCATAGCCAAACAAATGTCAATTGATCAGACGCGTGGATGATCTCCACCACCGTCATGTTATTTTGTGAAAAATTTGGAATTTACGTGTAATATAGTAGTGATAGCTTATATGTGTTTTTTTCTTCTCAAAATTGGTTTGGTCTCAAGTGGAACAGTGTTTAAGAGAGGCTGATGGTGTGTGGTAACCCGTTGCTAACCTGAAGCGTGACATCAATTTGTTGCGACACTTCTTGACATATTGGCCTTTGATCTCCATCACCTCTAAAAGATAAGCCCATATCTCCAGCTAGCCTAAGGTCCCAGCAGGAGAGGATCTAAAGAGAAGAAACTCCAAGGGTCTGCCTGCCAGGTAGCTGACTATATACTGCTTGCCCATAGCTGCCGCTGTCAGGCACAGAAGGCTTGGGCAGCATCGCAGGCCAGGTCCCAGGGCAACTGTCGGAGTACGTTGACAGATTCATGATGGCGTGGGCTGAGTGTGGGGTCGGACTGGAATCGGAATTGGAATTGGACCAGAATTGGAGTCATCTGTGGGGGGCCAAAAGGGAGGCTCCCCTGACAGAGCTGTTTTGTATTATAAATTTATAATATTGATTGCTTTTTTTTTTTCTGTCAAAATTGCTATTTTATCCATTGGGGCTTTCTGAATCTTTTCCCCTAACAAATCAGGTGTCCCTTTATTGGCTAATGGTTACCCTTATTAAAATTTTAATCGAAAATTCTCCGGTTTTCTTCTAAATGGTGATATGGAGACAATATGATGAAGTGTGATGCTGCATGTGTCATTGTTGACAGACCAAGTTATGTATCTGCACTGGTAGCTGATAACTCATAGTATCATGTACTTTTGACAAAATAACAAGACTTATTTTGTGCATTACCCTCACATACAAATAGCCACCCTTGGTGTTAAACCAGAGGAGAGTGACACTGTCAAATCTGTATATAGATCAAGATTGCAAGTCAATGAGTTTATTGCTTTCATGGGCCATTATGTAGCAGTAAGCTGGCAGGGTGCTGTGGGCTGTCCATGGCCTACTGGACCAGGCTCCAGGCTCAGCAGGAAGGAAGGCCTCACAAGTCATATCAAGGACTCAGGGGTTTAATGAACTTTTATTCCATGACTGGGAATTGCATGCCAGTGGGTAGCATTGACAATCTGAGTGAACATGATGGTGCTTTTTTTCTCTGAGTGTGCTGTTTTTGTCAGGTGTGACGGTGCATGTGATGTGACGATTCACGTTTTCTTCATATCACTGTGACGCGAGTGCGTGACGCGATCCCTTGCTTCCAAACGGCCACCTCCCAAAAACGCTCGATGCCCCGTGCAGCCTCAAAAGGCGATGAAGCGCCCGCCGACGCGGGCGACGCGCCGGCGTCTACATTCACGTTCCCGGGCGACTTCCCGCCGGAGCTGCTCGCGCGGATCCTGGCGCAGTTGCCATACGAGGACGTGCTGCTCGGCGCGCAGCGCGTGTGTAAAGGTTGGAAGCGGATGGTGGAGAGCGACCCGGGGCTGCAGACAAGGATGTTCAGGCGGGCGAGTGGGGTGTATCTTGATGTCGGTGCGTTGAGCTTGAGCCGGCTGGTATGCTTTTGACGCTTATGGCGTTTTGAAGGCGTGGACGCGGCGGAGATCGTTGCGGGGAGCGAGCCTGTTGTGGTCAGTTTTTATTTATTTTCCAGTCCTTGGCCAATTGACGCCCCCCAGTTCCACCCGCTTGTCCTGCTCGTGTCGTACAGCCTGGGCGGGGCCGGCGCGCCGCGGCCGTGTGTGTACCTGCACGTGAAGCCCCTACAGCTGTTCGCCGCCGTGCCCGGCTCGGGCGGGCGTGTGCTCGCCGCCCATCCGACGCCCGTGGAGGCAATGGTGCAGGGCGTGACGTACGTCGTGGGCGGCTTCGACGAGGACGAGGACGAGGATGATGATGACGCACTGGTTGATGACGAGGCATTCCAGCGGCTCCTTGCCTACAACGCGGCCCGGGTCCGGGGCGCGGGGGACCTCGACGATGATGGCGATGATGACGACGCCGACGACGATGCCAAGAGCAACAAGGACGGAGAGGGGCTGCAGCTGGCGTCGTTCATGGACGCCTTCCACGGCGACGAGGACGAGAATGACAAAGACGAGAAGGAGGAGCTGGCGGCGTACGCGGCGGCGGACGAGCTCGCGACGATACCCACAGTCTACACCGCCACACTGATCGCGGAGACGGAAGACGAAGCGGAAGTGGATGTCAAGGTGGAGAACCCGAAGGGCATTACTGTCCGCGACATATTTGACGCGCTCGAGCGGGCGTAGGTGCTCCCCGTGCCTTTGTGATGCGTAGGCTGACCGCAGATTTTATTACTTAGCGCGACGCGGGAGGTGCAGACGGTGGAGGGCTCGATGCCTTTGCACGACGCGGTGCATGGTGGGTGCGTGTGCCTGTGTTTATTGGGTGGATTGGTCGCTGATTTCAGGTGTGAGCAGGGTTTACGAGGGGCTCACGCAGGTGGAGCGCAAGGGCCGCCATCTCAAGGCGTATGTTGTGTTCGGGTCGTGAGCGGAGCGGAGACGGGGGATTTAGAGAGAAAAGGTCTGCTTGGGACCGCGCTGCAGTTGGAGCTAGACTTGTCCTAGAGACGTGCAATTGGTCATTGGAAACGAACAGGGATTGAACTGAGGAAGCAAGTCAGTAAGTATTCCTGGTTTGCAACTCATTCCTCCTCGCCAGCGCCCTCCTCGGCATCTCCGCCCACGCGGCCCCCGGCCCCCGGCCCCCGGCCCCCGGCCCCCGGCCCCCGGCCCCCGGCCCCCGGCCCGGTGCGGCGGCGACACTGCTACTGGCTCACCCTCGCGGAGGACAGCGCGCAGCGTGTCGTGGAAAGACGTCTGTCCTCCGTCTGCTCCTCGCGACGCGCCTGCCAGTGCTTAGATTCAACTCTTGCCCGCAACCAGAGTGCTCGGCAGACTGCCGGCCGACGAGTCAGCGACGACTCCGACGCATTCGACAGACACGTCACAGTCGCTACCTGCCCTTTGTACGCCAACGGTCAAGCGCACGACACGGAACATTTCGCATCCAACTTGAACACGCATCCTCGGCCGCAGCCCGCCCTGGTCACAGCCTGAGGCTGAGTTCTGACAGACAGACATCGATGCGCCGGGTGCCTCGCGTTTCCAAACCTGACTCGGACTTGACTATGCCGATGTGCGTCTTCTTGCATGTTCTGCTCACGCGCTCATTAGTACTACTATGTACTAGCAGGTGAAAATTTTAAATGAGACTGGTACGTCTCGCCAGCTAGTTCGGACGGACTCCGATACCCTTGCCCGCGCGGACATGTCGTTCATTCTCACTCGCAAGAGGATCTGGAAGCTATGTGGCAACTCCGAGTCATAAAGCTCTGCGAGACTGGTACTGGAAGACGATACCAAGCACCAGCTAGGTCGGAGCGTTTCTACGTGAAGTTGCCGTGAACGGCTGGTCTCGCCGACTCCGAGTCGGTCAAACAGGTCTTCACTACTGTTGCCGCTCAACGGCTCCCGGAAAGGGATTCGAGGTGGGGCTCTTTAGTTAAGGAGGTGGAACTATTGGAAGGCGGAGATAATCTGGTTATGGTCCGTGAACTGTTGGAGGCTGTTCGGAAGCCTGAGGGACTCGGAGGACCAGGATCATCAATATCGCGTCTCGTTCAAGTTATCATGGGAACCGGTACCGGGACGTGGTTTTCCCTCGATTCCAAAGATATCTCGTTTCTTATCCACACTCACGTCTGTGGCGCCAAACCCTGCAAAACCCGACTTCGCTTTGCACGCTCACAGGCTACTTATTGGCTGTGGATAACGATCTCAACTCGAAACGATCCCGACGCGAAGGTTCCCCTGCCAGCGACGTTGGCAACAACTGCCCAGTGGCGCGTCAAGCCTCAGCGAAGTTGGCTCGACTTCTTGTTTGGCGCTCATTGGCTGTTATATTCGACATCTGGGCGGCCCGGGCTCACGTTCTCGGTCGATTTCTGGTGTCAAGCTCTCGTTGAATCCCGATACAGAGCATTCCGCTTTCTGTTTACTTGCATTTGCATCAGTCTTTGCGAGTGATCACTGGCAGCTCGGTTCCGATGCAGCGTCATCGCGGGATCTGGAAGAACTCCCAACACTCATCTTATCGAAAGACATCGCAACGCCGTCTTCCAATGCGACACCGTGCCAATTCTCCGTGTGATCAACCCACAATAGCACCTCACCTCCGACCATCGTACAGTCCGGCGGAGCGCCGCCGCCCGGCCCGGCACGCGTTCTCCGTTCCCAACTCGCAAAAGTGCATCCTAGTGCGGCTCGGAAACCATGCTTGTCATCGACGACCTGCTGTTGAAGTCCTCCATGGTTCTTCAACATGGGATGGCTGCTGTTCAGGATTGTTTCTCCGCAACAGAGATAACACAAAAGATATACCGGTACGACCACCACCAACCAGAATGCTGTTTTTTGTTTGTTGAAATTTACCTCAACATTAGTCTAGGACTGCCAGGGATATGCACCATAATAATCCAATGCTCTTGATTGACAACTCTCCATGTTCCAACTTGAACTATAATAATTGCCATACGGTTTAAGAGGCCAAGAGTTTCCCAGACTCTCAGAAATAGTACCTCTTCTCTGTCTTTATGTACATGTCCAACGGCTACTTGTATCCCAACATTGACAATAATCATGATCATGATATCGATTGTAATAGCAGAGGTTTAATAAAAGCAGACTGTGCTACAATATAAAGACATGCGAATGGGGATGCACGGGTGACGATTTGTGTCAGTTTCACTGCATCTAATCTTCCCCCTACTCAGCAAATTCAAATGACACCAGACGAGGCAGAGACCCTTCAGGGTGTTGGCAGGGACTGGTACCAAGAATTTATTGCAATCACAAATGAGACATTCATGCTGGGTGAGTAGCATAATCAACCAAGCTTTATGATTAGTAATAAATCTGATCTATTTTCTCTTATGGCAGCAATATATTCTGCCGTGGTTTACAAGGCAGCTACTATTCTCTTGTGTGTGAATCTGTTTCAAATCCACTTTTCAATTCTGAATATTTCCCAAAATGACAGAGGCCATCACGCAAGACATGTTCGGACCTATGTCTACACCATGGCTGTCCTTACTATCTTGTTCATGCTGGCAATCATTCTTTGGGCTATGGATCTGACCAGCTTTATCTGGGAGGCAAAATTTGTGTTGATCAAGCAACCTGAAGCAGCTTTGGAGGACAAACTTGATGCTGTATATGACTTTCAGAGTAAAGTGGCAACATGGCAGGCAGCAATTTATGGTTGGATGGTGAGCAAAATCTATTACATTTCTTCTAGGTCTTATTTATTTACATCTTATGACAGGCTTTGATTGGTGATGCCATCATTGTTCACCGTGTCTGGATGTTGAAGGCTTATATGAAGCCTTGGATGATTGTGATTCCAGGAATATGTCTCTTTGGCACTCTTAGTAAGATAATCTGCTACAAAATGTTTAACTTACCATGCCCAGTTGCTACAATTATGCTCACCTATTGTACGGCAAATGCCACTGGCTCAGACATTGTCTTTGGCAGTTTTACAAACCCACCACTCTGCAGGAAGGCCCATTTGATTACATATATTCTCCCGGCTTTCACTACTGCTGCTGCAACTATTCTTATTGGAATCACCGCATGGTGAGTCTGGCTTAATGCTCTATCTATCTATCTATGTTTAGTATCTGAACATTTACAGGCGCCACCACCAAAGGATGGCACCTTTGCATGGTGATGGAAAATCAGCAAGAAAAACCAGAGTTGAACAGATCTTTCTTGTCTTGGTTGAAACTGGCTTCTTTTACTTCTTGTTCTTTGTATGTATTCTCCATTCCTACTGTGGCTCTTGACCAACTCCAATAGTTCATCCAAACCATTGGGGATACACCCAGTGTTGAGAATCTAGTTGAATCACACAGAGCACTCTCTATCCTGATGCTCATGTTTGACTACTGCTCAAGCATTATTGTGGGCATATATCCAACTATTGTTATTGTCCTTGCCCATTCCAAGCGCACAACAATTATCACTGACCATGCAGGTGTCTCTAGCATGGGCTCCCATATCTCTACCCTACGTGCTAGTCATCATCTTAGCACTCTGGGGAGCTCAATGACAGGGTACAATAGCAATAAATTCCAAGTGGGGCTGAAGGGTAGCACAGGAACTGGGGCAAAGGATGGGGATATTGAGATGGGCACTGTTCCTGATCTGGATAATGATGGAAGTGGTAATCAGAGCAAGTATGGCAGGATTTAACTATTGGTATAGGGAGACATTACTTGAGGACCTTGCTATCTAAATTTATGGAGATAGTAGTTATATTGACTGACAATTGGTTTAATTTGGAATATAAAACCATGTGATAATCAGTGTGTTTTAAGGCTGGGAAAGTTATGTTTAGTGCAATAGCTCTTGCCTAGTAAACACATAGTATTGCTATGTCATCGGTTATTGTGATGGTAAATTATTCTCCTACTAACAAGGCTGACCTGGACCCTGACTTACCCTAACCCTTCCGGGTATAGGTCCAACCGGGTCTGGGTTTACCCACGGGTTGCAGACATGGAAGCAGAAGGTATATTTGGAACAATAATTTCGATATAGCATACATTTTGCTATGTGACATTGGCTCAGACATAGCATACATAGCCTATTCCTCAAGAGTTTAGACATACTTAATACAGTTTACTCATATGTCATATGTCACATATGTCACATATGTCACATATGATTTTTTGTCTCTTAAAACCTCACAAAAATCATGTTTGGATAGGAAATGTTGAAATCACAACAGCTTATTGGAGCCTGCAGGTTGACCCTGAAAGAGTCCGGAATTGGCCGAGAAATTGGTATACTCTGACCCTGACAGACCCTATCCTGAAACTATGCGGGTTGCCCCTGACCCGTGCTCTACCCCAGGCATTGGTGTATTTAGGATTATGAGTGCTTGGTGTTTATTTGTTCAGTCTTCTGAGATGTTAACATGGTTTTGCCATTTAGTTACAATGGTATTAGTGAGGAATAATGCAGAAATAATGGTTTTAAAAGCATGTTCATTTTGCCATCCTATAAGTATCATTATTTTCCTTAATGCTATGTACACGTACTGCTTTTGTCTGCAGGTGGCCTACACTAAGCAGCTTGAATATGCCCACTGTGAGCTCCTGCACCTAGTGCTGGCCTATTATGACATTACCATGCCAGATATGTAATGATAATATAATCATATCAGCGGCATAATATAATATAATAATAATAATGTGAAATATTATATTATAATTTTCATATAATATATTATGATGTATGATTCTGTCTCAATAAACTTTATTTTCATCCTTGGTTTTCAGCCTATGGTTCAGCAGCAACATTGTGTAATGGTCTAGAATAGTAGCTTATTAAAATCCCCCTGTTAGTTGTGTTCAAACACATATCTTGTCAGACTGCAGGTCGGGCCATGCAAGGACTTCTCCTAAGAACACGTGCCCGGAACAGACGGATTGTCGGGCCTGCAAGCAGAGCGAGCGGGGTAGATTGAAACTGAAAGGGCCCGTTAACTCAGTCCCTCATCAATGTTGGTGGTCGAAGGTTTGAATCGGGTCGTTGATGCGCTGCAAACGAGCTCTAGAGCGCGAGCTAACCCCAAAAGGATCAGCATCACAACTCCCAGTGTCCAACAACTGTAAGTATGTGCGAGGGTCAGACCATACCCAGGACAAAGGGAAGGGGCAGGGATGGATGTGTTGTATGAGTGTGCAGTAGAGGCGAGGGCGGCAAGGGACACGAGTGCAATGATGAGGGCGCGGGAAGACATATACGAGGACGGCGGACACTTAGATCATAAAGCGAGGGTGCTAAAAACTTGTTGAACTATAAAATACAGGGCTTTATATACTAGAAATGAAATGAAATGACTCCGAGGGCAAGTCAGATCGAGTTCCAGGGCCGCGCCCGATGAGTCAGTGGGCCGGCGACGCGTCGCCGTCGAGCGCGTGAACGCGTTTGATGCGCGTGATGCTGCGGCGTGCTGATGTCATATTGCTGACTTGACGCGATCTCCGTGCTCAGCCGCGTTGGCTGCTCAACATCGTGTCAGGCCTGATGAGTTGTTGGCACCTCCTTGCATGGAGAAAGGTAGTCCTTCAGACGATCTAAGCGATAGAGTACATGGTACAGTGTCGCGCATTATATACGCGGGCCCGCAAAGGGGGTGATCGGACGCCCTGGCCTCTCCTGCTCCTCCTCGCCCCCATTCCTGGCCGCAGAGGGGACGATCGTACATCCCTTGCGGGCCAGGCGCTACTCCTAACCTCCTAGCACTCCTCCCCAGTCCCCTGGTGTCGAGTTGGGCTCAGCAACAGCTCGACGTGTCGTTCTCAGTCACGTGCTTCCCATATGTGTGTTCCTCCTACTGGGGCGCATGTTCCCTGTCATCACATGCTGCATGTTACGGGCCCGCGGTGGCCCGACACCAGCACCAGAGTGGACAGGCCGGGTCTTATCCGTGACATATCTGCAGTGAATTGCCTTTGTTTTGGAAATGTGACCACATTACAATATTCAGGGTGTGTGAAAAGTGTGTTGTTTGTTCAAGCTAAGTATGCCCTAGTTATTGATTGGATATATAAGTCTTCCTCAACTGTTAGTATTATTGCCAACAGTACATAAATACTAGGTTACAAAAAGAAATAGTACTTATTAGTACTAGTTAGTATACAAGCTGGTTTTGTATCAAGCTTTTGGGGGCTGTAATCCAAGTTACCAGAATTCTATATTATACTAAAGCCATCATAATAACAATAACATAATATGGAATATTATAATATTGGTTTTGGCCACCAAGCACTATATAATGATAATAATATAGTAGGGCATAATAATAAATCATAATAGAATAATGGCTAGCACTATCTGCACCTTATTGCAGTGGCTGCACTTCACAAGTACTGGCCCATTTCATTCAATTCTGCTGGTCATGGTCATATTGGATTTTTTGGCTGAATTATTTTGGCTGTGACCTGATTTTTTCGGTCTCAAAGTGTGCAGATTCTTAAATTTTCTGTGGCACACTGGAATTCCCTAATCAGGTAATATGTCACACAGAATTTAGCTACAGGCCAAGTTGAACATTTCAGCCAAATGGTCACGGGTCATAGTCCTGCTAAATTGATTGAAAATGCGTCAATATCAGAAGAGGGATGACACTATCAATTCTGTGTCTAGATGCTTTTCTAGGAACATAGGTGGGACATTACTACTACACAGTGGGTCTACTAAGCCATAGGCTCAACAGATCTTTCTCAATATTAGACAACCATAACATACTATTTTATTTATTTTGGCTGGATCACTACTATTGATGAAATCAAAAGTCACCTAAAAATCTTAAAAAATTAAGAAAGAAATATTGCCAGTGTTTACAAAAATTGGATATGACCATGACATCCTGAATTGATCAAAACAGTACATAATCACCCTTGGTATTAAATATTGCTCTTGTAATGCTCCTGAGTATACATATGCATATGTCAGGTGCTGATAGTTTATAAATTGACTAAACCAAAACTATCAATATCTTTACTATTCCACTTGGTGGCATTACATACAATATTATGATACCAGATCATACCACCAATTTCCCAAAAGTGTGAGGATGGGACAGGGCTTTGTGGGTGTATAGTAGGTCCACTCATGCCGGTATTCTTGAAAAAATCAAACTACTTAAACATGATGCAAAATATTTTCTGTCCGGATAGATCAACACATATGCGCACCCTTTGGATTGAACCATAAGAAGGATGACGGTGTCAGTCTACAGAGCAAGATTGCTTTGGTGGTGTATCCAGTCACCAGTGATATAGGATTAATCATTTTACGACCCCTTCCTTGCCAGTGGTGCGGCAAGAGTTATTAAGATTCCAAATTGGCACTTTACAACATGTAGATTACAGTCCATAGTCAATAAAAAAAGAAATATGCTACCACAGCACCTCCCTGATCGTCTTCCTGAGCGCCACCCGCGCCGCCTCCGTCTGGGGGTGGTTTGCACCTAACAACCTCGCTCGCTTCTCCAACACCCCCTCCGCAAGCGCCTGCGCTTCGTCGCAGCGGCCGAGCTGCACGAGGGTCGCGGACAGGTTGGCCGCGGCGAGCACACTGAGCGGGTGCTCGTCGCCGAGCAGCTTCGTGCGCTTCTGCAGGACCTCTGCCTCGAGCCGCTGCGCCTCGGCGAAGCGCCGCAGATTGTGGAGGGTGGCGGCCAGGTTGCCCGCCGCGAGCAGCGTGTCGGGGTGGTCCGGCCCGAGCGTCTCTGTCCGCCGTTGTAGCACCGCCTCTTCCAGTTCTTTCGCCCGCGCATAGTCGCCCAGGACGGAACACGTGCTGCCCAGGTTGCCCATTGCGCGGAGCACCTCGTCGGCGTCCGGGCCGAGCCGGCGCCGCTGCCGCCGGAGGACGTCCTCCTCGAGGTAGCGCGCCTCAACGAGCCGGCCGAGCGCGCGCAACGTGCTCGCGAGGTTGGCCGCCGCAACCAGCGTGTCGGTCGCGTCCGGCCCGATGCGCCGCGTCTGCTGAGATAAGACGTCCTCCTCGACCACCAGCGCCTCCGCGAACCGGCCCAGTGCGTGCAGCGTGGACGCGCGGTTGCCCGCCGCCCTCAGGGTATCCGCGTGTTCAGCACCGAGTAACCTTGTCCGCCTTTCTAGAACGTCTGCCTCAAGCCGCTCGGTCTCGTGGAAATCCCCCTGTGCAGCGCGTGTCCGGGCGAGCGCCTCCGCCGCCCTGAGCGTGTCCATGTGATCCGGCCCGAGTGCCGCCGCCCGCCGGTCCAGCACATCCTGCTCGAGTGTGCTCGCCGCGGCGTGCTCGCCCAGCGCGCGGTGCGCCCGGGCGGCGTCCTCCGCCGCGAGGAGCGTGGCCGGGTTGTCCGGGCCGTGTGTGGCGCGGTGGGCAGCGAGGACGGCGGTGTATAGTGGAAGAGCGCCAGCGGGGTCGCTGGAGGCTTCGAGGGCACGTGCGGCGGCGGTTTGTGCCGCGAGTGGGTCGAGCTCTTCGTCTCCGTATTCGGCCTCATCCCCTAGGCCGGCTGTCTTCCCCTCCTCCTGATCCGTCGGCCTGTTTCCGGCCTCCACCCACCGCCGCTCGAACTCGTCCACCCTCATCTTATAGTCCCTGCACACTGGTGCCAGCCCCTCAGCCGCCGACCGCCGACGAAACGCCCTCCGGAGCTCACGTGGCGGGCGCGGGGCGGTCTGTGCGGCGCGCACGGTGAGCAGCACTGCGTCGAGCAGCTCCACGAACTCGGCGACCTCCGGGCCGGCTGAGAGCGAGTCCTGCAGGGCCTGTGCGGCGCGGAGGAGCGCTTCGCCCAGCGGTTTAAACGCAGTGCGCGCGTCTCCATTGGCAATCGTCTGCAGAATGCCGGATCAGCGGACGGCGGAATGGGGAGGGAGTGCGGCGCACTTCGACAGCCTCCAAAACTTCCACTATACCAACAAAGGCTTCTCTGCTGCCATCCGTTCCCCGCCCCTCGTCAGTTCCGGCCTCCCCGGGCCCGGTTCCGGCCGCAGCCCCGAGCCGCGCGAGGCGCAACAGAGCCGCGGGCCACGTGTCGGGGAAGGGCGGGAGCTTCGCGGTCCCGCGCGTGGTGAACCAGCGCGGGGGCGGGCTCGCGGCCGCGGACGGAGCCATGGGTGCAGGAAGCAAGACGTAAGCTGCGAGGCGGTGTCTGTCGGCGCTCGCGTAGATGGCGAGATAGCGATCTGGCCGGCTCCGGACTCGTTCGACCCTGGACTTGGCACGCTTATAAGTATGTGCCGATGAAGAGAGAAGGCAGCAATTGTCCAAGCAAAACTTGGATTCCAACATGCTTTTTCCAACGTGTGGCGGAGATAACCTTAGCAAATGCTCGGAATAACATGTTTTATGTATAAGTATCCTCTGGTTAATCTTCTTTGGGCACCTCCCCCCAAAGCAACACTGCGGCCACTCACCCATTGCTCCTTTAGGCATAAACTGGCTTAGCTTATCTTAAGATATGCTTGGCCTAGCCACTCTCCTATCTTAAGCTGCCATGATCTTAAGGTCTAAACTTAAGCTTTTTTGTTTAAAATGAATAATAAACAAATAATATTATATAATATATAATTTTGTGATTTAAGAGTCAATATATGACATCTTAAGATTTGCTACCCTAGGTTTCAACCTCAAGAGGACAATCATGATTTACCAAGACCAGTATGTCTGCTAGATGCCCTGAAGATATAATTAGATCATCAGAAGCCTAAGTTGAGCAAGCATACCAGTTTATCCATCCATATAAATAATCTCTCCAAGTCTCAACTATGTTCAATCTGAGAGATAAGGATCTTCAATTGATATGACATCAGTCCAGTAGATGTTTGCTCTGGAGTTTGGTTGCTCTAGAGGTTGGGTTTCAGAATATAGTCTCCACGTGATTACCCAGCCGCTTAAACATTGCTGCTTGGGTGCTTGCAAAAATAGCAGCACCTGGTTGAGCAGATGAATACTCTGCCCATCTTTTCCACATTTAAGCATCATAGCAAAAACCGTAAATTGTGTGCCATAGCTCAATGTGATTATGTGCTTACACTCATACTGCTCAATCCATTGAATGAAATGCCTCAGACTTGGCTAAGAACCATTGAACACAGATGCCTTTAGGTACATCAGAGGTGGAACAATATATAGATTAAACTACTACTTACTTTCAGCCTTGAATGATGTGATATGCAATACTTTCCCAGATCCAGCTATCCTTCTTCTCTGGCTTAGAAGTTGCTGTTGTCTTGCACCGCTTTGCTGGAGAGCCTGAAGAGTGCAATGATGGCCTTTAGGAATGGTAGCCATACGTAATTCATGGTCCTACCTGTGCACTTCTGCAGGGGTGTCCCAAGCAAGAAGGACATATCTCACATATCACCATTATCATTGCCATCATTGATCTCATCAGAATCAATGATGGTTGTGTGTCCAGAAAGATCACCCATCTTTTATTTTCAGAGAGATGTCAGGGGAACCTCTCCTTCAGCCCCTGGAGATGTTTTTAGTCTGTCTCTGTTTAGCGTACAACCCCCCCCTTTTCTTGCCCATGCCATCACAGATCCGTCAACGCCCTCCTAATGGTAGCCCTAGGATCTTGCTTACAATGCTGCCCGGGCCTTCTATACCCTCACAGCGGCAGCTATAGACAAGCAGTATATAGTCAGCTACCTAGTATACAGACCCTTAGAGTTTTTTCTCTCTCTTTGGACCTTCTCCCGCTAGGTCAGCTCCATTTGTATTTGCTTACCAATGTTCATGCTTTAAATCCTCCCCTGCTAAGACCTGATCTCAGGCCTTTAGATTTGCTCTTATAAGAGAGGTGAACCTTTTCTGTCTTTGGAATAAGGACAAAAAAGAATTTAATCTGTTTCAATAAAATATACTGTTTCTTTTATGTAAAATCATATATTAAAGCGAGTCAAATACATTCATCTTTATATAAGAAACAAAATATTTCAATCTGTGTGAAATATTGGCACAACTTGGATTTGATTGTTTGGTAAAGATATTTTAAGGGGGAAGAACTTTAGGTTCAAACTCATTAATAGCACCTGCATTAAGCAATGCCCAAATAATATCTATATGGTCTTTCACTAAAGCTTCATAAAGAGGACTTTCCATGTTATTGTTTATGATGTTTGGGTCTGCACCAGCACCTAGCAACATTTTTACAGCATTAAGGTGACCATTCATTGATGCAGCCCAGAGAGCAGAACAACCCTTTCTAGTAACAGCATTATAGTTTGCTCCAGCATTAAGCAATACTTCAATCACATCTGTACGTCCTCTTGATGAAGCTTCATAAAGGGAACTGGTGTTTGTAACACCTGTGATGTTTGGGTTTGCACCAGCAGCTAATAGTATTTCTACAGCTTTGACATAACCCATGTTTGAAGCAATTACTAGTGGAGCACCACAGTCTGGATGTGCACCTGCATCAAGCAATAGTCTGATCATCTCTGTAAGCCTCTCGCGAACAGCTTCACAAAGAGCACTACTGCCACGTTTATCTATGATATTAGGATCTGCACCTGCCTTTAATAGTATATGTGCTGCGCTGATCTTATGATGCCTTAAGGCATGTTGCAGAGGAGTTCTTCCAGTGTAGTCAACAGCATTACAGTCTACTCCTATCTTGAGTAGAATCTCAAGAGCTGCATTTGAATCTGAATCTGGAAGATCAATAATCATATAATCATCACTATGATCACTATTGTCATCATCATGATTGTTGTCATCATGATCATGATAATCAGAATCATCATCAGAATAATCCTCCACATCACGGTGCTGCTCATCAAAGATAGCCAGATGAAGAGCACTCAATCCATACATATCTACAAGGTTCACATCTGCCCCAGCATTCTGCAACATGCTTATCATAGCTCCATTATTCTTTACTGCCAGTGCTGCAGTGTGAATAGTACTTCTATGATACCAGACACGGCAACTATGTACATCTGCACCAGTAGTTAACAAAAGCCTAACAATCTCTATCTGACCACATATAATAGCACAAAACATTGCATTATTTATGATGGCCTCTGCTTTATTACATTCTTCAGTTGTCATTGATTCAAAATCTATCTCTGAGAGAATTTGCTGTGCTATATGAGCTAAACCAGCACCACTTGCTATGAATAATGGTTCCAGTACTTCTTTGATCTGTATCTTGATCATATACCATAGTTGACCCTTCCACTCTCTTGGCACCTGCTTCAAGGATGCAAGAAATGCTCTAATTTCTTTTTCCAAGACTTCTTCTGCTTCACCATGCATATGGTCTATCACATATTGACAATAATTAACTATAGGACCTTTTTCACCACCATTATCAAGTGGAGATATCCAACTGAGATATTTAAGAAGACAAGATGTAATCTTCACTTGCATTTTTGGGAATAGATGTTGCCTTTGCCTATCTAGGAACTGATGTACAGTATAGTGAGCCAGTTGAACAACTGAGTAACCAATGGTCACCAAGCCACAGCAAACCTCTATGATCTTAGTAAATGATTTTGCAGTAGGCATTTTGTCCCTCCTATCATCTATTGCAAGGGCAGTTTGCAACTCCACAACAGTCAGTGGTCGCTTAGCACCTATAATCCATCCTAATGCTGCAAAAGCTAACTCTTTGTCCTTTTGATTTTGTTTATTGATGCGTTCTAACGTGGCCTGATAGTTTTGATCAATATCTGTGGTCAGATTATGCAAAGAATATTCAAGGTCTTCCAATGTATAAGAATCCAGGAGAGACTGAAGCTGAAATTTCACAACTAAAAACCTAATTTCTTTTGAGTAATTCCTCTTCTAACAGTTGTTAACTGACATTTTATTTGCTGATGTTTTCAGTTTGGAAAGGATTTCACCAGTCAGAGTAGGATATCCCTGTGAGAATGATTGAAGGTTTGCACTATTTGAAATTTGGCTTTTCAAATAAGCTTCAATATCATGATCATGTGTCTCAATTTTTAAGGGAATCTCTATGATATCATTGGGTGGATTAATATTGGGTCTACATGTTATCATGAGCTTAACCTTCTCTCCTAATTCAAGGATGTGGTGGATCAGCTGAAGATGCTGATTCTCCACATATTCATCAAGTGCATCAAGGACTATGTAGATGATCTCAAAGTGAGAAGCTTCTATCAAGTTCTTTAGCAATGTCTTGATATCTTTCACTGTAGCTCGAGTGTGTTGTGTTTGATGCTGAGAATACAGCTCTTGTGCTGCAGCTATTCCCAGGTTCTCATGATTGACAGCTAGCACTTTCCAGAGTGCACCCAAAATATTCTGAGCTTTCTGAGTTTCTGGGTCTTTGTAGTTTATGTAGACCCAAGTCAAGCCAAATGTATTGGTTCTAACGTACTTCTGGAAGTCCTCAATGACCTTGGAGCTGATGGCAAGCTCATAAGTAGAATATTTCAATACATAACTAAACCTTACACTAGCACAGTTTTCCCTGCCCCTGCTACAACATTGTTAATATTCAAATAATCAGTCTTAACAGTATGCTCTTACGTATACCCGAGCACCATAACAACTTTTCTGGGCCTGATATCCACCTTTGGAAGTGGACATCATTCAATAACCATTCTCCAGTATTTGCTTGGCGTTGTTCAGAGATTCTATCTTGATCTGCAAATGGGTTTACAGGTGAGATCCAATTGAACAGGTGCTCATGACCTATGATTTGTCCCAACATGGCAGATGCCAGAGAATGAAGAATGCTACTTACTGGGACCCTGTGCCTGAGCTTCCATTCCAGTATTGTTGATCATTCTGCAAGTGATTTTAAGCAATAGTTGCGGGTAAGCAAGGCCTGAATAATGTCCTACGTTGTGATATGACTGCCGGAGAAGTCAAAACTGGGACCATGCCCATCCCCGCCCGGGCCAGCAGCAGTTGGGCTTGGACCACCAGCTCCCCCATGACCGCCTTGACAAGTTTCAGCTTGAGTCTATGCAGTGAAAGAGTGGAAAGCCAACCATAGACATTGTTGACTCTGACCAGTGATTGTGCGGAAAGCATGTTGCTGGGGGCAGTGGTAGTCAAGAGCAAGATAGACCCTGTACCTGCCTCATGGCAGATAAGTACATTGAAGCCGCACGCTGCAACCCCCGAAGCTGTCTTTGCTATCGCAATTGGCTACCTGCGATTGGCTGTATGTCTTTCCATGACCACCTGCCACTATCATGTGGACGATTTTTTTCCCACCACCCTCCGCATGTCAAGCTTCTTCCTCCACGCTTGTCCTGCACTCAAACCCACGGCAGCAGACTTCCAATGGAAGTCTTCCATACAAAATTTCATCGGCGGCCGGCCCTACCATTCACATGGTTTTCTACAATCACTGTACGTCTATGTACGACCTTCCGAATCCATTCAGAGCCCGAGACAAAGTTTTTCCCCCTTTGACTAATTTCCCCGTTGGTGCTCTTCATCCTTCGGGTACCTCGTAAAGCCGGTTAGGTTTAAGCTGGAGCACGGTCATGTGTTGTCCCGCAGAAGTTTCGACAAGGCCTTCCTGTACACAGTAGCGGCGTGGTTGGTGACGGATCACGATTTCGGAGGGGAGGTGGGAATGGTGGAGAGGACACATCCGAGCCGAGTAACGTCAGTGGTAGGGTAGCATAAAAAAGCTACAGGACGCACAAGTGGAAAGCCATGATGGATTATGGTAGCGGGATGAGCGCGAAGACGGGGGCAATGGCCATGAGCATTGAGAGACAGCCCTGGGATCCGGTTAGCCTGGCCAGTCAGCGCAAAACAAAGCTGGAAGACGCACCAGCTGACTCCCTTCTACATACAGCCATGCCCAACCTCAAACGACTTGTCTTATCTTCCCAAACTAGTAAACCAATTTTGCTGGCGGCCACGGCGCATGTGTAGCAAGTGACCCAAACGCGACTTGGGGAGGGTATCGGACCAGTCGCCGGACTACATTCAAGCAACCACCGGTGCGGAGCTGCACCCGCGGGCTGCGACCACTGAGCGCATTATTACCTTATATATGGACGAACAGCGCACCCGAGGAGGCGGTATGTGTTGGAGGCAAGTGGCACAATGGGCGGAAGGAAGACGATTACATTGACCGGACACAATACCACGCATCTCTGCGACCCATAAATGCTGGCCACCGTACGCTCCAAACATGCGAGTCTCGTGGAAATCTATCCAGGGTGAAAAACCATTCACGACTGAGCAGATACTAATACTCACCCGCCGTCCGCCAGTGCCTCCGTCTGCGACCTACAAAAGCATTAGCGACTCCGCGTTACCCTCGCCAAACACACACACGCCTTCTTGAACGCATCGAAAACATCATGCACCCTGATCCCTTCTGTATTCTCCACCACAATCAGCGCGTGCTGCTCGCCGTTGCCTACCGCAGCGAGGAACGTCGCGCCGAACACCGCTGAGATTGTTGCCAGGTCGTCCGCCGCAGCGTACATGCCCAGCTCCTGGGCTCGGCGTTGGCCATTATTGTGTATAAGAAGATGTGCAGCAGTGGGTGTAGCCACCCTCGGCTCAGCGCTCGGTGTAGACAAGGAAGGGAAGGAGAAATTCAAAGGGATGCACTACAACGGCCGCGCTTCCTTTAAAAGCCCACGCTTCCTCATCGTCTACCCAAGACTGGTAACAATGCTGCTCACCATTGACCAACATCGACCGAGACCCCACTTGCCCGCCTAGTATCCGCTCCTGTAGCCCCGGTCGCTGTCTAACATCTCCCGCCACACCTGCCGTACCCGCAGGAGCAGGTCGTCATACGACAGCGGCGCCAGGAGTCAGGACGCGCGACTCGGAGCAGCTCGGGCGGGAAGTCGGGTAGTAACGGCGCCGGGCGGTAGCGCGGGGCGGTAGAGGATGGGCGGCGGGAGCGGCGCCTCGCGGGGCATGATGGTGGGCGTAAAGCAAGAAGTGGCGCGCTCGACATGATCGGCGTGATTGATGTACGGGCATCGGACATTGTCATTGATGATGCACTGGAGGCTGAGATACAGACCGTGACTGTGAAGTTTGTGTGAAGTATTTGCCTTCCTCTGCTTGCGCCGTTATACATAATAGATGTTGATAGCATCCATACCAAAAATGGATACAAGCAGGGATGACTCGGAAGAATCAGAACTGCCCACCCCCGCGTCGAAACAGAGACAGATACAAAGTTTGAAATGCCCTTTGAATTGCATATGCATGCATCAAGTACCGGCATTCGACTGGAACTTCATCCTACAATTCGGGACTGAATATAATACAATGGTAAAAGAATACAGTCACATCACCATCCATCCGAGGGCCACCGGAACCTCAACGGCCACACGGCGTACTTCGCGTCAAACAGGAATGATCCGTTCGCCGGGAGCCAGGCGCGCCCCTGCCCCTGCCCCCTTTCTGCCCCCTCGACCTCGTGGTATGGGTTCAAGTTGTCCTCGGACTCGTGGGACTCCGAGTCGCGCGGACCGGGCTGCTGGACGAGCGGGACGACCATCGTCCACTCCTTCTCGACCAGGACAGCGGCCCGCCCGCCGCGCCCGCGGGGCCAGCCGCACATCTCGTAGAACCGCCTGTGGTCGGTCAGCAGCTGGTTGGACATCCGGCAAGTTGCCACCGCGCGGGCCACGGCGAGGATGTACCGGGACACGCTCGGCGTGAGGCGGGCTCGGAGGCCGCGGGCCGGCGCCGACGGACCCGTGACATCGTTGACATCGGTGGGCCAGGCCGCGGCGGTGCGGACCGTGCTGCTCGCTGCCCAGCCCGCCGCAGCCTTGGGGGCGCTGCCCCACACGTCGGCCTCGGCGCGCATCATGAGAAGCCTCTCCACGCCAATCCCGCCCGGGCCGCCGAGCCGTGGGCGCTCGCGGAGCAGCCACTGGGCGGTGACCCACAGCGGGAGGGCAGGCAGCCGGGGGTAGACGTCGACCGTCGCGGTGATGTCGAGGGGGATTTCTGTGCCGATGTCGTCGGCGGGGAACGCCTCCATGCTCTGTCCGATGCCGTCATTCCCATATGTGCGACAGACGAAGGGCACTGCGGCCGCATTCCACACAGCAGGCCTGCCCCAGCGCTCCGGCACGGGCCCCGGGGCGAGCGGGGTCAGCGGGTATCGCGGCGTGCCGATCGGGATCTGGTAGTCGTAGTCCAGGTTGACAGAAAACCTTGGGTCCCCGTTGGTCGCCACGCGGACATGCGCGCCGGCGATGACCCAGCGCGCCGGATCAAAGTGCAGCGCCGCGGCGAGCTGAACGCGGACCTCGTGATCGTACTTGAGCCGCGTGCGGTCCGCACGGTGGATCGCGAGCGACGCGCTGAGTGATGGCTGTCCCTCTTGCGACACGTCAATGATGCGGCGCTGGAACACGCGCGGATCGACGACCGGATCTCGCCGGACCGGCGTCGGCGGGGGCTGCGCCGGGCCGCGTTTCTGCACCGGCGGGCCTGGAACAGGGTCCGACTCACCCGGGACCGCCCGAAACGTCCCTGTCTCCGGCCTGGGCGCTGGCATAGGGGCAGCGTCGAGTGCAAGCCCCTTCGGCACAGCGTCCCACGGGCGCATATGCACGGCCAGAGAGATCGCATATGGGCGTGGCCAAACGGCGTGGGCCTGCGCCAACGGGCGTGCACGCCCGTGATGGCGTGGGCGTGGCGTGGGCGGGCGTGGGACACTGTCGGCGCCTTACTGTCGGCAACAAGTAAGCTATTACCATAGCTCGATGTCCGTTTGAAAGCACTCCATCATCTGAATGCGCCTGTCGACTGTAATTTCCAGCGATCAAAGATCTTTGATCGTCGCCTTCCACGATGCCAAGCTGTCTTGGCAAGCCACTCGACCTCTACGCAGGCTCCTTGCAAGCTCTAAGGCTTGTGCCAGCTGTGCGTGTGGACGGCAGGATTGCAGGCTCGCGAGCGCGCTGAGTCGGCGCAGGCCGGGGCAAGCCCGGGGCCTGGAACCCGGGCACAGCGTCGACACACCCATGACCGCCCCTGCGCCAGACCGGACCCACCGTAGCCTGCTCTCCTGAGCTGGCGCTCGTCGCCGTCGTCTGCTGCGCCGTTGGCGTGCCAGTGGAGCTATTGTCCGCTCCGACTCGGAGTCGGTCAGTGGCGGGTCTGGCACAGTCCGGCCGGCCTATGTCGGTGCCCCAGCGGAGCCGTACGAAGCCCTTTAAAAGCCTTCAGACAAGTCAGAGGACTGACTATATCAAGGCCCACGCCCGTTTGTCCGGCGTGCCAAGCAGGACAAACGGGCGTGCCAAGCCGACCAATGGGCGTGGCACGCCTGATGGACGGGCGTGGGCTTTGATCGCCCGCCAAAACCCACGCCCACGCCCATCCACGCCCGTTGGCGCAGGCCCACGCCCATCGGGCACGCCCGAAAGTGAACTCTCTGCACGGCCACACCCGTCTCGACTGCGAGCGCGTGCGCAAAGTGCATCTGGCGGAAGCGCACGTCCGCCCACACAATCCACACTGCTTTCGCCTCCTTATCCTCACCAGTCGCCGGGCGGACGGACACCGCGAGGCCAGTGACACCGGCCGCGCGCGCTGCAGTGATGATGGCGGGGGCGTTCCGGGCAGCGTAGGCCGCAAGGAGGGACGGCGAGATGAGCACGGCGGCACTCGGCGAGAGGGGCGTGGCGGTCGTCGTAGCGAGCGGCCCGGGTTTCGCGGGCTTAAGCGTGAGCGGCCCGTTGCCGAAGATGAACTCCTCTGGCGGTTCGGGCTCTGGGTCCATAGGCAGAGATAATGGTCGTGGTTCAAAATCAAGGTCTTGCCCATCACGTGCACACTGACGTGACACTCAACAACTTGCGTCATGGTTTTGGTATCTATTTGCATGCAATTAAAATATAGTATTTGTCAAGTATTTGTTTCACTGAAATGTATATAAAACTGTGTAGAATTAGTTCACATTTTTACTGAGAAAGAAAATTAGATCACCTAATAAAAATTGCTTATCAACTTTGATTTTGTGATGATCTGTGACATTGTTTGATGGTTGTACTGTACAAAAGTTCCCTTTGTCACACTTGTCACACTGTAAGCCAGGCATCTAAACTAGCCTGAGTGACTGAGTCTCTCAAAGTTTATCATTCTTCCTCAGATAATAAATTTGTATTCTGGTTTCTGATTGATGCCTTAGTGATGTCACATACCAGTGTTAGATTTCAAGTCTAAGGTTACCTTGCAAGTCAGCCTTCACTTTATAGCACCTTTATCGGAGTATTTATCACAGTGTAGGGGTTTCAGAGCTATCCTCTCTAATTAGAATAACCAATGTGGGGTAATGATCATTCTAATTAGAGAGGATAAGTATGTGGAATCAGGGGTCGGCATAATTGATTGTTAAGTGCCATGCAAGAACCAAATGTAAGTAACAGAAAGCCCAAAGGGGAACCGAGTGGCTATCACAACACTATATTGGAGTGAGCGACTACACATCTTGCAGGCCGAGAGCAAGCCTGAACAAATACATGAACTCCAACAGATATGTTCAGAGAGGCCGAAGGTGATAAGGCTTAGAACATGGAGGGAGTCAAATGAGAGCAGGGAGCAAGGCAAGAAACATTAATAACAAAACTGAAGTACAGGAGTGTAGAGTACGAGTATTTATACTGAGTGGTAAGCATAAGGCATATAACCTTGCAGGGAGATCCAATGTGGTCCACAGGATCTCCCTGCGGGTTAAGTACAAAGGCATAGTAAGTAAGGGGAACGAGAAGACATATACGAGGCAAAGGAAACAAAGTAAATGCCTAAAGGATATAAGTAAACAAGCAAAATGTCAGACTGCGGGTCGGGCCGTGCAAGGACTTCTCCTAAGAACGTGCGCCCGGAACAGAACAGACGAATAGTCGGGCCCACAAGTACGGCGGGCGGGGTAGATCGAAACCGAAAGGGCCCGTGAACTCGGTCCCTTGTCGTAGTTGGTGGTCGAAGGTTCGAATCGGGTCGTGTCGGGCCCGATGAGTCGATAGCGTCTCCTCGCACGGAGTAAGGTAGTTCTTCAGACGATCTAAGCGATAGAGTACAGGGTACACTATCGTGCCTTATATACGCGGGCCCGCAAAGGGGGTGATCGGACACCCTGGCCCCTCCTCCTCCTCCTCGCTCCCGTTCCTGGCCGCAGAGGGGACGATCGTACATCCCTTGCGGGCCAGGCGCTACTCCTGACCTCCTAGCACTCCTCCCCAGTCCCCTTGTGTCGAGTTGGGCTCGGCGGACGGCTCGACGCTGTCGTTCTCGGTCACGTGCTTCCCACGTGTGCGTTCCTCCTACTGGGGCGCATGTTCCCCGTTGTCACGTGCTGCGTGTTGCGGGGCCCGCAATGGCCCGACACCAGCGCCCGGAGCGGACAGGCCAGGTCTTATCCGTGACATCACCCCCTCCCCTAGGAACGACTCATCTCGAGTCGGCGTGGCTCGGTCGCCCTGGTTTCTCGGGTTAATTTGACTCTAGCTCGTCCTTCCAATCGCAAATTCCATCCAGCCCATAAGCTTAAGCTAAGCTTCGGCTGCGCGTTTTTAATCTCCCGCGGCTTCTGTCGCCTCGTGGCGTCCGCAGATCGATTCTTCCTGTCCATCAAGTGTTTCACCGCGGTCACGTGCGGCGTATCGTAGGTGTTTTCCAATTCAGTTACGGCGTCCTTTGTTCATATTGCTTGCGAGTAGGCTGTGCTGCGCGCCTCGGTCGAAGTTCGATATAGAACACGTTCGTTCCCCCATATAAGCCGGGACTTCCCCTTCTAATTCTCTTCATGTCATCCCCCAACTTGTACCGCTCCGGGTTATTGCCCCCCCTAGGCCCTCAGATGGTTCCCCCGTCGTCGGAGCCTGGTCGTCTGTTCGTTCGTTTCGCCGCTATGTCTCTCATCGAGTTTCCTGCCTCCTGGCCCATCGCGCAAGGGCGAGACCCATCGTACCCGGAGTCGTTCGAGCGCCTCCGCCCGTTGGAGGACTTGCCTCTGTCTCAAGTTGCTGAGTATTCCTCCAAGCTGCTCCCTCGGTTGGCCCACGTAGTCCGTTCGCATCGAGCTCCCGCTCCCCCAGTCCCCCCTGCAGCGCCCCTGTTGCCGTCGTCTTCCCGTCGAATCTTGTGGCAAGGCGAGTTCGACCGCCTGATGAAAGCCGGTCTGTGGCAGCCCGTTGTCTTCGGGCCCCACCACCTTTACTTTGGCGTTTTGTTCGATGCGTTTCCCTCCTCCTTCATCTGGCGTTGCGAGGACGGCTCCCTTCAGGATATCCGCCCCTTGTTCGGACAACTGGGCCGTGGCCTCCTTGCCCATCTCCTCTCTGCCGACACTTCTTCCCCCAGTGATTCGTTCTTTCCCCGCTTGTGGCGTTGGGTGGTATGTTTCCTTCCTTGCTCGCTTCCGGCCGTGCGCTTACGGTCTTCGTCCAGCGCCTTATCCTGCATGCATTGTCTTGCGCCTCCTCGGCCGGCCTTCCCTCCTTCGTATCGGATCGATTCCTTATCCTAGCCCACGTGGCCGCCTTCCGCGTATTTCCCCAAGAGAACATGGCTCATCCCGATACGCTGGCCCGACTGCTGGGCCCTCTCCCTCCGTCCCTCGTCCCGCCGTTTCTTCACGCCGACCGGTGGTCCTCCTTCGTCCGGGTCGTCTCCTTGCAAGATCCTCGAGACGAGTTCGTGTTCTCGGGTGGCCCTTCGTTGGATGAGGCAGAAGCGGGCGTTTCCTTTAGCTTCCTCCCGTTGGCGACTTGGTTGGACGACCGATTCCCGAGCCCTGAGAGCGGTCCGGAAGATCCCGAGGCAGCGGCCTCGATAGTGAAGCGCGTTTTCCCTGCGCCTGTGGCTCGGGCGCGGTCCTCCCCTTCGATGGAGATCGACGTAGAGCATGACGGTGCCCCGCCTGTTTCGACCTTACTGTTCTTCCCCTCTGATCCGGAGTCAGATTCGGATGTGGAAGTGATCGCCGGCCCCCGTCGTTTGTCCTCGCTAGGGATCGACCCTTCGGAACACGAGTCGGCAGAGGATGAACTTGATCCTCCTTTCTCCCCGGCCTTGTCGCCCACCCCGTTGCACCGGGATTTCGGCACCCCCTTGGCCCCTCGTCTAGAATCCACTGGACAGTTGGCGCTTTTCCGAGGAGAGCCCCCTCGTCGACCGGGAACAGTGATCCGATCCCTTTCCCCTTGCTGCGAGTATTGCATCGCTCATGATCGTTTATGCACCGTGTGGGGGCGTCCCAGATAGTTCTCCTCAGAAACTCCCTGGTCCCGTGCGTCGGGCTTGTGACGTGTGCAGCCCGCTCCATCGTGCCTGTCTGCGTTGGCGGTCTTTTGCAGATGCGTACAAGGCTCGTTCCGCGGATTTGCGCGAGTTTTCCTTCGAATTTTGGGAGCGTCAAGTCGAGGATGGCGAGTTTGCGCTGCTGCGTCCCGATCCCCGCTTCGCCGATCTAGTCGGGCTGTCCGCCTCGGTTCCGTACCGATCCTTCTTGTTCTCCTATTTGCCCCGTTCAAACGAGGATCGGTTGCCCGACCCCGACGGTCGGGCCTTCTTCGGGCCGTCGTTGCCGCCCGGTCGTCCTTTCGCCAGGGTCTTCTCGGGACTCCTCCCCATCCCCTGTGCGAAAACGAGTTCGCACCCGCTCGCCGTCTCCCCCGCCATCGCCGGGTTGGTCCCGGCCGAGACCTCGCCCCAATTTCCGCCGGCCAACCCCCCCTGTCACGGATCGCTCGTCAGGAGAAGCGTCGTTCCAGCCGCACGCTCCTGCGGGGTGAGACCCGCCCCCCTCCTTATCCCACTATGGGTTTCCAGGTGTTATCATTCCCTCGAGTCTCCCTATGGTTCGGGAGAGAGTGGGACTTGGATCGGGCTATCGCCGAGTCTCGCCGGTTGCATGGGGATCTGTCGGTGCCCGCCGATCAACGCTTGTCGCCGTTGGGCATGCTGCTGTTGCAACAATCGGCGGTTCATTCGGCCGACGGGGATTTTCCCGGATGCTCGGACCCGTGCCCTCGGAGTTGTCGTCGATGCGTTCTCTAGACGCAGACCTCCGGTTGGTGAACTCGCTGGAGTCCCTGACCGCATCGCGGGACGTTGCCGACATGTGCCGCTATCTGGGCGCCATTCTCCTGGCTATCCACCGGTCTGAGGGCGAGAGGTCGGGATTCTGGGAAACGCCAGAGGGTTTAGAGCGTCGGGCCGCTGAACGAGAGGTGTATGCGGATGTGTGCCGTCGGGACGGCCTGAGCTTCGACATGATGGACCTGGATTAGGTTTAGGCGGATCGTTGGTCGTCCTTCGGTGACATCGGCCAGAGTTCCCCGTCTACTCGGGTCTCGGCGTTCGGGTATCCCCGTCCTTTCGTTTGCTGCCGTCGTTCGCGCGCCTTGTCAAGTCGGCCCCCTCCCGTAGGACTTCCCCGTTGTGGTTCGGACTATATCTTGTTTCTTTTTTGTTCGTGTTTTTTGTATTTTTTTGCAATCAACCAATCGTCTTGTGCTCCTTCGTCGTGTGGTGGGTAAAAACAGGAGATTTTATTATTAGGGGCACGGAGGCCCCGCCAAAGGTTAAAATAGAGCAGATTATGAGAGGAATAAGGATGGCCCCCAGGGCCTTCGTACGGAGGGAGGTGTGCCCTATTTCATCAGGCAGAGTGTGCCGGTGGCCCGGGGTGGTCCGAGACGATTCGGATCGGGGGTCCGGCCGTACGCGGGGAGGGGCGGTGAGTTGTTGAGGCGTCGGGCGCTTTGCGGCGGGCCCGGCACCCTGGGCCGGGCAGGCGTGTTCCATGTGCCGATGGTGTTCGTCCAGGGAGACCTGCCTAGGGGTGCCCCACTTCAGAGCGGGCTCCTTTCTCCCGTAGAGGACGTGGTTGAAGACCACGGGTTGGGCTTCGAGGGTGCGTCCGTATAGGTAGGCAAGGGAGGCGATGACGATAGCCACTATCGTAGCCCACGCCAGGAGTGCGATGACGGTGGTAGTGTCCATTCTGTTGCGGGTGTAGGGGGATCGCTTAGATTCTGTCAGACTGCGGGTTGGGCCGTGCAAGGACTTCTCCTAAGAACGTGCGCCCGGAACAGAACAGACGAATAGTCGGGCCCGCAAGTACGGCGGGCGGGGTAGATCGAAACCGAAAGGGCCCGTGAACTCGGTCCCTTGTCGTAGTCGGTGGTCGAAGGTTCGAATCGGGTCGTGTCGGGCCCGATGAGTCGATAGCGTCTCCTCGCACGGAGTAAGGTAGTTCTTCAGACGATCTAAGCGATAGAGTACAGGGTACACTATCGCGCCTTATATAACGCGGGCCCGCAAAGGGGGTGATCGGACACCCTGGCCCCTCCTCCTCCTCCTCGCTCCCGTTCCTGGCCGCAGAGGGGACGATCGTACATCCCTTGCGGGCCAGGCGCTACTCCTGACCTCCTAGCACTCCTCCCCAGTCCCCTTGTGTCGAGTTGGGCTCGGCGACGGCTCGACGCGTCGTTCTCGGTCACGTGCTTCCCACGTGTGCGTTCCTCCTACTGGGGCGCATGTTCCCCGTCGTCACGTGCTGCGTGTTGCGGGCCCGCAATGGCCCGACACCAGCGCCGGAGCGGACGGGCCGGGTCTTATCCGTGACACAAAAGTCCAAATGGGTAAAGATCCATGTTGATGGTTGGAGAGTCTGAACTTGTGCGAGGGAGTCCATGTGCAGATTAACTGTTTAAAGGGAAACATTCATACCTTCATTGCGTAAAAATCCCGTTGTGCTCTAAGGATAACCTCAAAGTATCCAAAGGTGTAGGGATGCCAGCCATTGCCGTAACGGCAGCGGCCGTCGATATGACGGGTGAGCTACGGCCACGGCCTGTCCGCTCCGGCGCTGGTGTCGGACCACCGCGGGCCCGTAACACACAGCAGGTGACAATGGGGAACATGCGCCCTAGTAGGAGGAACGCACATGTGGGAAGCATGTGACCGAGAACGACGCGTTGAGCCGTTGCCAAGCCCAACTCGACACCAGGGAACTGGGGAGGAGTGCTAGGAGTTTAGGAACCTGGCCCACAATAGATGTACAATCGTCCCCTCTGCAGCCAGGAACAGGAGCAGGGAGGAGCAGGGGAGGCCAGGGTGTCCGATCACCCCTTTGCGGGCCCGCATATATAATGCGCAATAGCGTACCATGTACTCTATCGCTTAGATCGTCTGAAGAACTACCTTACTCCGTGCAAGGAGGTGCCATCGACTCATCGGGCCTGACATAACCCGATTCGAACCTTCAACCACTGACAGCGACAAGAGGCCGAGTTAACGGGCCCTTTCGGTTTCGATCTACCCCGCTCGCCGTACTTGCGGGCCCGACGATCTGTCTGTTCTGTTCCGGGCGCACGTTGTTAGGAGAGGTCCTTGCATGGCCCGACCCACAGTCTGACACGGCCGTTGAATCCACGGCTGTCGGGGGACATTCCGAAGGTGCTGACGGTACAGGACGGTCAATAGGACGGCCCGTTACGGCCACCCGACGGTCAACGGGTTATTCTGGGAAGATTTGATCCTTCTTGGCCCATATTGTGTGCTAAAATTTGCTGTATCCACGTGAACCTATCAATCATCACTGGAAACCATCAAATAGTGCAGAGGTGGAGATGATTCACCGCAGATCTCATGCGCACAAGCCAAGTCACCTTATTTTGTCATCGGGATCTGGGTCGTTTGGACGGGATTATGCAAGGATTACGCGGAATGCTAGGCCATATTGCCACGACTTTGGCGGAATTGTCCTGGCGAGCCCAAATATAGCTCAAATACCTCCCAAATCAATGGGAACCACGTGTTCAGTGGCTCATCAGCCGTCGACCCGTAGTGACGGCCGTGAGGGCCGTAATTTGATGGTTGTTACAGGTGTGAGCCGTCCCGTAACCGTCCCCGTCGAAGGGATCTGGGAAGTAGCCAACGGGACGGCAACAGCCACCTGTTGATGGGTGCCGTTGACCCGTGGCTATGGCCACGGGCGGCATCCCTACGAAGATACATGGGATATAACCATAATATATTATGGAATATTATAAGATAATGTTTCACATTATTATTATTATGTATTTGATATAATAATATCATAATAGGCCAACACTATAAATTAAAAGTGGTCATTGTACCAGTTAAGTGATTCAGGGGTATCTGGCCTTCCTCACAATATCTTCCACCACTTGAGGCATATCAGGAGGTACGTAGTAAGTATACAAGATATTTAAGTATTTGGTGTCTGTAAACCAGGCCATATCTCCCTTGTGTACGTCAGGATCCACTTAACGAAATATATAAGTATCTCAACAACAGATAAATGTTTTAATATGGAACTTATTCCTGGATCATTCTGATTGATTGCACACATTTTTCCTCTTTTTAGCGGGAAGAGTTGGGGTGTCGGGGAATGCGCGCATCATGTTTGAGCCTGAGGGCGATGATGTTGCCATTGCATAGATATTTATTATTAACTAATCCTATCTGAAAGCATTTTATTTTACTCAATTTGGTGGAGAAATGGGCTAGCCCGGCCCAACCCCAGGTGTGTAATATATACATAATATATAAAACTTATACTTCATTTGTTCGATTATATTCGGCCGCTGCTTGACCTCAAGCTACTGGTGTTTCAACAGTGATCCCCCAAACTTCCGCCACCACTTTCTTGATCTCCTCTGGCTTTCGACCCCATTTGTTGAGTTTTTCCCTGTATTCTTGTCAAGAAAACACCTACAAGGAACATAAACATACCGAGCGCTAGCAACCTGAACAGTCATCTCAATTCCAAGTTTCTTGCCCTCTTCAATTTTCAACGCTGGCGCACGGGTACATAGTGCGATGAAAGCGTCACCGGCCCACTTCCTGTCGATAGTATACATCTGCTGCAATGCGATTTTCTCCACAGGGTCGAGCGAAAGCTTTCCCAGTTCCCGGATCGCCAAGTCCCTGACGTCCGACAGCGAATACTTCGTGGCTAATGCGAGAATGGCGGTCCAGTCGGCAGAGGTCGAAGCAAGGCATTGGCCCAGGACACTGTCAAGTACTATGAGGCTGTTGGAACGGGGGAAGTCGATAATGACACACGGTGGATAGAGGATCCACAATAGTCGCTCGAAATCGGCAGTCGAAACATCCTCTAGGACAAGCGGGTTCTCATCGGATGTAGGTTTTTTGGCGGTAGGCAGAGGAAAAGCAGTGGCGTGGCGGCGGATTGTACCATCCCAAACCCGGAAAAGGGTATCACCTGCTTGGAGAACCAGGTTTCCGTCCTCGTAGTAGTATTTCTCGTGCTTTTTTGTTGCTGGCGGAGCAGACGATGGCATCGAGTGGTAGGCTGGGGGTGCAGACAACGTGGGCATTGCCTGGGGGTCTTTGGCATAGTCCTCGCGAGATTTGGTGAGTAGCTTGCTCCATTGATAGGGCATCCCCTTCATTTACCGTTGAGAGAGACCGTGACACCATGAAACCGAGAACCAAACTTACAGTAAACGCGCCACTGACTGGATCAAAACCAACATGGACTTTGTGGACAATGTTGTATGGGTTGCTGAATCCCAGAAGCGGGGAGCGGGAGTGGATATCGTCTTGCCAGCCTATATGTAGAGTGAATACTAGTATCAATTGTGTCAAGAGGCCAGACATCTCACCATACAGCTCTTCGTCACTCTTGAGCGAAAAGTGGTACCGTTTCCTGTCCTGTGTCTCCATGAGTAGGCAGTATGGCTTGAGGTCGGTTCGGTCGATGCTTGTGATGTCGCGGAGGAGGATGACGATTTGTTGGGGAGCGGTCTGTGAAACCGGGTATTAGCAAGCAAGTGACGAGCGCGACAGTAGTAAGAAGAACACACCTCACCGGCAGATTTATGGAGGGTAAGGGTCATGTCCTTGAGAATGAGCCATTTGACCTTCCATACCCAACTGGTCAGCGTGCCCTCTTCTTTGACGCTGACTGAGCCTTGCCGAACAACAGCGCCCGCTACGCTGCTCGACAAAGATGGAGATTCGCCGATGCCTGAGTAAGAGGTTGAGTAAGACGAACCCAAAGCTAAGTTGGGATTGAAAGTGAAGGCCCCCCGGCGGGCACGCCGGGCAGTCGAACCCGTATATGACATTTATGGATGGGAGTGACGACGACGACCTCAGGCTAACACAGAGCGAAGACCAAGATGATGGTAATCCAAGGAGGGATCGGGTAGTTAGGGGAGGTAGTCAGGATATAAAAGGCTATGCAGTCTTGGTGCCATGATGCAGTCACACTTGCAATTGTAGCCTAGCACTGGCACTTGACAAGTTCTTTCACAACACAAGTTCATCGCATTCTTCGACCTTGCACTTTTTTGAACTATAAACTACTTATTACACTTACCTTAGACCTCAGACCTCAATCTAGGAAAGGGTGTGTCCAGGAAACTAGCTGGATGGAATAGACCCAACTTGAATAATCTCCAACTTGACTTAGACTGATACTTGATCCCAAGGATGGACTTCTGCTACTGTACCGTATTACAAACAAACAAACAAACTGCCACTAGGTAAGACCATGCAGATAGAACCTTGGCAGTGAATATTTAAATTATTCATTACATGCACTTAACATGTCTTAAGCCTATGTATACACCAAGTGATCTACGTCATCGTGAATACACCAAATTTAAAAGAAGCCGAGACAAAAAAGAGGAAAAGGCGACCCGACTATTGTCAAGCCGTCCCAGTAACACAAGTCCACACATTGTCCCTGCCCACGCGATCCTGCAGCCATCTGACGACATCGTCCCCAAGGCCCGCGCAATCCTCCATCTCGAGCCGCTCGAGCCTCTGGACCGCGCTGGCACCCCCGCCCCAGCTGCCCACTGGCGGACCCGGCGGATTCCGCGCATCAATGACCTTCACAAGACGCATCACACCGTCCATGCCGGCGCCAAATCCGCCATAACTCGAGCTGGGACTGCTACCTCCGTTTGCGCTGGTCCCGATGCCCAGGCTGCCCGCGCTGGAGGCTGCGGCAAACCCCAAGCCGTGGTTGACTCCTAGCACAACAGGAGGCCCGTTGTGATGGCCATACGGCGACACGTAATGCGGGTGATGCAAATGTGGCGAGTGCAGTGGTGTCGAAGAAGTCTGCGTGTGATGCCCCGCACATCCGCGAAGGTAGAGCCCACGCAGCTTTGGACAAAGCCATCCCGGCGCGTTCATACCATTGATACCATTGAAGGTGTTGATCAACGGTGGGAGGGTAGGCAGACTGGGCGGTGGGGGCAGGGCAGGCAAAATCGTGACAGATCCGGGTTGCGCTGCTGTTGTTGTTGTCGCAGTTGTCGCATTCGCGGCGGGATTCGGAACAACATTGATACCAATGCCCACCATTTGAGTTCCTGGTTGGACCAGCGTAATTGGTGGCAGCGTCAGTCCACCAGCGAGTGGCACCGTCATAGGTATCAGATTCCCAGCAGGACTGACCACGAACGACGGGTTTATCGGTGGTGGAGGTGGTGGCCACCCAGTTCCTATACCCAGCCCACCAAACATTCCCCCGCCAGCACCACCCCAGAATGGGTTGGGCCCGCCCCCACCTCCGTCATCCGGACTCGCTAGCGCATTGAGTAAGCCATCTATAGCACCACCTCCGACCTTGAGGATCTCAATATTAGCACCAACATCGCTGAGGAAGTTCCATGCAATCAAGGCCGAGCCACTGTGGGCGGACGGGGGCGAGGAAACTGCAAGAGAGTGCTGGACCGAAGACGGGGTGTTTTTGTTGCCGGAAGGTTTTCCGGAAGTGTATAACCCCGATCGCGTTTGACCCATTTGTTCTCGCAACATAGAACCACCAGCTCCATACCCGATGCTAAGCACCTTGAGGGTACATCCTACACTCCTCGCCACAAGACCTACGATCGTGTCCTCGATCGGATCCCTTGCAATATCCACGTCTACCTCCAGGCTCGTCAGGGACGGTGTCACCAGCGTGTCAATTAAGCCTGTGAGCAGATGATACCCGCCGAAATACAACTCTTCGAGGGATGAAAGCGTCAGTTGGTTGGCCGGGTTTAGTCCGCTCAAATGGTTGTGGTTGTGATGATGATGATTGTTGTGAACGAGGGGAGCACCTGGCAACGGCAATACTGCTGGTGCAAGAGCCGCGAAATGCAATCGGAGAATGATGAGGGAAGACCGATTTGCCTTGAGGATGGCCATAAGCTGATCAAGAGGTATAGTCGCTCCTGGAAGGGCTCGCAGTGATAATGTATGGAGATGACTGGCAGGATGAACAAAGAGCGATGATGTGGGGCGGAAAGGCGTGTATTGTAATGCGAGTGACTCGAGAGACGGGAATGATACTGGGGAATTTGGCAGTGCTGTGGGTGACCATGACCAGTCTGCCGAAAAGTAGCCCGGCGTTGCGCAAGATACCTCGAATTCCTTCAGGAATGGAGCGCTGCCTGTGGGAGAAATTAGACGCGATAATGCGGAAATAGGTAATAGAACACACCCGAGATAGACCTGAGAGAACCCAACGAGGCAAATCCCTTCTCGAAACGAAATATGAAACGTTCCCAGCGATGCATCTGGTTAATGAGATAGAAAATGGCGACATGCCCCCAATGAGCCTCTGTTGGAGAAACTGACGGACGAGGAGAAGGAGCGTCCCATGACGGATGCTGTGGAATAACAGGAGGGACTGCATGGGGAGTGAAATGAGGGGATTCTTGGACGCCAGAGACTGGCTGCGCAAGAGGTGGTGGGGGGTATGAAATGGGAAAGTCGTGTCTACGACGACCACGATATTGGTTTGTAGGAGGGGGAGGTGGTGCTGTTTCACCCGAAGCATGCACTACTCGGAGGTAGACCTCAATATCCAGCGGTGCTGTCGGACCTGACCGCTCAAGCCACAGCCGCAAGGTCTCGGGAGATGCGCTCTGGTTGGTTACCAGTCGAATCTACATATAATCAGAGTCAAATAACGGGCCGAAGATGGCTGTAGTAGAATTGACCTTCGTCCACAACCGCGGGATAGCAAGCGCCTGTCGTCTCCACGCTGCGCAAACAGCCGCCAGAACCCAGCCTACACACGGATGGTCCTCAAAACACCACGCAAATAGCTCATTGAGAACGTCGCCAGGGAGGCGTCGGATAGGTGCAAGATAGGCCTGCGCCACGCGGTTAGCACGTTGTTTTGTCTCAGGAAGGACAATATGCGTACCTTCATGTTGATTATTCCCTCTTGCACAGCAGTCTCCTCCCGAGCCAGCTCGTTAATGACCGCCTGTGCATCCGCGACCATCTTGGTCAACCTCGCTTCCGCCAGGGCCTTGCGTTGAGCGAGAGTTTCAGCAGTTTTGATACCTTCGGACAGGCTGGCCCGCGCCGAAGCCAGGCTTGTTGCCGAGGGTGGCCAAGGGTCATTGAAAGACGGTGGGAACATGGCAACGGAAGAGTGGGATGGTGGAAGGAGGAGAAAAGAGAGGATGGGACACACAATGTAAAATGTCACGGTGATCCCGGACATAGCGGTCCGTGGGGTCGGGCAGCGGGAATGGCGATTCGAGTTCGATTACAGACTGGAATGAATCTCTACATCTATCTTGAACTATCTACTCTGCGGGGCGCCAACATACCCTTTCCCGACCCATCATCTATTGCTGCTTGCAGTCTCGTCTCTTTGTGTGGCGCACCAACCTGGCCATCGCGGCCTCTATAACTTCCCCGAAACCTAGCGGCTTCGCCCTCTCATTCAAGTTCCTTGTGCCTTCTCCGTGTGAGAACACAACACAATAAAAGAATTTTGCCAGCAAGACTTGTCAAATGCCCACAATAGAAGACACGCCCAGCGTCTGCTGTCAAAATGCCCGCCCGTGTTATCCCTAGTACCGCCATAGATACTTCTGCATCAGTTTGACTCCAATAGCGCCGGCTTGTGTGGATCCGGTATAGTCGGAAAAGCTTGCAAGATGGGCTATGGCTCAATGGCTGGTGTGAAGCTAAAGTAATCCCTCCACGCCCTTTATTGACAAGTTCTTGGCTTTAACCGCTTTATGATTCGACGCTCTCGTCGTCGTGGTTATCTTGCACTAGGTTGCGATGACGGATGTGATATCCTACATGCCCATTTGCGAGAGTTAAACATTTCGCAGACCGCTGCTTCTGCATCAAGATGTGAGGCCAACAGTTAGACTTGAATGGAATCCGAATGGTGCTTGCATGAATGGCTTGATAAAGACGTGTCAGCCTAGAAGTCATATAAGGTGCCGCATTGTAAGCATTGAGAACAAAAGTAGAGTGAGAGTTCTGAGTGAGCCGAACTTCTAGGACGAGATTGAAGAGCACTCGCTATCACGTGTCAATCACCTTTTGATGTTGACCTCCGTGCCAGTGACCATGACCAGTTCGGGATTGCTGAGAGTGTTCAGAAGCTCGCAATGCAGGACCATGTAATGTCTTGCCAACCCTGTGCGAGTGGGGATATATGACTCCTCAAGCGGGAAAGCGGCTGGCCAGGTGTGTCCTAACCACTTATGTATTCTTCTGACTACTAACTAGAAGGATATGCACATAGTATCGATTGCCTTGCCGCTCCTCTACTTTTTCCTTCCTCCCTTAGCCTTCTATAAGCAACAAGATAAATTCTCAGCTTCGAACTCGCCTACGAGTATTTCGCCTACATACCACGGTCAATCTTGCTGCAAATGCGTCATGTAGCGCCTCCATATTGGATATATTCCGTAGAGGCGAACCAAGGACTTTTTGGCTTCTTCCAGAGTCGACTGATGGCGAGGCTGTTGACTTCAAGTTCATCATCGAATGTCTACTCTGCATTCGCTGTTAGACCACGAGCTCATCGCAGAGCCACAGAATGTACCGAATGTACCATCGGTATGTTTTGGCTGCTCTTCGCGCTTCGACACGCAATCACACCCCTCTAGAAGCAGGTTTATTGAGGACAATATTCAAGAATGGCCACCACACACTCACCACATAACGACGAGCTGCTTCCGCCACCATTTCCGGATTGGATTCCATCTCCTTCTTAAACGCATCTCTTCTGGCTTTGCCTTCCCTCAACACATTGGGCACCGTGGGGTCCGGGAATCTCGTCCCGTGGGGCAGCGCACTAGACGCATACTTCTTCGTCAACGTCTCTCCAGGATATAATCGGATGGGCCCGTGTTCTTGTGTTAATAAAAACTGATGTCTGGCTTCTGCGTTCTGGTATCGACCATCTTGTAACCCGGACTGGAGTGCACATGTGATACAGTGTCGAAATGAGCTGCTGGGATCGTCTCTTGGTGGACCTCGACAACATTCCTTCGCAATTCGGGACTAACTTGTGTTATTGGTTTCCCTTTGAATGTGGCCAACGGGAGCAGATACACAAGTCTATTCCCCTCGACGTCTTCGATGACCCGGCTGATAATGCACGGCCGCCAGGCCGTACCCTCTTGGTGGCCTTGCGTGCTCCAGTCGCGGCAAACAGACTCGAGGAACGAGCGGGTGTCGCTGCACAAGCCGGTTTGGCCTGTTGTTAGGCTCAGAAAGCTTTTCAGAGGGCCATGCTGGAGTAGCAATCGTTGGGGCAAGACGATGGTGTCTCCCACTGGCACATTCAAATCGCTTTCGGCTTTCTTCAGATCTCCGTTTAACGGTCGGGAAGTTGCGCGTCCAAGTTCAGGCCAGCAGACGGAGCTGAGGCAAGGTTCGACATAGGCATTGGACATCGAGAGCTAAAAATGAGGTACAGTGAGGAAACCAATTATCTCTGTACATGTATCCCACTCATAAAATCAATAGGACATTATGATCAAAGCGCTGATGACAGGCGAGCTTTGTTGTCGTTCATTGTTTAGGTATAAATATATATGAAGGCCCCTGGCAGGGACAAGGCTATAGCTAACAAAGAACCGTTTCCCTCATGTCGACCACCAACACCAGCACCACTGCTCCTATTTTTGTTCCTCAAGATGGTGCATTTGCAATCCTGAGGATCGACCCCATTGCTTCCCTGGCCCATCTCAATGACCCGGAAGCTCTCAAAGCTGCAGAGTCAATGGAATTTCACGACTATGTAGTGTTCGTCCCTGGTGTACGTGTAATATTTTTGGTTTTTTGCAGATATTCGCTTACACTGTGCTTTCAGACAAGGGAAATGCGCCACCCAATGATCTCTTTCCGGGCAGAGGTCGTGGAATTTCTCGTTCAAGGATTGCCACCCGATGTTCCCTCTCTCTGTATCGACTCAGCGATGTCCATTCCTATCTTTCCCACTTCCCACTCTCAACATCCAGGTTCTCGGGAGCCTCTTCGAACACTGAAACCCCTTCCCTGGGGCGACTGCTATCTCTCACCTTTCCTTCGTGAGACGGTGCGCTGCCCGACTGTTATAACAACCGATCCTCTTTGTTGCTCTATGGTTGACGAAGATATATCTCGCCATGATGACATGATTGATCTGGACCGTCTCAGACAGTCCGTTCTGTTTTCTCGCAGTCTTGTCGAAAGCAGTGGGTTGGATGCTGTTGACAACAGTGACGAAGGAATCGCCTTCAATGAGGAGCAAGAAGCCTCTGAGGGTCTCGATGAATCGCCTATGAACACGACGTTCTCTTACATTGCCGATGATGTTGATGCTCAGTCACGGTCGACGACGAATGACGAACTCGAGGATCTGGATGAAGATGAAGACCTCTATCTGTGCGGATTAATCTTTCCGAAGGAGGCCCCCAGTGACATGCTCACCGTCAACATAACGCACGATCTTTCTCGTGTTGGCGAACTGCGAAATCCTCAGTCGTTTTATGACGAACGAGCACAGATTCGAAGGTGATTTCGTCCCAATCCGTTCCAATACCGTCCTAACCTTGATCCTTCGATGTAGGATTGCGGCCGAATCGATGGACCGCCTGCGTCAAGCAGTCGAGCAAGAATCAGAAGAGCTTTATGCTACAAAAACAGGTGAATTGGCTTGTGAATATTCACCGTTTACTAGCATGTCCTTATCATTCTTCAGCTGTCCTTCTCGCGGCTCGGAAGCACGAACGTCTTGTGCTATCCAATGATCCAGAGTCTTCACCCAACAATACCAGCTCCATCTTATCGGACGGCATTCAAATAACCTCTGCCACGACACAGTCAAAACTTGAGGTCATGATGCAATGGATCCGTTCATATTTATCTTGACCGTATGTTAACTACCGTCATAATGTAGTATACATATCCCGGCATACTACTGTGTAGGAAACGAAATTACTAGGAATTTGAGGTCACGCCACCGCGAGAACTTTCCTTTCCATCTTACCACCCAATTACCACCTGCCACTTGCTTTAAAAATGCTGTTCCCGGTACCTGGAACTAAGCACATTCAATACAGTTCAAGACTGCGGGCTCCTCCCGTGGGAGCTCAAGCTTAAGCGCTCAAGCGCCACTATAACACTTCGCAAGACGATATGCTCCGTGCTGGACGTGAGTGCTCACAATCCTCCACCTCCATCTAAACATCGACAATTTTAGAGTGCTCAACAGCCTCAACTGCCCCCCCTCCCCCCCAGTAACTAGCGGCCGCAGTCTCCGTCATTCATGTCGCACACCCACCCCCCATCTTACGCAGAGAATGGCGTTGAGGACCTCGAACTACCAGCCTACGAAGGGTTGGAGGCAGGTCCCCCCAGACTTGGCTCTGAGCCGCGCGTATTTTCGTATCAACTCAAGAATAATGACGGCTGGTGGGCGAAGTTGGATGTCACCGGAGACGGACGAATCTCGAACGCAATCACCCCCTCCATTCTCCAGGGCACCAGCGTTACAGGCTCCGTACAACTCGCTCTCCGCAAAACCGAGCCAATTCAGGCCATTCGTGTAGCCGTTCGGGGCGAAATTCTGGGTGGAATCCCAGGAGAAGGGGCCTCGGACCTCGCTGTTGTGTTTCTGGATGTGAAGAAGACGTTGTGGACATCATTTGAAGGAGACGCAAATGCACCATCAACGAAACCGTTCAACTCCGGCCTCAAACTGAACGGGGACTACCAGTGGCCGTTCTCAATTGCGCTGCCGAAGGAGATCGTGAAGAAGGGAAAGACATACCCTCTTCCTCACTCGTTTGGCACGGGAAAGGGCTTTTTCACTTTGCAATATGTGGTGGAAATGCACATTGTACGCCCTAAATTCCGGTTTGGGAGAGACGAGAAGTAAGAGTTGACTCGTCAATCGCTCACTGTAAAGCTGACAAGTTTACCTAGATTACCAGTGATATTCAAGTATTTTGTGCTTAGCCAGCCACCAGTACCGTCACCATTGCGTGCGGTTTGGATTCCTTTTGTTATTTGGGCTCTTTTTTCATGATTTTTTTCAATAGATTGCTTACCAGGAGGGTAGTCCTCTCGGAGGACCGGAGGTTGATCCAGAAGGTTGGGATACGAAGACTTTTGCTGTCAGCGGGAACGTGTTTAGCTCCCGCAAAGTCGGGGACATCATAGTAAAGGCTCGTCTTTTCCTCCTTTTTATGGGTGAACTAAATGTGAAGTAGTTTTCCCTCGCAAAGCCCGTAGGTCCGAATAAACCCGAAAATCATTCTGAAATTTCTACAGCTCTCCTATACACGCTCTTCCTCTATTCCGTGCGCTCTTACAATCGAGAGTCCCGACACGGAAGTTGTCGACTTGCTCTCTCAACCTGATGCGCCAATGGTGTATTTGGAGCGCACTACCCAGCAAAACGCTCAGAATTACCACCGAACATTGGAACCATGCATGAAGGCGACATTTTGGACGCCACCAGGTAGCGTGCGAGGACGCCTCATGGGGGAGATCCACCTGAAGCCGGACTTGCATCCGACAACGGATTTCAGCGAATACGGACTGGCCATACAGGTGCAAACTCCTTCCCGCCCCACTCTCCCTGACAAGTAAATGACATTACCCATAGTACACAGTTGTCCTTTTCCCCTTCCAAGCTGCGGGATTTAACCAAGCGGGGAAAGGAGCTTTTGAGCCTATTAAGAATAGCCGTCAGGCGGTCGAAATTTGCACGCAGTTTGCGCCAGGCCCGCGACCTAGAACGTATAGTGTCGTCCCGGCGCCAGGCAAGGCTCGAAATAGCCTAGTCGACACATATTATCGACTTACAGCAGTTACCTCGCTGTCACTAGGGGGCATGTAATTATATAGTCGCATAGGCAATGGCTTTTCTGAATCAGGCGGACGAAGTTTGGCTCGAGGTTGGCTTGAGGTCAGAGATACATGCTGTCAATCGCGATAAGCCTTTCTTCTCTTCCCTTCACCATGTCCCGCGAGCTCCACACCCATCTTTCCCTTCTTCCCGGCCCGTGCATCAGCTCAGAATACTTCGGGCGCCAAATAGCTCTCCCGCGTTAGGGTGCTATCCGCGAGAAACCGCCACTCAACAAAGTCCATTCTACACGACATTCAGCACCAACCAAGCCGGGATTCTGGAAGAGCCGGTTGGACTAGTGGGCGGCACAGATTAAGCCTCCGCCGGCAAGTTCTTCGTGTGGGAGTGGGCGTCAACAAATCCCACCAACGAGAGAAGCCGTTCCCAGTCCGGTTTATAAGAGAAGACGGGATTCCTTCTGTGGATGCTGGCTGTCTTTCCTTGCTGCCGGACGACATAGGATTCAGATGCCTTGGGAGGCCACAACTCATGAGAGAGCCGACGAGGCGGGAGAAGTGTACGTGGGCCTTACAAGCAGACGAGCAGCGACTGATCGGGCTCCATAGGTTCATGATGAACTACATGCGTCTCATTGGCGTTGGTGAGTTTCCACCACTGTGTGTATTGGTTTCTTAGCCGTCTTTTCGCAGCCATCCTCTACTGGGACCACATCGTTACCTTTGGTGTGTGCTTCGGTATCTCCGCGAGCACTCATTTACCTTTCGTCGTCTCTCAGATAAGGAAGTCACCCTCATATGGCGGAGACGCAAGTCGTTGAGCTCATATTGCTTCTTTGTCAACCGATACTTCGCCTTCTTCACTCTCATACCAAGCGCGTCAGTTCCATTCGTGACTCTTTCTCGAACGGTGCGTCTTCAGCCGTCTTGCAACTTGAAAACCGACTATCTCTCTCAGGCTTGCGCCGAATTTTGCACATTTCGAGAACTTGTACTGCTCATGACGCAAACCATTGTGGCAGCCATAATGATCATTCGCTTATATGCACTATTTCGCCGCGACAAGCGTATACTCTATGGCTTGGTCGTCTTTGTTGGAGTGCTAGTCAGCCTCGTCATCTGGTCGATACAGGGTCAACATGGATGGTACCCGAAAGTGATTGGTGGTTGTCATTGGACTATGTCCGCCCATACGTATGTCTCGAAAGAAACTTCGGCTCCTTCAGCTGATTATCATCGATAGTGCTTTGCGTTCGTCTATTCTTGTCCAAGTCGTTTGATGTCTGAATCGCTGATCAGACCTTGCTGGTCCCTGGGAGGGACTTTTTGCATTTGACACAGTCGTCTTCTTGATGACTGTCTATAGTGCATATTCAACCAGGAAGAGAACAGGCCCTACAGTGAGTCTGCAAACGCTGTTCGTGCGAGATGGTGCCATGTACTTCGGGTGTGTCCCAATCCTCTTTTTTTTCGATGGATGTCTGACAGTATGCATAGAATTGTGGCGCTCGTTAATCTTCTCAACATCTTGACTTACTACGTGCGTGATATTGTCTTCATCGCAGACTTGTGAGAGCTGACATCGACGAGCAGCTGGACAATCATGTATGTGCTTGTGGCGGGCGAGCATCAAAAACCCTGAGATCGCTAAACAGCTGCTCTGTCCTGGTTCACTTGCAACCATCGCAATTTAGTGGGTGAATTTCCATCCCGTTCATCTTGTCTCATGGTCATCTTTCCTGCCAGTGTCTCCGTAACCGCCATTTCACGTCTTCTCCTCAATCTCCACTCCTACGCTGCAGATGCTGGAATTCTCACTAACCACGAGCCAGAGTTAACTCGGCAGCCCCTACATGAAGACCCCGCACCATATAAAGCCGATCACCCTGGCGGATTCGGTGGCCGAATTCTAGAGCTTGGGTTGCACACTATGACCCCCACGTCGAGGACGTCTACGGGTCCTATCGTTCTCTCGATATGACCTAGTCCTGGTGCTAGTCGGGCCCAAAAGTATCCGCCATCTTTGGATAACAACTTTACACAACGGAGGCTCAGAGTGGTGATATTTCTTCCATCAGTCATTGTATTCCTATGCACACGCAGCATCGACATGTACCTTTATTCGCCAAGCTGTTTCACTCTCGTTGTGTTGCATTCTGCTCGTCCTCTTTTCCTATGGCTACTGCCCTCCGGCCGCCGCAGCTACTGTTGCTGACTGCGATTTCCATATCGGGCAGTGATGAATGTTACAAATGCGATGCCTCGTTAGCTCGCATTCCACGATTGTCCATCGAGGTGTTGAAGTCACTGCCAGTACAATTCGGGTATTCCGAGGATCTATGTCGTCGGACTCGTCATTCGCTTTCCTGCCCATGATCACGCGGTAAGGCACTACCACTTGTCGCTGCAGAGACTGTCAGAGGTCGACGTAAAATGTCGACTCATTATGCGCGATTTGGGAATAAGGCAGGGGTATGTGCCTAGTTTCTGATTATAGACCACTGACCGACTGTTCTCGAGGATTTCGACACGCAAAGATGGGCATCTCGGCTACGCTTTAGATTATACTTGCATGAGGTTCAACCACGACATCGACATCGCTTGGGCGCGAGAACTCGTGAGGTCGCGCTACTTTTTCTGGCTGCAAAAAGTGCTTAATCTGGATTATACGCAGAATGAGCAGAACATTCGTCAAGCGGCTGGAGTTCATCTTCGAGGTAATGATTCGATTCGCTCCGTTTTGGCTTAGCGCCTCCAAGTCCACGATTTTCGCCGGCGTTAAGTCTCCGCCCCAATGCGGGGTAGCCCAGCAAGCATCTTATTTGCCTATTTGACCGACTAAAGCAAAACCCGCCCGAATCTCCGTGCCTGACAGGCGGGCCCGCTACAGCCTTGGACGTAAACTTTGGTCAATACTTATATGGCGGTTGTCGACCGAAAACGTGGGCTAAATACAAGTCCGTGTTCAATTTGACTTGCTAAATTTATTTTAGTAGATGATCGCGATGGAGATGGAATGTGCCGCGCCGCTGACTCCGTCTTTGAAGACTCAATTCCGGACTTAGGATCCCGCTGCCTAGCGCGGTAAATATCTAAAATCTTACCACAAAGCTACTACGAGCCTCAATTCAATGCGAGCATCTTTTGTTTCAGTCGCGCATTTCTGGTTAAACGCTTATTCGGGTGCGTTATTGCCTATTGTCTAATCGCAGCAATGCATTTCTCTTCAACTGCTGTAGGGTCGATGGTGAACCAACTCCCGCACGGTCATGATCTCCGAAGAGTGCCAACGATCCGTTGGGCGTGCATCTCTTCTTGCGACGCCTACTTAGACCCCAAAATTGACCATACTGGGTTACATTGCACCCACGTCGAGTGTCGATCAGTGAACCGTGGGTTTACATGATGTGCGGTAGCCGCCCTGGAATGTTGCAGCTAAGTAATGGATTATTCATTCTACGAGAAAATATTCATGCTGACCTCGCTCAAAGTCCGCTCTGTGTGTTTCGCCAAGGATTTTCGCAGTCTCGGTCCCACGTATCACATGGTGAGACGGACTGCTAGTACCATTTTCGGGGATGAAGGGTTCCTGGACCTGGTATAGCGGAATGCAGGCTTTCCAAGACGAAATGATGGTATTTTTGGGTATAAAAGCCATGCAGGCCACCGACCTGGTTCTCCATCTTCTCCCCAGAAGCCACTCTCACAGCGAAACCCACCTACAAGATGAAATTCACCGCTACCCTCCTCTGGACTGCTTCCCTCGCTGCGACTGCCTTTGCGCAGACCGCGATGTCCATTATCTCGCCCGTCGCAGGTGCGAGCGTCGCTCGCGGCTCGAGTGTCGTCGTCCGCGTTACTGGGGTTGGTCTTTCGGTGTCTGCTCATCGGAATGGTGCTTACTTTCGCTTTCACAGACCACCCCGACTACTGGCTCTATCCAGAACGCGGCCGTCGTCGCATTCACCGCCTGCCGTCTCGGCTGCATCTCCCCGCTCAACAACATCGGCACCGTCCTCTACGATAGCACCTACAACCCCGTTTTCCATCTCACCGGCCCTGGCCCGGCCCGCACGGTCTATCAGGACATTACGGTCACTATCCCCTCCGGCGCGGTGACCGGCACTGGGCAGATCAGCATTGTCCACCCCACTTATAGCTCTGTACGTGACGCTGCAGTTTATCTGGTTCATTTGACTGATTATGATCCCTGAATAGGATGGTACCCAGTTGACTTACGAGGTCTCTTCTATTACCGTTACGGTCACTTGAGCACCACACGCAACGTTCGGATACTGTGATACACGGGAATATCAACACGGCCTCAGGCTTTCAATCGAATCTGTTCTGTAACTAATTTTGTGCTCTTTTTTGGTCCTGGATCCTCTTTTGTATTTATTGGATAATAATTAACTCAATGATATGGTTGGAACGTTTGTTGTCCATTTGCAAGATCTACTTATATAAACAACAAATTTCGACGGTGGGAGAACATCAGCCAATTGACTTTAGAAATTTCCCATTACGTCGCTGATTTAGCATGTCAATACGCCGTTGGAGTTGGAAAAGCAGTTATCTGACTATCAATCAGTGTTGGATCTTTCCACGAGTGTGAACACTTGCTCAAGTTGAATCCATCATTCTCCCGCGTTCCTCCGTTGCTCGTAGTGCAGTGAGCATTAATGAGAACATTTGATCCGGTTTGAACAGGGCTGGAGAACGTGCAGGTGGAGCCCGCACCGGAGCTGAGGAGCAGATAAACCCTGGCCAGCATGGACTGAAGAGAGCTTACCCGCACTGCAATTGGCCGTTGGTGTTTCCCAGACACTTTCCGAGAGACACACGGGTGTTGTGGCTGGCGCCCGTTTCGTCGGTGCAAACGGCGGTGACGTCGGCGGTGTTGGCGACAATTGCCCAGGAAAAGCAAGAGCTGCCCGCGCCGTCCCGAGCGACGACAGTGGTGTTACCGTTTGCGCGGCCCACGATCACAGCGGCGTCGACTGAGGCGAGGGCACCAAAGGCCAAAATGAGAGCTGAGAGGCTTGCGTGCATGATTGAATTCGACTTGGAAGTTCAAAGTTGAGCAACTAAAGAATAAATCATATCAGCCCGGGTAGAGAGAGAATGAAAACTGTGCACAGTACAAGGAGAGGACAAAGAAGTTCAAGTTGTTTGGATACGGTGGTAATCGTGGAGGGAGCGCTTTTATAGCTGCAATTAGTGAGCTGCAGCGCCGAATAAAGGTGCGGGACGCCGATTCTTTGACAGTGCTTTCCAGATTGGTCGAGTTTCAGTGGGAGGAGAAGGACGTTGAATGTTTTGAACGCGTCCCGCGCACATGCAAGCGAGATAGTACGGCGTTCCGCACGTATATCCCAAATTATTGTCGTCCTTCTACATTACTTGGTCGTAGCAGAAAGAGCCGCATCAACATCCCTTGATGTCGCGTGACGCTGCAGCCGGCACGTGCACGTCTTTCGCTTGCATCGAGCTTGCTTCAAGTTGCTCAGAGATGCCGGAGTCTGTAGCCAATCTGCAAACGGTCCGTTCCAACTCCGATGCAAAGAGGCTACTCAGAGTAGAGTCGTACGATGTCCACCCGACTTCGCCTATCAGCCTGCAGCAACACGCCTGCCACGACATCGCGAGCTGACGCGCCACGGCTTACTATCGAGCGGGCACGAATTTACTCTACCATAGCTCTGCTTTTGCTCAAGGGCAGCATCCAACCTCCCGGAATCAAGACTCTGAAAAGTCCTCGACTCGGAGTGCTACGAAATGGTTTTGCCTAAGTAAGCCACAGTTGTCGACAGCATCGCGTATCTTTTCAATTTGTTATCTCAGCCTCATGTTGGGTAAGCAACTACGGCCGACGGACGTTATGGACAACGTTAACATTCAAAAGCCGCTGCTTCATCGGACATCATCCCCCCCCCATGTCCCTTTCAGCTCTGCCGGTCCAGGAGCTTTGGGACCGTATTATCGACTGCCTCCATGACTCGCCTTGCTCTCTCCGAGCTTGTGCTCTCGCTTGTCGCGCCTTCACTTCGCGTGCACAGTCACTCATATTCCACACGATTCACGCACCTGTGGACCCAATTGACTGCGGCGCGTTTGAGGTAGAACGGATTGACGAGCTCAAGGCGCGTTTAAAGCGCTTTCGAACACTTTCCTCCGTCTTGCTCACCTCACCAAATACTGGTTTCCTCATTTCGCGAGTGCAGCGACTGGATATTCATACGAGTTCGCCACAGGTCATAGCCGCACTCGCAGGCGTCCCATGGTCCAATGTGCTTACACTGCGCCTGAAGAACATTCCCCATCTCTCGGATATAGTCAAGCCCGTTCAGGACCTTGTCGCCATTCCCTCTCTTCAACACCTCGAACTGCGATTTGCGCCGACCGTATACGGTGGCTACCTGTTAACTCCCTCGTCGTTCTCCACTATACTCAGGGCAGTCAGAGAGGAACTGAGCAGCCTTAGTCTTGGCTTATGCAACCCGTATCCATTCTCGCCCTCTTCCACCCTCAATCGCGATCTCCCCACCGTTTCGTGGCAAGGAAATGGACATGCCCGCATCCGGACACTTCAGCTTGACCACTCCCCTGGAATAATCCCGTTGTTATTTGCGCTTTCATCTGGTCCAGCGCCAGTCCTCGATCTCAGCTACGTCAATACACTTCATCTACAGCGCTCTTGGAATCCTGTACTCCACGAGTTACTGCAGCGATGCGGGCAAAAAGTTGAAACTCTGCACTTGGATGCTTTCGGTAAGTCCCTCACTTACATCACGTCCCTGGACCACCTAACGGCGACACAGACGATAAAATCACAACGCTCTCCTTTGACCATTTCCCGAATTTGTGTGAGGTCATCTGTCCGAACGCTGCAGATTGGACGCCATCTTCTCAGTTATTCAGAGGTTTGCCTAAACATGTTCTCGTTCGAAAATGATCCTTTAGAGACACCTTTGCTAGACATTTAGAATAATGGTAGTTTGCTGGCAGCTCGATACATTGGCTTGGTAATACGTATGTTTTGGCGCTCCTTCTCCGATCATGACGTCGACTCGGAGTTCGCTGTCTGAAACGTTCGAATCCTGTGTCTTGTGACCGCGAACCACATGGAGACCTTCTGAAGTATTTGGGGAGTTTTTTTGTGCCAGAGAGGCTTAAAAGGTCATGAATCAACGCAGGACCAACGGCTATATGTGCAGAAGAACGCGCTACCTGCCATTGGAGGGTGAAGTGGTTATCTGGCGTCCGGGCCGCGGCGTCCGCCTCTGATGCGCCGTCACTGAGTTTACGGTGAGATATAAGGAGCTTCTTCTAGGCTTCGATGGTCGCGTGGCGCGTGTTGTTTCGTCACGATGAGGGCCAGTATACCGCCAACTATCCTACTCGCCTTCGTGCAGCTCGTCTCTGCTGCGACGAGCGTAGATTTCGACCCACTTCAACATGTTAATCTCTTCATCGGGACAATTAACGGGGGAAATACCTTCCCCGGTGGGTTTGTTACTCTGGTTCTGTGAACGGGGCTGAGAATGTGTTTGCAGGAGCAACTGTTCCGCACGGGATGGTCAAGGTCGGGATGGACACTGATGGGAATAACGTGTGTAGTCCTCTTTGCAAAGGATAGCATTGGGAATCTAACTGCACCGTTTAGTTCGCTGGCTATGATGCTCGACCCCAGTTCAATGTAACCGGATTCTCGCAATTGCATCAGTCTGGGACCGGAGGAGTGAGTTGACTAGGAATATGTTCTTCTTCGTTGGCGGCTAATAGGACTTTCCAAGGCAGTTCCTCTGTCGAACTTCAAGCTGTTCCCTGTTCCTCAATGTTCTGCTTTTGAGCAATGCTTGACGACCATCGCAGCGAGGAAGACATTACGAAACATACTTCCAGATGGTGCGTGACAGCGTAACCCGCGTTCGCGTCTTTCTCAATTTTTCCTCCCAGGGTCTCCCGACGACTTTGCGTCTCCTGGATATTTCTCCACCAATTTGTCAACCGGTGTCCGTGTAGAGCTTACCGCAACACGACGCACTGCCCTCCATCGCTACACATTCCCCGCCAACTCTACCACTCCCCGAATCCTCCTCGACATCACCAACGATGGTCAGGTTAGCGGGATCCTGCCTGAGCTCACCATAGATCCCATGTCCGGCCGTATGCAGGGTGTGTGTTTTTAATGCTCCTGCTCTCAGTTGGCACTGATGACGACATGTTTAGCTAGCGCGAATTTTGCGACGTCTTTCGGCTTTGCTCGCTACGATGCATACGCATGCGTTGACTTCCGGGGCGAAGGGTATTCGTTCGACGGACCCACGGAGTGGGGGCCGTACAAAATCAACTATCCCGACAAGAATGGCGTGGATTTACTCCAGCATTACTATAGTAAGTCCATTTTAGTTTTCCTACTTGCCTTACAATCGTATGCAGGCCTGGGGTCTGAACACGGTGGTCTGATGTCATTCCCCAAAAACCCCTCAGGAACGAGCACTATCCTTGCTCGCGTGGGCATCTCGTTCGTGTCGACCGCCCAAGCATGCGAAAATGCAGAGGAGGAAATCCCCCAGTTCGACTTCGCGCAGGTGTTGGCTAATTCTGAGCACCAATGGCGCGACATTCTTGGAAGAGTACAAGTGGACAGCACCGGGGTCGACAAAGACACAGTCACGATGTTGTATTCGTCGCTCTATCGGACGCATATTGTTCCAGGAGACTGTGAGTATTCTTGATATGCTTTTCTGCTGTACATTGAGCGTTTCATTAGATACTGGTGAAAATGCTAAGTGGAAGTCTGCAGAGCCGTACTACGACGCGTTCTACTGTAACTGTAAGCATTTTTCTTCAAGATAGTATCACCACTAAAAATTGGACCAGGGGACACATATCGCACGCTCTTCCCCCTAGTATGCGCCCGTTTCCTGATCTATTTTATATTCAGAACTTGTAGATGTCCCTTCACGACCCTGAAAACTTCGCTCGTATTGTCCGCGGCATGATTGACATACAAAAGCATGAGGGATGGCTCCCAGAGGGTCGAGAGGCTGGGCAACAACAGTCAGTGCCTCATCTTCTTCAATGAGTTCATCGGTTTAGCCTTGAACAGATTTATCCAAGGCGGTAGTCGTGCGTAACTCGCACACCAATTGCTGGCGGAGCCTGATACTTAGATTTAGACGGAGACCCGATTCTTGGTGAATTCTTCGTCAAGTAAGTCTAATGTTGCTGTCTGCCTTCAACAACTCTCAATCTATCTAGATACTCAAAACAAGCTGCTTCTCTGGGTGTATCCGCTACGGATCTATATAATGCTCTACTGGCCGATGCGGAGAACACACCACCGAATTGGAATTTGCAAGGACGCCAAGCGGACGTTTGGAAGACGAAAGGTGTGTTTTCTTGATGCTATTCGTTGACTCATCTAATGGCTCGACAAGGATATATACCTTCAGGCATGTGTCTTGAAGCGCAGATGGTGTTGAGCGTAAATTATCCACACCAGATACGACTTATCCTGGTGGAGCAAATACAAAGCAAGTTTCCCGTGCAATTGAGGTATGACTCCATGGTTTCTGTCGCCTACACCCATCAATCTTTCAGTATGCCTTCGATGACTTTGCGATTTCTCAAGTAGCCAAAACCCTTGGCAAGAAAGCGGATGCTAAGAAGGTCATTGAACTTCATCGGAGATGTCGTCGTTATCACTGAAAGTATTGGTCAGTATGCTGGCCGCGCACAGAATTACCACAACTCCTGGAATGCTAACGTCTCCCTGGATGTCCCCGGTTTCTTCAATGGCAGCGTCTCAGGCTTCTTCCAGCCCAAATTTGCGAATGGAACATGGAACTTTACCGATCCACGCCATTGCAGTGTTCACGACCCTGCTCAAGCGACATGTTTCCTCAATGCCATCCGAAGAGACGGCTTTTATGAGAGTTCACCTATCGTCGTATGTGTTTGTGGTGTAACCATACAAATATCTGAACTCAGTCTTTTTAGTATTCTCAATACGTTCCGCAAGACACAGCAAACCTCATCGCGCTGCAAGGAGGAAATGAGCTGTTTATCGAGCGACTCAACTGGATCTTCAATCAGAGCTATTTCGACTCAACCAATGAACCGTCACAACAGATTCCGTTCATGTACCACTACGCAAATGCGCCGGGTCTCAGTACCCAACGCTCGCGACAGGTCATCTCAGCGGCATTTAATACCTCGTTGAACGGATTGCCAGGGAATGATGGTGAGTCTCTTTCTTTCCTTTATTTGCCCCTCCAATGATATCGCAGACTCTGGGGCAATGGCCAGCTATGTGTTTTTCTACTTAGCCGGCATGTACCCCCTACCGGCGACTAAACAAATCCTTCTGTCGTCACCATACTTCCCCTCGATTTCCTTCACCAACCCACTCCTCAAAAAGACTACGACTATCAAAGTCACGAACTTTGTGGGCAATCCGTCGGATGGTACCGGCGGTACAGTCTTCGTTAAGGTTCGCAATGTTTGGAGCGTTTACGCTGCAAAAGGCTAATGCAAGTGACAGAGCGTAAAAGTCAACGGAAAGGCGTATAAGTCGAACTGCTATCTTGAGTGGGATGTGTTCACCAGCGGGTCAACAGTCGAATTGGAGTTGACGGATGACATCAATGTTACCTGTGGCAAGGGGAAGGATGCGCTTCCCCCTTCTCTTTCGACAGGCGGGTACGATTAGAAAATGGCAATGCCGCTCTTTGCTTGATCGTTAAAATTTCCGCAAGTATGCTCACCCTTTGGTTTATCGTTTGTAGCGTCAAATAAAATCTGATAATGACGACCAGTGGGCATCTCGGGCATCGGAACTTTCCCCCCAATTCGATGTGATGCAAGGAATCGATCAGGACTAGAGGCGGATCATCTCCATTTCTCTATTTTCCCTTCTCCCGCGTCGCTTGAACTGGGGACTATCACCTTCAGTTGTTGTCGGCCGTTTGCGGGTGAATGAACCACCTGCCTGACGCAGAGACTCTTCAAGCAAATACTAATCAGCAATGCATGAAGATGCCTTAAGCTCTCTTGCGAGTCACTTGGCTTGGGCAGAAGACGAAACGGACATTGAGGAGCGGTGTTTTCAAGAAGAGCAAGCCGTAGGAACACAAAAGGCTCGATTGAGAGATGGAAGCAGGCCACAATGAGACAAATATCGAAGTGGACAATCTAAGCTGCCGCCTTCTTTGACGTCCCGCATGAGGCTAGCAAGAAGTTCAGAAGCCCAACCACTCAACGAGAAAAAAATACCCCACCTCGCTTTGCAGACTCAGGTGCCTATGACAAGACTACATATCCTTCAACTGTAGTTCAATTTTTTTGGAAACAGAGCGAAAGCATGGAAACAGCCCGAAAGCAAAGATATCAAGAAATCGCGACCCATCAGATCGTGCGTGACTATCCGGCGTCACGTTTCATCTTGTTCTTTCTCGACCACCATTCCACCACTACTGTTTGGACGCGTTTATTTACCTCGCCGAGTGTTTACGACGTTTGAGACGCGCTTTTTCACGATCTCCTTGTTCCAAGCGGCCAATCGGACCGATTTTACGGGAGACAAATTCTAACGCGACAGCGAAGCTTCTCGCTAGCGATTTAGCCTAGCTGATATCACGAGGCTGGGGGACTCGAATTATTTAATTGGGTGGGTGGCTCTCCATTGGGCGGGTTTCCTTCGCCCCCCACCACTACACTCAACTGCATAATTATAGCTATTACTCCCCTCGCCTTCTCGACGCTTCGCCAAACTCTTTCGTTCTTCGTCCCTCGAGCTCATCATGTCTCGCTCTTCTTGCGCACCTCCAACGCCGCCGCCCGTCGACAGCGCTGATATAGCAGTACAAGCACAGCTCCCAACCATTCCCACATCCGTGTCGTCCCCTGCTTGGTTTCCTTCCGTTGACTCTCCTCTCGTTCCATCTTCTTCCACCGCTACTTTGGTTGACGATGTCTCGCTGTCGCCACTAGAAAAAGGCAAAGCGACGTTTGATCCCTCTGTACATGAGATTAAAGTTGGCAAGATCGTCGAAGCGTTGGACGCGATGGATGTGAACCAGCTTGATGTTACTTCGACCGGTTTGTCTTTCCCTATCACTCTTCGTCTCGTTGGCTCAAACGCACCAGACCTCGAGCCAGGCGAAATCGCTGCAGACACAAGTTCTCGTCGTTCGCTTGACTCTTCGCTGCCTCCACTTCCTGCATCTCCCGTATCCTCCGCTCGCACCACGCCAGAATTCGCTAGTACCCTCACATCAAAGGCTGCTTCAGTGGATCCTGCAACGACTACCCCATTGCCAATTTCTCCACCTCGTGTTTCGCCAACCGACCAGCCACAGTCGTCTCCGTCGTTTGCACCACATCTGCCCGAACCAGTTGAGAAGACGCCGAATGTGTATATCAACGGACTTCCTCCTAACTTTCCCGAAGACCAGTTGTTCCAGCTGGCAGTCCCGTTTGGCACGGTGCGGAGTGTCCGGAGCTTTACGCGCCACGTAGGGGACACAGAAACTGGCTATGGATTCGTCCTGTTTGTCGTCCTCCCTTTGTTTGTCTGTTGTCCTGATTCTCTTTTAAGGTTCGATACTATTGCCTCTGCGGAGCGCTGTATTAATTCATTGAGACGATACAGAAACTTGCATCCGACGTTCTCCAAGGTGAGTAATTTTACTTCCTATTTGCATAGTTCCCTTCTCCCGCTACGTGTTCGCAAGCTATTCGCTGGTCGAGACCTTTCAAGTTGTTTTTAATCTATTCATTCTCTCTCTCTCTCGATGTTATCCTCCCCGTTCTCTCCCTCTCCATATTCGATGCTGATGTCTCCACAGCAAGTTCATAAGATTCCCGGCACGATCTATGCCCACACACGTAATGCACCTGCCTCTCAAGTCACCTCAGCGTCAGCTTCCTCACGAGACGGCAACTCGTCACTTCATGGCTGGGAGCAGGAAGAGGGTAGTACTAGCGGGGACTCGACCTTCAAAGCTCGCATGGAACGGCTTTCGGACAAGAGCAGCACGAACTTATACATCGAGGGGTCAGTGGCGCTTTTTTGACCCGAGAAACGATCTAACTCTCGAAATAGGCTTCCGTTAAGCATTGATGAAGTGACTCTGGCCGCGCTCGTCTCTCCTTATTCCATTCGCAGCAGCCGATTCTTCCAGACACGTCTTAGTAACCCACCACGGATTATTGCTTTCGTTCGGTCAGTTCATTTCATGTCTAGTTACAAGCTCTATTGACTTTTCCTTGAGCCTCGAGACGCGCTCTGCTGCAGAAGAAATTATCGAGCGTTTGCATGGAAGAATGGTCCGTGGGTGGAATGACCCGGGTAGTCGTATCTCGGTGCGTTTTGCGGATACGACGGAACAAAGGGAGCTTCGGGTCAGTGGTTTTATTCAACTCGCATCTTTTCAATACTTTTTCGATTCTTACATTTTGTGCAGCGCCAAGAGCGGTTGACGCGCGAAGGCGAAGGAGGATCCAGTCAACTTAGTATCGCGCAGGCGACGTTGTTGAACCTTCGCGGCAATGACCTCAATCGCAACTCGAACGGTGGTTATAGAGGCAACGATGTCTCTGAGCCAGCAACACGTGTTCCTTTTCAATACGCTGAATACCCCGCCGTCCCGCATTCGCGGCAGTTTGATGCGCTTGATCACGCTCGTGTTCCTCCTCGCTATCCACAACAGCAAATCCCGTCATACTACGATGGCTCCCCCGCCCAAACTCAACGCATCAACCCGGCTATGGCTTCCTTGCTCGAGTCTCTTCAAGCCCAGGCAGACTATCACCACATCTCGGGTGTTCCTGTGTCAAATGTTCGTCCGTTCGTCCCTCGCGGACAACAAGGACTTGGGATTGGAAGCGGTGGAGCTCACGCACAACTTGGTGGATATACTCCAACTGAGGAGTTCATTTTGCGTGCTCGGTCCGAGTCCCTTCCGCCGTTCTCCAACGCGTCTTTGAAACGCCGACCACCGCCTTTAGATCTCAACGATGGCCGCTTGCATCCTGTCGAGGGTAGTGGTGACGCAAACATTGGAATGGGTGTTCGTGGTTATCGCACACAAGCATCTACGCTCTCTTTCCGCCATGGCCAACCTCTCAGTCCAGTGTTTGACGCACCAGAATCATCGATGAACGAGGAAGACTTCCATGCTCAACGTGGAGACAGAAACCATTCCCTTCACAACAACAACAACAACAACAACAACAACAACAATAGCACAGCTCGCATGCCTCGTAACACCAACTCCTCTTTTTCTCATCACGCTCATTCCGCGCCCTCTCATTTGCGCGCTCAGCATCACAATGAATTTGTTCCCCGTCATCGGCAATCGTCGCTTCCTTCAAACCAGAATCATTCCTACCAGCATTCGCATTCACAACAGCAACTTCACGAATCCAGTTCCAGCAGCAACAACAGCACCCACAACAACCATGCGACGACTAAAGCTAATCACATTCGCGTCGCACCGCATATCAACACCAATGTCAACAGCAACAACAACACCAACCCTCTTTACGGACGTGGCCAGCAGATTGTGTTTCCAAACGATGTCGAGCAAGCCCAATCTTCTCCTGCGTTGGTGTCCCCAGCTTTGACCTACTCCTCATCGCGCTCCTCGGGTTTTAGTCCGACGACACCGTTCCTTCCTTCCTTCGATGAAGGCGAGAACCCACAGGAAACCGATGGGTTCGGTGGCAAGAAGAGGATCGAGGGCCAACACCACCACCAATCGCAGCAAGCAAGCGGACCTGTCCTGACTAGATGAACGCTTTAGAGAAAGTATATTTACAAGAACAACAGAACAACGACACGTATCAAGCAGTATTCGTAGACCCTCACACGTACAGTCACAGCTTTTTCACGCACAGATAGCCATTATCGCTTACTTTTTAAGCATGTTGTAGCACAAGATCGCAGTAGCACAAGCATTGAAATGAAATTTTGTACAAGTAACACTTGGACTGATAACGACTTGAATGAAGTTGGTAGTCATTTGACGAGAATCCACCATTTATCTGCTGTTTCTTGATTCAACTATATGCAGCACACTCACGTTCGACAAAACCGGCTCGCTTTCTCTGGATGAAATCGTTGGCCAAATCCTAGTCATCACCAGCTCCACGAGCTGAGTATTCCCAGTCTCCCCAGAACCTGTTGTGGCGTCGTTTATCGACAATAAACATGATACCCGTCCGAGGGTCGGATGCGCAGAGAGCACGCATATCGTCAATGGGGATGACCAGTAGGAGGAGTTTCAGATGGGGGCAGTTGTCTAGAAGTCGTTGTTGGAGGGCTGGAGAGCCGAGGAAGAGGGTGTAGATGAGTTTGAGACGGAGGTGGGTGAGAGAAGGGAGGGCGGGAATGGCTGTGGAAGCGCATAGGTTTACGAGCACAAACTCTTGAAGGATGTTGAAGTCGAAGCTGCTTATGGCGACCTCAACGACGAGGATACGTTGGCGGACGATGCGGGCTATTAATATGGGGGTCTTCTAGAGAGAGGTATCGGACTGTGGAGCAGATGGCCGGGTTTGCAAGCGCGTTTGAAAGCGCGGTTGATTCTGACGACATGAAACGGTAGTGGTTAGACCCTGGTGTTGGTAATGAGAGGATAGCTGGTACCGGTAATGGTAATGGTAAGGGCGTACCAGACACGCACGCGTTGCGTAACAAGTAGAAGAGGCTTGTCAATCTGACTCTGCTGCCAACCTGAAAACTTTGCGTTCGAGTTCAGCAGGGAGTCGCGGTTCCGATGTCGCCGCTACTGGCAACATAGCGACCTGTGGATTCGTGTATTGACTTCATGGCTTTTGAGGCGGAGGAGGCGGCGCCGAACTTCAAGGTTTCTTCCAAGCAAGAGAAATTCGGATCAATTGAATCGTTGTTCCGGACTCTCCTTGACTATCAACGTCCACCATAAACCACCACCACCAAGGGAAACATGGATATCGATGCGATGCGTGTGGTACCCTCACCACCAATGGACACGTCCTCATGGGTTTCAAGTTAAACTAAATCCAATATCCACGTATCGCACCCTTGCCCCTTCTCTGGTCGCAATCCAGCGAATCTCGTTCTGCCATTCAGCAGAACGAGCCTCGTCGCTGTAGACCTCACTGTCATTGGTCTACTGAAGAGGGCGCTTGTTTGGATGAGCTCTGGCTCGAGTCGCATGCTCAAAGAGGTCCAAATGGCCCTGAATACATCCCCGACATGGACATCCCCACCCGTTGATGCATGCACGACAACTACCCATGGCAGCTCTGGTATTATTACCGTCAACGACGGTAAACCAGGCGTTGTCGCCTTGTCGCGCCAGATTCCTGGCCGGAATCCCCGCCTTTCGTCGTGAGATTCGACGCGGAAGGCAGCAAAGTCGACATTGGCGACTCGCCCACCCGCTCTCAGCATGGGATGGAGTATTACAGTCTCAATACCCTCGACTTGCGGAGGAAGAGGAATTGGGCGAAGTGTTGGCCGTGGCGGTGGTGAATTTGTCAGCGACATCTCGTCATCGACTATTGTCGGTGTCCAAACATGAGCGCGGGCTAGCGGTATGGTTGTTGTCGGGGCCTGGACGCGATTGTGGTGCGGGCCTTGTGGCGGGACAAGGGGCTGGGAGAATTGCAAGGCTGGCGATGATGACAAGGTTATCGGCGCGTTGTAGGGTTGTGAAGGCTGGGAGACGGTTATTGCTGGTATGGACTGCAGCCATGTGCCGTTCACGAGGAAATTATCGTTCTTGTTTGGCTCTTCTTCTTCTTCGAAGACGCTGCCTAGGTGATGTGGAATGAGCTTGGAAGAACATAGTCAGGGCGATGATGATGATATTCACGACGAATGACCCACGAGCATTAAAGCGTGAGCGGTTGCGGTGTGGGAGGTGTTGCTAAGGATCGCTGCGTTTCTTGACAGGAGAAGGGCGAGTGGGGAAGTAGCCTGCCAGTGGGTAAAGTTGGGGGGGGGAGGCTTGAGTCGTGCAATGTGTGGCTTAAGTACAAGCGGAGGTATATTTCCAGCCCGACCACCATCGCCTAACGTGCCGTCACTACCTCCTGTAATACCCAATTGCCGAGACCGAATACACGCTGTCACACACCACCACAGCTTTCGGCATCCACCCAGGCTCGCCGACCCTAATCTCCTGCCATACGAGAATCCGTCGGCTCTTTGAATTGCACCTTTTGTTGTTATGCATTTTGTTCCTTCGCACATTGCAAAATAATCAAACCAGACGCTTTATCGCGATTTCGCCTAGCCCGATAACACATGTGGTACTTGGCCGCGGGGTCGGGGGGAGGCAAAACGAAATCTCCAAGTCCAGCTCGTGCCACGGCGGGAGGGAAGAACCCCACATGACAGCTGTCCGACCGTCTCCAGTGGCGAAAGAACAATATTTTGAATCTTGTCCCCTCTGCTTCGGCAAGGCGGGGGTCTATACTGGGAAAAGGTGTTCCCGAATATCCCGCTTGACTGTCTTCGCAGCCTGGCAAGCGCCTCGCTAGCGTGGGGGCCGCCACACGGACCGAGATCGGGCCATTGTGGTCGCCAATGCAGGACAACTTTAGCCACAATCACAGAGAAGCTCTTTGCCAACCCACACACTGGCAACGCCACCTTTGTGTGTTGCAATAAATAACATCAAAATCCGTGAGCACCGGCAGGCCGGCAGCCGCCGACCGTCGTTTTACCAATTACCTATCGGCGGCTTCTGAAAAGGAAATGGAGGAAATACTTAGTTGGCCGACACGCCTTTCCGCAAGCGCCGATTTAAATATTTCTCTCCTCTTCTTTCCTGTGCCACAGTCAGACTTGGACTTTGTGGCCACTCAACGGATCACTGTGTCGATCCGATCGATGATCGTAATCTTACCTGATCCGCATACTCCGGTCCATGTTTACCGCGAACCACATGGGCGCTACAGTGCCGTTGGGTGCACAATGCCTTCGTCCATGCTATCGCCATTGTTCCGCCACCCGAGCCTCCCTGCTGGTTTACACCAAATCCACCACCCACATGTCACACCGCAGTTCCCCACTGTCTGGCCGCAGTCCCACAAATCTCGTTCTGCCGTGAAGAAGAGCTATTCTCTTCGCTAATGTGATCCCTCCATCGCTTGCGCGCCCGCAAGGCGCCATTAGCGTACCGCCACCCGAAAGTGACTGCGGCCCAAGCTGACTGTCCAGCAACCTCGCAATGGCTCTGAATACATCCCCGACGCCGACTTCTCCGTCTATGGAAGCATGCGCGACGACCACCCAGGGCACTCCTGGCACAACAATCGTCAGCGACGGCAAACCAGGCGTTGTCGCCCTTTCACCCCAGACGCCGGCGTCGGCCCGGAATTTCCGGCGCTCGTCACACGTCTCCGTGCGGAATTCTGCAAAGTCGATTTGTGACACTCGGCCGCCGGCTCTGAGCGCGGGGTGGAGCGAGACCGCCGCTATTCCAGGCACTTGAGCGGGAAGTGGGACGGGCCGGAGGGCTGGTGGCGGGGGTGGTGGCGTTGGCGGGGAACTTGGACCTGTCAGAGGGGTGATGTCACCGGCAATGTTTGGCATCATGATGGCCGGGTCGCGTTCCGTTGATTTGAAAGTATTCAAGGTTGATGACGCGGATATTCCAGTGGCGTAAGGTGAGATCGATGGACACAGAGGACTGGTGGCTAGATGTTGGGGAGCCGCTGTCCACTGATATAGTACGCTTGTGCGCGCTCGGGAGGTGACTAGCTCCGACTCGGAGCTGAGTGCTTGATTGGGGACATGGGTGTCGCTCTCAGGCTGGTGCGCATATTCGTTCATGGATGTGGCTTGTTATGAGTGCGACTAATTGGAAACTGCAGCGTGGCTCGTGAGGCTAGTCCTCGCAGAATGGCGAAGGGCCGATGCAGAGTGTCCAACGGTAGCGTTGGTTCGAGGGTTTGCGGCAGTCTTAAATATATAGGCAACTCAGCAGTCGTCGAGATCGTTTGAGCCAGCCGTCTGAGTAAGTAGCTTATGTGTGATTGCATTCTCGGTGTTCTTGAACACGCCATAGCCACTGGCCAGCCACGATGTCTCCGGGACGACCCGGTAATCAACCGGCGATTAAAGCACAACTCGCCGTCGAGGCCACATTTGTCTGCACATCTCAGCGAGTGCCGGTAATTCTCCAGAATTCCGATGCAGGAATAAGAATAGGCTTGAACGCTGCACAACATCTTTGACTGTCGAATCTGCCGAAATCTGCGCTGTCTCGCATGACACCTGTCACTAGTGTCGACAAGAATCACAAGATCGGAAAGCTCGCAAGCTGAGGCAGGCGCAGACTCGTATTTCTTTGATATTTCTGTTCGTCCGTTGCTGATCGCAAGCTCAAGTTTGCGCGATCAAAGCGTACCCGGCCTGGGCAAATCATACAAGTGAACTTCCGAACATCTTCTGTATGTGCATGCTACTTCGGGGAGCCATCATTGTCCGATACCGCGTCATCCTTCCAATTCAAAGGGCCCGCTGTGGGTAGCATCAGCATACGAACCTCGAGAGAAACAGAGACGCATTTACTTACCTCCAGAATCGATCAAGTTCATTCCACTCGTCTTCTTCCACGTCCTCACGGAGATCGCGCCCAGAAAGCTGTGTCCAGGACAATCTGAGCCCGTTTTCTTTCCGCAGGATTGCGATTTGGTCGACGACACCCGCTGCAGCGCGCACGTGCCCCAGCCTGCGCCAGTACCCGGGCAGCGAGTAGATGTGGCAGTGGAACGGCCCGTTCGGATCTGCACGTGCAGGAGATGCCACGCGTGACTGGAGAAATGCGAGCAGGGCGCGGTCGTCGAAAGCGAGGATAGAGTGGATCGAGATGCTGCTCAGGCGCGGAACCAGCGGCGTGGGTCCCACGACAAGCGCGCGGAAGAAGGCGTCAGTGATGAGGCGATGAGGGTACGGATAGGTTGGGTGCTCAGCGATTGCGAGCGTCTCCAGGACATCAAGGAGGGCGAGACACTCTTTGAGATCGTCGAGGGGAATATTTGCGGCGCTGAGATCCAGGTCGGTGAGATGGGTGTTGCAGGAGGAGCGGCGGAAGAAAGCAAGGACTTGGTCATGGAGCCACGGAAATGGGAGAGTGTACTGTGGCGGCCCATCTACGTTCTCGTCGTCAGGCCCAAGCCAGACATGGCCCGCGGTATGGGGGCTGGTCTCCGCCGCGCCAAATTGGAGATACTGGACGCTGGGCAAGGTCAATGTTGTGATGATTTCTTTAATAGCATCTGTGGCTTGCGGTCCGTTATGATTACCTGCTAGCAGCGAGAAGCGCAAGATGTAGGATGTGGTCTCTGGTAGACGAGCAGGAAGGTGCTCTCCGGTGCCAACACCGCAATAGACCGCGAGATCGTAACTAGTCTCAGAGGGAATTTTCGACATCACAGCGACGCTGGCGTCCAAAGTTTCCGGATTGGTGCGGCATTTGAGAGAGTGGAGCCGTCGGAGCACTTCTGCAGGCACAAAGCCTATGAAAGTCCCAGTGAGGGAGAGGTGCCGCAAGCTTTTAGCCTCAACAAGGAATCGGAGGCAGTTATCTGGAAACGAGGGCGGCGCCAGAAATGAGGCCAGACGGAAAGTTACGAGCGAGTCGAGGCGATTACCGGTGATGGTTGCGAGATATTCGAGGTCTTCTGGCTGGATAAAGGTCATATTGACGCTCCGCCATTCGGGGACCCAGGTAGCAAACAGGCCGATCGCGCGGTGGGTTGAGCGGTGAATCGTTATGTCGAGAGGCGCGGTTTTGGCGTGCTCCAGCGACGACAAGACACGTTGGTACGCCTTAGCCGCGTCAAGACTGCGAGTCGGATAGGCGGGGTCGGGGGCGCGGACCGCCCAGCCGGAGACGCCGATTGTGCTCCAGAGCGCCGGGCTTGCATAGACAATTCTGCGCCAGAAGCCACACACATGAGACAGCACCCGCAACGGTCGTTGCTGGATGATGTGGCGGACATCCATGTGACTCCCATACCCGATGGGGAGCAGGGCCCGTGCACAAATCCGGAAAATTTCCTGGAGAATTTCGACCGGGAGCTTCTGCACAGGCGCAAACAGTGCTCTGTAAGCACGATACTGCGCTCTCAATTGACTTTGCGCCTCTTCCGCCGCATTGCGCTCTGCCTCGTCAGCGTAAATTCTGTACGCAAGTTGTCGGTCGCCTTTCCCGAGGGCAGACAGTGCAGCAACGTCTGTCGCCGAGAACGGACCGCCAAGGTCGGCCGGTGGGTCTGCATGTATGCGCAAGAGCTGGAGGATGGTCGGAAGAGGGGGCAGCATCATCGGCCGCGACAAGTGTCAAGTGAAGTTTCAGAATGATCGATGGTCGGATTAGTTCGGATCATGATCGCAAGCCATGTCAATGGATCAATTCCATCAACATCGTCTTTCGCGCCCAGTGGATCGTTCTGCTAATCTGCATCTTATCTGCTAGCTGTTCACGTTCCGTATAGTACTTTCCGAAATTTCAAAGGTATCCCAGCTTCTGTAATTTTATAACGTTATCTACAGCAAGTGGAAGGGCAAAATAAGTACTGATTATAGGTATTCACTGAAGTTGCAAGCGTAGATTTTAATGGGGTCGACCAAAAAAAAAAGGAATAGAAATGTGGTGGTCCGTACAAGAAAAAGCAATCGCTAGATACATCAAGAGTCAAAGTTGACTGGCGGGTAGTTACCGATCCGGCGGCCCGCTCGGGATCCGGTTGTCGGATTGCAACTTCAAGTGACGTCTATCCGACTCTGTCGCATTTGACGGTGCTTGACAGCTTAGCGATTCAGGGTCAACCCATAGCTCTGACCGGGATCGATCCCATGGCCACGAAGTGGTGCCAGTGCTCGGCGCGCTCAGGCTTGAACAGTGAGTAAGGCCCGACTAGCCCGACGGGGCCCACCGGTGATTCAAGGCGATCTCGGAGGTGTCGTGGTCATTCAAGCGGGTTGCTCGGGAATGCACGATATCCTGATATGATGCTGTTCCTTTTGGAGATCGGCTTGTATTAGGCTCGGAGTTGCGGTCCCGCGGAGAGAAGTTCCCGTCTTGACAATGAAGGACAGCGGAGGTTATGTACTACTATGTAAGTGCTTGCGCCACTGGTGGCGGATTTCGGTGGTACCAGCAAAGTAATCGAATATAATGAAGCCTAAGTACGAGCCAACCTTGGAGTTCAGAACGAACATAAGTATTATCAAGATCGTTTCAGGCATGCAGTCATCACACTCAGGAACCATTTGGCGAGTCCTGATCAACAGGAAAGACCGACTATCTACGGTTGCGGTGCCGACCCGGAGAGCTGTAGCCAGCAAGACAGCGTGGGTGATGTCTGCGGAGATGGCATGTTACATAGAAGGGCTGAAAATATACCTCTGCGTATGTACATAAAGCCACATAGCACTATCCGATCTTGCTTAACACTCACACTGAACCTTGGACGTTTCCGCTGAGAATTTGAAACGTGGCATATTCATTCGTCCAACACAACCCTCGCCTGGCTCAAATGACAGTAGGTCTTCACTGAATAATCCTCGTTAACATGCTCAGTGCTGCCTCGAAGCCTTGTCGAAGTCATCCAAGCAATGTCTATGAAGAGCCGGTATTAGTCAGGGGCGTCTTCATGAATGAACAGTCCTTCCTTCAATGGCCACAACTTTCCCCAACGAGTTCACAATCCCTGCACCCCTCTGACCCACCCACAGCCTCGTTAGCCTGCTTCCATAACTTCGAGCCCTCGATCCCGGTACCGCACCACCATTCCCAGCCTCCGACGACAATACGCGTAAACGGCACTCCGGGGAGTATTTGGACACCGGTCATAGTTGATGACGACACGTCGCTGACACCACCGCCACGACCTTCACTCTGCCCAATTCCTCTCCCTCCTCAGGTCGACGGTATTGCCTCCGTCATCCTCCATCCAATGCTAAGATCGGGCGGCCGCGTTGCCGACGTCGACTTCGCTGCCTTCCGAGGGGAGTCTCGTGACGAACGACGAGGATTCCGGCCAGGAATCTGGCACGACAAGGCGACAACGCCGGGGTTGCCGTCGTTAACGATTCTGGTGCCAGGATTGCCGTGGGTAATCGTTGCGCACGCTTCGTCTGCTGGGGGAGTAAACGTGGGGGACGTATTCAAAGCCATCTGGCGCTCGTTGAGCATGCAGCTTGAGCCAGACGTTATTGGTCAAGGAGCAAGTCTCTTCAGGGCGGCAACAGCAGTCAATTTGACGGCGACGAGGCTCGTTCTGTTGAATGGCAGAACCAAATTCGCTGGAATGCGGCCAGACAGGGAGGAACAGTGTGATATGTGGGTGATGGATTTGGTTTGAATTAGCGGTGGCTTGGGTGTCATGGCGGCCCGGGAACATCGAACAATGGTGACAGTATGGACGGGCGCACGATAAATGGGCCCATACCAACACCGACAGCGAACGCTGCGGCGTTCATGGTGGTTTGTAGTAAGCATGCCCATCACGGGAGTCAAATCATTGCTGACGATGACAATCGTTGGTCATTCGACTGGGATGTAACGTTTGGTTGAGAATTTGTTTATTTGAGCCAATCAATGGTTTTCGACCAGGATTATATCCACTTAACAGCGATCTCTACACGAGGGTTCAAAATCATCGCCCACAGAAATCGACCAATGAGCGATAAAAAAAATCATAAAGTATACCAGTGTAATACACAGGTCACTACATATACCCTAACTATGCTTAACCAGTCAGAGACAAAGAAAGTGAGGATAGGTCCTCTATTGTTCGTGCTACGCATACGTGATACACAGAGCAATAACAATAAGTAAAAAAGTTTTAACGACTCGGAAATCGCCGGCCCGGGCCGTCCGGCGCACTGTTGCCAAATTCGTCTCTGGACACGAAAAGGCCTTCCGCATAAGGAGACGCACACTTGAAGGCAATCTCGGAGGAATAGTCATCAAGCGGGAAAGTCGGACGCAGCCGCACGGCCTGACTTTGTCGAGGAATAGACGCCCGCCAGGCGTGTCAAAGGAGAGAGCCAGAAAGAGGATGAGTTCTTCCTATACAAGTTGGAGATCTGAGATTCCATGTCTACTTTGTGATACGTTTCGTTCCACTGTAGCGAGGATGCAGACAATTGGGCTAAGTTGCAAACCCCAACTTGTCATACCCGGTCTCCCTTTTGTTTGCGAAGGCTCGAGGCCCACAGCCCCAACAAAAAAGCCGGCTTTTCGCGTGCTGATTATTTCACAGTGGCGGGTTACTGTAGTGGCGGGCCAACCTGGGTGGATGCCGAAAGCTGTGTGATAGGATGGCGTGTATTTCGGCGGTGGCCCACGGTAATATATTATCAAAGGAGGTCATGACGGCACGTCAATGCAGGACGACTGGAGATCATGGTGGGCTGGAGGTTTACCTCCGTACTTAAAGCCACACATTGCATGACCACATCTCCTTCAAATTTGCCCAGGTTACACCATCCCCCAAAAACTTCGTCTTCTCCCACTAGGCAACTTCGCAATCCCTTCAAGTTCAACAACAAAGTCGTAGGCCTCAATGCCTGTAGGTAGTTGTTGGTGGCTCTTCATCATCGCGCTGAATAGTGCTTCACGAAGCCCATTCCACATCACCTCGACCACCACTACGAAGAAGAGTTGAAGACGAACGACAACGACGACAACTTCTTCGTGAATCACCCGTGGCTGCAGTCAACACCAGCAGCAACAAGCTCCCAACATTTTGAATCCTTCCACGCGCCAGTGCCCTTGCCATCCACGTCGACCATTCATTCGTTTCAATTCCCAATCCACGATCGTGTCCAGTCCTCGACAATATGGGGACCGGGTAATATTTGGACGCCGACAGTAGTCTGCGACGACACCTCACTGAGCGATTCACCGCCGCCAAGGCCCGCAATCGCCTTAATTCCTCTCCCCCCTCAGGTTGAGGGTATTGACCCTGTGGTGCTTCATCCCATGCTGAGAGCGGGTGGGCGAGTCGCCAATGTCGACTTTGCTGCCTTCCGCGTCGAATCTCACGACGAAAGGCGGGCATTCCGGCCAGGAATCTGGCGCGACAAGGCGACAACGCCTGGTTTGCCGTCACTGACGGTAATGATACCAGAGCTGCCATGGGTGGTCGTTGCACATGCATCGATAGGCGGAGCAGTTCATGTCGGGGATGTATTCAAGGCCATTTGGAGCTCCTTGAGCATGCGACTCGAGCCAGAACTCATCCAAACAAGTGCCCTCTTCAGTAGACCAGTGAAAGTGAGGTCTACAGTGACGAGGCTCGCTCTGTTGAATGGCAGAACGAGATTCGCTGGATTGCGACCAGAGCAGGGGGAAGGGTGCGATACGTGGATATTGGATTTAGCTTAACTTGAAACCCATGAGGACGTGTCCATTAGGGGTGAGGGTCCCACACACATCGCATCGATATCCATGTTTCCTTTGGTGGTGGTGGTTTATGGTGGACGTTGATAGTCAAGGAGAGTCCGGAACAACGATTCAATTGATCCGAATTTCTCTTGCTTGGAAGAAACCGTGAAGTTCAGCGCCGCCTCCTCCGCCTCAAAAGCGATGAAGTCAACACACGAATCTACAAGTCGCTATGCTAACATTAGCAGCGACATCGGAACCGCGACTCCCTGCTGAACTCGAACGCAAAGTTTTCAGGTTGGCAGCAAAGTCAGATTGGCAAGCTGTTCTTCCTCTCCTACTTGTTGCGCAACGCGTCCGTGTCTGGTACGTGGCCTTATGGTACCCATCCTCCTCTCATTGAAAGCACCAGGGTCCAACCACTACTGTTCCATGTCGTTAGAATCAACGATTCTCCCCATTCCCGCGCTTTCATAGCAAACGCCCTTGCAAACCCGGCCATCTGCTCCACAGTCCGATACCTCTCTCTAGAGGAGCCCCTGCAATCCATGGACAAGAGCATCATAGCCCCCATTGTACGACAATGTATCCTCGTCGCTGAGGTCGCCATAAGCAGCTTCGACTTCAACACCCCAGAATACCTGAACGCAATTGCCTCGTTTCAGAGCAACAGAGGCCTCACAGTGAACATCGGAAGCTTCTTTCGCCCCCAGGCCATCGACGGGATGCACGCTGCTTTTGCCAACATAACCCATCTCACACTCCTCGACTACATCCTCAAAGAATTTGTCCTCACAAACCTATGCGCTTCCACAGCCATTCCCGCCCTCCCTTCTCTCACCCACCTCCGCCTTAAACTCATCTACACCCTCTTCCCCGGCTCTCCAGCCCTCCTCCAAAAACTTGTCGGCAACTGCCCCCATCTGAAACTCCTCCTACTAGTGGTCGATACTGACATCTCCCATCAACCCATCCCCATTGACGACATGCGTGCTCTCTGCGCATCCGACCCTCAGACGCGCATCATGTTCATTGCCGATAAACGACGCTACAACAGGCTTTGGTCAGACTGGGAATACTCCGCTCGCGGAGCTGATAATGACTGGAATTTGGCCAATGATTTCATCCAGAGAAAGCGAGCCGGTTTTGTCGAACGTGAGTGTGCTGCGTATACCATTCTTCATTTGCTGAATCAAGAAACAGCAGATAAATGGTGGATTATCGTCAAATGACCAGAGGGAGAGCCAAAGTATCGTCCATTAGTACCGTCTAAACTTGGTTTCAAATGATCTTCGAAGCCTCAATTGTGGTTTTCCTGTGCATTGCCGTTTCTTATTCTCGATTCAAGATAGAGCAGATTTTTAAACCCATTGTACTACGACTAGAACAATAAGCACCCAACTACTTGCGCATCTTTGGCGATATTAAAAAGGGTCTAAAAGTGTCGCACTAATGTATGGCTTCCAAGGTCCTGGGAACCTGCAGCTTGTTATACGCCCGCTCAAACTCCCAAACACCCTCCTGCCCAGCATATTTGACGCCCGGCACCGTCAAGAACAGCCGCGCACATGTGTCATACATCCAAGACATATTCGACCGCCGGGGAATAATCAGCAGTCGGTCATGGAATCCCGCAGCAAGGTGGAGCGCGTGAAGCTCCATCCGACCGTGGCTCCGTTTAGCACGCTCAACCCAGTCGTCCCATAGCGGGTCGAGCCGACTCGGATGGCAGGCTTTGCGTGCTTGCTCTGGGCCCGTCACGCACGGATTCATCTCGATCCTGCTCTCCTCCCGCCCGCCGAAAATGAACTGGAGAACGGGGGTTGGCGTTCGTTCCTCGTAGGAAATCCGCGCGGCCCAGTGCTCGAGTGTTATGGCGTCCTTCGTAGCAAGCTTATGCAGCACAAAACGGAAGTAATGCATATCTTTCGCAGAAAGGTCGGACCGGAATGCTGACAAAAAATTATCAAGTTCGGAAACCACCCAAGTCCAAAGCAAAAACTTACCCAAACGAACCCGACGAGCAAGACGGCAAGTCTCTTTATGCTTTCCTGCTGTCCAGTCCTCCCGCTGGCAAGCATTTGAGCAGTAGTTTCGCGTCTTGCATCCAGCGCAGGTACGGAGCTTGTCTTTGAAAGTGATCTTGCCGCACTAAACGTTGATTCATCAGCTTCAGCTGTAGAATAGCAAGCGGTACCTTACCACAATACTGTCACATGCAGCTTTCTCCCTCAGCAGCCCCCTCAGAGTGAACTCGTGCAAGAGAAACAAATGCCACTTGAGCATCTCCCTGAACCTGACCCATGCATCATACGTCGCCTTGTCGCGGAAGGTGCTCTGGGGGGCATTTGCATCGACGGTGTTGATGGCGTCTTGAAAAACAAGCACATTCGAGTGGAAGAACGACAGTTGCGGTAAAGCGCGTGTCAGAATGACTTGAAGTTCTCCTTTTTCCTGCGCCGGCTTCCTTCTCCGGCAGTACGCAAAAATGCCGGGGATGAAGTCATTCTTGAGAAGTATCCTGAATCCGACGAGAGAATCAACCATTATGAGTGTGAGAGCATCAAGCAGGCGCACGAGCAGTCCGTCGAAGAGACTGTCGGTATCCTTGTCGGGTTTGGTCTCGGCCAGAACGCAAAAGGTCTTGGAAAGTAGCCTTGCAACCCCCCGCTCCACCATTGCGGCGGTCAGCACCATACGAGGTTTCGGAGCCAGAGGGTCTGGGGGTGGATCGCGAGACTCTGATATGGCAGAGTCGAATCCAGTTATCAGGTCAATGACACCAGCGAGGTTCAGAACGCAGAAATGGTGGTGGCGCGGGTTCTTGTCCGGGCTCCCGAGATGGGATAGGGCATAATGAAGCTGTTTGTGAAGCACCCATGCGAGGTCTTCGAGTGTTCCTCCAACGCCAGCAACGATTTCGTCACAATATGCGACCGTAAGTCTGCTAGGAATGAGCGAGTCAATCCACTGATATCGTTTTTCTTGTTCTTCTAAGGGGAGGGCGAGAAGGTGGTCCCATGCACGAAAGACGAATGGGAGGAATTGTGGAGAGTCCCAAGCCGCTTTTCTTGCATCCGGAGACCGCAGTCCACGGGAGGAGAATCCGATAAAGTCCCAAACGAGCTCACTTTCTACAACCCCGGGAAGTACCAACGCAGAGCAGCGATGGAGGAACTCGACCCACGCCCAAACACGAGGCCAGATCGACGCATAAGCGGGCGCATGCTCGCGCAAAGTGGTCAAGGCGAACGACTGGTCGCGATATATTCCACCCAGGCCGATATGACCCGCCAAAACGGTGTTCTTCGTCTGGGCTGATGGCGCATCGAGATCATCGGCCACAGGAATGCGCGCTGGGTCGAGGAGTATCCAGAATGCAGGGCGGAGAGCGCGGATGTCTTTGCCCGTTTTGGTGTTTGTGTACAGTGTTTGGAAGCGCTTGAGGTCGACGATAGACGCGCCTTTTGAATGACATGCAGCATTCACGATTCTCTACAGCGAGGATTTAGCCACGCTCGGGTAATGCGGCCAGAAATACCTGAGACCCTGTTGGGAGGGCGGAGAGATTATTTCGGTCGTACGAGGAATCCATTGTGGTAGAGAAAGGAAACGGGAAAGAAGCAAACAACAAGGCTTTCTAAATCCGGCCATTATGCTAGCGCGCTTGAAGCTCGTTTGTCAATACGAGGTCGATGCAAGGCAGAGATTCCATGCTTGCAAGCCAAATGAGCGCAGGAAAAGAGCGTTTCTGGTTCCCTAATTGGGTGTTTATTTGGTCCTGTTTGTGCCACATTCAAGTTTTTTGTCCACTGAGGATCATAATTCACAACTTGTAGATACAAACAAGGATATGCTGGCTACACGGCGGATTAAAGCGCTAAAATTACTTAATGATATATTATCAGTCGTTGTGGTTAGTGCTTGGAACAACGCCTATTGAAGGCCCAGCCTCTGCATTTCCTTGTTGAGGTGCGGCACCGAAACCCTCGTCTTGGGTTTGCACCGCATGTATCGGCAGGCCCGGGCCCATGAAGGAGCTCAGACTGAAGTGGGTTTGTGTTGGGAAGTCGGAGAGGATACCCCCCGTCGATCTTTCGTGAAGATTGAGCATCAGTCGAGAGACCATCGTCACTGAAATGCTACATCTATCTGTTAGTGCTTGTTTCACGGATGAACAGGTTTGAGGACGGACCAACTGGCGATTGTCGACAAGGAGCCCGCTAATACTGGCTGAAAAGAGTGGGATTCAGAAGAAAGTCAGAGCGCTTAACATCAGGCTCACCCCCCGCGAACTCCAAAAATGGTCAGCTAAACAAGGGAAAGAACAAACAAAAAACACACACATAGAATGTGAAAATGTTCCCGAGATTGGCCAGAACCATTATGCCGAAGTAAAGAGCACCTGGTAAGATTAACGAACGCATCGGAATCACTGAAGGGCTTACCGTCGCGGAGCATCAGAGTGTGCATTGGGATGTAGCGGTAAGAGCCCACAATCCGCCAAGTCGACCAAGTCTTGTAGAGGGTCAGAGCGAAGATGAGAGTGTCGAATACGAAGAGCGCCTCCCAGGCTGCTGCTAGATCTACGGGGAAGCATGAACGGGAATGAATAAGACATGGGGGTCTGGGAACGAACGGTATTGACTACCAGAAACGTCAGCGCTAGTCATTAAGGAAATTATGGACACGCACGTAGCCCGGCTCACAATGACATGACAGCCCGGAAACCCTTCGATGTTGCGCGACTCTTGGCCAATAATTGACCACTGTAGTTTTTCGTCAGGTCAGGCATAAATTTGCGACAGGACATACGATGACGACTGCGACGAGGCAAGCGGAAATTAGCAAAAGAACCGCGATGAGGTAGCGGTTCCTGTTGTATAATGCGTAAGTCCGCAGGAGCATGATAACTGGATCAACATTAGGGACTTGAGGCAGAAAAGAAGCACCCTAGACGCACTGCAGACCAAAAACTGTGTCCCAACTATCACGATTTGGTGGCTGATATGGTAAACCCCACACCACTTCGAAGGTTTCGCATTCAGTGCGATCCCAAAGGGCAGAAAGGCTTGCTCACCTTGTCCGCCAGTGTGTAAAACGCGAGAACGGTGATCGAGGTGTTTCCAAGCAGACCGGCATAGCGCACGGAAAAGAACCAGTTGGCGCTCGATGTCCGCTTGCGCCTCCACAGACGACGAAATTCGACGCCTGCATACAGCCTTGAGTCAACAGGACGACAGGCATTGTCCATAAGTTACCGAAGGTGATGAGATGGTCGTAGTACAAGAGCGCTTCGCGAGAGAGGTCAGCAGAAAGAAGCGAAGACACAAAACACGACGCACAAATCCCAATGAGATGGAGGCAGCCCTGGAGAAAGCTGAATGGGCAAAAAAGGTCAACTAGATGATAAATTCGCGGGCCGCTTCACGTACATCTCGCGGACCAGCTCTGCATCGACGGTGACATTGTCCATGAGCGATGGCCATGAACTTGAACCGGCCGGGGTCGCGCGACAACAAGGAGGGACAAAAAGACGCCTGGATGGACCACGTCCGATTCATATAGAATGCAATGCGATCTTCATCAACGTCAAGCTCGCCGTGGCCTGGAAACAAACGGGTCAACCAGGTCAACCGCATCTCTTGTCATCGTCTGGCAGTTCGATGGCGCGCTTCCCTCGCGCGCTTTTTGCATGCTCGACCTTGTGCAACGGGCAGAACCCAGGTTCGATGTCTTTGAAGAGAGGCCACAACGGCGCATGTGCCAACAGGAGACAAGGATTCGCTTCACGAAGGGTCCTCGTTGCTCAATAAGGATAAACCGGACATTTGAAACCATGCGGTTGCCGAAACAGAAACCGTCGTAGTCACTGGAGTCACATACGATAGAGCCTTGGAAAAGAGGTTGGAGAGAAATCATATCAGTAGGTCATGAAGCTGGACTGAAGGGCGAGATAAAAGCGAAATCCAGATTAAAAAAGATTAAAAGACATAAACAACATCCACGCAGTACACTAGTACACAACATTTAAGTACCCTTTTCTGGCCGGCCCTCGCCCTCCGCCTCACCCGCGAATCCACTGCGGCCACCCGTGCCAATCATGTTCAGCTCAAGCTCCGCCCTGTCGAGCTCGCGGAACGTGAAGTAGAAGATGCCCGCGAATATCGTCGCGGTAATGCCGAAGCTGGCGAACAACCATTGGAACTTGTCCTCGACGTTGACGCTGGTCAGGGCAAAGTTGAGGGCAGAGGCGATGGCGGTTTGGAGCTGGGCGAAGGCCATAACGACGGACTTCATGCGCTGGGGTGCCTTGGTGTAAGCGTATTCGAGCGAGGTGATGGAAGCGAAGATTTCTGCCATTCCGACGAGGATGTATGGGCCAGAGACAACCCAAACGTTGATGGGAGCAGCATTGGGGTTACCGTCCGCGGTCTCACACTCCGAAGGCAGGTGGTTCGGGCAAGGAGAGGTCTTGTAGAGGTAGTGCTCGAGAACGGCAGCCCAAACCATGGCTATTGGCATCGTCAGTAAAGCAAATTACAATGGCGAATAGGAACAACATACCCAGTCCAGCAACGAAGAAACCCATAGCAATCCGCTTGATGGGCGAGAAGTTGATGCCCCAACGGCGCAGCAAGGGGTAAATGACGCGCTCGAAGATGGGGACCATGATGATGATCGAGATGGGGTTCAAGTTCTGGATAAGATCGTTGGGCGTGCCTTTGAGGGTCATGCCAGCAGCAACAGTGCCCAAGTTTCCGTCGATTTGAGAGTAGCCTGTAATATTGGTTAACTTCGGGGAATATGTAGCCTCGCAAATGACTTACAGAGCCAGAAAATAGGGAAGAACACGAAGACCTTGCAAGCCAACATGGTACGGTGGACTTCACCGACAAAGTCGTCATCCCAGGTGATGTATTCTGGTGCCTTGCCGTTATATGTGCCTGTAGGCCTTTTAAGTAAGGCAAACAAAGAAAAAATCATGAAACTCACTGGGCTTAGCAGGGTCCCAGAATCCTTCACGCTTGACCTCCTTGTAGAAGGCAACAGGGTTCCATGACCAGCGAGCACCGACACAGACTCGGATGACGCGGAAAGTCTCAATGATGATACTGCCACGGGGAGGTGTCTTGACGTAGTTCTTGCGGCCGATCCAGAGAATGGCAGGAACAGTGGCAAAAATGCAGGTGGGGACGAGGAAAGCGACCCAGTAGCCGTGATCACGAGCAAGGAAGGACGCCGAAATGGCACCAGTTGAGCCGAAGTTGATGGCCATGTAAAAGTAGAGGTAGATACTCTGGATAGTGATACCGGGCGAAATAATGACCGTTTCGCCGGACGGGAGAGTTTCTAGGCCGTGTCAATACAAAGGCGGGGACAGGATAGATAAACGTACCTTTTCTCAGCTTGCCCTGGTACTGCTCAGCAATCATCGGAGATACGTTCGACTTAATCGAGCCAGCACCGATAGCCATGACGAAAATTGACAGGATCAGAAGGCCGAGAGCAGTGTTGGGTTTGGCTAGAGAGTCCGGGGTGGCAGAGCCGACGAGAATGATGTGTCCGAGGCTGCCGCAATTCAGTGACAATATGAGCAACGGCGCTGGAAACTCACAAAATGACGATGGAGAAAACACTGATGGTTTTGTAACGACCCCACTTGGTGTCAGCGATAATGGCGCCGAGGAAAGGAGTAACGTAGACGAAGAAGGAGTTGAACTAGTGCGATGTTAGCGATGTTTATATTTTGGAAAGGAGGACCCACTGTACGAATAGCGAAAGCCCGTTCTTGGCCTCTGCAGACACGTTATGGTCAAGTATGAACGCGAGGGCAGAGCACTTACTGGCCAAGCGCGCCTGCGACACCCACACCCCGGTTGGCGGGGAGAACGTGGCCATCCCGAGAGCCAGGAGGGAGTTTGGCACGAATGTAGTTGCCATAAAGATTGGTGGTGCCGTAGTAAGTCCATCGTTCAGCGAATTCGACGGCAGCAATGAGGAAGGCGGTCCATCTGGAAAGAATGACTAAGTAGACGCAAAATAGGAACACGGGCAAGGACGAACGGCATTTTGTCTCGAACATGGCGGAGCGTTGCCAACTCCTCCTCGGTTACACCCTCTGAGTTTTCGACATAGTGGGTCGTGGTGAGGTCGCCCTGGACGATGTCGGAACCGGACTCGAGGACCTTTTCGTCGACAGAGTCTGCCTTCTTCTCAACGGCTGCCATGCCTGAGTAGTAGCGAAGAGAGGAAGAGAAGGAGAATCACTTCGAAGGAAAGAAGCATCATTTTTAAAGACGGTTTTGAGCAATCGGGAAGATCCACCAGTCCACATGGCAACTTCTCGCCAAGCCCAGATGAGCAGCACGCTGTTCGGAGGAGAGTGAATGTTGGCAGTGCCTGCCAAGGGCCATGCTTATCGTTTTCGTAATCTCTGCGTTTCGAGCGACATACACTCGGAACTTGTGAGATGATACCGCCGATAAAGGTGGAGCGCGGGGGGGGTCAAGTGCCATTGAGGAGAATACAGATGAGCCAAAGTCGTGTTCTACTCCGGCGTTGGCCTCGCCTCTGGTTCTCAAGCACTTGCCGCATGCTGGTTGATGAGACTGTTTGATGCAACCGTTGACGCCTTGGCATGGTGGGAAAGTCTGAAATTGATGCATGATGGTCACATCACGTCACGCACGCTGTTTGCTTGTCCACCCGGTGATGAACGGAAGATCGAATGGCGCACACGAGCACACAAGCACACGAGCAAGATATGAATGTTATGCACTGGAACTGGTATGTGCTCAGCTCTGTACGACGAAGACATCTAACTCTAAACCCAGACGTTATTATCAAATTGTGAAACCTCAGCTACAAATGTAGGGAGCAAGGTTCATGGAAAGGTTTCGGTACTTCAAGTTGCTATTCCTATCCTACTCGCACAAGATATGCTCAATGCTCAATCGGTCGCCGTGGCATCACGATTTCTTTCGTCAATCTACCGTCCCCAGATCTTCCACTGTTGTGGGTGTGCTCGGCCAAGATGAAGTTTCAAAATCCAGGACGAGCCTCAGCCTCAGCTCTTTATCTTGCAATTGGCATTAGTTGCGCCATCCTCTCCCCAAGCCGCTTCATGTCTTATCTTGTGTTGTCCAGGGACTTGGTGTTGATTGCGTTTTTCTTGCTTTACCTTTGTCGGTTGTTCTGCCTTGGATGCGGCCATCTTCGCCCATTTGTTGCAGCTAGAAGAGAGTCGGACTTGAGCGCAGTCTCTCGAAGTGGCGGTCACCGGAGACCGAGCTTACCAAGACCTTCTCCCATGTGACGATCCCGCAAAAGCCCATATGGAAAGGAGACGGTTGCGGGCAGCGGATGCAACAAGGGATGCAACAACGAGTTTCACCATCTTCGGCAATCGAGGGCGGAGGTGCTGCGCCGCTTTTGCAAGCAACATATGTATGCCAATCATATGGCGATCCGCTCCGGCGGCATCCGCTTGTCTTCCGCTCCGTCAAGTTCCATCCCTGATGCGAACAGCTATAGAGCCATTAACACCGAGCAGTCTTCTTGATTCGATACACGCTGCTGCAGTTCATCTAGGGATTGGAGCTGGAGCCTTGACGTCAGCTACAGCAACCCTCAAAAGCTCCTCCTCAACTTCTGCACATGCGCCACTATTTGTTGCTCCTTCATGTGGTCGAGCTAGAAGCAGGAACAATCAACTTGAACCTCCAACGCCAATCCAAAAATGGGGCTTCTTCGTCCAGCGGCTGAAGATCGAGGGTGCGGAAACATTATCACCGCTACTTGTCATTGCTTGTAAACTCAGTCGCCCTGGACCATATCAAATAACCTATGACGATATCACGACCTCTACTTAATTGCTTTTGATTGGCAACCCTTTCTTCATCCAATCGTCTCAATAATGATTTCTCCGACCTTGCGAATCACTCGTTTGACCCACCACTCCCGTTTTGCTGGCGGAGGATTATTCGCGCGTTGTGGTGGGGGTTGTTGTACAGTTGGGCGCCCTGCCAGAGCCGGAGCAGAATTGAGGCCTTGCGAAGGTCTTGATGGCGATTGCGACGCGAATGGCGATATCGTTGGGACTGCTGGTGTTGACGTTGGCACCAGTGCAGGTACCGTTGGTGCGGGAGCAGGCCTAGGTTGAATCGGCGCTGGTGCAGGTGTCAGCGCGGGTGGTGGTGATGCAGGCGCGGGCATTTCTGGCAGAGGTGCTTTTGATGGTGGTGGTGCGGGCACTTCTGGCGCGGGGTTGACTGTTGATTTTGGGGGGACGTGCGTGCTTTCCACAGGTCGGGCTGTGGTCTTGACAACACGATGTTCCCATACCACGAACTCCCTTCTTTCTCCGTGATCAAGACGCTCCCAGTTGGTCAAAACCTCCTTCCACCGATATTGTTCCAACTTGTGTTTTGTCCTTTCTCCGACGACCTGAACGCTGCGGAGCTCTCCCTCGTCGAGGATTCTGTGAGCGCTGCGAAGATACCCCTCCAGAGAGTCTACCGAAAAGCATTCAACGACCGTGCTAGCTTGTAATGACATGCTTGGTTACCTTTCAACACAGTATGAGAAGGACCGTCACCACTGGCATCATGTCCAATTCTGAATATATTGCCAAACATCTGAAAGCCTCCAGCGCTCTCCAGCTTCACGCATGAACTACGATCGAGATATAATACCAGCTCTATGTTGGTCGCTCGCGTTTTCCCCGAAACCAATTCTTCAATACGACGGTGGTACTTGTGCGCCGAGATCTCTACTAGGTGGTGCAAGTTGAAGCGATGGGGTTGGAGGTCCTGGTATTCGTAGAAGAATGGGTTTCCTGTGCTGATGCGGATATGTGAGAATAGGTCACTGGTGTCCCGCTCTCGAAAGACGCAGATATCAACAAGCCACAAGACGCTGTGTAAGTCCTGGTCCGGGTAGCATTTGACTGTTGGGACCGTCAGAATTTGCACACGACCTTTTCTGGCCCTAATCAGCGACTCACTCCCTTTCAGCATGAACTGCTGGTCATCCCCCCAGGGCGATTTTTCGCGAACATAAACATCGACAGTGTGTTGATGGCGGAATGCGCTCTTCATCCGCTTCAAAACCTTCTTGCAATCTGATTCCATCCTATCGTCCTTGTAACGCGCTTCATCCAACTCGTCCCGTAACTATGCCAAAACTCGAAAATCATTCGATGCATAATCGTTGCGTCGCGTACCTTTTGTCTACGCCTCTCCTCGACAGCACCCGTGAGTGGCAGACCCTTCAAGTTCAGGATCTTCTTTTCTCGGACCGTGACCTGCCTCAACGATTCGTCTAGCAAATCATCAAGCTCGTGTCGTTTTGCGCCACTTGGGTCTTATGAGCTCATGAAGTTTCATATGCGAAGATGTGACAGACCTCATCTTAGCATCCTTTATCAGCTCTCTGTAAACCCGACAGAGTACGATATGCTGATGAAGCCCATATCGGCTTGAGCGCACAGTCTCGAATGGGGTGGAGGGGCAGAGCTCTCGACCTAGCATTATCGTCAGAGCTTGGGAACGGACGAGTGAGACAATACTTATTTTGATGGGCCCTTGCATCAACACTAACTTGAATCTGTGCGTGCAGAATCCTCATTTCTTGTTAGAAAGCACTGATCCACGTTTATCTGAGGCAAAATTAGAGTTCAATGGAAAAAACGTGGCATGAGGTCATCGATGCTACTTCTTTGTGGCTCGATTAGGAAGCGGAGGATGTGGTTGACAAAGCAATGCCCGCACTAGCGCCTGATCAGCAAAGTCTGTTCTCGATAGCACCTCCGCCTCCATCAACCGGGAATCATGGATCACCTTAACTAGGTGGCATGTTCAGTGCGTGGTAATACAGTTCATTTTAAGTCTCTCACTCGTTCTACCACTCCCCAACATGTCGATACCTCAACTGTCTCAAAATGGTTTCGCGAACACTAGCCGCGATCGACGTCAACAGGCTGCACGTCTGTAGTTGTCGAATTGGAAGAGTTGTGCTGTCTGACGAATTATCAGCTCGTCGCGGGACAGCGTTGACATCTATCGCGTGTAGGTTTTCGTGCCTACCTCGGTACATCCCTGTTCACCGAATCTTTCACTGGCAGACGAAGCTCCAAAACTTGTTCAATCCCAAATATCCGCGTGGAGAAACACAGTCCAAAGCGCAGCAGTCGTGGTGCGCTCATGTTTATGGCCACCCAAGTCGGGACTCACGATTTCCATGTGTTTGATAAGACTGCACTTTTCGCATCCTTGGCCGCCACGATACTGGGTGTAATTCGGCAAGATCCGGCCATGGCCGGCAGCCAGGGGCCCGAAAATACCTTTTTAGTTTTTTCATCGTATGCTGCGATGCTCTTCAATTCTATCACCACACTCGCATCTCTATTCTTCATCGACTCTCTTGGCGATATCGAACTCAATGACGCCCAAAAAGGGGGAGAACGCGCAACAGAAGGTTGGATTAGTCGTCCAGCTTCCAGTCTCTCGCTGCTCAGACAGTTTGGCGCAACCCGGCGGATTAGATTCATCTTCTACCAATGTGAGCTCCGATTCGATCCTCCTGTCGGAATCTTCTTTGATATTGGGCCAGGGTTTGTTCACTTGTGCATGGGGACTCTGTTCCTGCTGCTCCAAATCCTCATGTACATCTGGATGCGGGAAAGCAAAGTTCTGTTTATCGTTCTCGCCTGTCTTACAGCCCCGGCGACTGTCGTGTTATTCTTATCCGGCCTATGGAAAAATTAAGCGCCGAAGAGTTGTCCTCGAATCTAGGTCTAACTTTTGCTATGAATATTTGTACTATACGTGCTTCAGTCATACTTCTGGTCTCTCTAGCATTATTTTCCAGTAATCATCTGTGATCTTTCTTGTTATTTGCCGGATTTACCGGCCAGATCTGCCGGTATCGTAAGACTGGTCACAAGTCTTGTCTTTCAACAGCTAGCATGGCGCCGCTGGTTACGCCAGCCTGCTGGCATCCTATTTCGTCCGTTGTCAACGCTATCGATACCAAGGTGGCTGGGATGGTGGGAGAACCACATTCAGCTTTGGAAAACATGCGACGGAGAGGTTGCTCTGCAGCTTGAAGTCCCGGCTTCGCCGCCCAGCATTCAGCAATAAAAGGAGAAGACTTTGCCGCCATGTCGCCACTGCTCGCCAGCCCAAGCATTCGACTTTTCCATGGCCGCTACACAACTCTCCCTCTTCACCGAGCTCACCCGTCTTACCCAGCCCGGGTACCCAGTCACTGAGGTGCTCACGAAGCTCCTCAATCTGGTCGGACACGATGTCTGTGCCACCAAGCGCAATCATCACGCCGTCTACTGGGCCGTCTCACAAGCCCGCGACATCATCGACGGCATTAACGCCCTCGTCAAGGTTGCTGGGGAGGGTGAATCTTGGGAGGCTTTCGATGACTACACCATCCGAATCCTATGGATCGAAAAGTACATCGACTTATTCCACATTGCGTTCAAGGCTAATGGCATCCAGAGTTCTGTTGGCTTTCTCTCTGATCACCGAAAAAGAGACTATCGTCGCCCGATTCGGCGAGACATCGAGCATTGTCGAGGAAATTGCCTTTGTGGACGCACTTCGGGACAACAGAAAGGACCTTCGCGACATTCTTCAACAGTTGATCGACTCTACGTATCTCAAGGCAACTGTTTTTACCAGTGATACCTGCCTGTGCTTACAATCACCAGGGTGATGTTGCTGAGCACACCAAGGCAGTCAAGACAGTTCAAAAACAGGACGATCTATCTGCATTCCGCGCTACAGTTGGCAGACTTCGCAATTACCTTAATCGGCTTAGCGGCCACGGCAAGGACTCGCTCGCAGAAGTTGTCCGCCGTTTTGATGCTCTCCACGTTACTTTGGCCACTGCGCCAGACACTCTAGCTGACGTAGGCACTTTCTGGAAGCTCTTGCTAACCTCATTCAATTTTTCACACAGGCCGTCTTTCTTTTTGCTCTTCAATGCGCTCTCCTTATCGAAATCGTCACTAGCAACCGCGACAAGAAGGCATTTATGCGCGTCCAAGACAAGGAGTTTTGGCGTACTGTTCTTGGGTAAGCTTCCCCCAATCATTCTATTCATATATGAACTATTTCAAGCTGGATTACCGTCGCTGAGAAGCATGCCAAAGACCCAAATTTCTCTGTCACCGGACTCCCGGGCGAATATACCGCAGCCGTTATATACCTTGTATGCCGCGCTCTCCTCCGGTTTATCGCCCTCACCGTCTCGTTCAGACTGGTGCCATTGTTGCCCAGCTCCCGGATGGATTCAAGGATCTTCGTCCGCTCGTGGCGCTCACTCGCCGCCCGTTCTACTCTCAAAGTGTTACCATCGTCGCTGGCTGCGCAGAACTTGCCACCACCTTCAACAAACAGAAGACTGTAGAGATGCTTAGTGCTTTCAACGCGTGCGTTACCGAAAAAAAATTCGACATCAGTATTCATTATTTGCAGTGCCCTCGAAAAGGCCACTTCTGCGCTCAAAGCTGCTGCGGATGTCAAATACGATCCCTATACCCCATGGGCCACATCAGACAGTGCCACCGCCGCGTTCGAGGAGGCAGAGACTGCAATCAAGTTTTGCTACCAGGACTACCAGGTTCTTCTTACTTGGTTATTACACTGCGTTTCTAAGACTATTTTAGGTGTCCTCCGCGACATGGGAGAAGCGCATGAAGAATTCACGAGACTCTGACGCAGATCGACTTGCTCAGTTGGAGAAACGCTTCAGTCGTGCCAAGGTAGCTTGATGGCCTGCAGCTGATATTCAACGCAATCCAACGCTCACATCCTCTTCAATAGACCGATTTCCCCGCTGAACAAACTATCGACGTCACGGTGTCAGTCTCCCTTGCAGGGAGCCAAACCCAACCTATCAGGCGTTCATGTCAGTTCTCGGATTTAGTCCAAACACAATGCTGATCTTTCCATGCAGACAAGATCGACTCCGCGCTCACCTTGCATGCTCTCCTTTGGAAAGAGGCGTCCTTGCGAGAAAGCATCCCGGCGGCTAACGAAGTGCGCAACCAAGCCTTCTTTTATGCCACCGCCGACAAGGCCCCGCTCGATCTTGACATGCTGATCTCGAACTTGCCTAATGCTCAAGGGCGGAGTGGCAAAGTGGTCGTACTTGTTGTCCCCAACGTCTAAGAGCTGTGATGCGGGTCAACCTTTTGCCATTCTCTTAGCTACTGGTTGTATATGTTGCTTGTTACATCTGATCTTCCACAATATAGTATCACCCCCCTTCACACGAAAGCACTCCTCACTTAGCAAAAGCCTGGTCGATACACATTAAGGAAGAGAGCGTTGAATTGATTTTCCATTCCGTATTACAACTAAGTATCTTGAACACTCCAACAGCCCACTTTGAGAGCGAACTCGACTGCGAACTACTTAAGACGAGTAAGCGGCGATGGCAGGTACGAATGCAGCGGTAATTCCGTCACGGATGGCAGTAGCCCGCTCGACCAGGTCCTCCTACAATAGACCGTTAGCTTGGTAGAAAGATGGCACGGAGAGCAACATACGGGGGAGTCAGCGATAAGTGCGTCGGCGAAAGCAGTGGTGGCGGTCTGGAGGTTGCGGAGGTCCTGGAGAATGAGGGCAGGGAGACCGCCGATGGGAAGAGACTGGAATCCGGGCTTCTTGGCAACGATGCCCTCGAGGGCGGAGAGGATGGTGGGCTCGATGGCCTCAACCGACGCGAGAATGGCAGTGCCCTCCTCCTCGGTGAAGGGGCCAGCGGCGACGGCATCGGTGGTTCCAGTGTTCAAGGAAGTGACGAGAGCGGTCGCGGAGTTGTGGATGCCCTAAATAGACAAGCTTTGTCAGCATTGAGAAACAAAACGTCAGGCGAAACCCACCAAAGCAGCGGCGAGGCTGCCACCAGAAACGGGGAAGGCCTGGATGGCGTTGTCCAGGTTGGTGACCTGGGTGGTGATTGTGGCAATATCGGCCACAACAGCAGCGACGTCGCGCTTGGCAACGAGGGCGACGCTGAGAGCAGCAACCGAGAGGACGGTGAAGAGACGCGGGAAGACCATCATTTTGGACGCGAAAACAGAGAGAAGTTGTGGGTGTAGGAAGCTTGGAACAGACGAGTCGGGGACACGCTGAAGAAACAGAGACCGGTTGAAAAGATTTTATACGTTTTCCGGTCCCTGGTCATGTGTGTGGGTGAAACCGTGTTTCTGCATGATCTTAGCGGCACATCATCAAAAGATCAGCAGGGGGACTCACGAGGAGCCGTTGTTAAATGTTTTATCACGTTCCAACAATGTGAAGGACGGGGAATGGGCTTGGCTGGCATTACCCCGCACTGCCAATGCGGGGAACCGCGGGTAAAAATTCACGGTGTGGAGCATCGACTGTTGAAGAAGCTGCAGAAAAGGTTAGGAAGAGGCGAAAAACTTACTGTTGAACGTTTTTGTTGCAAATGAATACTCCCAATAGAACAAATTCAAGAGTAATTTGGTTGACGACCGCATGCTTTTTTCTTCATGTTCCGCCGACCAGACATTGGTCCATCCGATGAACCTGAAAAATAAACAGTGAGCTTGGAGTCAAACGTACTTTGTATGGCAGGTACAAGAGAATTCGTGGTTACAGGCACGAAAGACCGGGTTACATGGTCACTGCGCAGTCTGCGAGTAGTCTGCGCGTAGACTTTCAAGGCATTCCGCCAAGCAGCGGCGGAAACCCGTCGGGGAGTGCTCGTGAAATCAGTTCAAGAAGCAGACCATTCTAGCGCAAATCCACGCCATTGAGCATGACGGAGGAGGAGGACTGTGACTATGATCTTGGGCTTGTCAACTGATTTTTGACGAGATCATAGATGAGAACCAGAACGCGCCAACGTGATACGCTCAGTCTGACTAGTCTGTTCGCCTCCCTCTAAACCGCCCAGAAGCCGCCTCCTAGTGCTTTCTCGAGAGCGCAGGGATAAAGGCTCACTAAATGTGACCATCAGCGCATCATGACCCTGACCCGACCCCCTTACATCCAACCACAATCTCAGTCATCCATAAGCACTACAATGGCTCAAGGAAACAAGGTATATCAAAAATGACATCGACAATCGAGTCCAATTGTTTCTCAGATACGGTCGCGTCACCTCATCAAGACGCCGATTGATAGTTGAGCGAGCGATTTGTTTGGCGCATCGACTGAAACTCCCAGAGAAATTACGAGGGGGGATATCAAGCGCATCCATTACCGCAGTGGGGTGAAGCGGGGTAGTGGGTACATGTACGAGGAGACCCGCTTCAATCTGTACCACTTCGTGCAAGATGTGATGAAAGAGTCGGTGCTGTACATGGCGCATGACTGGAGGTAGGTGCTTTAACACTCTCTCCACACGGGTCTGACGTGCCATAACAGAAGAACAGTGAGGAGGAAGGATGTTGTCCGTGCATTGTCCAGCAACCGTCTAGGAGCCCGATTCAAGGTGTACCTCACGAGTTACTAGTCATAAGTATGAGTGATTTTTTCAAATATAGCAGGCGCAAATACCGTCATGCTGTCCTCGAACAGAAGGAACTGTCCCAACACCGTCAACATTCTCAATTATCTAACTGACGCCACCAGAAAGGAGTGGGGAACCAACGAGAGAGAATTTCAGGCTTGGCCACGGGGGTTTGCACGCCAACAATGAAATCATGTTGTATCGAGATGCGAGTAACAATGGAGGGCACCGACTGGGTGACCGACATCTGGGTGATATAAGAGACAAGGAGAAAGTGAATGATGACGACACACGTTCTCCAGAATACACTGCTCCGGAACATTTTGAAAACCACGAAGAAACCGGGCTTTGGATAAATGGACTGGAGGTATACTGCACAGCTGTTCCTCAACCACGCAAAGTCAAAGAAGACCCATATTGTGGCTCAGCGTACCCAGCACGGTCCCAACAGCAACGATCATCCAGTTCCAAGCTTCGGCATGGGCTGTTTCTCCAGGTGAGTCCAAGAAGGAGTGGACTCATGGGGTTAAGTACATATATTGACGGGAATCGACGGTCGTCATATACAGGTATCTTCCGATAATGGAGTTGCGCGCAAGTCCAAGGGAAGGGAAGGCCGGAAGCGTTGGTCTGCAAGGAAGATAATACTTGAAGATTCTGCTCGTTGTGGGTCGTGAAGTTGTCCATGTCACATGTTCTTTGATGGGACTTTCTCCTTTGACACGACGACACCGAGTGAATACATGGAGCCTCTGTTCCAATTCGCGAAAAAGAGTCTGCAAATGCGGCGAGCTTAAAATGCATCATCCATCTTTTGCTCAGATTTTTGCCAATGGAGGAGGGGTCAGTACCATCTAGGTTACCACTACCCCACCAAAACCAAGACCAAAAGTTTATTTTACTACTAGTATGTAGCAGTAGCATATAGGTATAGATATACTTTGTAGGGGTACATTTAGAAAGGGCTAAAAATACAGCATGATAATCCGAGAAGCCATCATCTACTCATCGTCTCGTCTGACTGGCTGAGTATGTATGCGCTCCGCTCCATGTCCCGCGTCCAGAGGGTGTCTAATTCCACAACAGGACTCCATTCACCATCCGTCGTCGAGTGTGCATTTGCGTGTTTTCGATAGTATTGCACGGTCGCGATGGTGGAGAAGATGCCTTTGCTTTCAACGGCGTGGAGATTGAGCATCAGCCGGGACATCATGGTGACAGAGAGGCAGGAGGCAAGAGTTGAGAGGGAGCCGCGGAGGAGGTCGTCGCAGAGCTAAATGGCTTGTTAATCCCTTGTTGAAAGCAAAAGTACGGCAAACACACACATAGAAGGTCAAGATGTTTCCCAGGTTCGCTGAAGCCATCGCAACAAAGTACATGGCGCCTTTAGGAAACAAGGTCAGTGCAAAAGAAAAAGGTATGGTCTTGCACACACCGTCGCGGACCAAAAGCGTCAACAGTGTCATGTCCCTTCCTCCGCTGGATTTCATGGCTGAGAAGGATTTCCAGAAGAGGGAAACCGCGATCATGCAGTCATACGTGAATAAAGCCAGCCACGGAACGGCCAGGTGAACCCCGCTGCCGATCAAGATTAGCACAGAACACAGACCAGATTTACTCGACTCACGTATCGAATGAGTTGCCTAAATGGCATCCTTCGACGTCTGGGAGAGGGTAGCTATGACGGCCGCTTATTCCCCACTGTTTTCTGGTCAGTGTTAATCTGTGTTTTCGAAGACGACCGCACCAAACCCAGTCCAAGGAGGCCACAAGCTGCGGCAACGAGGTACATCCAAAGCTTGGACTCGCGTCCATAAAGTGCATATATTCGCAATGTGAGCAGCACTAACAGCCGAGTTGAACGTAATAGATCGGGACAGAGTGATCACGCACTGCAAATCAGGCTTTGGTTTACGATGAGGAGGATTTGGCGAAAGAAGTTGACGCTTCGGCACTCCTGGCTCAAGTCAGCGCGGAAGCAGAATGCGTAGAGGCCACGCCTACCTCGGCAGGTATGGAATAGAAGGTGAAGTATATGACGGCAATGTCACCAAAGAATGCGATGTAGCGATTAAGGAAGAAGCAATAGGTACTCATTGTCTTCTTTCGCCGCCATAGAAATCGGATTTCGTCGCCTGTTGCATGTTGATAATGAGCGTGAGGGGGTCGGGGTAATGGTAGCAGCACACCAAAAGTCAAGGCATGGTCCCAGAACAGAAACGCTATGAAGGATGAAGCGCCGGCTTGAAAGCAGAGCAAACACGCACTCATGGCGGGCAAGGCCAGGTAGTTGTGCATTCGTCTTGCTTCGAGGTCATCTTGGGGGGCTACAAATGGAGCGAAGTACACACAAGTCAAACGCAATAGTCACCGCGTCGAATTGATGAGAGCCGTCTCCATCTGCGGCCATGGCAGAATGGGCGGATATGATTGGAGGTTCAAGCCAGGATGGAAGGAGGGGAAGAAAGGGCGTTGAGGAGAATCCCAAATGCCAGCGCCGCGACCGCTTGAGACGAGGATCGACTCATCGTGATGGGCATGTGGATTTCATCATTCCAGCCCTGCATTTGAGGTTCTGTGACCGTTCTGTGGGTCCACAGGCAGGCACAACCTAGATAGAGGGCCAGGAAGAAAGTTGGCGTCAATCCAGCGACGTTTTCTGCCAAACTAGCAGCATGTCTACTCATTTAAGTCAAAAGATATGTTGAGCAAGTGGAAAAAAACGTGGTAGGACAGGAGATGCCCTATCACGTCGATCATGTCACCATTGGCGCTGAACGTCAGGACCAGATTCCTTACAGTTATTCTGTGCGAGGCTGCTGGTACTAGGTAGCTTGGCGGCTTGTTTTACGGTCGGAAATAAAGTCTAAATGCGACAAAGTGCAGAGATACCTATTTATGTAAATCATTGCAATCAGCCTTCTGCAGCTGGAAAAGATCAAACCCAACCACGGGTCAGGCAGGGGGCTGGGAAACATCGAAAAAGGCGTAGAGAGAATCGGAAAGAGGTGGAAGTGGACGGAGCAAAAGGCGTGAGCCCGTAGAAGGGCTTGGGACCGACGATGCTTTGGGGGGGAATCGAACCCCCGGCGGGTCGAAACAGTAGCGAATCGACGTGGCAACGACCCAGGTTACCACTACCCCACCAAAGCGGTTGAATGAGTCGCAAATTGAGTCGCCATATGCTGAATGGTTGCGAGGAAGTAATATTTTCATCAACGATCCCGCTATCAAATGTTTTTACCTTGCCATCACTCTAAATTGCTCCGAAACTAGCAAAACTACGTTCCAGGACCATTATGAAGTCAGTTGCCATCTTTCAGGATCTCTTTCCAAGCCTAAGTCTTTGTTTTGAGCGGCTTTTGCGGATTGAGAGAGGATGTAGCGCTAACTGTTCAGCGCCTTCAATAGTCGTGTTGAGCTCCCTAAACTTGATACTCTCGTGCAGTTACACTCCCCCCTCCGTCACAAGACTATTTCAAGTCATGGCAACCAATATTAGATATCATCTGGTCGGGGGAACAATGACCTGTCACACCCAGTGCCAGTGGTCACAGGGGTTATCGCCAACTGATCCACCGCGTAGATGTCAAAATAAATGAAGGCAGGATGTGCGCTTCTCATACGTGTCTTCTGTGGCGCAGCGATTTACGGCTCACAACATCAACAGATCTACTCCCGAGTCCCAACGAACTTGAACGAAGACTCGGACTCGGATGTCACTACCAGAACTTGATAATAAAACCACAATGTATCTGTCAGACTCGGAGACGGGAGGCTTGAGCTCCTCCATTATTATTGTAGAGTCGAGTTGATCTCGTTCGCTCGCTACGCGTCCTCCAGAGCCGGGAATCATAGTATCCGGGTCAAGTCACTCCTATTTCAAAATACGTCCCGAGCGCCGGCGGTAGCGCCAACTTGAAGAGCACTGACCTCCCACCGACAGGCTACTCGTCCAAAGGTTTCCTTTCCCACTGGCAGGACATGAATGTAACGACAGCCACAACGAGTCAACGACTGATTATAGCTCGCTTAACTCCGAATCTCCGACCGCTATGCCCCGCAAGGCTTCTTCTTCCCCCCAAACTGCCTCAAACAACACCATTGCGTTGCTCATCGGAGGTCTGATCGCAGGAGTTGTGGTGCTGGTACTCGCAGGAGTCATTCTCTTACGCATCAGAAACTCACGGCGTCTTGCGCGCGTGCGAGAAACATGGCAAGCGCGGCCATTTGAGATGGGGCAGGCTGAGAGTGAATTTGTGGATTCTCGGGCTCTGCACTGGCAGCCCACAACGATACTGCAGTCCAAGTTTTCCTCGAGCTTGAGGAGGAATTTGAGTCAAAGGATTCCTGGAACGCGAACAGATGAGCAGGCCGTGCAGGCGATCACCGCGGTGGCTACGTTGGAGACTCAAATGCGAGCAATGGCAGAGCGGATGTCGGTGATGCAGGCCCAAATGCGACTCGGAATTTCTGGTGGAGATAATGTTGAAGAAAGACTTCCAGATTATTCGACAGACTAAATAGAAACACAGTAGGCGGTGAAAACTTGTAGCGCTCGGCCTTGGCGCTAATCAAATGTGGTCGCTCGAATGATGATCTGCTGTCGGAGACTCCAGAGTGAGCAACACTTGTGCACGTTTGTAGTGGCCGTTCCAGACTTCCATCCATCGATAATGCCAACGCTATCAAGTTTCTGGAAGATGGTTGACCGACGTTGTAGGGCTGTTAGCTGAGCAGGAAGAAGATGGAGGCGTAAGGCAGTGTGATGGCAACTCGTCACACGTTATCGATCAAATCCTTCCCTTTAAACGACTCCATCGATCTCATCGCTCTTCCTTCCTCACCACAATGGCCAACACCTACGTCCGTCTTTTTGGTTGTCGTTGTCGTGCTGGATTGGAACTGATTTCTTTTTTCCGTTTAGTTTGACGTTTCGATCGGCGGCGCTCCTGCTGAGCGCATCGTCTTCAAATTATACGACGATGTCGTGCCTAAGACGACCGACAATTTCCGCAAGCTCTGCCAGGGTTTGGACATCAACGGCCAGCCCTCTGCTCAGGGTTACGGCTACGCTGGTTCCAAGTTCCATCGTATCATCCCCCAATTCATGCTTCAAGGAGGCGACTTCACCCGCCACAACGGTACTGGGGGTGTCTCGATCTACGGCGAGAAGTTCAAGGGTGTGTTGCTCTCCACAATCCTACGCTTGATCGCTCATGGAAACGATTAGATGAGAACTTCCAGCTGAAGCACACCAAACCCTTTCTTCTCTCGATGGCCAACGCTGGCCCAAACACCAATGGCTCCCAGTTCTTCATCACCACCGTCGTCACCAGCTGGCTCGATGGCAAGCACGTCGTCTTCGGTATGTGTAATTTCTTCGGATGGCGTCATGCTCGTCATCGCTCGCTAAATCTCGTCATCACAATTTGCTAATTTTTTTATCTCTTAGGCGAGGTCGTCACCGGCACGGACGTCGTCAAAAAGGTCGAAGCCGTCGGCACATCGAGCGGGGCCCCCACGAAGACTGTCACCATCGTTGCCTCTGGCATTGTTGAATAAGCAAGTTGCAGCGGAGAGAGAGAAGTTCACAAAGATGAAAACGAACCTTGTAGTCTTGTTCCTGTGCTGAGGATATGTACTTTTATACATATCGTTATCGCTCACTCACAATCTGTCGTGAACATAGCTGGGCTTCAAGCCGTCGTCAAACCCCAGAATCTATTTGTAGCGCTGGCCGTGTCAGTTTAACTAGGCCCTGAACGACTTCTAACCCCACAAACTATTTGTAGCTTTCATGCCTGCCGGTAGACGCTGAGAGACTTGTGTGCTCGGCGTCAGGGCGGCGTACGTTCTACTTCCCCCCACGAACTTGTCCACTGGAAATGTCGGGTTCCTCTGACTCGGACTCTATCGACCAGCTTACACAGTTTACTGGTCGCCTTTCCCTGGGTACTCGCCAGGCAAACGCCCTCAACGCAACATCGCCCTACAAGTTCATCCACCAACGACTGACTGCCGACAAAGAGCCCCTCTTGTTCGTCGGCGAATCCCTGAATCGCAGCCTCCCTATTGTGCTTGCGACCGAGAGAGGGTCGTTTGATAGTATCTGGGCGAGCTCGTACACGGGTGAAATACAAGACTGGGATTTACCCAACCCTCCAGGCCCTTTAGGCAGATCCCAGCTCTGTCAAGGAATCAAGTTGGCACTTACTAATGCTGCGGTCAAGCGAGTTAAACGAAACACTGATCCTTCTGGGCCAGCTGGCAGTAAAGTACCAAGTGTTCCTCTATTGCACAAGCTGATCACTGCCATGTATTCTTTTAGATTGCGACAGGCCAGCTATCCTTACCCGTCTCCGCAATCTCTTCGACTCCATCCAGGAAGATGAGTTGGATCATATCAAGGCGAGATTTGCTTATCGCTTGGACGCCACATCTCTCTCTCACGACCTCCCTACCACTCGAAACATCTGGTTTCAGTGTCCGTGGCATTACGGTAATGCCAATACGAAGCTGCTCATTGAAGCGTTCATCAAGTCTGCCGCATCGGTCCAGAAAGTGGAGGACGCTGTATTCCTGGGGCTCGCACCGCACGAAAATTGCGGATGGGACTATGGATATGGGGCAGAGTCCCAGCGCTATCAAAGCCTGCAAAAGTTGGGTGAAGATGCTGGCTACGAGCTCGTGGGCGGGAAGCCTGACAAGGAGTTCATCCAGAAGGCAATACTCTTAGGCTACAAACACCATTCCGTGGCAGCGAAAGATCCGAAGCAGATGCATAAAAAGCTATGGAAGAGCCACGAGACCTATGTGTTCAGAAAGAAAGAATGAGGGGAAGCATACTCACACCCACATTGTGTAATATGGATTGTCGTGGACGACTCGGTACGAAGATGCAAATAAGAGACTTTTGAGAAACTTGATTCGTCTCAACGTGACGACATGCGGTGTGACTCGGACTCGGACCTTCTCTGAATACTTTTATTTCTCATCATACCAGCGCCCGCCCACTTTCTGTCCACTGAGAACTCTAATCAGTGAGATATTTGAACCAAGATCCCATTGTTCACAGTGTTCAAGACAGCATATGATGAAATCAAACAAGCAAAATCGCATGGGTACAACTGTGAGTGTTACTAGTACTCTAAGAATTGCAAGTCTCTCGTTCTGACCAAATCATTAGGCCATAGCCAGTGACCAACTCTTACACGTGTCCTCTAATTGTCATGGCCCAAGCAATGTATTGTGCTTGGGACCTTTTTGTTTCCTGGTCTGATGAACAAGCGCTCCGAGCTGCCATGGCCTTAGCGTTGCCTGCATAAATTACGAGCCAAACTGGCAAGCCCTGCACCACCAACGATGGCTCACGGTCCCCGCGCTCTTCGCCGCACTCCCTCGATCTCTTCTTCCGGATCGTCTTCAACTATGGCCACTGACTTGAAGCCATCCCCGGGTCTTACCAAACGCTTCTTGCGGAAGAGAGTGCAGGACAACCTCCACGTGGACAGACTGGTCAAAAAAGTGCTGAAGCAGGAGAAGTCAAGAGCCAAACAGGCTCGGAGGATGCGCAAACTCGAGAAACAGGCGAGCGGGTCGCATTCGTCAGCGTATGATGCCGATGTCGAGTCGGTGAATTCTTCGCGCACAATCATCACGGCCAAGACTCGAGCTGCTAGTCCCTCAGGCTCCAATCGTGATCACAACGAACCCCGTCCACTCCAGCCGTCGTACTTGAGCGAGACAATCGGGAAATGTCAAAGCCCCTACCTCCGTGCAGCCAAGCGGTCAGGCATCATCACCCAGCACAATGCAGAGGTTGATATCGCCGGAGAAGCGGTCCGCTTTCGGGTCGAGGACGATGACTGGGATGAAGGTGTGGTCAAAGAGATGAAATATCGATGGTGCGATGGGCAAGACATGATAGATGAAGAGCTTTAACCTCGACTACGAACTCCTTTTGTACGTTGTATGCCTTCCTCGTGTTTGTCTATGTTATGATGTTATGACTTCCTCTTTCATTCGGCCCTGCGAATTCTCAAAGGAACCACTGGCCCTTCCTCACCCACAACCTTCGGGCGGCGAATTAGTCCCAGGACAGTCGTAATGTCCGTCTTGGGACCGCCCGGGAGCTCGAACGAATAGTTCTTGATCAACACCGAAAGGACAGCCTATAAGTTTTTAATCGCGTCGAGCAAAGAAAAGAAAAGCCATACCTTGAATTCCGCCAACGCAAACTGTTTACCCAAGCATTGGCGCGGGCCATCCAGAAAGGTAATGAGGTGGCGATGTCCCTGGATCGCCTTGGCCCGCAGGTCGTCTACGTCAAACGTGAGCCAGCGCTCGGGCCTGAACTCAGCTGCATCGGGGCCCCAGAATGCCGTCGACCGGTTCATGCATCGAATGGACACGGTAACGACAGTGTCTTTGGGAACTGCAATCTGGGTGACCAGCTCGCCAGATTTGGCGGTGATTGGCTCGCTCAGGGGAATTACATCGTCGGTTTGCGCCTGTGGCCTATTTAGAGTGCTATTTTCAACAGAGAAATGTACCTGTCGAGTCGTTTCTGGCACGGCGGGATGAAGGCGGAGGATCTCGAGAACGACGGCATCGAGGTAAGGCAAAGACGAGGTAAGTTGGTCCCAGGTAGCGTCTTGTGGTCCGAAGCTAGTTAGTTCGTCTCGGAGCTTGGCTTGTATGTCGGGACGACGACAGAGCTCGATAAGAGCCCACTGTAAACGGGTTATATTGCTTTCGAGAACTGGTAAGTTTGCCTCACAGTCATGCTAACTGTATGTCATCAGCAAAGAAGGATGAAATATAGGAAAACTCACTGGATGTTGTCTCGTATCCTTTATTAATAAGCCAGTTGTGTACAATTCAGGACATATCTTACCTGCCAAAAGGAGGACATTCTAAGTGAGTGGTAAATGGCACATTCTATATCATTCTTTCCAATACCATTTGAGCAGTGATTTCCTCCTTATCCATATGAAGCTCAGCGTCTTCCTGTTCCGCCTTCACTACAATTCATCAGGAAAGCTTCTTGTCTAGGCAATGGACTCACAAAGCAACCCAATGACAGACTTGTCCATTGCCTCCTGCTGATTCGCCTTATCCTTCCGGGTCTTCTCCAAGAGTCCTTCCGCGATCGTTCCGAGTGTTTTCTTGAGTTTTCGAGTGAGGCGATTCCGCGGGGTCGGCAGGTGCGCGAGGAAGGGAATCTGGGTCCCCAGTAAGAAAACAGCGAGGTTGATGATGCTAGCACGGTTCCCGTTGAATGCCATGGCATCAAATGCGTCAGCGACGGTGGAAGCTTCGCCATCCAAGGAGCGGAATTCATGCGAAAAACCAGCAATGCCGATACTATCAAGTCTGTTGACGATGTCAGGCTGAGGGTCTTGACGATGCGTTGATAAACTGACGCGACGCGGTTCATCCTGTAAGCGATAAGCGTGTAACGAGGGTGCGGTGAAGTATGGCGGACCAGGCTTCTACATCCATAACTACACCATCCGGCGCGCCTTCAAGCTGTGTGTCCCAATGGCTCTTGAGCTTATACGCCGAATCGAAGAATACTTCGGTTAATCGGCGGATAGCAGCATTGCTGAATGCTGGTGTAAGCGCTTTGCGCTGCCTGTAATGGTAATGACTCAAATTCAAACAAGAATTCGCTATCGAGCCACGAACGCATACCGTTTGTGGTCTTCTCCCTCGGCGTACAATAAGCCATGTCCGATCTGTGTTTCGTTAATATCGAGACCCAAAGGCGACTCTTTCACTTACTAAGTTGCCAATGACATTGCGGGTCATTTGTGTCTTGATGTATACCGATCTTTCAGAGGCATAGAAGTGGTTAACGGCGCGTGGGTCGGTCAAGACGAGTTTACTCCCGCCCAGGGCCATCGGTTGCTCGAAAACGGAGCCATATTCCGCCGCCCACTCTTCAAAGACTTCAGCGGGCTCTACAGCAGACGAGAGACGCCGGCCAACGCCTAGCAGCCAACTGTCTCGTGGCGGGCCATTCAAGCGGGTCCCTCTTGTTCTGGTGAGTTGCTTGACAATCTTCGTGGCGACCCAAACACCGGTGCCGAGTATAAGGAAGTCAGAAATGCGGAGCTGGGTCAGGAAGGCCATGGGAAGCTGATACGACATCCTGCGACCCACTGGCAGCCTTTTATCAGCGAGACCTCCGACGGTTGGCTTCACGTGCCCGCCATATATCGGTCGTAGATTTGCCTTGCGATCCGACGGTTGCCACTGCTCAAGAACGCGGCGCTGCGGCTTCCCATGTCAAGAGAAGCTTTGCCCGCCGTCAAGGAACATGACAACAGGAAGAAATGTCACGCAGTGGTGACGTGACGCGACTTGCCTCAAAACGCCATGAGCCAGCGTCAAGCGTTCTATGGCGGCGGAGGAAAAAATGCTCCCAACGCGCCCGACGTGCCTCTCCACTCGTCTGAATCCCTCGTATTCACGCCTGACCCGAACAACCCACTCCACGCGGGTGCAAAACGCGACGCGCCGTTGAATACCAATTCGTTCACAAACGGAGGCCGCTCATCGGGATTCTCCTCCGCCCATAGACAATCTACTCCTCAAACCCGCCCTGGGACATCCGACCCGCGCTCTGCTTCCATGATGCGTACTGGGTTGAGCATGGTTCGGCCTGGGACATCCGACCCATACAAAGCTAGCGGAGGAAACCATCGTCTTCAGACTCACCAGGCTCATCGCAACACTCATGCAATCACAACCACTCCAGTAACTATGCAGCCACTGCCTACTTTTTCCCACAATGTCCCACCTGTTACTCCCCATCCTGCAATCCCCCACGTCGCTACTTTGTCGCAAGAAGAAGAAGACCCCGAAGTTGAGTACGCGCCGGAAACTGGCCGCGCCACTATGCAGGACCCGATGAGACTGCAACGTGCCACATACGCCGTGTCGATGACAGAAACCGAGGACGACAGTGAGATCTGCCAAATTCCGCCTCCCAACAAGCGCGCGCTCGCGGAGATTTGGATGACGAGCACGACATGGAGCATAGTCAGAGACCCCAAAAACGAGCCAAGACTACTAGGGTATGACAACAACGCCCCCGCAATCTTCCGATTACTGATGCGCCGTTGAGGAGGACCGGGAAAGATCCTATTCTGGTGCTAGTCACGAATATCGTCAGTCTGTCAGTCCGCGCCAACAAGACTACGACCAGTATCACCACTATCATCATCAGCAGCAGCAGCAGCAACAGCAGCAGCAACAACAACACAGCAGCAGCAAGAGCAAGAGCAACAGCCGGAGCCAGAGATATATTACCTTGGACCGGTGCCTGTTGTGCGAGACCCCTATGAGCAGTCTGCCACGCCTATGAATAAACTCATTGGTCTTCTCAAAGCAGAGAACAACGTGCTCGATGAAAAATCCATCGAGGCTCATGTCACGAGATACGAGACCGCGGCCCAACGTTGGCAGGGATGTACTCGCGAGGAGTGGCTGGCTGGGGCTAATGGTGTGTCTGCTACTTTGCTCGGATTTCATCTTCCAACCTTTACTTGTAGAGATCACTGAGATGTACACCAAGGTTTTCGACTTTGTTCGTCTAGTTTTTTCCTCTTACTTCTCCAACGACTCATTCCTTCCCAGGTTAAAGACCATATGACGTCCATATTCTCTCCTTGTCATTGCGGAATTCGTTGTTGACTTGTTGACAGCAAGAAGCTCGCCCTTTTTACTTCGTGCGACGAGAAGCTCGCCACTCACCACAAAGCTCTCCGCGAACGCGACCAACAGCTTACGAGCACCAAGGAACAGCTCCTCGAAGGCGGCGGAGAAGTTCTCGGTGGACAAGGCAAAGTCTAACGTTGTTTGCGGCGGCTACTTCTTGTTGGAAACGAACCCAAGACCTTTCTCCCCCAAAATATCACTTGCATGGCATCGGCAAACGCACTCGCAATTCACCATTATGCATTGTACCTCATCAACACCAATCGATAGCATCCGCATAGTTTAGAACTTCGCCTCTTTTTTGTAGCTTGTTACATATGTGTGTAGACCTCTCTGTATCGCTCATTGTAGAAAAATCAATGGACTTGTTATGATGACCATATATGAAAAGCGACATCAATCGAGTAAATTTAAGCCCGTATAGCCTGCGTCAAACTTGAGTGGTCGGCGCGCTCATGGCGTCCATCTGAGGGCACAAACTTCAGACAAAGAGTACAATCTTGCAAAGAGTTACTCACACGCTCGGCCCGGGTATAGGGTAGGCCTGTATGACGGATCAGTAAACTTTCCAGATTGTCGTCGTGGTGGATAGCTTACGCTGTTATCTAAGGAGAATCCAACGCGTAAGATAGGAGGCTAGGTAGCTAATAGAAAGGCCTACCGCCTGAATAAACATTGTAGACGATTCCTGGACGCGAATTGTGTCATCAGTCGACCAATATACTAAGGTGAACGGGAGGGACATACCCGGTGTTGTGGACTTGTACGCGCCTAAAGGTGGATTAATGAGGAACAAATGGTTAAAATGGCGAGCACGGACCGGGGAATGCGACAAGGGCAGAAGAAGGCGGGACAGCGGTGCCTGATCCAGTGACCTGGACCTGGATGCAGGAGGGGTAAAACTGGGCACCGGGGTAAGTGGTAGCCGAGTGGAGGGCGATGCTAGATGGCCAAAGTGGTTCGGGTCAGATGATAAGGACTAGTTTTCTGAGGACGCACATCTCATGGCGGATTATATATTGGCCGGGCTTGAGCTTCGCGGGTATAGTGAACGAGTAGATGCTCTTGTTTTGCGTAAGGACAGTAGTTGCAGCCCATTGACCTGCGGAGTTCTTTCCGGCCTCTGCAACCTTGAACCAGACGGCGCTATAAGAGTTATGAGAAGGGAGAAAATGGAGGGAAGAAAGAGAAACAAACGAGGTTCCCGGCTGCCAGGAGGTGATGTTGGTTCCACTAGGGACAGCGGCCATATAAGTGATCATCGGGCCCTATTATGGGTTAAATGCGCATAGCTTCATGAGAAGGAGAGCAATTTACGACGTGGCTGTCTGGCCAAGTGGTCCAATTGAGCCCTAGCGTTGTTCCCGCAGCAACAGTTGCGAAAATCGGCGCTGTGGTATATTCCATGAAGAGACGGATAAAGTAATCTGAGAAGCGCTCTTGCCTGGCTTAGATCCAACGACGCCTCCCTCGCTCCATCCATTGCATTGAAGACTGTAGAACACCGTTGAGGGTCTTAGGACAAACAACGACAGAGAACATACTCGATGAGGGTGAGATCCGTCACTGGTCCTGTGCCTCGTTATCAGCCAATTACTTGCAAAAGTGGTCAAGATGTACCATCGCCAGGGATTGTTCGAATGATTCTTTGGGGCTTGAGAGAAGTTGAGAGATCGTTTTACCTAAAGCAATGCAAGCTCACTGCGGGGCTGTAAAAGGGAAACGGGGTCAGCTAAATTATACTCTCGGTGGGGGAACAAACGTACGTTGTGTAGGGATCAGTATAAGGAAGGTATCCTATATAGGATGCGGAGCCAGCAGTGACTCGTTGCACGTAACCATGAGCGGAGACGACTGTGGCAAGCGAGATGGTAGAGACAGCGAGCTTGACAATATCGAAGAGCATTGTGTACACTTGGAAGTTCTTGCTTGATATGCCGAGAGCTTATATTGCGAGAGCGAGCCATTTGACGGATAAATTGAGGCCATATTGCTCAGTTCTTGTGGTCAGCAGGAGGTGCCTATCCGGGCCGGCAGTCTTTACTTCATTCACCTGCCCAATGACATCAATCCGTCTCTCGTCAAGCGTCGCGTTTCTATGGAGTAGACGGAGTTATCTCTGTACTTCCTCGCGAAGGAAGATTCCAAGCCAAGGTTGACAGAGGCTTAAGTGCTAGTGCGTCATTGTCTCGAAAATTTCGATGGAAGAAACTTCCTGGAAGAAAGACCTTGAGATCGCAAATGAGCATCGAATTCAGATTGAAACTTGGCGGCTCACTGGACCATGACGGGCACTTGCAATTCTCTGCTGCAAAAGAGAGGCTAATGCTGGCTCTGCCTGTGGTCTGGTCGTCCGTCGTTGTGTTCAGGAGGAACCTGTATTCACCAGAGTCTGACATACTCATGGACATTGACCAACCCTTGCAGGTCACGCGCCGAGTGGCCGTGAAGCATGAAATTGTTCTCAAAGAAACATAACATGACCCATGGCTAGCTTGTGGGTTGCAAACTTGGTTGCAAACGTCTGCTGTAGTGTTGCAGATATGCTGAATATACTTGGTTGTTTGCCGCGGCTGAGCAATCAAGGACGAAGAAGTCGAAGCTAGTCGAAGCTTGATGACGCAAAATTGGAAAGAAACAAGCCTCATCATCTTCCTGGACTGTCTTGAGCGCTAGGGAGGAGTGTTCAGGGCGAAAGTTCAGCACTGGACTAACCAGGCACGAAAGCAATTCAAGGACAATGACTCGAATTCAAGTTGTTGTTCGCATCGTGACTATTCGCCACACATCATGCCTTTGTCCTTCATCCTCTTTGAGTCCAAAGCTCACAACAACGCTCTTGCTCTTGACTACATAGCATGCCCGCCGCTCTCAGCTCGTCGCCCGTGACCCAGCGGACGACGCGTAACTCTAACAAGACACCGCTTGCTACACCAGACGCGATCAACTCGAGCCCAGGTTCAACGCCACGCCGATGTTCGACCTGCAAACAACCACGCAAGGGCCATCCGAGGTCAGGATGTCCGTTTGGGCCAGAAACGGGAATGACTGAGAAACTTGGCGCGTTGGATTTGTCGGTTGTTGACGACGACGACGAAACAGAGGTGGAAGAAGGAGTACCCCAAGGCAAAGAGAGGGCGAAGAAGTCGCAGAGAGTCGCTATGCCGGGCACACTGGGTCCGGTACCAAGCTGGGTACTCTCCCAGTCGTCATGCAAATCAGAGGACTCCATCTCCTCGCTGGACGTCGCGCCACCCACTTCCCAAGAGTGTCCTCGCCCACTTACACGCACGCCCAGCATCGTTGAACGCGAAGCATTCACATCTTCCCTTGCCTCACTCACCAAAGCCACTATCTACGTTCTCCCCACCGAAGATGCCGCCGAAATCGCTCTCAAGGCGTCTAAACGCGGTCTGTCCACTCGCCAGTTGGGTCTGGACCATGCAGACACACTTTTGCTTATTGGTCAAACGGAGGCTGCTGTTGCAGTGCTAGAGAAACAAGTGCAAAACAAGATGCATTCGCTCGTGCCCAAGAACACGCAGAATGGCGTGATAGCAACGGCCACGAAAGGTTTGATAGTTGGAGCAGTCGGAGCCGTGGCTGCTTGGGGAGCGTTGGCCTTCGCTTAGTTGAGTCCCTGCAACTTGTTTCCTCCGCACCACAACTGTTACTTGACTGTTACTATCCCGCTATCCCCTGTTATCGCCGTTGATTTTCATGTAATTTTTTTCCTAGTTCTGACTAAGAAACTATGGACGGTACTTTTCAGCAAGCTTCCGGGCCCCGAAAAGAGCCAAGACCGACGCTGGATATCAAAGATTGCATCTTTTTGAGTTTCCTTGCATGAACTTCCATATGTGGCCAGAAAACGTTAGAGTCATCTCTCAAAGAGTCCAACTTTTCGGAAGTAGAGAAACTACGGCTTGTGCAGAGAGTCATGTTTAATAAGCTCTAATGGTGGGCGTCTCGGGTCGCGTCGATCCTTCCCGCGCTGCCATCACCATCTAAATGACGGGCCTGGACGAGAACCTTTTGTGGTTACTTACATATCATGTGGCCATGGCCTTGCGCTGATCGCTTCCGGGGATTGGAAACCGCGTTGCCCTTTGCTCTCTACCTCCACCACTCAGTGCGCAAGTGCTAGTGCTGCCGGCCTCAGGGCGAACAGGCGCCGGGAGTCCATGCTATATCGCGCCAACCGATGTCCGTCTCTGAATTTGTGGATCCAATAACGACACAGAAGCAGCTGTACGATCCTCCTTTCCTCGTTTTCCCACCAGAGATAGACCAACACCGCAGGAACTCAGCGTATTATTTCCATCTCGTTTCCTTTAGTGGGTCCCTTTCTGTCTCCCCTTTTATTTTACTTCATATCACAGGCTTGCTTTTCTACGACTACTTCCTCACGCTTGACTGGGAAATCGAGCGCTACTGGGGCACGCAGCTCACCTGGCCGTCGTTCTTCTACTTCGTCAACCGCTACGGCACGCTGTTTGGCAACATCCCGGTCGTGATTGAATACTTTTGGAGTACGCCACCAACGCCAAGGAAACTGATGGTGCGTGGCTCGCTCGCGTGCTCGAGGAAGAGGACCCTGTTTGAAGTAACACACCTTTTCAGATGTTCGTGCCGGTGCCAGCAAAGAGAGATGACCGTTCTAACGTGGAATTTTTGCCAGATGCGAACACTTAGAATCCTACCATGAATACTTCCTGATAGCGAGTCAGGTCCTCGTTGGAGGTGCGCGAAACAATTCGGCTCCGTTTTCATGTTAGCCGACCGTTTCTAGCGATGCTCATTTTACGGACATACGCACTGTATGAGCGCAATAAACGTGTGTTGGCGCTCATGTTGGCTTTCACGACCGGCTCTGTCGCGGTCGGCATTGTGCGTTTTTAATTCCCTTACTCTTCCCTTGGCTGATAAACTGCTGCAGTGGTCGGTTGCGACAGGCAAGTCGGATAAGGGAAATGTAAATCTGGAGCTCTATTTCGGATGCAACTATCCCATCTCTCGAGACGCGTATGTTTCTGCTTTCCTTGCCCTATAGTTTCTTATATTTTTCTAGAGCATTGAGCACACTCATACCTTGGGCCGCTGTTGCTGTCTTCGACACGATGATTTTCTTCCTCACGCTGGGCAGAGTGCTCTACCGACGCTCCATCACACCACGCAGCAGTATGGACTTATTGAGTATCCTACTGAGGGATGGGGCGATCTACTTTGGGTGCGCAGTGCGGTTTTGAACAGCTGGCGCCTTTATTGACGGGCCAGCGTAGAGTGATGGTGATGTCGAACCTGGCCAACATTTTGACGTTTGTCGTGCGTGTCTTTGTCTTTGGCGTTGGCGGTCCGCTCATCTCTATCTTGACAGCTTGGCACTGTGAGTGGGCCTGTCCCATTGTTATTGCGGCCGCTAATTCTTCTCCCGCTAGCCTTACACACGGGGCATTGCGACGACATTTACCAACATGTGAATTTCTATTCTACTCTTACTCTTCGACCTGCTTACAGATTCGTCTGTCTAGCCTTGCTTCCATATTAATATCGCGCCTGATGCTCAACCTCCGGGACCCCGCGCTCGCCCACATGTCGGGGAGAGCGAGGGGGCAGACGGGTAGTACGACCCTCACGATGGGGCCAACAACACGGTTGATGGATGCGCCAGATGTGATGCTTGATACCGGTGAGTCTTTTACTGCCGAACGTCCTCTCACCGCTGACCCCTGGCCAACGCAGAATACGAACTCTCAACGCAAGCCCCAAATTATGATAAACCAGACCCGTATATTATGAGCAGCGCGCGCGCAGTCTAATGCGTGGAGGTCACGTTTAGAGCAGCCCAAAATGTGTATTTGTAGTCTTTTGAAGAAGAGGGATGGACAGTTGTACTTGGAGTGTCGAACTTCGGATTGGACTGGAAGGATGCCGACCGTCGCGGGCGGGCAGCGATTTGCTTTCCCACGTTCATCAACGCCAAACGTGGCACGACTGACGCAGCTTTCCTCCGACTCGTTCGACGCTCTATGTTCCTATTTCGACGACCAGCGCTCGAGAGTGCTTCCACCAATGATTGTGTGGGCCCCATGTTCACCCCTGAACGTTCTCATGTCGACCTATTTGGGCTTCCTTGGGAATGGGCCAAGAGGTGGCAGATTCGTCAGTTTCTCATACCCGCAATCACACGTAAAAGTGATGGCAACAGCGACCGACGGTGACCGATGCTGCCAGGGCTGGTCGGGCCTGCGTCCGAAATCAATGATGCAACAGCGTGACAGGTTTGTGACCCTGATCAATTACCTTGAGTGAATGAGAGAGCAGGATTTGAGTGGCAGAAAAAAGGTATATGCTACTTGTTGAAGAGTTAGTGTGTCAATACACAGAATGGTTGGCACAGTACAGAGCTGAGGGAGGGAGACTGAATTTAACTGTCGATGATGGAAGCTGTCATTAATTACTCGATTTGGGGGGGGTCGAAGCACGTGTCGTTCATCATATTGAATCTGCCACCTCTTGGAATGGGCCTGGACAAGGCCTGGACCATGGGTTGGCTGATGAAAAACCGGTCAGGAATGTACCTGGCATGGCCCGGCGCCGGCCAAGCTGGGCACGGCGTTGTGCACATGAAAAGAGCGGAACCCCTTGGCTGTGGCCGTTCCGCCCGCCGTTAGTAGGGATCGCATGCGCCATGCAGTGCCCCCGCCTCGTGGCCGAATATTCCCGGCCATCGCCTAACCCCAGGGCTCCACTGCGTTTGGGTGTGTTTGCTGTAACTTTTGTCTGTGTTGACCTGGTTTCTGAAGATACTTACAGCCTAACTTTCCTCAGCCTTGTCAACACGATCTGGTCCCATTGGTAGGTAGCCCGCCCGCGCTTTCTGCTCGTATTCTGATATTCCTCAGTCTGTCCTATCTCGCATCGGCTTCTTGGGCGCCCATCGACTCCGAATGGCCGAATATGGATAATTGTGCTGGCGGAGCCATTTAAACGCCGGGACCTTGCGAAGCAGCATTCCCTTGTCCAGAGCTGTGAAGCAGAAGCGCACGGTAGAAGGGTGCGACGAAACGATCTTTCCATCTTTCACCACTGACGTCCGTCGTATGCAGGCTGTGGCGAATCATTCACTGACTCACAGAGGTAACGCCGCGCATCGGCGCGCTGAGGGAACCCGCACTGGCCGTCCATCTATTTAAGAAGCCGGTGCCTTGCCCGAGACGAGTTTTGCTCCCCTCCCCGCGACACTTTTCCTGCTGTCGCCGCCCTTCGTGAGGTGGCCCCGCCATGGCCCTCCCCGACATGAGTCAGATAGTGGGTGCACTGCAAGACATAGAGACAACGCGGTTCGCTCAACGTGCGCTATTTCTTCAACTCGTCTCTCTCTCCCTCATACTAAATTCATTTTTCAGTGGCCTCGAGCGCAATCATTATATTCGATCACGGTTCGTCGCGTCTAGTCATATACCGAGAAAACGACTCATCCGTCTGTCAGTTATAACATTGGACGAAGAAGTGGGTGTCCAACAGATTGATAGTAGTTGGTTCCATTGACATTGACACTTCTTTGCAGGTAGAGCTGATATGGGTGGGTTTGTGGTGTTGGAGGTCTTGACGCTGAGCCAACGGATTCCATAGAGAAGCTCCTGGTCAATGGGGAAGATCTTGTTCATTATTGTGAGTCCAGCCTTTCCTTAATCTGCCTAGAACTAATGATTCCTGCACAGAATCGCTATTATACCTTGTTTTCTGTCGTGTACGTCCTTTCTCTCATGTCTGCTCGGCGCTGAGATCCATTGCAGGCTCAACAATTACTGTTCGTCCGCGTCCTGTGGCTCCACAAGTTTTAACCAACCATTTCACAGCACTCTTCAGCGCATCCCTTACGGATTCAGTGCGTGATTGCTCACTCTCTTTGCTTCACTACATATTCTAATCGTTGTCTCGAGTTGTGCGTGTAGCTCATTTCATAAGAAGCATGTATCTCATAGTGCTGAAGTTGTGCGTGTCGTTCTATGGACGATTCATTTTCCTGATCTACTGCAGGCCTGAACTTTCTGCGTTGGCAAGGATGGACAGGGATGGTTACTGCTGTGATTGCTGAAGGCACGGTTTCTTCCATTACGAATGAGCAAGACTAACGACCGTAGTAATTCTGCAAATGCGCCTCTACGCGCTGTACTACCAGGACAAGAAAGTTCTCGCGTTGATGTCGACTCTCTTCGTCCTTTCGTTGGCGGCATCGGCAGCGATAATGGGCACTGTGCTGGGCGGACTGAGTGGTGGGTTCCTTCAACACTTCCCGGATATGTCAACTAATCAAGTTTTCAGCGATCTCGCATCTCCCTGGGACTGGTGTCACGTTCTGCATTCCCATCGGGACCCCCCAGTACTTCTTCGTGTATTGGATACCAATGCTGTTCTTCGAAAGCCTGCTCTGTGTCCTGGCGCTGTACCGTGGATTGCGGACCTTCCGCGCCTCAGTCTCGCTCTACCAGTCTGGCCGGCATTTAGTGACCATCTTGATTCGGGATTCTGTGCTGTACTTCATCGTGTGGGTTGACTACGATTTCCACTCTGTCTCAATATTGATTTCTTTTTTTTTTCAGCATGTTTGCGTCGTATCTTACGAACCTGATGGTTTGGCTCCTCGCACGGGTGGGTGCCCTTTGGCTCTGTCCTCTATTTTTGCTCAACTCACCATCAGCAAACACTGCTTGAAGTGCCGATTGCGTTCTCAGTCGCTCTCTCTTGTGTGCTGTGCAACCGCATCGTGCTCAACGTGCGCGAGGTCAAGGGCGAGCTCGACTCAACCGCGGAGGCGGTCGTCCGCAACCCAAACCGCCTGACCTTCGGCAACGACTCGGTCGGCAGCGGGAGCGTAAAGTCCGTCGACTCGCATATGTACGATGCCGAGTATGCGCCCCGTCCGAATTCTGCCACACCGTTGACGACCATCGAGATGGCGCAGTTGCGGTCAATGCGGGTGGACGGGCAGTATCTGCAGCAGCTGGAGAGCGGTGTGTATGAGCGGGACGAGACGAGTGAGAGTGGCAGGACTCATGGACAGTTTGTCGTGTTGTAAAAACAAAAAGTAGAAATGTTGTACTAATAATTTGTTTTTGGTCGTCGCCTGCTGACAAGTGTGCAAGCTTCCTCCCTATATATGGCTGTTGAGCCGCATCAATATCAAGAATCTCAGTGACATGAGCCAGCCAAAAAGCCGAAGTTGCAAATTTCCTTACCAGGCAATCTTATATAATTGGTTGGACAGTCAATTCTAAATAGCATGCATGCATTCATAATTTGAGTTAGAATTGGGTGTGATATAAAGGATACAAAGTAAGGACTTCTTTTCATTTGTTACAAGTCTCAAGGCAACAAGCAACTTGTTGGCAACAAGTATGGTCAGCCAATCAATGGGAACAAGACACGTCGATAGCGCAAAACAAGCAGGAAAGCGAAAAACTACTAATACGAGTATTGGTATATATATAGATACGAAAGAAGAAGTAAAAACACACAAAAGTATGAGAAGATTCTGGCGTATACAAGTAGTAGAATTTGGGGTGCAATCCACCTAGTTATTCAGGACACGTTTGTTGTTTGCGACGGCGGCTACCCACGAAGCAGTCAGCATTCCACCGTCGTTTGTGATTGCAATGAAAAGATATGCTCACCATTTCTCAGTCTTGCTCCATCATTGTCAAATCACCTTCACCTTCACCATCGTCATCTCCGTTAACAGCCCCGTTGACGTGACCATCTGTCCCAGCAGCACCAGTCGCCCCATTCAAAATCACGCCCCACTTGGCGACCAGAGCAGTTGCGCGGTCGCGGAACTTGAATTCATCGTCGCGCGGAATGCGGTCCTCGGGGAGGAGATTAACGTGGCGCATGACTTTGCCGATCTTGGAGAACTTGAGGAAGATATAAGTCAAATTGCACGAAGGCAAAGATTAAAAGAGGATAAACCGAGAAAGGGACAACAAGAACAGACGAAAAAGGGAGGATGAAAAATACGTACCGTCAAGTAATCCACCGTCATCCCCTCATAAGATTCGATGGCCGTAAAGAGCTCGTCGAAGCTGGGCATTTCCTGCAAATCTATGTTGAGCTCAAGGACTGACCCTGGGACCGAACGACAAACCGATTCCTTTGGAGGTGGCTTGTTACTATTCAAGAAGCCCTTCTGCAGCCTGTGCCGCCATTCTCGCACTTTGACGGCCTCTGGGTCTTCTTCTAGTTCTTCTGTGGCAAACATTAGGATGAGCCAACGGAAGAGGGAAACTATACATACCAGAAGTTTTGGCCACTGGAGCCTTGACTGCTTTGGCCGCTTTGCCTTTCGCAGCAGCCCCTTTCGCAGTGGTTTTCGGCTTTTTCTTTGGCCTCCCGTCCTCTGCATCAGACGCTGCCTCCTCGCCATCACCATCTTTCTCGTTTTCATCTTCACTTTCGATTGTGGCCTTGCTTTTGGGGGCTTTTCGACCTTTGCTTTTACTAGCGGCAGCTTTCTGAGCAGGTGCCTTCTTTACCGGCGCTTTCGCCTTGGACTTGGTAGTCGTTGAAGCCACACTACGTTTCCGCTTGGTGCCAGTTTCTGCAGGCTCTTCGTCTGCTCAATACATGTCAAAAGACGCATTGACGCTGACAAACGGTGTAACTGACCAGCTAATTCATCTTCTTCGACCTCTTCCTTCACTTTCTTCCCGCCCTTCTTCTTGCTTGCAGCCTCCTTTAGAGCTGCAGCATGCTCCTTCTCCCAGGCAGTAGGATCAGCAGCCTATCAATACATGAGCGGAAAAATATACGAGGGAAGATTGAGATGGCCCACCACTTCGTATGCTTCCAGCAAGTCTTTCCTTCCGAGACCAGATCCTTTTTTCTTCTTTTCGTTTGGATCTGCTGAGATAAATGCGTCGATGGCGGCGCTGGTGAGTGGTGTTAGCACACTAGGGGCAAGCCACGTGCTAGGAAAAAAAAGTGAAATATGAGCACCGCACAAGCAGAAGAGGACAACAGGAACGCACTAGTCGCCTTTGGGAAAATATCGAACTGCATAGGATGGCGTTTTTCGTCCAACTGGGCGGGCCTCGCGCACGTTCGGTGGGGTATCTTTGTCGGCGATAACCTGCGACCATGGTATCAGAAGCCAAGTTGAGTAAAACCAGGATACACGGTGTGAAGAGCGTTAACAGATGCCATCGGTTGCATCTAGAGGCTCAGCGAGATGGTCGGCTCAACTGGTGGGCTTGTCGACACGTCAAACGACGAGTCAGAACCGAGCAAACTGGCGACTGCCATTCGCCAAGTTTCACTACCCCAAAAAACATCCGCAAGTCGCAAGGGAGGAGAGACGGGTGTATGCCCAAGAGCTGAAGAAGGAGAGCGCAGGCCCCGAGCCCAGAAAAGAGGGAAGACTAGAAGAGGGTACTCACCATGCCTGGCCACGGAGGAAATCCCTTGAGCTTCGCAAGCACTATGTCGCGCGGCTCAAAAACAAGTTCTGGCTCCTTCTCTTTCGCAACTTTGGGCTTGGGTGCAGCTTTCGCCTTCGCTTTCGCCTTGCTAGCGTCGCCGCCTTTCTTGGAGCTCATCTTCTCTTGCTAGAGAGGGTGTGGGAGTAAGCACCGAAGAGGTACAGATACGACGAAAGCACCCGTACACTGGTCAGCGAAGAGACAATAGCCGGCGGAGGGGACGACAGAAATGTTTGTTGACGCGATGCGGACAAAGGCAAGGAGTGCTCGTGATCATAAACGACGCGCGGTGCACGTGCTTTCTGATTCCCCCTCATCCGATCCTTACCCTCACTGGCCGCTGTCGTCATTCTATCAACAAACCACAACCTTGCGAATAATGTTCACCGTGGATATGTTCATTGAGGACCGTAATCTATACCCCGCAATGCCGTCTACTCCTCCTTGAGGGACTCCAATGGTCTTTTGATAACACTACGAATCGCCATTGCAATCGGCCGAACGACCTTCGATTTACTCATTCCCTGACTTCCATTTTTATCTGGAATTGTCCGAGTCTGCCCAAAGCTGACTTCTTTGGGCGTGTATCCCGCTTGCCGCGTTGCTGCTTCACTGGTATCTTTGAACGACAGACATGAATTACTTGGTCGCAAAGGACGCTTGCTTCGCCAAGACAGACGAGTCTGTGCTGAGGCTATAGTTGATGTCTGGAAATACCGGTGAGTCAAGAAACGAGTCCAAAGATGAATCGAATCACTCACCGAATCCCAAGCACTGTCTGAGAGTGAAATTTGCGACCGTGACCCTTGTCTTTTCCGCTGCTGGCAAGTATTCAGCGAACGTTAAAAGATAAATGGAAGACGTGGACTCACCAGAAGACATTTCAGAGCGTACTGCATGAATTCCATGTCAGACATGAACCTAGCCCTGAATAGTTCCAGCTTTTCGAGGGCCAATGTGCGGAGCAGAATGGTAGTGTCGAGCGAAAACTCCGCTCCATTGGACATTTTCTCCGAAATCCACCTCTCCAACTGTCCATGTGCAAAGCCGAAGACGAAAGGGATAAGGATGATCCACTGTTGCTCATGCGCCCACGGTGGCAACGAATGCACTGGGTCGATTACTCCTTGGTTGTTGGGAAACACGCCGACGATAACTTCTCGATATGGTGGCTCGATCTCATCATAGGCAGTACCCTCAAACGTGCCCATGGCCAAGAAAAGCCTACGACCGGGGTCGATTAACGCACAAGGACGCGTGCTCTTTCCCATCTGATTTTTTGGGTCGCACAGCTTCGTGAGAAGTTGGTGTTTTCCGCGAGGCAGAACACCAAGTTTGTCAATCGTTTGAAGGAAAGGCAGACGGACAGATGTGTGGCGGGCGGTGAGAATACTGCCGGAATGGTGTGGAAGTCGCGGAGACATGTTAACGGTCAAGAAGGACGGGAATTCAAGTTGCTCCTACAACTTCGGCTCCTGCGCTCATATATGTCGGTGCGCTTTGTCGCGTCGTGCCGCTTTAGCATCAATGCGCCGGAACAACTAGATCGCCGAATCAGCACCTTTGTCTTTGTTGCTCGCATTGATCATGTTGGAGTGGCATTCCATTATATAAACGGCAACACTTCACCACTCAACATCAATCCCCCCATTCTCGTCACTCATGGCTCAACTCACTGAAGAGTGGATCCCAAAGACAGCGGCTTTTGCCGTCATGACCATCGACGTCGACGAGACGCTTAAGATTCTCAACGATCCGATCGCTACTGCAGCAGGACGCCGCTTAAACTGCAAGAGTTACGTGGTCTACGTGTCTGGTGTACGTTCATATAAACGACTTGCGCTCTCCCTTGCTGATATGTTGGCAGACACTGCAACTATTCAACCCAACGCTTGCCTTTCGGAAAGAAGAAGTCCATTTCGTTGTTCAAGGCCTTCCGCTCCCTGTTCCCGAAGAACACATCGACGAATCAATGTGTTTCGCCATTTTTCCTACCACCCATCATCCGACAGACCGCGCTCCCCTAGTTCCTGAAGTCGGCGAATTCCCATGGCCAGACTGCTACATCTCGAGCTTTGCTTCTACAGTCGTCCGTTGCGCAACTTATCACCAGAAAACTCGTATCGACTGCGCCCTTAACTCGCGCGACCACGCCCGTTTTGGTGTCTACGAGGCTGATCACCGAGCCAAACGCACATTTCAACGCGAGCTTGAGGCGGACGTGGATGTTGATGATCAAGACACGTCGCCACCTCGCCACAGTAATGGAGGTAGCTCAAACACCCTAGAGGTCGACTCTGGTAGCATTATCAGCAACTCTGAATCGGAACTCCGGATGACGGGGGACGATCTTATGGACCTCTTTGCCAATATGTTGAATGACGAAGCCTCTCCTGAGGAACTTGTCACCGTCAAATTCACGCACGACCTCTCCAAAGTGCTCGAGATTGCAAATCACCATGACTTCTTTGGGGAAGTCGAGCAGCTTCTCCGGTGCGCATTCGTCTTCTCGATTATGTTTTCCACTAGGTTAATAATAATACGTTAGTATTTGCCAAGACTCTCAGGAACGCAAACGATTGGCCGCAAATAAGCGTACTCGTGGTGAACAGCGACTCTCCGTGGACTGAATCTATGTGCTGATACTTGTATAGGCGCGAGGCGTGTTACCCAACGTATCTCCCGACTCGTTTCGGCCACCAAACATCGTGTTCGTAGCATGTGGATGTCCTCTACGGCCAAAGAAACCTGATTTGTGTGGTGGTGCGGATTTTCGATCCCGCAAACCTAACACTTTCATTCTTGATTGTTCCAAATGCTCTGTCAGTGACTTACAGCCCTAAAATATAAGATTTGAAGTATATCTTGTGCAATCATCATCCAAGCCCGTGATGCAAAATGCAATGTCCTGTCAGGCTTTCGTCCGAACTGTGGAGGCTAAGGATGGCTGAACATCGACTGAAGAAGCCATTATAGACGTCCTGTCTGGTGCAAGGAGTTGGTAAGTATGCACCTGATACTGCGTTGCACTGGCACATATTGATATTCAGACAATGGTTCTAATAATCTCCCGTTTCGTGTCCGCTACCAAGCGCCGGCGTCGAGTCGGCCAGTTTTTCGAGTCCTGAAATTATATCATGGCTAGAAGTCTAAGATGATCTTGTGCTAGATCAGATGCAGTATCTCATCCACTCATTTCTGCTATCCTTCACTTGTTTGAGATCCTTCATAGTAAGTACTCCTTCAGAGGTTTACTTGACCGTGTCTGATGGCGTTATACTTGTTTGTCCAGCTTGTGATAGACTCGAACCAGTCGCATCGCGGACGTGACAAAATCGGTCACTGCGATAGCGACTGGAACAGAATCACCGGCGCCTTAGGCACACGAGCCGAAACCGGGTGGAATTAATGACTCAGCCAGGGTCTTGGGACAAAGTTTGAATTTTCACAAATTTTAAAGTACCAGTAGATAGCGCTCGTAAATGCGAATCTCGCTATGTTTTTATTTTTTCGAAATTCCAAGAATTGACGACGCAAATGAGCAATCTTTCTGCGCTGATCAATTAGGGGCTTGCTCGATGCCTTTCGTCCCCGTTGACTCTATCGACCCGCAGCGACTCAAAATCGCCAGAGAAACACTATGTAGTGTCTTCAACATCCCCTCCCTTCACCCATTTCAAGAGAAGGTCGGCCTGAACGTGCTTCAAGGCAAGCATACCATGCTGGATGTCCCCACAGGAGGAGGCAAAACCCTCGCATTTTGGTTCGCCCTCTTCTACTACTGGCAGCCTGGGTGCACAGACGAAGCCTCCAACAAGATAGTCCTTGTTATTGGGCCGCTAGTCGCGCTTCTAGAGGCCCAAGCCCAGCTGCTCAATTCCAAAGGCATTCCAGCCATAGCTGTTACCTCAAACACTCCAGACCTTGAGCAGGCATTAACTGTATGTCAGGAGGCTTCTATAACTGCTTCATTGACTTACCTAGACCAAGAAACTGGGACAAAATCAGTATCACGTTGGTTTTCTCGGGCCAGAGATGGGTCTCACGCCGCTATTCCACGAGAAAGTGCTAAACAGCATACCATTCACAAAGAATATAATCAACCTTATTATCGACGAGGTACACTGCATTTCCGAGTGGGGGACCAACGACTTTCGCCCAGAGTACCGCAAGATTGTTGAGCTTGCGGTGATGATCGTGACTTGCCCATCTTCACCGGTGGGGCTGGTTCGAGCCTACTACAGATGTTGCCACTGCGGCAGTGATACCGAGCAAGTGATTGTCAGCTTCATGTAGCTCTTTACCCTCACTGGCACAACCATGGAGCCTCTTCTCCCGCCTGAACTGGAGCATGCAATCTTTACACTAGCGGCTCTTCTGAACTGGCAGACAGCTCTTCCGCTGATGCTCGTTGCTCAACGGGTTCGAGCCTGGTGAGTAGTACTTATATACAGGTGTTGCGAATATCAATCTCATTCTGAGAACCAGGGTCGAGCCTTTCCTTTTCCGCGTGGTCAGGCTGAAGGAATCGACGCATGCTCTAGCCTTCCTTGCAAAGATACGAGTGAACCCGGATGTCTGCTTCCATCTCCAACATCTATTCCTCGAGGACACTATCGATGGAGTCCTGGATGAAGAAATTAAACTACTTATACGCCGCGCCAATATCCACAACATTGGTATAATCTACCCCTATGCGGAACCGGAGTATCTGCAGGTACTCTCGGAGCTCAAAATTCGACAGCTCACGGTAAATCTCGGAGATGGGTGGTCTGGTGAGACCGTCGGGATTGGCAGTGAGCACATGACATCACACTCCGTCACACTCAGAGATTTTTCTTCCTTCGCCCCCATCTCTGCTCTCCCATTCCTGGCCCCAGCGCCATCGCCTTCGTCACCTACTAGTTTCTTTTGTTCCTTTCTACACTCTAGTTTGGCGAGCCTGGGGCCTCTTGCAGCTGTAGGCGCGACTCTCTCACCCACCGGCTCTTTGTGGGTTTTGGCTCTCCGCTCTTGGTAGCCACCTCTGCCCGTTCCACTTGCAACCCTCTCCGACACTAGAGGTATGTGAAGCTTGTGGCGCGGGCTCCACCTCCTTCCCCCCTTCCTTTTCCCGACTCTTTGGCGACCATCAATGTGTCGATCGATTGCGAACACTGGCCATTGGCTCTCATGTGTAGCGGCCAACACTTTGTCTTCCTTGGAGGGCCTCTGGCGTCCGTGCAAGTACCTCCCCCGCCTTTGGGCTGGTCGCTTGCACTCGGTTCATGTTGGCTACCGAGGCCCTCCCTCTTGTAGGAGCACTGCGGGGCCCATAGTATAGCCCTCCCGCCAATTTACACAGATCTAGTATCCGCCCCATCTGGACAGCGAGCGAGGCCAATCCTGGGTGGTCTGGTGAGACCGTCGGGATTGGCAGTGAGCACATGACATCACACTCCGTCACACTCAGAGATTTTTCTTCCTTCGCCCCCATCTCTGCTCTCCCATTCCTGGCCCCAGCGCCATCGCCTTCGTCACCTACTAGTTTCTTTTGTCCCGCCCACCATCCCCAGCTTACTACCCTTTTTGCGTGCTTGTGTTAGTTAGGATTAGTTAGTCTTAGCTACATGGTCGGCTACCGAGGCCCTCCCTCTTGTAGGAGCACTGCGGGGCCCATAGTATAGCCCTCCCGCCAATTTACACAGATCTAGTATCCGCCCCATCTGGACAGCGAGCGAGGCCAATCCTCTGTTTGGTGGCGGCATCAATATCAATGGGCAACATCGCGCACTTGCCCATATAACCCACCTTAGCCTCTTCGACGCCATCTATGAGCAGTATTTCTCCGACAATTTGTGCACCGCGCTCGCTCTGCTTCCTGCCCTCAGCCATATGCGCATGTCCCTCGCCCGCCTGCCGCTGCCTACCATGGACGAGCGGAACTTGCAGAATATTTTAAAACAATGCATGCATCTACAGCTTCTCTTGCTCGGCACCGACCACGGTCTCATGTCTTCCTTGTTAAATTTTCAAGCGCAAGACATGCGTATTGTCATCGTCCTCGACAGGCAATATTACACTGAGTACTGGGCACACTGGGAACATGGTGCTCGCGGTGGAGCAGACCTCTGGGATATGGGTGACGCGTTTGTCAGGAAAAAACGGGCGGGGAAAGTTGATCGTAAGTTGATGATCCCGCTTTTCCGTATGCAGGCTGATTCCACATCAGCATCTCAGTGGTGGTTGGTAGCACCAATGTCAAATATGTGATTCATTCGAAGACTACTCATATCCGATTTTCAAAATAAAACACTGTCGTTGCCACAACGATCATCGAAAGCAGGCCGATGTTATGCGCTGCGTCCAACGAGACCTCCAGAGTCAATTCATAACGGTCTCGGCTTTGGTCCACCACTTTCGCAACCCGTGACACGAGACGCGGGGTTGATTGCAGGGCATAACCTTCTTCACGATGGTACATCTAGTGCCATGAGCCGGAACCAGCTTTCTAGGTTATGAAACGTACGCAGATAGCGTTGGGCTGCGGAACCCAAATATATTGCTGTCCCAATGCGAGCATGGACCAGAAACTGTTTGTGCAAAAGTTTGACAGCCATACCCCAAATTTAGGAAATCGAGACAAACCTTCCATCAGGGGACGGTACCAGCCAGTCTGTGACTGCAGTTGGCGCCAACGCGTTCTGTACCTGTGCATACGCGGCGCCTTGGCTCCAGTCGATACTGGCCACGGTCCGGCCCGCGTTTGTGCGAAAGACGGTTGTAATGTTCTGAGTGTAGGGCGTAGATTTGTCGCTCATGATGTGATAGTACGGTGTAAAGCCATCCGCCCCGACGACTGTACTATTCAGAACGCTCCGGGAAGTGCCTGTGCGGGAGCACGGGGCGACTTTGAGGAGTAGAATTTCGTTATCGTCCCCAGTAGGTTGTGGGCGGGAAGCAGGGCTCGGTCTCGCCAGAGCTGGTTGCCGTGGAAGAATACCAGAGGCGAGTGGGATTCTATGAGGTTGCATTCTTGAAACTTGTGTTGTTGTTGGGGGGATGGAATAATTGTACGACGAGCACTCTCTTTAATACGTTGGATGGAGGGAGTACTGGTCAGGGACAGTGACCACAGTTCCTCGGTTGAGCTGCCGCTGTGTGTTAGTCTCTGAAATCGGGGAGCAGGGCGTGCTTACATTGCAGGCTTGCTAGGGCAACTGCAGTAGATTGAGTTGTCAGGCTAGCAAAACGCGGTTGCGAAGTTGTCGAAAACAATCGCTATAAAACACCACAGGCAGTGTAGTGCTCAGGGTCATAGGTCTCATTTAACTCAGAGGGTCCGAGTCATGAACTTGAAGCCACTCGCCGGTGTCGCCATTTGCTCCAATGTTATTGACCTGCGCTGGTTCGTGGCGAGGAAGAGGGGGCGCAATAGCCCTCGCACGACGCTAGATGACTCGGGGCAGAGAGCGGGCTAATATTACCAGTAATCAATTGGGCAGATTATAGGACGGCGATCAGAGACTGTTGCTACGAGCGAGGTGCCCGAAGATACATAGTCGGCAGTTATCGAGGCAAGGGCGGAGGCGGGGCGGAGGGCTTTCTCCCCCGAGCACCGTCTCAGCCTGAGGTGAGATGACCAATATCATGATCGGAGTCTCAGAGGGTCGACAGCGTTGGCAACACCAATAGCGTAGGAGTTAGGGTCTTTTGGAGCCCTGGAGGCCACCAATGCGTGGAACCGATGTTGATGCTTGACTTGACAAAGAATTTGAAGTTGAGGGATGAACTTCAAGTGGGTTTAAATGATAATTGCAGTCACGGTACTAGTATTGTACTTCAAGGCTTAGCATAATCGGATGTGGGGCAGAATTTTCCAGGAAATGGTGGCGGAGAGATGCTACACGCCTTAGAAGAAGTATCTGCTGCCAATGCCTGCCATAGACTCAGGTTGTTCGATTGTTGTTCGAAGTCAATTCGAAGGTTGGAAGGTTGACGTTGAGGTTGATGCGATATGGTCACGCTGTGACACCCATCGTCGACTGCCATCGGCCTTTCTGAAGCTCTCACGCATTATCCACTCTCTCTGGACCACATACAGTGACGCCCTATCATGCCCGCTATCCGTCACAATCGTCGTGAAGCAAGGAGACACAATCCTGTCGCCGTCGCTCCGCCCACCTCCAATCTCACTTCACCGCCAGCTGTCCCCGCCCAAGAGGCCTCTACAACACCGAGCAAGGGCTTCAGTCTCGACACCACGCCTTTCTTCCTTCGGCGGTCAAAGCGCAGCTACCGCACGGACGATATCGTTCAACGAGGACTCGATGCATCGCGATTACTTGAAAGCATTGGCAACTCCATGCAGTATGAGACCCTCGGCATGGTTGCTACTAGCTGCGCACTACTATTTGACACTGTTAACGTACGTACCTTGAAAGATAGACGTGACTTGGATTCTTAACCGGCACTAGACGGTCCGGACAAACAAGACTCAATGTGTACAATTGCTCGAACGGGTTGACCAGATTGTCCGCGCCATAATCAATCTTTCGGGCGACGCGAAGGGCTTCAAAAATCCACTTATGCGGAGGGCGGTTGAGCAGTTTTCCGGGTATGTAAATCTCCATAGCGGAAAGCAGTTTCTTGATTCCTCAGCAAGAACACTTACCGATTTGCATGAGATACTCCGCGCTCAGGCGACATATGGGCTATTTCAACGCATTCTTCGACACTCCGAGATGCAAACGGCGTTATCGGACTGTGCCGAGGCGCTGCAGCAAGCGTTGGACCTGTTCACGGTGCATCTTTTCGCGGTATGCGTTGCGACCCGCTGACCTCTGTGCAGGTCCAGACAAGCCTCATCACCGACTCCGCCTTGGGCGGTTTCCGGAAATCTTCGGCGACCCGTCATGACGAACTCCTCCGTGCATTAGGGCGATGAGGTTTTTGAGAATACTCATCATCGTGCATTGTTCGACAACCCCGTCCACCGAAATCCGTCGCATACATCACTTTTGGTTGGAGCTTACCTTCGATGGAGTATTCAAGGACTGCTCCGCATACTCAACCTCCTCTTGATAATCCTCTTATTCCACCGCTCCCAAACTTTCGGCGGCCGCATAACTTCGTGCGAGACAAGATTTCAACAAAGCACGCATATGCACCACGACCTCACAGACTTCTGGTGGAAGAAAAGTCACTTATATCTTTCCGTTTCTTGATTACAACTTTCCAACTGTCTTTGAAGTGTTCCCAATGCTTGATCTGACACCCTTCACACGCTTCAGGGTAGCTCTTGCTATTGCTGCTCTCTTCCGCTACTTTCCGGATGCATTACGCGATGTCCAGGCTGTGCTTACGAAGCGATCACTCATACCCATGACCAAGCACCCCGACAAGCTATCATAATCAAGCATCCGACCATTTAAATGGCGGCTTGGGCCACCAGAACCCAATGCCAACAAGCACCACTCCAAAACTATTCCAACCCATCCACGTTGGCGCCATTGAACTCGGCCATCGTGTTGTGTTTGCGCCTGCAACCCGCTTTCGTGCTTCCGCCAGCCATGTCCCGCTGCCTCATGTTGGCGAATACTACGAACAGCGAGCCAGTGCCGGAGGCCTTCTGATTACTGAAGGGACATATCCTGCCCTGAGTGCTGCCGGATTACCCAACATTCCTGGGATCTGGTCGGAGGAGCAGATATCAACTTGGAGAAAGGTGAGGAGATTATCCGTTGTCTTAACATCCGCCTCCTGATGACGATGCAAAGATCACGGATCGAGTCCATGCTAAAGGTGGTCGGATTGTCATGCAACTCTTCGGCAATGGCCGCGCGGCCTTACCAGACAACTGTGTTGAAGAAAGCATCGACTACGTATCTGCCTCCGATGTCGCCCTTCCTGGGAGAGTTTCCCCTCGGCCACTGGCTATCGCGGAACTCAAAGAGTATGCACAACTCGAAGCAACTGCTGCCTCAAATGCAGTGTTCAAAGCGGGTTTCGACGGGGTCGAAGTTCATTGGGCGAATGGATACCTATTGAACCAATTCCTGAACGACAGGAGCAACACGCGCACCGACGAGTATGGTGGGCCATCGGTCGAAAATCGAGCGCGGTTCCCGTTGGAGGTCGTTGAAGCTGTTGTCAACGCAGTCGGGCAAGAGAGGGTCGGGGTTCGTGTCAGTCCTTGGGGGACTTTCCTGGGTATGTCTTGCACTTGATATCTTCCTCTCTGATGCTGTCCATCCAGACATGTACATGGAAGACCCGCGCCCCGTCCACATCTATGCCGTTTCTCAGCTGCGCAACCGTTTCCCCAATCTGGCCTACCTACACGCTATCGAACCGCGCGCGGACGGTGCGGAAACCGCAAAAGTCGTCAGAGCCGGCGCTTCGAACGACTTTTTACGTGAGATATGGGGAGAAAAGCCGTTTATCACGGCTGGTGGCTGGACTCGCGAGACCGCGCTCGCTGTTGCCGAGGAGAAGGGTGGTCTTGTGTCCTTTGCAAGATCGTTTATCGCCAACGTGTGTCGTGTTCTCTCGTTTGCCACTTTTTTTTGCTCATGCATTTGCTATCAAGCCGGATTTGCCATATCGTCTACTGAAGAACATCGAGCTCACTGTTGGTGATAGGGCTTACTACTACGCTTATGGGAGTGTTGATCCCAAAGGCTATACGGACTATCCGTTTGTGAAAGAAGTGGCTGCAGAAGTGGAAAACAAAGAGATTTAGCTTTACTATTTGTTGGTGTTGGTTATGTTCAAGTTATCATGATCCTATTATCCTACAGCATAAAAGTTGTTGTAGGCTCGAACCAGCTTTACTTCTGGAACACCTTCAGTAAACCATTTGTCCTCCCTTGTGCCCGTTAGGCTGGCTCGAGCCTAAAGTTGTTGTTGTTACACGGTAATAACGCCTTCCCTCGAGAAAGTAGATAGACTCTTTTGTCCACAATCAATGTCAATGACTCCAGTTGTCATCAAGTTGTTACTCTCCGCCGCTCATCATGCTTTTGTCTTCCAACCTCTTTGAGCCCACAGCTCGCCACTACACACTTGCTCTTGACTACATAGCATGCCCGCCACTCTCCGCTCAACGCCCGTGACCCAGCGAACGACACGCAACTCCAACAAGACACCACTTGCTACACCAGAAGTAGTCAACTTCTCGAGCCCAAGCTCAACGCCCCGCCGATGTTCGACCTGCAAACAACCACGCAAGGGCCATCCGAGGTCGGGATGCCCGTTTGGGCCAGAGACGGGAATGACTGAGAAACTTGGCGCATTGGATTTGTCGGTTGTTGACGACGACGACGACGACGACGAAACAGAGGTGGAAGAAGGAGTACCCCAAGGCAAAGAGAGGACGAAGAAGTCGCAGAGAGTCGCTATGCCGGGCACACTGGGTCCGATACCAAGCTGGGTACTCTCCCAGTCGTCATGCAAATCAGAGGACTCCATCTCCTCGCTGGACGTCGCGCCACCCACCTCCCAAGAGTGTCCTCGCCCACTTGCACGTGCGCCCAGCATCGCTGAACGCGAGGTATTCACATCTTCTCTCACCTCACTCGCCAAAGCCACTGTCTACGTTCTCCCCACCGAAGATGCCGCCGAAATCGCTCTGAAGGCGTCTCAACGCGGTCTTTCCACTCGCCAGTTGGATCTGGACCATGAAGACGCCCTTTTGCTTATTGGTCAAACGCAGGCTGCTGTTGCAGTGCTGGAGAAACAAGTGCAAATCAAGATGCATTCGCTCGTGCCCAAGAACCCGCAGAATGGCGTGATAGCAACGGCCACGAAGGGTCTGATAGTTGGAGCAGTTGGAGCCGTGGCTGCTTGGGGAGCGCTGGCATTTGCGTAGCTGATTCCTTGTACGAACTCTTGGTGTGTATTGGTAGCCTCCATCATATCATTTTACGTTGGTCTTGCTCGCTGAAAGCTTTAGACTATGTCCGCTCTGCATTGACGGTGACATTGTCCATGAGCGATGGCCATGAACTTGAACCGGCCGGGGTCGCGCGACAACAAGGAGGACCCTGCGATGCTCCTTTTGCACCCGGGTACCCGTCCCTTTCGGAATGAGCACCTTCGCGCGTCGATCTGCCTTCCCAATGAACGATCCACATTTACGGTTCTACACTTGGGAACGCTAATCCTTTTTGGTATCTAGCCTGCAATACAAGTTGTTGTTCTCTACTAACGACAAAAATTCGGACCTACAAGCAAGCAATTCAGCGTACAACCTACAAAAAATCCTCCGATGGCACCAGAATCCAAAAAGTACCGAAGATGACGCACAAGGGCCATCGAAGTAATAGTGAACGAAATCCATGAAGGTAACGTATGTCCTTTCCAAGTAGATGCAGTAATTAATCAAATAAACAGTTGGCGTCGAGCGTTGGCGTTTTATAATACCTGAGGAGATAGGCAGGTTTGGCGTTAGTGTCGTGTCTGTGGCAGGAAAGCTGCTGACGACACTCACGTAGTTTGTCAAGTCCGGCGGGAAACACGCGTATGAGTCGCGGTCGGAGCCGCCATTCGAGTACGCTGATCGCAGACCTGTTGGCGAGTTTGAATTGTCTCGGGACCACTGTGGGTGCATGTCATGGTAGAGTGGGTATCGATCGCTGTGGTGGGGTTGGGTTTGCTCTTGATCCAATGCGGCAGAAAGAAGCGCATCCATATCTGGGCGGCTCTGGGGTGAGCCAGTTGCCCTTGGCGATACCGTTGTTGGGTCGGGATACGCAAACTTGTAGGTCGCTGAGAAGATGAGTGTAGAGGCCTCGTCGTCTTTGCGGACCTCCTGGTATATGGTAAAGCGCGTGGGATCTTCGGGAGAAACAAGGTCAGCGTCTTATCTCCTCGCGCAGACCACAACGGAGCTTACCTGGGCTTTCAGTGATTGTTCTCCAGTAATCAGGAACGAGCGAAGCACTGTAGACAACACCAGAGACTTGGGATGCCCTTGTCGGAACCAGGGTCACGCTCTCGGCATGCATAATTCGATCGCCAGCATAGACTGTGAAGTGCGATTGGGCATTGACTTGGGTCGACGAGACGAACGCGACGCTGGGGTTGATCATCCGTAACGGACGAGCACGATCCGAAACGCGAATAAATTCGCCCGTCGAATTTTGCCAGTTGGGATTTACTGGAGCGATTTCACTGGACCCATCGGGCAGAATGTCGATATAGACGACTGTGTGCCGCGTATAAGACGGTGTCATTTGTGGAGAGACTGGAGATGTGCATGTGCTGTCGCTGGATGCAGACGAGTCAGGGTATGGTTGGCGGAAGGGGGAGAGGAGATGCAGAACTGGAGGGTTGAGCTGGAGCGGAAACAAAAAGAGGGCACATACGTTTCTTGCCTCCGCAGGATTCTCGCAGCTGCTGCAGCCTACTGCCGACTTGTTTGGCAGACCGACGCTTCCCCGTCTTCTCATAGATGTAGTCTGAGATGAACCGGTTTCGACGAGGGAATCTGCCGAGCAGCCGTGTTTCGCGCGAATCGTCGGGTACGTATGATTCGAGGCCTGTTATTTGGAGGTAAGCATCGTTCACTTATTCTTAACCGGCAACAAACTAAACGCACCCTCTAGTAATGCTGCCTCGAGCTCGAGCGGCCAGACGGTTTCGCCTCCACGTAGCGTCTTCCAGCTTTTACGGACTTTGAGAACGGATTGGAGGACTTCTTTCGTTGTTTCGCTATGGTTGGTGGACGATGTCCAGAGTCGGGGGTCACTGATGCGTGGGGACGGAAGTGGGAACAGGCGATGACCTGCTGGTGGTGTTGGCGGCGAGGACGATGCAGAGCCTGAGGCAGTCGATGCTGAATCTTCTTCGTAGTCGCGGTAGTACATCGATGAAGAGCCGACTTCGTTGTTGTGGCTTGGTGGGTACTTGAACGGATAGACGGGGTCAAACGACAGCGGGGAGTAGCGGCCTTATATAACAAAAAAAGCTCGGCCGTAAATGAATGTCGAGAGATATCAGGATTCGCCCGTGGGGGGACAAGAAAAAGCGCGCCTCTCCTTTTGGGGATTTCCTGCAGCTGTCGTCCGTTGAATCTCGTCGACAAGCCGCCCGCTAAATATATAAGAGATCGTCTGTTCGGACGACTGACGAGATTCGATTCTGAGATTGGCAGAACCAATCAGATTCAAAACGCGACACTGCAGCGCTTTGTAAGGAGTTGTCCCAGTCTGGAAGCAAACTTTGAAGCTTTGATGGGCCCACAACCTTACCGCCTCTTGCGTGGCGATGAACGGTGATTCGTTGACGCTGGCCATTCACTGGGATAAAATTACCCAAAAGCTTTCCGTTTGTAGGGCTACGGCGACCCGACCGCTTGGCGAAGGGTTCTACTCTCACGATGGTGGAGTATTGCAGGCTCGGCACTCAGGGAAGCATGTTGGGCTAAAAATCGGGTCCCCAATAACACAACGCAGGAGGAGAAGGCGCCATAGTATGAAGCAACGACTGAGGGGATTGTCGGGAGCTTTTGCTAACCCACAGCCTTGGATTCATCGTGCCGCATGGACCGCCAGAGTCCAGCGTCTCTCAAAGTCCACGGTGCTGGCTTCTCCGAAGTTCCCAGATCAATCTGGCATCTGCCGGCAATGACGAAACTTTTAATTAACGGGATTCGGAAGGAAGCCCATCGTTGGCTGGGCAGAAAGATCACGCGCGACTCGTGACCAGGTTGGAGTCCCAAACAGTGGTGGTGAGTCCTCTTCCGAACAAGAGGGAAAACCCATGAAAATACAAAGAACAAGCCTGTTATGGGGAGCCTCCGTCCTGCTGTCGGAGACGTGTGTGTGGGTAAATCTTTACCGAGTTCCGGAGAATGATCTACGCCGCGGAGGCTGATGCGACAATCAGATCAAAAATGCGATACGATAACAGTGGGCTGCGTTGATACGAGTGTTTGAGAGTCTAACACAGCTAAAGAAGACCGAACAAACGCTTGGTATCAGCACCCCGGTTTGGATCGGGTTTCAGTGGTCCACTTGCAGGTTCCATGGTTTAACTTGAGAGTAATCTGAGGAATGAATCGGTTTATCACCATGTCCATTGCGCTTGTAGCTTGCATGTAGTTAGTCAAATTTTCCTCATCGAAAGATCCAATCAGCGCGGACGAACTTGAAGGACCACCGACGAATGTGCAGCGGGAGCGGGACTGATCCTCAAGAGGCCAACAAGAGGCACTCAACCGCGTTTCCGCAGCCGAGTCCCGTTTGTATTGTCTAGCCAATTACACGAAATGTCAATCGGTGTAGGCGTCACTTGACGTAGCAGAAGAATTTTCCTCTTGTTGACCGATGTGACCCTCTGGCGGCAGAGCAATCGTGCTTTCATTTGGAGGCTTATCGAGGATCCAGGGACCAAGCCCGAGCTTCAAGCTCTGAATTCGCAGTAGGACGCACAAGACAAGCTCGCCCCAAGTGCCGAGAGTTTACGGCGAGGAGGACTAATAATGTGGCGTACTGTCAAGTAAAGAGAACATCTATTAATCGATTGCGTCGCGGGCCGCGTTGGAGAAGTCCTGAGAGCGGGAAGCGCTCCGGGAAATACGGTACTGTATTCCGAACCGAATAGGAGGCAAAGTGGACGCATAGCTGCCGGGAGACAAAGGTGCTTGTTCATGAGAGTCTCAGCTAGAGCGGAGCGAATAGCGAAGCAGCATCCTGGGCTTCCTTGAAGTATGAATGAGTCCAACTCCAATGTCGTGAGACTGACTCATGTTTGGCAAGACTTCGGGAGACTAGAAGGCAGCTATTCAAGTTGTTTCAAGTTGGGTTTTTTCAATGTCTCTTCTCCGAGGGAAGTTATCGCGGCAAAGACGCACAACGGGTTCGGGGGGCTAGGTGGATGTCGAGAGCTCGAGGCTCGGAAGTACTTGCGTAGGGTCGCTGACAAGAAATGACAGATTCTGAGCAGTTGGTGGACACCATCCCGACTTGTCCATGAAGCGCCGTCAAGCTCGCTGAATAGCGATGAATTTCCCATAGATTACTGTGATCAGGAACAGTTATCGCACGTTCTCGAGCGTAATAGCCAGGTACTATCGAGCGCAGCCTTGCGTGCAGTTGCCGGTGTTGGCGGAGTTCAGGAGAAAGGTGTCACGGTAACGCATGCCGCCGCCGCCGAGTGACTCACAATGAGTCAGCCATCACAAGTCAAACACGACCGAAAAAAAAAAATTGCAAGAACGTTGAAGTTTGGTCGTTCTTGGTGGCGCTGACGTCTATCGATCCAGCTTCAGGCAATAAACTGCCTCCGGACACAGGTCTGATCCTTTCGAGTCCGCTAGCTCGTCCGAGTCGAACGAACTTGAACTTGAACTCCTGATCAGGTAGTCGCCGGCGAAGACTGATGGGGTCCGAATTCACAGCAGATACTGATGTATCTATAGCTGATAGAACATTCGCTGGATTACAAGTACTTACCAATGATCCATAAATATCCATCGTCACTGGCACTGTTAGGGTCTTTCAAGTTGTTGCGCTTGCATGCAAGTCCAATGGCACTTTGGAGTTGAAGTTGAATTACAGCTGGCGTTGCCCAGCAACGATCCAATCGACCTTTCAGTCTCATTCCAAACCCGTTGTCGGTTCCGTAGACGACTGCGACTCAGCCTGCGAGCGGCAGCATGCAGACTTTCGGGAGTGATGGATGTAAGCAACGAGAAGTCTCTCAACTTAGTCTCTTGGTCGACTTCGACACATCGCGACGTTGCTGCAGCTTGAAGTGTTCGAGATCTATAATGCGTGGCCTTGGGCCATTATTGAAGACATCGACCAGAAACTAGGAGAAGTTGTTGAAAATAAAGCATCTACGAACAGCTGGAGCTTGGCTCAGGCAAATGACCATAGGTAAGTCGCCTGAATCCGAGTGGCAGTGACACCTTCCGCTTGAGGATACTATTCTAGGCAATTGTGGTTCATGATCTGAGACTTGTCATGCAAGCTGCCATTGCCTCTGAGGTTGCCAGTTTCGGGCGAAGACGATTCCTTTCGACTCAGCTCAGCCGTAGCTGATCAACGGGCACGGAGACGGGGACTCGATAATGTTGGTTTGGTTCTGGACGACTGATCGTGATATCTATGACGATAATCAACAACGGATTTAGAGAAGTACAGCTGCCAAAGAGCTAAACCGTGACGATCGGCGCGAACCAAGCAGCGGTGGATCACGGAGCCAGATTTGCGTACGACAAATGTGGGGAGGGCCTTGCCAGTGTGGAGGGAAATTCACTCTGGCAAGAATAGCTCGGCACTAGTCCAACACCTGTGCAACAGGGCGGAGAACGGCGCTCAGTCGCTAATGACGATTGACGCCGGACGGAGAACACAATTTTCGAGTTCCCCCACTGGGTTCAGCTCCAGGTTCAGAGCGATTCACTATGACCCTGAACGATTGGATCGCGAATAGTAGGGTTCTGGAGCGAGATTAATGTGAGATGGTGACTCGTCCACTGACATTTGTCTTTTTCTATTCGCTCAAGCAGCAAGTTCTATGTTATAATGTTTGAGTGTTTGTATGCCAGTCCAGAGAGAAAAGCTCACGCGTCAAACGCCACAAAAGCCGTTAGGCCGAGCAAGACCAACACGAACGCTAGAATCTGCTATGTCCTGCAAATGACGGAGACAGACAGGCATCCTGCAGAGGGCATGGTGTGAGGCGCCGGAGTGTCACAGAAACCAGAATCGCTGACACCACCACCACAGCTGTATCTCATTAACAGCAACAAACACTTGTCCACAGCTGGGAAGCAACGAGGTCTTCATCTTTGGTCGGACATGTACACAAGTATTCAATCGATGTCAAATGAGGAGGCGGTAACCTTCTCCGTGTGGGTAACGACCGCATGGATCGCTTGGTCAGAGGCTCCATATCCCGTCAACGAGGTCCCATCGAGAACACCCTACAACACTTGATCAGGAACATTGACGAAGCACTCGGAACCACACCTACCGTTGCATCACTGTCCCCTAGCTCGACGACCTCATCGAAACGCCGATAACTGACGACGTCTCCATTATGATTTCGAAGAAAAATTCCGCCTTGGGCGGTTTCTTCGTTGGGAAGAAGCGCGTATAGCATGTGTTCTGCACAAACGGCCTAACAAGTATGATGAGGACAGTGATAATCAATTACTCACAGAAAGCAACATACCGGTGAAACTGCAAACCAAGGAAGGACCCAATTGAGTATCCAAGTAATAGGGGTCAGGATGCCATCAAAATCCACAGCATTGCGCATCCCTGGAGTGCTTACGATACCAGGATGGATATGAGTAAACGCGATGGTGGGGTTGCGTGATGCGAAATACTTGGACGAAACAAATCAGCTCCGACATGAAAGGAGAGGACAGACGCCCACCCCCATCATAGCGTCAGTATAGTTGGAACTCATGATTAGCCCCCGCATTGCGACGCCCAGACGTCCAACCCGGGCAGTCACGGTGTTGCCAAGATTATGGAGCTCAATGGGGCGCGAAGGACTGCCCCGACCAGCACCGAGGACGGACATAGCTTGGGCGTCTTGGTTCAAAGATTTTGCTCTTTGGAGCAAGGGAAGAAGTTCTTTGATGAAGACGAAGCGCTGATAAAATCTGTGGCGGATTGTTGAGCGGAGATGAAGATATAATAATGTTGCTAGCCACCCACCGCATGGCTAAATGCAAATCCAACCCTTCCGCAGTCAGAGGGACGGTGACCATTGACGCATAACCTGCGGTCAGAACGAGAAAGTTGACCCTGTCGACCTTTTGACGAATCTCAACGCAAACAGCGCGGACGTTCGCCATCAAACGAAGGTCACAGGGAAGGAATTCGTGGGTGTACCCGGTGCTAGCAGGGAAGCGGGAGATGATTTCTTCGGCAGCACGTTCGTTCCGGCCAATGATAATGATGTGAGCCTTGCCTCCAACGTATTGTGCGAATGCCTCTGCCATAGATTGTCCAATGCCAGAGGTCCCACCAACAAAGATGGCCACAGGAACGTAAGAAGGTCGAAAGGTCGTATTGGAGGCTTTTGCCAGTTCCAGTGTTGGCATTTGCTACTTTGAGCGAATATCGTTCGAAGTATGTAGACGAGTGATATTGGACCAGACAGAGTGTTGCAAACTTTTGAATCGTAGCCCACGGAAGCGAACGGAGACGATCCGAAGTATGACGAGGTGATGATGACAGCGCATTACATCAGCGAAGTGGATTTCGAAAGAAAATGATGAAAAGACTTGCAGAGCTTGCGAATGAGACTGAAAATACAAAGGATCGTCCAAATAGCGTTTGATTATCGATTCAGGGAAGACGCGTTCGTCGAATTAAGTATTTCATGGCAGTGCGAGGAATCTGGATTGCAATGGCTTTAATTTGCGGGAGCTTGAGCTTCTCATGGAAGAGGGAGTCGTGAGGTTGAAGTTATGCAAGACCATGATTACTCTGCTAGGTAGAAGTCGACATTGCTTGAAGCTTGGTGGAGGAAATTGTTGAAGGTTGGAGAGTATTAGTCATACCACGCCAAGGTCACGGTCACGACGGTCACCTTGACTAGACACGCCGCATGGCCACCATGGCCACGTTGGCCAACCTTCACGGTAGCGTTAGGTCTGGGGAAGCCTTAACCCGCGACTGCGACCTAGGCTGCTGCTTCTTCTCCGGAACGGGTTGAGTGGGGGTATCTCATTGGCGGCTGTTGACTGGTCGCCATTATGCCCGTAGATGACACCTATTCTCGGTGTATCTCTCGACTTCGAAACCACGTCGTTGAATTCAAACACGTCCACCTACCCAACCGCTTCTTCGGCCTGGTCTGGCCCGTGCAACGGCACGGCGAATAGACGGTGTATCATGGTACTGCACGCCAAACGGAGGGAATCAAAGCTCCACCATGTTGGTCCGGTCTTTTGCCTCGACATCAAAGTTCTACGATATGAAAAGCTATAAAGCCTCACAGTAATTTTGGGCCAGTATCTCTCTGTTGCGAGAACCTCGAGATGAAGTCGTTTTTGTCCATTGCTGGTGCTCTGCTCCTTGCTGCAACCCAGGTCTCCAGTCATTGTTCGTGCTCGACGACGTATTCGTCAATCTCTGCTGACCATGGCCTTATAGATACCTGGCCCGACTTCATTGTCAACGGGAGCCCCACTAGTGACTGGCAATATGTCCGGTGAGTTCAGTCCTAACATTATGTGACATTCTAAAAGCCATTTAGAAAGACAAACAACTACCAAGATCTCAACCCTGTAAAACTCTATCCCCAATTGAATATTCGCAAGCCATCTTACTTGTACTTCAGCAAACTGACGTGACCTCGAACGACATCCGTTGCTACAACACTCAAAAGCTGAACACTCCGTCCACCGTTAGCGTTGCTGCTGGATCGAAGGTCGGCTTCACTGTCTCTGGTAACCCAGCGAGTCTGTATCATGCCGGTGTACGTATCATGTTTTCACGATCTTTTTCAAGTCAGCAAGTATGAACATGACCACAGGTTTTGAATGTCTACATGGCGAAGGCGCCTTCTGGCACCGACGTCGCGAGTTGGGATCCCACCGGAGCCGTATGGTTCAAGGTATTTTGTCTCAACGCCTATTAGTAATCACGTTCAAGCAGTTGATCTCCTTTATAGGTCTACCAAATCTCTGCTGTCACCGACGGCGGAAGCACTATCACCTTCCCGACCACAAACATGACACAGATCTCTTTCACCATTCCTGCCGCAACACCCTCCGGACAATACCTCATCCGAACCGAACACATTGCTATTCACAGTGCTAGCTACTACGGCGGCGCTCAGGTAAACAAGCTTTTGGCGTAGTGAGCTCTCACTGAGATGAGTCTCTAGTTCTATATTGCCTGCGCTCAAGTCACCGTCACCAATGGTAGAGATTGCCTTCATAATCTTCAAAATCCCACTGAAAATATTCCATCAAGGCGGTAGCGGCACGCCCGGTCCCCTCGTTGCGTTCCCTGGTGCCTATACCGTAAGTTCTCGTGCTGTGCCCTTATGACATTCGTTAACGTTGATCTTCCTAGGGAAATGTTGGTGCCCTCAAGAAATCATTATTTTCATGTCTGACTCCGTCATTTCTTTAGGAACCAGGAATTTTGTAAGACTCTCCATCCCCGTTTCGGAGATGAGTCTTATCCTCTTTCAGGATCAACATCTATTACCCAATCCCAACGACCTATGTCCAGGTGTGTCCATAATCTGCGATGTGGCGATTGGGGCTTGACAAAACGACTCAGCCCGGACCTGCCGTCTGGACCGGTGGTTCAAGCGGTGGAGGTGTGACGACTACCAATGGAGGAGTCACCACTACTCAGGCCCCTCCGACAACGACGATCAAGACCTCAGCGACAGTCTCCGCTACCAGCGCGCCAGGCACTGTAGCGCAATACCAGGTAAGCTTTGTGGGAACAAATTTGTCATTTGCTAACTCTGAGATAGCAATGTGGCGGTCAGGGATACACTGGTGCGACGGCTTGGTGCGTTCTTCTCCTGATTGTGATCACGTCTAAATATGAACCAACATAATAGCGTTTCGCCATTCAAGTGCACAGTCGTCAACAGTAAGCTTTTTAAAATTCAGAATTCTCAGAAGCTTATCTGTCAAAATAGCCTACTACTCACAATGCCTCTAAGGCAACGCAATTTTGTATTACCACCTGTGAAATTTCGAACCCTCGTCCAACTCCCAATACAATCATTCACCAATGTTATTTAAATCGAGCCCAACATCACACCATTGTGTCATGCGCCCACTTTGCATTTGAGACATTTTTACGCGGCTGATCTCTGCGAAATCCCGGAGTTTTACGGGAGGTTCTCGGTATCGGCTACAGCAGGTCGATGCTGACATCAGTCCTTCGCTCAACAAGCCACGCGAGCCGCTGAATGGTCGGTTCCGGTGGCTGTAAAAATAGTGAGTGCGAAACAAGCTCCGAAAGCGACTGGGGTTCTCGAGTTCTCAGAATTGGCGCCTGCCGAAGACGTTCACCCCGCAGAATTGCTGACGATAGGCTGAAGAAGCTGGCAGCAGATCTCCGCAGAACTTCCGAAAGGTTGATCCCAGTCGATGCACATGATAACACAGTTACGCATGACGCTGGACGCGGAGTAATTGACGCCTGAGGGTCCCATTCTCGTGCAATTTTTCTCAGTGACGGAACCGCGTAGCTAAGACATTTAAACACAAAAGTTCGTTTCGTGGACCGTACCGATCCGTGGCTCGATATGAAGACCTTCTCTGCACTTGTCGCCATCGTCGCCCTCGTCGCGGAGAGCTCTGCTCATTGTGCGTCTTGTGTCCATTTTTAAAACAGGTCCAACTTTCACTCCAGACATTTTCCCGGACATCATTCTGGGCGGTGTCCAGAGCAGCGACTGGCAATATACCCGGTATGCTGGCGAGATTTCTGGGTTTTCAACCATCCAATACTAATCGACACGTAGCCAAACAAATAACTGGCAAGACCTCAACCCCGCCCAGGACGTCACGAGCACCGACATCCGGTGTTACACCTCCAAGCAATCGGGAACTGCTCCCAATGTCGCGAACGTGGCCGCCGGCTCTACCGTCACCTTCACCGTGGTCGGAAACCCTTCGAGCACCTATCACGATGGCGTACGTCGCGTCTGATTGACTGCCTTGGAAAGACATTAACCACCAAGAAAGGTCTTGAACGTCTACATGGCCAAAGCCCCCTCCGGGACCGATGTGTCGAAATGGGACGGAAGCGGGACAGTGTGGTTCAAGATTAAAGAGATTCCCGCGGTCGCAAACGGCGTCACGATTACATTCCCTGCAACGAGTTCGTCTGGTTTCAACAAAACCGCCCATGTGTTTACTTACTTGGGTCGTTTTCAGACTTGACCACGGTTCCCGTCACAATCCCTACTCAGGTTCCCTCTGGCCAGTACCTCCTCCGAGTAGAACACATCGCCCTCCATGCCGCGTCGTCCTACGGCGGTGCCCAATTCTACATCTCCTGTGCCCAAATCAATGTGACGGGTGGAGGAAGTGGTACTCCCGGACCCTTAGTCGCCTTCCCCGGCGCCTACACAGGAAACGAGCCTGGCATCTTGTGAGCCAATTATTTCGATGCAAAGAATAGCAAACTGACCCAAAAAAGGATCAACATCTACTACCCTATCCCCACCAACTACGTCCAACCCGGACCAGCCGTTTGGCCCGCCGGAGGCTCCGTAAGCTTCTGTACTTGTCTTCTGTTTGCCCTTTGTAATGTGTTGTCAAATAGACAAACCCTGCCTCATCAACCACGATAAAGTCGTCTTCGACAGTGAAACCCTCCTCGACGTCCAGCGCCAAGCCGAGCAGCGTCTCGAGCAGTGCTAGCACGGGTGCAACCCAAATACCGCAATACGGCCAGTGCGGACCGACGCCGGCTTACACGTGTGTATCGCCGTATAAGTGCACGGTCGTCAATCGTATGTTCTCCTTTCCAATAGAGTGTCGCCGCTGACTAGCAAAATAGCGTATTACTCGCAGTGCCTATGAGTAAAGCCAAGGGAAAATGGTAGTTGTTGTTTCATCATGTAATAATTGATACTTGAGGGCGAAAAGAAATGCATCCAATTCTCTTCAACGAATCAGACAACGATCATAAGCGGCTTTGAAGAGGGGACACATTTGCCAGGATGGTAGAAATCGCAACAGCAAGCTCGTCGGGTTTCTCTTGAACGAGCTAGAGAGAAGTTAAGTTGGATGCTTGATTGACGAATAAGTTCGCTCACCATATGCCCCCCTTGGACCTTGCTTGTTGACGCAGCCCCTACAACTAACGCGTCTTGAACGAACAATGGTCTGCAAAGCTTGTTAGCAGGACATGTGTTAGAAGAGTACAAAACTTAAGCACACTAATGGAGCCTCTGAATCCGCCCAGATGAAATGCACTTTGCTTGAGATGGACTTGTTAGCTAGCAACGCAGCGGTCTCAAAATGCGGCTGAGGCTCAGGATAGCAAAGTGCCTCTTGTCTTCGATCTCCCTTGACTCTAACTCCCTCTGGTGTGGCCTCCAGACCATCGTCCTACCTGATATATCAGGAATAAGACAGTGACAACAATAACAGGCCATACCACGAGCTTCTGTAGCACCCGTTCATCCCAGTCACTCCAGGGAATCCGTTTCCGCATCCACGCGAAGGCGTCCTCCCTTGTGCGCCAAGTTTCTCGCCTCGTTAGAGTTGCGGAGACGACAAACTCCATCGTCGACATCCGGATATCGATTTCCTGATAGAACATTTCATGGGAGATCGCAGTCGGCTCTATGGCGATGATAGCTTCGTAGACTGAGGGAGAGGTGAGGTATTTCGTTGACAGAATCCTAACCCAGTTCAGTGGAAGACCACAAGCTGACAGGGATGAACACACATTGCCCCAGCCCCCGCAGAGTGCCCAACGGCAACGATTCTTCTTCCCCGCATTGCCGACGAGCTCGCAAACGCAGCTATGGCCTCCGCCCACTCTAACACAGCTACACAAAACGTGTCAAAAACAAAGTATACTGGGAGCGAGAAAGCGCGCAGACAGACACCGTAGACACGACCCGGACTCTTCTCTGGATCCAGCAGCTCTCGGTTCAGCACCGCAGAGTCGCCATGGGTTTGCCAGTCGAATGCGTAGGCCTCATCTATTGATTGCTGCAGTTCTAGGACACGTTGTATCGTGGGGTCCCATTGCTCTTTGTCTGACGGTTAAGATTAGACAAAATTGGACGGGGAAGGAGCAGAAGAATAACGCACGGGCACCGACGCAATGAGCGAAGAACAGGGTGATCCCACTCCCAGCTTGTTTACTTTGGGATAGAGAGTACCGTTTGACCGCCATCCTTAGCCACCGTCCTGGTGCGTCGCGCACGCTTTGTGGGGAGTTGAAAACCAAGTGGTCAGTGTGCATTGAGAGAGCCTCAGAGGTGATCATGATTCGTGATCACAAGCTTAGGCTCGAACCAGCCCCGTTTTGACCGGTGAAGATGGGCAAGTCACGATCATCACCGCCGGAGGGGCTGGAACAGAATCACCGGCGGCTTAGGGACACGAAAAGAAACCGGGATGAATTACCGGAGTTATCACGATCAAAAAAGGGTGGTGGTCAAAATTCCAGATTTTTGCACATTTAAGGGGACCATTTGATAGCGCTCGTTAACGCGAGTCGCGCTATGTTTTTAGTTTTTTCTAAAATGAAGTATTTGGACCAGAATTCGATGATCTTCATTGGCCTGTCATCACAATGATGTCACACTTACTTCTTGCTTCAGAACGACGATGGGCTTCAAACGACAGAGAGAGGAGGATGAGGATTATGTCCCTCCACGGCAGAGGGACAAGAGAGCTACAAGACAGTCAACCCCACCGATTTCCCCGCCAACTTCTCCCTTTATTCTTCATCTCCAATCAGCAAATACACCAGTACCAGCAACGTCTTCCGAGTCCATTGACTATCCCATGTATACTGAGCCTCCAATCAATGAACAATACAACTCTCCTACTGCTCCCTCTCCCACATCTGAGCTGTTTCCTGACTTCCTGGCTGCATCGAGCTCTTTTACTCCACACACTCCCCAATTTGGACGTCGTGCGATGTCTGCTGAACCACTGTCATCGCCCATCAGACCGCTTGTGTTCTCGCCCGTCAAACCAAAACGAGGGCTACGGTAGGCGAGACGGTTGAGGTTCGATTTCACATTTGACAGCTGATCCTTGGCAGATTGATCAGTCTGAGCAATGACTTTTCACCCATTTTTCAAGGTTTTGGAGGGTGTAATGGATTGAATAAGCCCAGAATAGACATTTGCTACCTGTTATGCAGCTACTTGGACAACAAATCAGTGCTTTTGCTAAAACTTACTCATTTTATTGATGTAACAGCCGGCAATATGTAGATAAAGCAACATGTGTGCTTTACCAGCTGCGGCATACATGAAATTACTTGAGGGCGGTGGGGGCTGGCTCCGGAAACTAGTTTTCCGTGCAGTTGAGATAAATCCATGAGGCTTGTCCAGAGCCGAATGAGAGTCGGCACTGGACGGCTTGATGGATTTGACGTCATCCGCCCCTTGACATCATTCCGATGAGATAGCCGTCACTCGGGGCACACGGACATCAGAGTCCGTTGCCAAGTCCGAGGACCTGCCCATCTCCGAGATAGCCGGTGCAATTCCCACCCTCCAATAAGCTGATTTCAGCCTCTGCGCGAAAGATATCGAGTTTCTAGGTCTACTACAGGCATAGATCAGCTCAGTATACCCCCAAAATGGCCCAGATCTTCCAAACTACAAGGGAAAATAGATAGTTTTTGACCATCATACATCTGTCAAGATTGGAATTCATCCTCAACCGTCTCGCCTACCGTAGAGGGCGGCCTGCCTTCTCACCCGAGACAGTGAGACTCAAGATGACTGTCCGTCAGCTTCGTGGGAGTCAATATACACCTGATAAGCGCTTGGTGGACAATGCCAACGAGCTTCTCAGCGTGAAAGCGGTACAGGCTAAAGAGGCCCAGCAACAGAAGGTTGAGAATGACCGTCAGATGCGAGCTCAAGAGCGTGAGGCGACTCGTCTGCTGCGTGAGAAGGAGGCAGTACAAGCATCTCAAGAGGCGGCACGAGAGTCTGAAGCTTCGGAGACACTAAAGGCGCATGGGGTGGTGAAACAAATTTTGGGGGATCCGGAAGATGGTGGCTTTGGATTTGGCAGTCTCAAACAATTCTTCGATGCGCTATGGCGGCCTGGCGGTGATCGTGCAACGTCTTCTCTGCTCAGCAAGTACGTGGAGAAACATGGAGCCGACCATGCTCGGAACATGTTTCGGCGCTCGAATCAGGCGCGCGATGATTATATCTCGGAAGAGCTCGCAAAAATTTTGCAGAAGGAGGGACGTGCAATCCAAGCTCTTTTGACACGGGAATGGACAACCAGTGTAACCGACCTTCTCCAGCAGTTCTCGATGGAGGATCTAACAGTGCAGCTTGAGCAAGTCGCACCAACATTATGGGAAACGTTGGGTTTGGTGTCGACCCCAGACCAGTCGACACGACGTCAATCAAGTGGAGATAATAGGCGGGACAAAAGTCTGGTATGTATATTTTTCGGATCAGCCGACAGACTCAAGCTCAAGTTTTGTAACAGGTTTTCACAACAATCTGCGCCCTTGTTAGCGTCTTGCGTTCACAGAAGGCCAACAATTTTCAGATGGTCGTTGGACTCTTTTTACTAGGTTCAGGGGCATCAAAAAGAGAAATCTCTGTCCTTGCCCATGCGGGTCTCTCAATCTCATATGCGCTCATTATCGATCACGTCAAGAAGCTGTCTACTGAGGGCTTAGTCACTATTCAAGAGGTGTTCCGGACTTCGATGGTCCAAATCGTATGGGATAATCTTAACATCGCCTTTCGTATTGCAGAACAGCGGATGGGCTCAAAGAACCATTTCGACAGCGGCACGACAGCAACTATGATTCCTGTTTTTGACCCGGCGACTGGCAAGCATGCAGCTCATGGGACTCTTCCGCTTGAAACAAACCCGTCCCGAGAGCGAACACTCCCAGTCCTTGATTGGACAGCAGACGACATATTACCCAGTCCTCAAGAAGCGGAGCAGATATCGCAGACATGCCTCTGGCAGCTCAAGCGAATTGCACTTGAGCATATTCCGGGTGTTACTGATGTGCTTCGTGAGTCGCTGGGCGAGTGTCCTACGGTCCATCAAATTCCGCTGCATAAGACTGAGCAGTATCCCTTACCTGCCATGAAATTGGACGAATCAAGTCTTGACGGTACGATCGAGGTCTACGAAACAATACTCCGAAATATCGGGGTTAACGATGAAGCACTCCGTAAACACGGAATCATGTTCGATGATGGTGATTTGCTGACTGACTCGCTGAAGGAGAAGGTATATTTTCAGTCAGCTATAAAGTACAGTACTGACTGGTGTTAGTTTGAGTCTGCTCGCCGCAATAGCACCACACCGATTGCAGGATTTCGAGCATCATGCCGCCGATTTGGTCTTTTCCATGCTGAGATGGCAGGCTGTCGGCTCACTATCAACGAGCACTGGGGTTCACCAAACTCCGTATGGCCTGGGAGCTTATGGTGGGAGCACAACAAGCTCCTACACCGAAAGCCTGTCAAGGCTGGGTGGGGTAACAAGAAAGCGACTGATTGGAAGCCTGCTCATGAACTCCTTCAAATTTCTATTGCAGGTCATATTATGGATGGCTTTCGGCTTTATTGTCCCTGTAAGGGCAACCTCGCGAGGCTCGAAATCAGAGTCCTGAGCAGAGGGGGAATCCTTAGTGAAACTACTACAACAGGAAGGGACGCTACAGACTCACCTGAGCAGAGGGGGAATCCTTAGAGAACAAGCCAAGGAGCCCTCTGCTCAGGTGCACTACTATATACTAGTGACCGGAGTAATGATAGAGTGACTGCATAGCGACGAACAACGCATGGGAGAAGTCAGGTGTCGCCAATGGACCCTAGGTGAGTGTCGAGTAGCCCTCGAAGCTCCGGAGAGGCAGGTTTGGGACCATGATGCCAAGGGAAGAGCCCAGGCATCCTTAGAAGGCCCAGGAAGGGCTTTGGGGGGTCCAGACTGCCTCTGGGCGTCTCCGCTTGTGACCGTGACCGTGACAACCGGAATCGGAATCGGAATCGGAATCGATTCCGGGTGTGTGACCGTGACGTGACGGCCGGAAACGGAGAGGGCATGGAGCGGAGAGGGAAGGAGTCGGTCTAGCCCAAGGGCCGGGGAGTGTCGGAAAGGACCAATAGGAATGGCGGCCAGCCATGACCACTGGAGGGTAGCGACAGGAGGGTCACTCGGAGACGTCCCCGGACGTCTCCAGAGAGGTGGAGGTGTGAGGGCGTGCAGCCTGGGGCGCTGCAGTAGGCACGAGCCTTAACGGCAGTAGGCCTCACCCAAAGGAAGACCCGATGACGGGGGCCGTGGTGGCGGAGTGGGGGGGGAGCCATGGCGGGGCTCAGCCATCCGAACGTAAGCCCGAACGCTGACATAGGTTGGGGACACCCAAGAGGTCCAACGGGTGGAGGTTGCAGGGAGACCTTGATGAGCGACAGCCCAGAGAGGCTATAAGGCCCTAGGCTCGAGGTCTCAGAGGAAAGTGGTGCGGCCACATCCGGAGAGGTCTCCGATGGCATTAGTGATCCCTGATGGTGACTCCGGAGAGACTCCCAGAAAGGGGTGGCCATGGGAGTTGGAGGTTGGGGACCACTGGATGCGGGATGTGGTGGGAGAAGTGGAGGAGGAGCGTCAGGGTGCAGGAATACAGAGACTCGGGTGGAGACACGGAGACGCAAGTGGAGACGCGGAGACGTGAGCGGAGACGCGGCGCTTGATGGGATCAAGTGACGGCATCAGGGTTTCCCCTGACAGTCCCGACAACGAACTCGAAAAATGGGCTTCAAAGGCAACAGTTGCGCAATTCAATGAAGTTGCTGATTCTGTCATGCAGAAACTTTTTTCGACCAAAGCAATTGTCAAGCTTCACTCACAAGACAAATACGACACCGTGCTTGAGAATAATATTCTCTATAATCGCGACACCCTATTCTACATCGATTTTGTCCATGCCCTCAAGCAAGGCGACATTGGTCGAAGTCGTGAATATCTTGCGCATCTGGACGTTAATGATGCGGTCACCGAAGACAATGCCTCGATATGCAGACGCCATGTTCGAGACACTTGTTCGCATCAAGCACTTTCCAGACAAACAGAGGTCAGCATTCATTTCCTCTATAGAGAAGGATCTATAAAAGTTTTGAAGGGAGCTCTACCTTGCAAATTGGCTGGTTAATCTATCTGGTCGTCCCTTCGGCTTCAAACCTGTCGACTTGCTACAAGAGCACCAGAATATGTGGGCGAAGACAGTATACAACGCAAAGGGTGCCAACAAAAACTGGAACTGGCTCGCGATGATTACGGTCTGTATTTACAGTCTTCGTGAAGCTATGCGAACAGTACAGACCTCATTTCGCATTCCGGCATATGGCGAGAAACATAAGAGCCCCGAAATCAAAGCCGAGGTTGCGATCATCGCCGCTGCGCTGAAGCCTGAGGACAATAACATCCAAGCATATACAGCCAATCGACCTGCGAACGATCATATAAAGCCAGTTCGAGACCTGCTAAGGGAAGGTGCCAGCCAAGCTAGCACGCGAAAAGCCTTCGCGCGGTTTACACGGGACATCCGTCGCGCAAAGCGACACGGGTTTGAAGTGAATACTATGGAACAGGAAGCGGGAGAGGAGGATGAAGGTGACGAGGCAGAGCAGCACGAATATGATGCTCGACAGGAAGACCTGGAGATTGATGACGATGAGTTGGCGATGAATCCCGAGCTGTTGCTTGAGGCTGCTCGGGAAATGGCGGATGCGGCGTTCGCGGAAATGGATATCGGCGACTGAAGTATATCTCATTTCATGTCTCATTACAAGCTAGTCAACGTAATGTGTTCTGGCAAATCATCTGTCTCCTCTGAGTTTGCTCGGGAGGGCAGTTCTCCTGCAGCGATGATTGGGACAATATCAAAAGTTGAAAGATAATGGACTGACCCAGGAGGTGTTCATAACCGGGTACTCGATGCTCGTAGGTGAGGCGCTGTAACGCACGGTCAAAAACACGACGCAAATAAAGAGCATCGTTGTATATTTCCGAGTCCGGAAGATTGAAGGCGGTGGCATTGTCGAACATCCGATGCCAGTCGTTTCGATAATCCATGATATTTGTATAATGTGTTACCTTCTCGCAGAGTTTCTTGATGTTTGACATGGAGATGGGGTTCTGGATTTGAACATAGTAGCTGGGGTATCGCTAATGCTGATATCAGACAATGAGAATCAATACAAATTTCAGCGTACATTCTTCTTGGGTAGCTGTATGAACAGTTGACAGCGTCGCCGAGGATTGGGCTTCTTGCGCTTTCGATTGGACACGGGCAGAGCTGGCGGCTCCACCATTTCCGAATAAACAGCCTCGTAGCACCCTTGAAATACCAGCTCCAGTTGCTTTCGAAGGTTCTTGAAGGCATTGCGTTCCATAGTCCTCTGCTCACGTTCCGCTTCTTGTGTTTCGCGTGCCAGAGCAGCAGCATCCGGATAGAGGGTGACAATATTTTGAATAACGGAGACCACTCTGTCTCCGTATTTCGGTGCGAGAACCCAGTGGGTATGCTGACCAATAGCTTCAGAGTTGACGATGAGCCTAGCGCGTTTTGCTAGATCGTCGACGACAGCGTCAGAGAGAGAAGGATCGACCCAGAAAGGAAGTGCTGATGCGGGTAGAGTTCATCCACCAACTCTTCCCTAAAGGCCTCCAGCTTTGCTCGGATAGCAGCATCAAGCTCTTCTGAGCTCGCTCCTTTCCGCCCCGCCTTCCTCCCCCGTCCACCAACCAGCACCACTGTTTCCAACTCAAACGCGTCTGGGTCGCAGTTATCGCAGCATGGACGTACCCTACCTGGGGAAATCATGCATCGTGGTCACTGATAGGTGACATGCCTCGATGCATCAAGATCACTCGGTAGAGAGCGTTTCATGCATCGTGTGACTCTGTGATAAGTGAGCGTACCAGGCTTGAAGCTCATTGCCTGTCCGCTCAGTATCGTTGGGATCAACAGCGATCAAATGTCGTCGTCACCGTTGTCCACGATGCCCCCGGTAGGATGAAAAGGCGCTGTAAAAAATCTGAAAAAAATCCAGGTGCTGTGTAGCGTTAATTTGAATAAATTGCGCTTGCTGGTAAGAATGTAGGCATTGGTAACACTCCAGAAAGCCACATATACAGCTCATGAATCATTTTTCATTCATTTTCTAGTGTCAGTATAGCGCCTGTAGGACCCAACGGAACCGGGGTATCTGCGCCATTCTCTACATTATCATCCCGAACAGCTCCCGCTTCGCTTTCGAGGTCCTCGGAGGTCAGCGATGCCGCGCGGTTCCGTGCTTCCAGGATATATGCAGGAAGGTGACCCCACATTCGAGCGAACGAGCCGCAAAGATCGCGTTGGAACTGTGCTTGTTGCCGTGCATACGCTGCCTTGCCTTCAAGCTCCTCCAGCGCATCGGAATCAGCTGCCACCCCGTCTATTTCGGCTCGCATTTCCCACCAATCGGCTCGCCACAAGAGGAACTGCTGGACGCGTCGCATCTCTTCTTCTAACAAATCGAGCTCTTCCGACCATCGGAGGGCCCGGGCGCGGGTCCGGGCCCATTCAATTCGCAGGGCTGCAATAATTTAGTGGCGCTCAACATACTGAGCAATGAAATGTACCTTCATCAGTGTGTTCTGGATCTCCTTCCTTTCGACTTACAGTTTGCTGAACCCAAATCCAGGATAGCTTCGGTGCGCCGACGGCCCCCATCCGACGGCGCTTTGTTTGTGATGGCCCCGGGGCCGGACCTGCAGATCTTTGGCTCGCTTGCCTATCAAGTGACACCTCCGCTTCCACTGAAGATCTGCCCGATGTGCCGGACGGGCCGGTCCGTTGTCGGGCCGGATCCCCGAACTGAGCTCGCGGTATCCCGCGCAGATCGTCGGCCTTCAGCTCTTTAAGGCTCGTTTGCCAGTCCGAGTTACCCAGGCTATCCCCAAGCACATTGAGCGCATCCCACGCAGCATGGTACATTGCTGCAGCCCTTCGCACCCTTTCTTCAAGCCCCGCAATCTTTGTATTTGAGCGAGTATTTGCCTTGACGCCGCGTGAATAGCGATCTTTCTGATTATAAAGGTGAGTGCGAATCAAAAGGAGACGGCGGATGGTATTCAGCGCTTCGTTGGCCTGCCCAACCCGGAGGCGAAATTCGTAGGTGATGATCTCCTGCGAGCAGCTTCCGCGTATACGCCGTTGAATAGCAGATGGGAGCCATAAATTGATTTGCGTGACGCCTATGCCGGGAATTGCTTGGCTCTGACCCGCCGCAATGTCTGCTCGGGCATCATCTTCTTCTTGGCGGAGACAATCAACCACCGGGAAAAACTGGGCTTGGATATCGGTCCAGGCCAAAATCTTGCGGCGCAACTTGCTAGCCCGCTCTACCACCAGCGTACGTTGACGGTCCGTGGCATGGCTTTTCAACGCAAGCATATCGGGCGGATAGAATTCGCCTGTGTCAGGCAAGTCAGCATTATGAAATCGGGTTGACAAATCACTGACTGTTGCTCCTCCAACTGGAGACCGCCGGCAATGAGCTCGGTCACATGCATATCTTCTCGAACGGAGCCGATGGACTCTGTTCCTGCCGCTTCCCGAGCTGCAACTTCTTCGGCCAATTGATGCCGTACCCCCGCCAGAAATGTGTCGTTACTCTGGCTTTCGAAGGGATTCGGGTGGGGGTTAGGCTGTGTTGTCGCACCGGACTCCCATAAGGTCACCATTTGAGTCCATTTTGCGACTGTTTCGGGCGCAAAACTAGTTTCTAGGTCAACATAGGCTTGTTTGGTTTCAATGACCAATGGTGCCGCCTCCTTGACCTTGTCCAGAAAACTTCTGCCTGTAAAATAGACAAGTTTTGTATCAATTAGACACTACAAATTAGTCAAAACTCACCAAGGTTGATGATTTTTTTGTGATTCTGATCATTAAAGAAATCATCGAGCGCATCCCGCCTCGAACCTGGACCCATATTCATCGTGCTGCCTGCCAATGGATTCGTGGCTGCCCAAACGCGTTCAGGCGCTTCACCATCGGTCATGCCTACTGATCTTGTCAGATTGAATGAAAATCGAATATTGCACTCTTCGATATGTGCAGGAAGGTGAAATTTGGGGACGAGAAAGACGAAATATTTGTTATCTTTGTCGATCGAAAGAAGTTGATGATCGTAGCGGGACATACGATCCCATAGATTGACGTGCCATTGACATGCGATGTCATACGAAACGAAGAGAGAGATCAACTCCGTTCCTGTGAGACTTCGGAGAAACATGAAGTCCATATTAATATATCTAAGGTAAAATTAACGGAGCGTTGCACAGGAATAAACAAATACCTCTCCCCAAGCTGAAGATCACCAACACTCAGTGGTCGCTTCATATTGTGACGCGCACAATCAACCGCGCCGATACCGGAAGAGGCTGTACCTCTCGCGTCCCGGTCAGGCTTATCCACCGCATCATGTGCCACACAACGACTTTTCTGAAATCATGGATCAACAACCAATCAGCTGGAGGTAGATCGATACATGCCGGTTGCCGATCATTCCAGTGCTTTTTCACATGGGCCATATACTCTTCCACCTTGCAATAAAAGGCCCACCCATGGCCTAACCCAGGGTCCTTCTTCTCTGATGAAACATCTTTTCGTTTGAGACGAAAGTTTGCATCAATGGCAAGAAATAGCGAGAATAGAAAACTGAAGACCGATCAGCACTCCATGGTTTGCGACACGAAAATGAGCAACTGCACCGTTTCTCCTCTGGTGCCTGTTCCCAGTTACTGGGCAGGTTCTTTCCAGGCTGTGGACAGGCCGGGCACAGAAGTGCGCATTCTCCCGGACCAGTCCCTCGGACACCGGTCGGATCATGACCGCGTCCCGCTCGCTTCAACATTTGAAGATTCCTCCATTGCTTCGTCATTCGGAGGAACTCGTCATACCGGTCCTGCGCAATGGTGAAAAAAAAACAGGCAGATTATAGAGGACAGCTTACGCGCACCCCCAATAAGCCTGTGTTATCTGTTTGCCTCGCCAAGGAATAGTAATAGTCGTAAACACTCGACTTGGATTCAAGGAAAGTCAGATGATAGTGACGTAGTACATTGATGGTTGCTGCTGTTCTTGGATTTGTTGTTGTTGCCGGATATAGTCCGGCTCGAAGGAGTTGCTGCGTTTGGGTACCACTGGTGAAACAACCACAGAAATCCAGCCCAACCTCGTGAATCCCGTGAGTGTCAATGATAAGGAATTCATCGCCAGCGGCTCGAATCGGCTGGGGACACTGATTGCTTTGATGCCAGTGTCCCAATTGAAGCCGAAGTCCGAGAGACTTCAGTCCGCGTCGTTCAAAGAAAGTGCCATTCCACTCCTGGTCACGAGTCAATCCAGAGGGCAGAACAATGGCCAGTGAGTGAATGCGTACCTCTGCTCGATGAAATGGTAACCCATGATGTGTCTCCAGGAGGCAAGATCGGCAAAGCATTGCTCCACCAAGACAGCAGTCACGGCAGCGGAATGATGCTGTCGCTGACTCGGACGTACATCGGAGACATGAAGAGTATTGGTGTTTCCCGGCGGCCTTCGTGGCGAAGCAGTTCTGACAGGAAGTCATCACGATGATACTCCGCCCATTGACGGAGTGGGTCATCAGAATCACGCATCTCCCGCGCACTTCCGCCCACATCCAGCTCCAGCTCGTAGACTAGATGTTCTGAGGACAGTCCTGCAATTGTATCGTGAGTGTCGGGAACGACTGTTGCTATGCTCCCAAGCGTTGGCAGTTGGTGTGTCGCAGCCGACAGTGTGATCGAGCCATCGGATCGAATGTCATTATATTGGTGAATGACCGATGCCAAAGTGCTTGTCTGGCCAGGGATTGGCGGTGGGAGATCAGGGAGAACGTAGGTGACGGCCGTGGCTTTTCGACGAGGCGGCATTCGGCACAAGATGGAAGGTGAAGGCAAAAGCTTCCGTTGTCATGCTGTGCCAGTCAGATCAATGATGCCCCAGACTTCGACTGAAGTCTGAATCAAGCCATGGATGTATAGTTAAGGGCCATAATTGCTGGAGGCCAAAGGATATACTGTCTTGCTTAGATTAAATTGAAAAAACTGGATCTAAGCATGCTGGTTCCTTCAATGCCGAGTTTTATTCTTGTGTCACAGATGTCACAACGACCGAAATTCAAGATAAAGAAAATGAATACTTAGTTCACTCAATGTTCAGTCAACAGAAATTGAACTACCCTATAAAATGCTCATTAGACCAATATTTACCATGATACTTACCATTAAGATATGCCTAATTAGCCAAAATGTAATAGTAATTAGAATGTAATTGGTGCACTACAACTGTTTGAGGCCCATGAAAATTAGAGAACATTGTCGACACTTCAATGGTATCAGAGAGAAGCCATTTGGATGCCTAGCTACCATACTGATGACCCACATAAATATCTACTTATCAATTGTTGTTGGATACTGTTTTGGGATTTTAGGGCCAACAAAAAGTATATTAAGGAAAAATAAAAACATAGAGGGTCTTACAAACTACCCTTGAAGCTACTCCACTGCCCAGTTTGATGTTTCTATCAACTTCACAAATCAGACTTTGTAAGTTTCATTGATTTTAGGACCTTATTAATGTCATTTTTGGAGTGTGTGGATGTGAGAATGAAGAAGATATCCATACACCCTAGCATATGGATTTTGAGGCCACCAGGTGAAGTGTATGCTAATTTCTGTAAATTATATGCCGTCAAAATTTGTGATGTTGAATGTTGATTTGATCTTGCTCTTGCCCGTCACTATGGTTTTCAAACGAACATGGAGTGAAGACGGAGCTTACAAGTTGAACTCAAGGTATTCAACTACACTTAACTGAGTGTATGGAACTCTCTTCATCTTACCTTCTAATCATTCTCTTGTAGAAAAACCCACAAAACTCAAATTCTTGACCATCGCCGTGCGTCCGAACAAGTATTATGCGGTGTATTTATCCTCTTACTCAGTAAAGCTCTACCTAACATCTTCTCAGTCACCCTGAAATCAAGACTAAACGCCGACAAGGACGTAAAAAGTCTGTACTGGCCGAAAGGTTGGTCAATTACTTGAATGAACTTGAATTATGCATTCAATATATCAATAGAGTGCTTGAGAAGGCATCCGTTCATGCGACCAATACACATATTTCTGAAGATCACCTCACTTTTGCTCAACCTTTGCCCTCCGTTGGACCAAAAACAATCAGCCAGCAGAGCGAAATGGAGTCGATTGACGCTATAGCCAGATCTCTGCAGGACATGACTTTGACGCCCGTCATTGACCTTTCCGATAGGTCGGTCACCATAATCTGATCCACTTGCGCCATATGCTGATGGTGATCAAACAGGGCGTTTATTACCGTGCCAAGTGGTGTAACCCCTCTGTCCCCAGAACAGAATGATATGCTTCAAGCAGGAGGGCAACTCAAGCTCAGCCCAGTTCAACACATGCAACTGGCTGTCGCCGAAGTTGAATCTTGGTCCTTTAACTCCACCAACTTTTGTTGACCGTGCTGCTTGGTCTATTCCTCAAGATGATCATGCTGTCCGTTTCCTTGGCGAACAATCCTTGGCCCGCGTTTTGGCATGGAGATCTGCGGTAGAGCCATACAGATCGCCTATAATGCTGAGAACCCGGTTCCATATCCCGTTTGCAGACCATCTACAATGGTTCAGCCACAACCGACGCATTGACGAGCTGGAGAGGGAGGGACGTATTGTTGGAATGCGGATGGCTTGTGAATTTGGTCGACCATTTCACACCGGCACAGAAACTCATTCCCTTCTCAGTAAGTACAATCTAGCCCAATCCGAAAAATTCTATCTCGAGACCGAGCTTACGACCCCCATCCCTATCATTATCAAGGGGTGAACCGGGTGAACCTCGCATCTGACTCAAGTTGAGCAGACAAGGGGGTCTGGCAAAGTCCAGAGATGATGGAAGACAAGTAAAAAGCTTGTGTCGTGTGCAGCTGGTAGTAAGACACGCAGACGGCGTACAGAGCTGCTCCAAGTCTGGCCACGAGCAACGCAGCACGCTAGGTCGGATAATGCTGACGAGACTTCATACAAGTGGTACACCGGGTAAAAGAGTTCTGTAGTACATATAGAGACTGAGATTGCTATTTTCCTACTGTGGCGAGAATGAGCAAGAGACGAACACACAGTGCTAAGGTCACTGATGGCGGTTCTCGTCTTTCTATTACCTATCCACCTACTTGTGCAGAACATGGACAGTTTCCCGGCCAGGAAAGAGGTGAAAGGACTGTCTGGTCCTTGGCCGCGCAGAGCGTTGAGGGTGGTGGATACTCGCTGGTGTCTCAGATTTCTTTCTTGAGCAGTGCCTGACGCCGGGAGCAGATAAACACAATAGATGAGCCCTTACCTCCTCGGTGAGCGAGACAGGGGAATGCAAAGACAACACAAAGGTCAATGACGTTGGCCTGCGACTACCATAAAGAGTGCTGAGCTGGGCGATTTCTGGGTTCGTGCCTACCATGACGTCCGAAACTCCCGTTGTCGACAATGCTGGCGGCCAGGATGGCTCACAAGTGAACACTATAACTACTGCGGCTGCTACGACCGAACTGGCACCTCTCCCGCAGATTTCTCCCCGTGGATCACTCGGCACTCAGCCAACAAGCGCTCAGCAGATTGGTGCAAGCTTGACTTTTCCTCCCGCGAACTTGGAATCGGGAACTACGGGGATTGGGTATGTTACATTTGTCCAGCACTGCAAGTTGTATATCAGTGCTGACATGCGTCCAAGAACCGGTCAGATAGCTCAGACTGACCCTGCTGCTCTCCAAGCCGCCATCTCCCCGACGTCTGTGTCAACTTCTCTCATGTCATCCCGCCCTCTTACACGTCAAACCAGTGCCTCTTTCCGCGCAGCAGCTGTGACTGCCAACGCGCCAGTCTCTGCACCGGCAACTGCGGCGTCATCGAAAGCCAAATCAAAGGGCAAGGGTAAAGCGAAAAAAGATGGGGAGGGAGAACAGAGCGAGAACACTGTGCTATTCGAAGAATGGGGTCTGACTCCTACCCCATCGGGTACGGAATCTGCAGGAGATGCCCGCGAACGCCTCAGCGATAATCAGTCCGCAATTGTGAATCGATTGTTCCAGATCGACGAGGCACATCGATCCGAAAGTCGCATGTCTCGCGACAGAGATGAAGAAACACGACTTCTTATTGGACAAACATCAGCCCGAGCTACTCAAGTTCACGATGTGCAACGCCAAGATCATGACGCTCTTATCTCTGTCATCCAGCGTATCAACGAACTGGAAGCGGAGGTTAACTCTTTTCGTACCTCGGCAGGTCAGATGCAAGGCATTACTTTGACAGGCCCTGCAGCGCCAACCCACGTTGCACCTTCCCAAACCTCTACACCGAATATGTCGGCTTCAATGGGGGGATCGGCAACCCCCTTCTTGTCGCCGGCTCAGGCTCCCGTCCAACCCCAGTTGCATTATGGAGGATTTGGTCAGCCAGCGTCACATCAGTTCCATGCGCAAACCTCCTCCCCGCATTCATCTGGGGCACATTTCTCTCCTGCGACTGCGCGAGAGGCGCCAAATACCGAGCGCCAGTCCCCACCAAAGCGACAACGCACTGGTCCGGGTCAAGACAAGTTCCACGACGTCTGGTTTTACGAAGTCGCAGAGGGGGGGGATGCAAGGGAAATTGCTCGAGCGGCGCTTCAGGTGATCCCTCAGTTGGGAATAGGGTGCTTCATCAATGCTATACGCGTGCGCGACGGCGACAATCAGCATTAGGTTCCGTACTCGCGGCTTTGGCGTCATCTTTATCGATGCCATCACCAACAACCCACCAGCGGGATTGGAGGGGTTGCACGCAGAATGGGCCCCACGCCCTCTCGACCCCGTTGCAGTTGTTCGCGGAGGTGCTTTGGCAGGCCCGAGCTACACGTAGGACCTCCTTATGCAATTGAAACTTTTGTTCTTACCCATGAATTGTACTTAAAGTGTGTCTATGTATTCAATGAATGTCCATGGCAATCTGGCACTCAAAATTGGGACGATGGATTTCCGAGCCGTTATTCTAGCTCATGACATCATCTTGTTTCAAGAAACATGGCTTAGTCCGGGCCAAGAAGATACTCTCCAGCTACCACCAGGATACACCATCGTGGCGAAATCACGACCGGATAGAGCTGACCTGGTTGATCAACAAGGGGGGGTTGCCGCGGTCGTTCGAACATCTCTCGCTTTCTCGGTCTGTGAAGACCTGTCATGCCCGGATCTCCTGGTACTCGACTTCGACGACTTCTTTGCTCTCACAGCATATTTCCCTCCAGAAAATTCTGATACGGGGAGGGATCTGGAGGTGTCCACTGAAGATCGTTACAACGAGGCAGTAACTTTCTGTTCAGCCAATGACGATAAACCCTGTTATGGTGGAGGCGATCTTAATCGCCGTATCGGGAGGGAAACGCCTACAGGTTGTCCGTTTACTCGTTCATCGCTGGACACCCTTTGCACAGCCAAGGGCCGCCGTCTACTGCAAACATGGGAATTAACCGGCATATTCCCGTTGAATGGCTCCCCGTATGACATGCACAAAACCGCTCGCTTCACATCGCACCAAGCTCGTGGGGAGAGTGTTGTAGATTATGCTTTTGTGTCAAAAGCAGGTCTACAAAATGTCGTCGCAAAAACTCCTTCCGAGTTCTTCCCAAATCTGGCTGGTCCGACCATAGTGGTTTCTCATTTGCATTCAGAGTAAACCGGGGGACAACTGAAGCCACGACGACAGCTCCAAATCTTACCTCGTCCTTCGATCCTACACCTGGCCCTTCGTCGCCGCTTGATGAACTGGTGAAGGAAGCTGTGGCGGCAAGTAGATCGGCAGAGGAAGAGACAAGAGCTTACTACGGCCCCGCAACTTTGAATGCTGGAACACCTGTGCAACTTTACGTGGCTTCTACCTGCGTGGGCAATGGAGAATCCCGCCGAGCGGCGTGCAGCGTTTATGGTGGGCCGGGCACAGGTACAAGCTCCGCAGTACCAGGAAAGCAGACAAGTACAAGAGCGGCACTGTTTGCGATTACAGTGGCGCTCCTCAACTCACCAAGCAGCCGGCCTTTGATTATTTATACTTCTTCAGAATTCGCCATCCGAACTTTCGCTTACTGGGTCGGACCACATTATACTCAGGGTTGGCCTTGTAAAAATGCGGACATTATTCGCGCAACCGCTCAGCTTATCCGCAACCGAGAGGCGGGTCTGGAGTTTCGTTTTGTGGACGAAGTGGGGAGCAGAAATAGTCATGCCGTTGCGTCACGAGAGTTGTCACGCAATGCTGCCTACGATCGACGTCTTCCGAGTGTGTTGCTGCCAGAGGCCCCAGATCCTCCCTTCTTCGCACCGATACCCGTATCCGAAGAGAATAAGAAAGTTAAAACAAGTCTTGGTCCGGTTCCGAAGGTGGAGAAGATTGAAATACGAGTTAATGAGAAGGATTTGGATGCTGAGCCGCAATCCCATCGACGGAGAGCGAAGGAGAGGGAATTACAGCGCAGCAATCTGCAGAAGCTGTTGAACGTCGAATCTAACAAGGAATTTTGGGACCTGATACGGGATTGGACAGACAGCAAACGTCGCGACGCACAAGTTGGAGCAGAAGATTTGCGGGGTGTTTTCGAAACTCGATTAAACCCGCCTACTGTGCTGCCACGGACCTTTGACGAGCAGGCTAGGAATCAGTTTGCGCGACTGGCCGAGGAATTGCCCGACGTGACGTACGACACAACACCAAACGAGACTTTCTCCCGTCCATTCGTGCTGGAGGACATTGAGTCGATCAAGTTACATATCCGCAAGCATAACTCTAAGAGTGCCGGTGGAGTAGACAAAATCGCCTACCGAAAGATACTGGAGATGCCGAATGAGCTTTTACTCCAGTTATTCCAGGCATGTTTGGAGCTTTTGCTTGTACAAAAGCAAACCACTGACGGCTTCACCAGACTTGTATTGATACCCGCGATGCCCCACAGACGTGGTTGACTACCGTGCTCGTAGGAATCCTGAAGACAGGGAAAAGAGCGGCTGATCCTGATAGTTACCGTTTGGTGGGACTGGAATGCTGTCTCTTGAAGATGATGACACTCCTCATCGACTCTCGACTTCAGGAGTGGGCGCGGGAGCGAAGCCTAATCCCTCCTTCCCAAAATGGCTTTCGCAAGCGATACCGAACAAATAACAACCCGTTCATCCTGCGTGCCGCGATTGAAAGGGCATGGGCTCAAGGCAAATGCCTGTATGTTGCTTTTGTTGACCTCAAGAACGCCTTTCCCTCGACGGATCTTCCTACTCTGTGGGCCAAACTGTTCAAATCTGGAGTTTCAGGCCCCCTGTTCGACTGGCTGCGTATGATATATGCACGCATGGTCTACATTGTACGACACGGAGGTATATACTCGCAAACCTTCAAGTCGTTAATTGGCGTCTTGACGGGGGACACAGCATCGCCGGGGTTGTGGAATCTTTACTTTGGTGACCTGCCGAACTGGTTTCCAACGGACGGAGATGATATCATGCTCAGTGGAATACCAATGTCCCATATCGAGCATGCGGACGACCTTGCCATCTTCTCAACGACCCGCGAAGGCTTACAAAGGCGACTGCATTGTTTCGCTCGATGGTGTAGCGTCAACTCTATGGTGATCAGCGTTCAAAAAACCCAGTGGATGGTGTTCGGACCGCTGCCGCCGACTCTCCCTCCTCTGTACGTTAACGGTGACGCTGTTTTGCTTGTGGACGAATACAAATTCATTGGCATATGGTTTACATCCACGGAGCGACACATTTTTCACAAACACTATTCGACAAAGGCGTCAAAGGCACTCAGACTTGCTCGTGCATGTTTCTCCGTTAGCTCGAGGACAGGGACATTGCCGGTGCACGAGGGAATTCAGCTGTATCAGGCAAGGGTCGACCCCCATCTTATTTCGGGCTGCGAGGTAGTGGTTGACGTGGACCACAATCTCGTTTCGCTTCTCCAGATACCTCAGAAGTTATACCTTCGACGTCTTCTGGGATTGCGAAAGCGGTCTGAGCGAGCGGTGCTGTATACCGAATCTGGGTTGCTTCCGATTGAATACCGGCGAGCCATCTTGGCTCTGCGCTTTGGGACTTATCTTGCAGACCTGCCCAACGGCCATCTGGCAAAGGCCGCTTATCTGGATTCTTTGTCTCTCGCTGCTGAGGGGAAAATCTCTTGGGTCAGGGACTTGCAGGGTGTGCTTTCACGCTTCGAGGACTTTCCGGTCAACGCCCCTGTGGTGGAGTTCAGCAGCGTTGAGCGTTTAAACGCTCTCGCGGCATTAGTTGAACAATCGGCGCATCACTTCCTCGAGGAGAAGGTTCGTTCCTCGAGAAAGTTGAACTTACTCCGGAGAAGACTCGAGTTGGGCGGAGATAAGTGCCCAATTGTGCAGCTCCGACCGTACCTTAGGCTGGTGAATGCTCCGAGCCGCAAGGCCTTCACGAGATTCATGACATCAGAGCATCAACTGGCGATTACGGTGTTGCGAGAGCCGGGACGATATCGAACAAGGGTTCCGCGTGAACATCGTCTCTGCCGTTTCTGTCATCAGGCAATTGAAGACGAGGCGCACGCAACCTTGGTGTGTGTTGCTCACGCTGAGCTGACTTCCCTGCGCGCCGAGTTCTTGCGTGAGGTCTTCGCAACCCATCCCGACCTGATAGCCTATGCTCAAACCCACTCGGCTCAGTCCCTGTTGGAGAGGCTACTCTTTGATCAGGCACTGGCAGGACGGATGGCAAAGTTCGTGTATCAGGTGTTGGAGATATTTGAAGCGAGGCCTGTTTGGGTACCACCAGGGTTCAGACGGACTTAAACATTTACCCAGATATCAACATGTAGCTAACATTGAAACTGCGAGACGGTTCGCTTTTAATTGCAACTCCCCTGGATGTTGACGATTTATGTGGGAAAGTGGAGAACTGCTTTCCGACTCCTAGTTGCGTAACAACTAGGTTGGCGTCGTATGTCCTATCGTGGGAGGTTACAACGCCACGATCGGAGGGGACGAGTGGTTGGGGCTGGCTGTTCACAACGGTGGAGATTAGTTACATACGTAGCATACTGCAAGACGCCTGTAAGTATGTAGACGGACCCCGCTACGCTTTCCGATTCGGGACCACTGCGGTAATTCTATCCCTATCCCTATCCCGATTGGCTGGAGATTGAAGCTCGCAAGGAGTCAGCGCTCCGATAGTTTACGCGTCGTATCTTACGAAGATGTGAAATTCAGCTCGTTGTCGATCATGTCAGCACAAAGTTTTGAGGAGCCACCCCTTGCCTTTTTTTCCTTGCTATGCCCGGGCTCTCGTGGACAACACCTCAGCAGCGACAGTTCATCGAAGCTGAGCTGTCGACATTCCAGCAACATCAAGCCTCAAAAACCACGCATCTTTTCTGGCCAAAGCTGCAGAAGAAATGGTATTCTGCATTCCCCGAAGAGCTGTCAATGATCCCACCACTTCCCTATGGGCCCAATACACGTCCGCTAACGCAGGAGGAGGAGCAAAAGCTTGCCCAGGCTACAAAGAAGCGCAATGGTGTAAGATTTGAATTCGCTCACACACGAGACAACTCACAAGAGCTTTGTAGCAACTGATGAGCCTACTACTTCGGGAGAGCAAGAAAAAGCGCGGCGTCTCGCGCTCAGGCGTACGTGGCTCTACTGGGACATCGACCACACTGGCAGGGGGTGCAAGCAGCCGCGTGGCTTCTACAGTTACAAGAGCCTTCATCAAGAGTATCGAAAAGAAGGCGGTCCGTCGTATATTATCTTGCTCATTCCGCGCTCACATGTTGTTAGGGCCGCGTTCATCATGAGCCGGAAATGTTTGCCAAGTTATTCGGCGATAGGATCAAGGCTGAGCTTGTCGAACGAGGGTGGTTGGATATGAATGAAGCAGCACATGCGGACCAGCTTTCCGAGGGAGGAGAGGATGAGACTTTTGAAGCTCGCAATGCAAGAGTCAAGGCAATGCAGTCGGCGAGGATGAAGCTTCAGCGGACGGTCCGCGATGAGCTCTGGTCAAAGGCATCGCCGGAAGAGCGGGAGAAGGTTCTGGCGGCGATTGCGCTGGAGCGTGAGGAGAAGGAGAAGCAGAAACTCAAGCTCGAAGATGTGGAGTCGGAGATGAAGACCCCCGAAGAGTATCAGCGGTACGTGCTTGATTAATTCCGTGTATATTGTGCCTCAAGTGTTACAGCGGTGTCGACAGCCTGGACGAGGTCATCATGCAGACAGGCGAGACCATACAGCAGCTCTCCGGGTGGGCAGGAATGACGATTGCTGGTGGTATTGTGCCAGGATTGGGAGGACGGATCGCTGTCAAAGTGTGCGTGACCATTCACTCTTGTCTTTTTCCACTCATCATCTATCGACAGCATCTGCTGGGGCGAAACGGCAGAGGGCAACAACTTTCGGCAATCGCATCCTACATTCTTGGAGGCTATTGAAGTCCCGTTCAATGCGTTTTTGCAAGGTGTTTTTTGTGCGTCATCTGTTGCCTCCCTTTTCTGCCCTCTAACAACTTGGTTTCAGCGGAAGAGGAGCGTAAACGGCGTGCCCTCAATAATACTGAGGACAATGAAACTGAAGATGACGACGAAGAGCCTGAAACCCCGGCCGTCGTGATTCCCAAGCCACGCCGGGTTCGCCGCAAAGCGCAAGACCTCCCCGTTCTCCCTGAGGCTATTCCCCCAGCCCCAGCCCCAGCACCAGTCCCAGCACCGCCTCCCGCCACTGTCCCATCCCATCCCACTCCCCTTACGACCTTGTTTGAAGCCCCGCTGGACCCAGTCGCCCTCCTCTCTACTTCGTCGCAAATCTTTCCGGCTGGCCTTGTTCCAGACAGCTCATTGACGGGCGCCGTACTCGACAGGCCCAATCCGACGCCTGATCTTGCTCAGTATAGCGCGAATATATCACCCAACGGCTATGCCGGGCCCAACTGGTGGGAACTCGTTGGCGCATTTGAGCCAATCCCTCCTTCATTCTCGCCTCCGCCATTCGTGCAGCCATCGTTCTCGCCCCCATCGTTCTCGCCCCGGTCGTTCTCGCCCCCGTCGTTCTCGCCCCCGTCGTTCTCGCCCCCGTCGTTTATGCCACCCTCGCCCTCGCCTTCATCATTTGCACCGCCGTCATCGTCGCCTCAATCATTCTCGCCTTCATCGTTCTTACCTCCCTCATTCCCAACTCCCAATGTCTTGAACCACCGTAACGACACATTGTTTACCGCACAACCCGCCCTTCAGGGCCTCCTCACACCTTGTGGTTCCTCTGAAGCTGTTGCCGACACCGTATTCTCGGCCTTCAAACAATCTGCCGAACCCTCAACCCAAGCCATCAGCATCCCGGTCGAGTCGGTCCCGAAATTGCCGGTGGTTGCGACCGCCACTGTTTTCACGGAAAGCACCAACATTGTCCCCGCATTAACGAGTCCCGGCCGCCCCAGTACTGAACACACGAGAGAAGGGGCTGCAAATCCCGATGTCAGCAAGGGGGAAAAACCGAAAGGGCGGGGAATGAGAGAGCGGAAACAAAGTACCCGAATCGACTACATTGAGCAGTGGGGGGTGAAGATGTCGCACGGCTCAAAGCGCCAACGGAGTGAGACGGGGGACAAGGGGGGGCATGAAACAAGCCAACCGGCACGGAAAAAGTAAGTCCACACCGGAATTATGACTTGTTCCTCATTCATCATCCTAGGGCCAAGAAGTAGATTACATGCTCCTTGTACTGTACAGTATTCTCGCCTGCAAAAAATGAGTGCCATGAAATAATATAGTCGATAAGCCTTTGTCACCGTGTACTCATAAGTGTACCTGTCCTGTAGGTACTATAACCAGTATCATTATGAGAAGTGTTGTGTTATTACTTGACAATACATAGGACGGTTTGGCCTTGAAAACCAACTACGTCATTGACCGGGATTGATCGCTGGCATCAGAATGTGATAAAATTCCAAGCACAGGGAGTGAACTGCGCACCCGCCGTCGACACAATCACAATGCTAAGGTGCTGCACCGGCGCTGGTAACGATGGCGAGCAAGTGCAGGGCAACGGCCAGCGGCATAACGGCCAGTGGCGGGCGGTGGGCAGCGGGCAGCGGGCAGCGGGGAACACATTCACCTGCATATGTCAGAGCGTGGGCAGATCCGCAGTGCCGCCCTGGAGGACAGCGAGCAGGAGGGCGGGCGCAACGAGAGCGGACGGGAGGGGAGGAGGGCGGGCAGGAGGGCGGGCGCAACGAGGGAGGGCGGGCAGAAGGGCGGCCGGGAGGGCGGCCGGGCGGGTGGCCGGGTGGCCGGGCGGCAGTCTACCCGGGCGGGAGCGGATCCACCCGGATCCATCAGCCCATGACAAAGCCTTAGCAGGTCAGCAGCGCCCCAGGCGGGGTCGGGAGCGCGGTCGGGAGCGCGGTCGGGAGCGATGGCAGGAGCGCAGGGTCGGATTAGTGAGCTGCATGATGCATCAGGGCAACTCTGGACGGAGTGATCTTGATGCATCACAGCACTTCGCTTACAACAGGCATGTTATGCATAATATCCCCAGGTACGCCTGCATGGACCGGGAGGACATGAATGGGCCAGAGTAGCTGGTATATTCGGTGAGCATTTACTTCGCGACACCTAGCGCAAGCTTACCTTTGCTTTCGTTCCCAAAGAATCGGTCCCAGACTCGGCGACGGCATGCTTCTGTCACGATGAACTCGAGCAGAAATCGTTCATCTCGCAATTGAATCTCTGACTGCTTCTTCTTTTTAGACACGCGTTGCTGGAAAGACGGCCGGTCCACTCTCTCCTCGGTATTCTCTCCCTCTTGCTGGTCCATTTCCTCCAACGCCAACTCCCGATCGTGCCCTACCTCTTCCCCTTCATCTTCCGACCCTTCCGACCCTTCATTTCCAGTCTCGACATCCTCGCGTAAGCTTTCCGACTCGGCATAACAACGCGTCCTCATGTTCTTGGTGATATACAAGACCGCCTCGCCACGTTTGGTGAAATCTCGAGCACAACGACCGATTTTTTGGACTGTAGAGAGAAAGGTGCGGGGCTTCATCCACAGGATGACGCGCTCGATGCTGCGAAAGTCCATTCCCTGGTGGAGGTAAGCTCTAGTGAATTTCAGCGCTGCACTGGCACTCACGAGGCCTAATGCATCTGTTGCTGAGACAGCGCGCAGCTCGCCGCTGGCAATTCGCGTTTGGATGTCGACCTTCCGATCTTCATGAACATGTCGGTGATAAAATTCGAATGCTTTCTTGGGATCAAAACACGATGGTGCGTGGTCTCGAAGGAAATCCTGGATTTTTTCGGCAGTCTGACGGTCATTTACATAGATTAGAGTTTGTGGAAACTCTTCGGGGGCCTTGATGCTATTGGGAAAGAGCAGCAACAAGTCGGCAAATGAGTCCGGCTCATTCTGCAGTTGCTGCACTGCAAGCGACACATTTGGTTTCGCGTTCGACACCTGCACTTTGGCAGTATCCGCGGGAAGTCCCAGGACATCCAAGATGTCGCGCATAACTTCGTCAGGTGCCGTGGCTGTTGCTCCTGTAATCGGGGTCCCGGGAGGCAGTCGCGCCGCAAGCTCAACAATCTTGCGGTACTCTGGGCGAAAGTCGTTGGTCCCCCACTCGGAAATGCAGTGTACCTCGTCGATAATAAGGTTGATTATATTCTTTGTGAATGGTATGCTGTTTAGCACTTTCTCGTGGAATAGCGGCGTGAGACCCATCTCTGGCCCGAGAAAACCAACGCGATACTGATTTTGTCCCAGTTTCTTGGTCTAGGTAAGTCAATGAAGCAGTTATAGAAGCCTCCTGACATACAGTTAATGCCTGCTCAAGGTCTGGAGTGTTTGAGGTAACAGCTATGGCTGGAATGCCTTTGGAATTGAGCAGCTGGGCTTGGGCCTCTAGAAGCGCGACTAGCGGCCCAATAACAAGGACTATCTTGTTGGAGGCTTCGTCTGTGCACCCAGGCTGCCAGTAGTAGAAGAGGGCGAACCAAAATGCGAGGGTTTTGCCTCCTCCTGTGGGGACATCCAGCATGGTATGCTTGCCTTGAAGCACGTTCAGGCCGACCTTCTCTTGAAATGGGTGAAGGGAGGGGATGTTGAAGACACTACATAGTGTTTCTCTGGCGATTTTGAGTCGCTGCGGGTCGATAGAGTCAACGGGGACGAAAGGCATCGAGCAAGCCCCTAATTGATCAGCGCAGAAAGATTGCTCATTTGCGTCGTCAATTCTTGGAATTTCGAAAAAATAAAAACATAGCGAGATTCGCATTTACGAGCGCTATCTACTGGTACTTTAAAATTTGTGAAAATTCAAACTTTGTCCCAAGACCCTGGCTGAGTCATTAATTCCACCCGGTTTCGGCTCGTGTGCCTAAGGCGCCGGTGATTCTGTTCCAGTCGCTATCGCAGTGACCGATTTTGTCACGTCCGCGATGCGACTGGTTCGAGTCTACATCTGTAGAAGCCGGAAGCTCACGGCATCAAGATAGTTGAACATTAGTTGAACCAGTCCGCATACATACCTAAAGTGCACATGCATAGGCCTCTCAATCTGCTCTCAATCGTCATTCGGGCCGACATCGGCAGTTGCAAAACTTTTTTGGGTCACTTCGTTCGTCAGCTAACTTCCCGATCCCCATGATAACAGGCCGACGCGCAGCGAGACAAACAGAGCATAGTAGTTACAGCAACTTGTCAGCAAGTGACTAAGAAGAGTTTTGGTTCACACAACAAACAACCTCAACTCAACCAATAGCATCTGGAGGCTGACTAACATTGACGACTCACGACGGTCACTGCTGCAGCTGAACATCTGTGTGAAGAAATCATCCAACGAGCCGTCGAGTCGCTTACCGTCAGTGGCAGCAGCAGGATCGAGTTGTTATGCGGGTCCTTGACGTAATCCAGTGACACTCGTTTATATTCCACCCAGGTTATACCTCCTACTTCCAAAAAACCAGCCTCTTACTACGAAGAGGGATCGAGAGCGTGTGATTATAAAAGTACAGTCTCACGCGTCGAAGCGTCAAATGCGCCTCTGGCCACTAGAAGGCCCGCCCGCCGGCAATCATCGTTCACTATTACTGCTCAGTATCCATGCACGCCCGGATTATACCACGCCGGATCGCACCAATACCCAGGTAATCCTCCATCCAGCTTGACGCTGGCATAGCATTCATCGAACGCGTCGACAACAGCGTCTGGTAGTGGGCCATACATGCTAAATTCGTCACAAGATGAGCTGGAAGCCGGAGAACGAGAGATGCGGACATACCAGTATCCCAAGGTCTCCCTCACGTGATCTGGTCTTGTCCCCCCAAATACAATACCGATGTCGGTGGGAAGCATCGCACTGTGATGCTGCAGCCATCTGACGGAGGCTTCGTGTAAACTGAGGTTATAGCGTTGCTGTATATGCTTCTCTCAGTAATAGTGCGCCGGCAAGGGGCAGAACAACCCACCAAGACAGCTGTCAGCACCATAACCGCATCATTCATGCTGGGATGCAGGTAGCGGTTCTGGTACCACATGCCAAACGGGTTCTGTGGGTCGAAATTACTCCCGCTCCCCTTCAATCGTCGTTGTATCGCGCGTAATGGTGGGTGGGGTGAGTGTGTCGAGCGTTCTTGGAGGTTGAGCTCTTCCAATTTGACATCAATGCCGTCGTCAGAAGGGACGGACTCCGGGTCGAACAGCATCCCGCCGACAAGATACCCGCCGGCCAGAGGACTGTATGCAGCGAATTTGATGTTGAAATGTCGAAGACATGGAATCAGCCTATTCGATTCTTGCATCAGCAGCCGGGTCTGCTTTGAGACGAGATTAGACTAGACTGAACTCGTTCTCCGCGGTCCTGTCAATCGCGCTGTAGACTCCCTGGTACACCCGAGGGGCATTCCACCGATTCGCCTGACACAGCGTCATAATTTCGGCGACCTCGTAACTGCGGTAGTTGCTCAGGCCGAGCATTTCACTGGCAAGGTTTGTTTGGAGATGAACTTGAGTGGGGTATAGTGCGACCTACAATCCGCCTTCCCTGTACAGCTCGTCCATTGCAGCAAATGTTTCGGAGAATGGCGTGGCACGGTCTGGACTGCGTTGGGGTCTCAGTTGGCAGTCAGACAGCACCAAGAAACCACCCACGCGTTAAGGTATAGCACTCTCACCCGCCTTCCTCCCAAAGCTGCTACCATCCGCTCATATGCTTGCCGAAGTTTTGTCCGGGAATGGTCACCAGGTAAAAGAGGATAAAATCTTTCGTCATGTGAGCATGAGCCATCTTAGCAGGTCAATGGAACAACTCACTTGGTGTCGATGGCGGATCCATGGAGGTTGGTTTGAGCAAGGAGCTACCATTGAAAGTCAAGATTGAGCCTAAGGGAAAATAAACGCCACGCACCTTCTCGCTTGTCCCAAACCCATACACATTCGATGTGTCGATCGCCCTAACCGGTCTTTGTCCAGGAGTCTGGCCAACGACTTCACACCAAGTGTCGATGAGCCGTTGTACTTTAGTTGGGTTTGTAAGGGTGCAAAAGGTACCCGGTGCTCCAATTGAAGCGGCGCCCTAGTGTATAGTTAGGCGAAGCATAAGTGAACGGAAAAGAGTGCACATAAATGACCGGGATTCGAGGCGCAAAAATGGGTTGAGGACGAGTTGAAGATGGCATTGGAACTAGACCCTTGTTAGCGCGACTACCGGTTTTGCACATGGACTTACAGCGGTATATATAGTGCTGCCCAGACTAAAGCTTCTTCGTGTGGTTCTCCCGCTTTACCCTGAATGTACTGACCAAGGCCGTTCCTTTATAAAGTGTATTCAGTCGCGGGTTGGTCGAGATGGATACGGGTGGACCCAGCGCACTCGGTCGGGCAACGTTGAAGGAGGAAGGAACAAGCTCGGGGGGTGTGGCGGAAACGAGAAGATAGTTTGACCGCCCGCGGACCGCCCGACTTGGCCTGGTGGCTAGATCCGGACAATGACGGGTGCCTTGCGTTCTTGAGCGGGAGAGGAGGCGTGTCTGGGTTATGACGAGGTCGAGTTCAAGTTACGGACGCTCTTTATGCGCTTAACGCCGTCTTCACGCATGGCTTGACCATGAATTAAGGGTCTCAACGCCGCCCGCAACCGAACATCGGGCGGTCCTCTGAGATCGTCAATTGGATATTGATTTGCGGCCGCAGATAACTTGTCTGTGCCTTGGAGTTCAAAGGTGAGCGCCCGCAACAAAATCTATTCGGAAGCGCCTCACCTATGGGCCAGTCATTGGACAGAGGTAGATGTCAACTGTGATAAACTGTCGCTTTGTCGACAATTTTAGGCTGTGGGGCGTTCCGAGGAGCTGCATGACGCGTGGCTCGTTCTCGTCGATGGCCAATCGATGGTTGGTCGTGGGAGACAAGTCTGAGTCAGTGCCAAGTGTTGATCCGCTCGGCCCAATACGCATCAAAGCTGGATTTCCCACACCAATTATCCCTTGACTCCTACTCCCATCTCTCGCATGACCATTTGGAGGAAGGGATATAAGGTGCCCAGTCATTTATATTCTCTATTCAGACGCTCAGTCGGCCACATAAGCGTCCGGCGTATAGTGGTGCAAAGAGGTGCTGCCATCGGCGGATACCTGACACAATCCAAAGTGCGTTATGCACCAGCCATCTCTTTGTCGATAACCTATTAGATAGGCATAACCAAACCTGATATTTGCCGTCTTGCACGCCGTGGAGGGACCAAGCGTACATCAAACCTCATCTACGAAGAAACCCGATGCCTGTTAAAGAAGTTCTTGGACGATGTGGTCCGTGACACGATACTGCACACTACACACAATTGGCGGTGCGCCACCGCTTCAGTTTTCTCGTCTCAGAGGCCTGACTTGTAATCGCAGAAACACTGTCACTGCTGCTGATGTTACCCGTGCTTTACGAGCTCGCACAGGACACTCGTTGTATCTATGTTAAGCTAACTCACTGGCTTCGAATGACAAAAAGTCTGTATATATATTAACTCACAAGAACTCGAAGTTGTCGGAGTCCAGCAACGTCCCCTCCTCAAACCGCACGTCAATTATATCATTCCATTCGGCCGAGCGAAGTAGTTCAACCGCTGTTTTGATAGGTATCATTAGCGTTCGTTTTATTGTGCGGATTTCAAGCTTGAATGGCCCTTGGTTTCCCTGGTCATTTGTCAAGGTGCCGGTTGAATGGCTCCGGTCATGAAGCTGTTGCGCGTGGCTCTTCGCAAACATGAAGAGCGAAGAGGAGTCAACATCCGAGGGCAGCAACGTGATCGTCAAGGAATTCATGCACGCTAGGGAGCCCCGTGTGCCGAGTCCGCTAAGCAATAAAAGGTCCTCGGATGTAATGCCTGAAAAGCAACTGATGACCAAAGAGTGCATAGCTGGGAAAAGTTGCGACGCCAGGAATTCATATGATGGGGCAAAGGTGTATGACACAATGCGCACAGTTTCAACTTGACATCTTGACCGTTCGAAGAGGGAGCGAAGAACTGGAATCCCCATTTCCGGTGGTTGGACGTCCAAAATCACGGACTTGAGCGCAGGAAGGACGAGGGCGGGCAGGACATGGGCTTCACCAATGTGAAGCTCCAGGGTGTGCAGGTGGGTAAGAGCTAGAGGAATCTGGGGCACAACCCCCGTCTCGGAGTCGTCGTCGTGATGGTATGAATCGAGATTCAAATTCTCTAGCAACGGACACTGCTGCAGCATGATGAGGGCCTTTTGGACAGATAAGTTGCCAATCTCGAGACGTGTGAGGTTTTCAAACGACACAACGACAGGGGGGGTGCATCCCCATAGCACGAGCTTTCTCAGGGCAGGCCAGCTTGAAGACGCTTCTCGGCTGTTCCTTGCCAACTCGAACTGAGCGTAGAATTCAAGAGTTTCGAGAAGGGGAAGTGAGGCCGGAAACGCCTCCGAAGTGACTTGAATAGACGGCCCACGCGGGCCACCCAATCGGCGTTCTTTGTGGAACCCTGCGAAGCGCCAACGCGAGCTAAACTCCGCTAACAGCAGCATGACGATGTTGGCGTCCTCCACAGCGAGAGGCAGGGTGATTATGATATCGAGAGGGAGTATTTTGGAGCGAGATAGCCAGGTCCGCAAGATCTCCTGCACTTCTGGAGAGGCGGACTTGCACCTGAATACCAAGCGCTGCCAAAGACTGCTCGTTGTCAGCGCTGTGTCCAGCCAGACGCGGCAGACTGCCGCAACCGTGAGTCTAAAGTGAGGGATGTTTTGGTCCGCACAGGCATGTTGGAATATCTTGACCAGAAGTTCGATAGGAAGGGTGTGGATTGGGTAGACAATGGCTTTCAGCTCGCTGTCGAGCTGTTCCCGTTTGGAGAGGAGGGAAGAGATAGACGTCTCATGATCGCGTATTTGAGCATCAATATCGGCGATTTGAGCGCGTAGTGCGACGGCTGGCGGCATACAGACAACAAGAAGTTGAAGGGTTCGGGCAAGGAAGATTGAAGTCACGTGTACTTTTCAAACCATCTTCCGAGCCAGCTGCAGGTACTATGTTGCGCTCTGTTGCGCTGCACCCTTTGCCTTCGGTCGTCCTCAGCCTGATAAAGTGCTTAACTGGAAGGACATCTCCGATGATATCTTATCGTTGACCTCGCATCACGTTGCGCCATCAGCGCACATTAGAAATCGCGACTGATAAGATAAGTCGAGCCAATCTTGGATGGGGGCGTTGGCCAATGCGGGGTACGTTAAGCTGCATCCCACGACCTCACACTGCATCAAAGTCATTGGCTCAGATGACCACAGAGAGTCGAACTCGGAAGTTTATTTGAACTTTATTAACCGTTTAGGCGCTCTTCTTTTGTTCACTTGGTGACTGCTGAATCCTGATGAGCTGTTGCCGCTCTACGTAGCTGGCTTCTACTATCTCATCACTGATAGATCTTGCGCTTCAATTGAAGGCACGTTCGCTTCATACTTCTGGTCCAAATCATCCGGGCGCGGTCGGTCCAAAATTGATCACCATACTGTACTACTAGTAGTATTCCTGTGGAACTGAGAACTATCGATCAACCAAGAGTTCAGTCGTGAACTCGGGCCGGTCGTGAATGTTGTGCTTGATGGCATGAAATCTGATGTCTGCGGAGGCCCTCTCTTGTCGGTTACACACGGCGTTTCGATCCAACGTGGGCATCGACAATCCGCGGATAGTTCCGCGTGGCCCGGCGCATTGCCAGCACAATTGATTCGCTTTTCGACTGATAGCTGACATATGATGGAACTGTTAACGAGTCGTGTGGTACATATCTTCTATGAATGTGGCTACATGAATAGGGCTCTGATACATGCTACAAGTGATTGGGGGCGTCTTCGGTTTTATTGATGCACTGATCAGAGAGTGGACGAATGAACTCGATGGTATATGCCATTTACCCGTGCACCGGGTCTTTGCGCTCTTCCCTCCCAGCCTCGACATCAGCTGCCCCAGATTTGGCGGTCTCCCGACCCCACGCCTCGTCAACTTGGGTATGCAGTGGCAGCGCCTTCATCGCGAAGCTCACCAAGAGTCCGAGGCCCCCGAGGCCCGCAAGGGTATTCCAGACGACCTGGAAAGCTTGCGCGAACGCTGCGCGCACTTGGTCCTTCAACGGCTGGGGCAGATGGCGAATCCGCGGGATAACCTCGAATGCAATCTCTGCGCCGTGGCTGCCAGAGGAAGAGGGGAACCGGGCGAGGAAGTCCGGCGGGAGGTGGCTAGCCAATTGGTTCTGGACGATAGTGCCGCCGATAGTCACGCCCCAGATGAGCGCGAAGTTGCGGAGGAACACAAAGAAGGCGAGTGCGGGTGCGGATTGGGTTACCGGAATGGGGGCGAGAACTGGGAAGTAGGCTGCAACATAGTTGATGCCAATGCCCACGCCTAAGAGGACTTGGACCCCAAAGTTGGTCGCCCGAGAGGTGTTTTCGTTGATCTGGCCGTAGAGAGCGGCACCCAAGATGACAATGCTCCAGCCGAACCACATCGGCTGGCGATACCGCGAAAAACGCTGGATTATAAGGCCAGCGACGAGCGAGGACGGCGCAATAGTCTGTGAAGCGCCAAAAATATCGACGCCTGCCGCGATGGGTGATGCATCCTTGCAAGCCTGGAAGAACGACGGCAGCCAATCTTAATAATTAGTATGCTAGTGTCACATTAGCTGAAAAGTATGACTTACAAGCAAGGGTGGAGAGAACAATGCCATTGAAGAAGTTCTGGGTATATCCGCTAAGCGCGGTGCGGCTTTTCATCAAGCTAATTGGGACCTGGGCAAAGATCAGCATGGGAAACTGGTCGAATCAGGCGGCCGAACGCACAATGGGATATTCTGGTACATTGGCCTCGTATATCAGAAAACCAGCGAGTCCCGCGAAGCCGACTATCAGCGGGACCAAAACCTTGGGCGACGACCAAGGATGTTGCGTGCCTGCCCAAGTTAAAGCGATGACGATGGATGTGGTCGAAGAGACAATAATGGCATTGCCGCTGCACAGTCGACATCAGCACAATAATTCCATACTGTAGTGCAGAAATATAGTTACATCCAGTCCAGCCTCCTCATTTTTTCGCCGAAGGGTACGGTTGGAGTCTTGAGCCGTAAGAATACGGCAACAAGAATTGCTGCGACAGCGCATATGGGGAGATTGAGGTAGAAGAGCCAGCGCCATTGACCGTGTTGGGCAAGCGCACCGCCAACGACAGGTCCAGTCCCACTCCCAATCGCGAATGCACTGAATTGAGAAAGTCTATTAGACGTTTGAATGACAGAAGACACGAGAACGTACAGCGCGATTATGCCATTGAATGCACCTCGATCCTTTAGTGGCACTAAATCTGCGATGATAATCTGGATCAATGCTGTGATCGCGCCAGCGCCAAGACCCTGAACGGCTAATTGTCGGGGGTCAGAGTACGAATTTGAAGACTTGTAAGATAACGCACTGCGGCCCCCAATCAGGAAGTTCATGCTCGTCGCTGCCCCGCATAACGCGCTGCCGATGGAAAAAATGGCTATTCCGAGGAGCATGACAGCACGGCGACCAAAGATCTGCAGAACACGTGCAGCCATCAGCATGGGATTATTCTCTTTGGCCACGAATGATCTCGAGGTAACATTGAACACGCTCACCTGAGCAAGCCCTCCGCAAAACGGGAGGAGCACTGTTGAGCCGAGGTTGTAAGCAGACCCGACCCAGATGTACTGTGTGCCTTCCAGCTCTTGTGCGATAACCGGCAGGGCAGTCGCGACAGAGCTCTGTAACACTTGTTTCAGACAGGAAAAAGGAATGAAGAAAAACATACGAATTCCATTGCAGTCAAGACCATACATATCGCAAGGGAGAGGATGATGCACCAAAAGCGCCAGTCGCGCTGCATTGGCTGTCCACCCCCGTTTTGAGCATCATCGTCGACTTTGTGGCGAAGCGCGGGAACGAGCGACGCGGAGGGAGATTGAGACTCGTGCGACCACTTGGCTTCGCTCTCGGACGACATGGGCGGGGGGTGCGCTGAGGCTTGCGCAGCCATGGTGAGCGAGGTCAAAAGTGAAGCCGGAGTGGGGTAAATAAATGCATAGAAACGAATGAAACGTGGTTATCGGCATCGTGCAGTCGTATTCGGATTCAGATGGGGAACCACGGAGAGCCATCATGAGGTCTCATGAGGTCCTGCGCCGAGATTGAGAATTGCAACGGGCAACGACATGATGCCATCGAGAAACATATCTTGAAGAAGCAATCCATTTGCATATTGCTCAGCCTGATTACTCGGGATTGAGGTGTGGATCAGACGAAGGAGATTTCGGGGCGATCAAGATCGACGCGGTCCTACATTCGGAGAGGCGTCGGCCTGCCATGGGACCTCGGGCTCGTGGTGGTGAAACGGGAAGCCACGCACGCACGTGGAGTCACACTGATCGAGGCTGTCACGAGGTGACCGTAACTTGATGACGCAATCACCGCGTCCGTTTGCAGGCTTCTGCCCGCCCTGACGCCCTGGGCTTCCCGCTGGCTTCCCCCGGAGAAAACATCGACCTTCCGCAATACAAATCTCATCGGCAACTGACACCCGTGTATGCTCTTGGTTGCTCGATGGCTTGCGACGGCCTGCTCACGTATGATGGCAAAAGGGACTTGGCTCCAACTTGGCTGCACATGCACTCCGTCTCCACGCATCAATCGACCAAAGAGTCAGGACACAGCGTAAATCTCACATGGCACCAGTCTAGATCTATTCCTATCTATTCTTCGCTTGTTGCAGACGGAGATGCCATCTGTTTACCGATGGGGATGGAAGACCCAATCTTGGGCTTATAACCCATAGCCGGAAGGGTGTCTTCGTCTTCGTCTTCCCCGGCCTAACCCTTCGGTCTTTTCTTCGCAGTTCCCATTCATTCCCGCTTCCAGCGATGTCCGCTGCTCCGAATCCACTGGCGCACTTTGATGCCGCGCCAACCGTTGGTACGCGATGAACCGCGACCCCTAACTGCACTGAATGATTTGTAGGCGCTCTTCTCATCGGGACTCTCTGCTCATACGTTCTTTTCGGAATCACGACCGTTCAAGCATATCTGTACTACGGGCGATTCCAAGATGACCCGTGGACCTTGAAGGGAATGGTGGCTTTCGTCTGGTGAGCTCTGAGACGTTTATGGCCTCTGCGTGGCTCACCACCTTGAGCAGGATGTTCGAGTTCGCTCATGCGGCCTCCATTGGGCATGCAAATTATTTCTATGCTGTCATCAACTACGGGAATCCTAGAAGTCTACTGGGAAAGATGCCTGTTAGTTTGGCGTTGTCGGTTGTTCTTGGCGCGATTATCACGACTTTGGGTATGCAGATCCCTTATCCTTATCTTTCCTCTGATGCTCACTGGTTAACTTTATAGTGCAGTCCTTCTTTGCCTTCCGCATATGGAATCTCGCAGCCAACCGTTTCGTCCGTATCATTCCCCTCTTGCTATGGATCACGGGCGGGGCTTACCTGGTGGGCTCCATCGCCGCGACGACACTTGCCATCGGGGCAAAGAACATCCCCTCGTTCCTCAATCAATATGGCTGGCTACTGCTCACACCCTGGATCGTCAATCTGATAAACGACAATGTCATCACCATTTCACTCGTCCTGTTGTTGCTTTCCAGCCGGTCGAAAGGTTTCCAGAGGACCAGTGCGTTGGTCGATAAGCTCATTATGTGGACCATCGGTAAATCTCTGCCCACCCTGCTATATCCGCTCATTCTTTACTGCAGAGACGGGGCTAATTACCAGCATCTTCAGCGTCTTGACGCTGGCGTTCTACCAGGCAGAGAGAACCAACTGTATGTCCCTTTTGATGCTATTTCAAGAGACTTGCTGAATTGAAATAGTCGTCTGGGTCGGCATTCAGTTCGTCAAAGCGCGTCGTACGTTGGTTTCTCTGATCGTCTTCCTTTCCTGATCGCTGCTTACCCTCCATGCTCCAGTCTTCGCCAACTCCCTTCTCGCTTCGCTCAACTCAAGACAAACCCTGCGCGCGCTCAATGCGTCGCTGAGTGACTCGAACGGAGCGGTGACCTCCCGCGGCGGATACAACGGCACGAACGGCCAAACGCAGACCGGCACTCTCAACATCGCGATGACCAAAGTGACCCTTCGGGAGGATGGCGGGCCAGTGTACGGCTACAAGAGCGCATAAGCTTGTCGACTCATTCCTGGCCGGCGCAATGCGGCGCACTGGTGGCAACGGCCAAATTTATTTATCCCTCAGATATTGCTCGGGGCGTTCCCGAGCTTATCCGAGCTGTACCAAGTTGTACAAATTAACGGTCGAGGACCGCATCTACCTACGTTGTTGTTTGTAGAACACTGAATATCACGATTATGTGTCAAAATATGACGACAATTGGGTGAATCAAGATAAACAGAGTAATGTCGGTGCTCAGTGCCTTGGCTGTCCCGGTCCGGTCCCGCAAATCCTGTGACAAAACGGCTGTCGTTAACCGGCGGGGTCGGAGGCCGGCGCTTAACTCGACTCGTCGCTAGAGTGCGGCGTCGCGGCTTTGCAGCTGACCTCATTGTCGACAATGACCATTGACGTCGGGGTCGACCTCACTGCGACGACATTCGATGCTGGCCCCACCATTGGTACTGATCATGCCTTGGCAACATTGCAATGCTCAACGCTCTTGATAGGCGCTCTTCTCCTCGGGACGCTGGGCTCCTTCGTGCTCTGGGGGATTGCGACGGGGCAGGTTTATATGTATTTCAGTCGGTTTCCGCGGGACGGGATAGCGCTCAAGTGGTTGGTATGTCCGTAATCGCTCAGGTGTTCATTTGTCTAGGCTAAGAACGACTATAGGTTTCTGTTGTGTGGTACAAACCGATCTGCGCAAACGTCTTCTCTTGAAATTGACCTCGTCTTCAGGCTATTTGAGCTCGTTCACGCTATTTGCAGCGGCCACGTTACCTACACATATACCGTCACTAACTACGGGAATCCGCGTAGCCTATTGGGCAAAATGCCAGCGACGCTGGCATTCTCTGTGACGCTGGGTTCAATAATTACAGCTTTAGGCGCGTCCACGATCTTACACTTCGTCTTCCTCCTCCGCTGACCGCTCAACACACAGTGCAAGGATTCTTCTGTTTCCGGATCTGGACCCTCGCCCCAAACTGCTTCTTCAAACTCGTGTCAATAGTTGTCTGGATCAGCGCTTTCGCGTACCTCATTGGCTCCTTTGCCGACACAGCGCTCTCCATTCAAGCTGAAAACATCCCTGCTTTCATTGCCCAATACAACTGGCTCCTCCTCGCGCCGACAGTGCTGAACCTCTTCAACGACAACGTCATCACGATGTCGCTCGTCACCATTCTTCTCATGACCCGCAGACAAGGCTTTGGGAGAACGACGGTGCTAGTAGACAAACTCATAAAATGGACTCTCGGTAAGCAGCTTTTTGTGCTCGGTCAAGCGTTGTTGACATTTCATGACAGAGACGGGAATGGTCACTAGTATTTTTAGCTGTCTCAATCTCGCCTTTGTAGGTAACTCTCCCTTGCTTTTGAGCGCCTGTTGATCATGACCGGGATCCAGTATCAACAAGAACCACACAATTGTAAGTAGGATTGCATAATTTTCTGCGGTGGATTGGGCTTACTCACACCTTCACAGTCGTTTGGGTTGCGATGCAACTCATCAAAGCCCGATGTGCGTATACTCATTTATTTTCACCAGCGCCTTCACTGACCCTATGCAGTATTCGCGAACTGTTTGCTGGCGTCGCTGAACTCAAGGGAGTCATTTCGTATAATGGACGAAGGGACGCACCATCTGTCGACTCAGCGATCTCGCGCATATTCGCGGTAATCGGTCAGACTGCAACGATTCGGGGGCTATTGTATCGACGGCTCGCTCCACGGACTCCGGGCCAGGTGATCTTCAGCACCAGTTAATGGCATGAAGCACCAAGGGATGGTAAGTGGAAAAGCACCGCCGACGACCGGGAGGGACGGCCCATAGAGAGGAACATGGAAGCTTTGGCCGTCAGCTCTTTTGAGGCAGGGCTCGCAGGACAAAATGGCGAAGTTCTGCGTCCTGGATAATCTTCTTCGTTTGAGTTGATAACTAAAACTTTTGGAACAACCTATTTTTTGGATCTGCAGTTGTCCAAGACGAAGAACTTGAAGACGACTGGATTGAGGCTAAAGCAATAAAGGAGTGTGCTACAGTTTGTTAATCGAGATAAATGCAGCCCGCTCGGAAGCAAGATTCAGCGGTTGTACCCACTTTTCCGATTTTTCTGGCAAGAATCTCGCAGGTTCGTTACCTCCGTGTCACACGGCTTCTTAATCAGCCTGAGTTTAGTTTGCCCTGAACCTTTTCTCGTCCCTCCCTCCGACTACGCAACTAAGATTGTTCCGACCTCATTCTCTCGAAGCCAATCTACCGAGTTGTAAACTCCAATGCACCTCCCTCCTCAATTGGTCCATTCGCTCGGCGCCAATCCTGATACAAGGTCGCAGCATCGATAATATATGGATGGATCAATGGCGCCAAACTCTCCGCAAAAGATCTCCGAGTGCGGCTTTATTCATAGCCACTTAACCTATTCAGGCAGGCGACTTGATGAAACAACGCTATTAAGCTCGCACAGCGCCGAGACACAGCCGTTTGTTATGCACTTGCACATTCGGGGATGCGACTGCCTTATATTGTTAATCTTGGACAACGGTCATTCATTTTCCTGCACTGTTCTTCGTCCGGGAGATGTCTGGTCCTCCTCCGCATCTACCTTCCTTCAACGCGAGCTCAACAATCGGTCAGATCTGTTCAATGATTCTCTGGAGCGATGACGCTAACTAGCGAATATTCTAGGTGCTTTGTTGGTCGGAACACTTTTCTCGGTCGCAAATGACCTGCTTCAAGTTTGTATTCGCTGTTCGCTGATAAAACAACAGTTTGTCCTTTTTGGCGTCACCACAGTTCAGCTGTACCTATATTACGGACGCTTTCCAGACGACAAGCTCGGGCTAAAGCTTCTGGTAAGTATGTTCATGACTAAAACCTTTGCTTTTACTCAGCACTCGGCCCAGGTAGGAGTTGTCTGGTAAATATTGCACACGATCCTGCGGTAGAGGCCTCTTATTGTGCCGCAGGCTTCTTGAAGCTACACATGTCGCCTGCATCGGACAGGTCAATTACTTTTATGCGGTCACCAACTACGGCAATCCCTCCAGCTTGTTTGGTCGGGCGCCAGCTGCACTGGCGGTTTCCGTTGCTCTTGGTGCGCTCATCACCGCCATTGGTGCGTCATTATTTCTCGTTCTTCAGTTGTATTTCTCACTTCCGACATTCAGTCCAAGGTTTCTTTGCGTTTCGAATATGGACACTCGCGCCAAATGTGTTCTTCAAGCTAGTACCCCTCGTCCTCTGGCTCAGCGCATTTGTATACCTCGTCGCGGCAATCGCTGATACAGTCTTCGCCATTGAGGCTGTCAGTATCCCCGCCTTCATCGAGCAGTACGGCTGGCTCCTCCTTGCGCCGTGGGTCCTCAACCTCTTCAACGACAACGTCATCACGCTATCGCTGGTGGTACTCCTCCTGATGAACCGCAATCGCGGGCTACAGAAGACGACGGCCTTGGTGGACAAACTTGTTGCTTGGACCATTGGCATGTTTATTCGCAGCTCAGTTACCACATACTGAAAATGATCGCTAGAAACGGGGATGATTACGAGTATATTCAGCTGCTTGAATGTGGGCTTTGTGGGTGGCTTTGTGTTTGCCCGAATGCAGCACATACTGATTTTTCAATCCTAGTATCAGCGAGAACCCAATAACTGTGTGTTCTTTTCCTGCCATCTTTCCGAACTTGGAGCTGAAGTGTGTTATGTTACATAGTTATTTGGGTCGGTATTCAGGTCGTCAAAGCCCGATGTGCGTCTCTTGGAGCTGTCCTATCCGTAGTCCACTCATGTCTTGCTAGTGTTCGCTAATTCCCTGCTGGCATCACTTAACTCGCGGCACACGCTCCGCGACCTGAATTCAAGAGACTTGCACAGCGTTCGTGGCAGCACTACCGGCGCGCACTTTCAAGTCAGTAGGCCGATATCGACCAATCGGGCGGGCATATCCAGTAATTATCCCGCCTCGACCCACGGTCAGCCCCTGGATATTGCGATGACTAAGGTGACGCTTCAGGAGAGCGACCCCGATGATGTGGAGCGTGCCGAGTATGAGCATAAGAGGTGAAGAAAGTCACAATGAACGCGGTGTAAGACTGTAGGATTCATAACTTGACGTATCTCTGTAGCAACTACCAACTCCCTTTTACTCGTAACTGCCAACCACTGAGCCTTCAGGTCATATACGACAGCTCCTTCAATATATCCGTTTTGCCCACTTTGAAGGTGATGATTGACCGGGCAGTACTTCCACTAATTGTCCTTGACAACTGCTCCTTTTCTCGCCAGCTCCAATGCCTTCCTTTTTGTCATAAACATCGCATCCCTTAACGCTGTCTTCTCCTCATTCCACACAGGCAACACCTTATCCAACTCAGGTCGTGCTTTGACAACATCGCTCCGCAGATCATTAGCATATTCCTCTTCGTATGGCCCCAGCACGCAGTACGACGCAAGATCAGAAGCGATTCCGTATTCGTTCGAGGCAGCCATCTCGCGACGACCGACGGCGACAGCGTCCATTCTTGCCCGCTCAAACGCCAGGAGATCAGGAAGGGTTGTCGGACACGCTACTCCACCGCCATGTGACCACGCCAGGGCGAGCCAGGTGCTGCACATGTCTGCAATAGTGAAGGGAGTGTAGCATGCCATAGCGGTGCCAACAAAAGCCAAGGACGGGTTTTTGGCGTAAAGAATATAGCGATGGAGAGAGGGAATGTGGCGGTCTTGGGGGCTAACAATGGGCCCTAAGTTCCCGTCTTGTTGCAGGACATGGACAAAGTCAGGATGAGGGAAGTATCCAGTTGCGAAAATAACACAATTGAGGTTCTCGATGGCCGTGTTGTCGATGAGACGAGCAGTGACAGTTGGAAGTATCCTGCTGCCGATCTCGACATCTTGGACGACATATTCTGCGACCGGTGTTACGTGGGAGATCCGAGCATCTGGCAGACTTGGGAAGCCCGGAAAGTTGGGACGCCGTATGCTCTGGAAGACGGCGTGGGCGACAGGGGCAAGTTGGGCAGTTATATCGTTGCCTGAGTTGGCATTCCCAATGACAAGGATGCGCTTGGACCGATGTTGGTGTAGCAACGCGTCTACAAAGAAGTCGCACCTTGTCTTCATACCCATCAGGTCCTCTCCAGGTCTGCGCATGGCTGGCCAGACCCGCTTGTCGTACCGCGCCGACCCCAAGGGTATCTGGGTACGACGTGTGGTCGTAGAAGGCAACAGCAACCACAACTGCATCCCACTTTTCTTCCAGCTCCGATCCTCCGCTTTTCAGAATAACACGCCAGCCTTGTCTGTTTTGCAGCTCCTCGACTTTGAGGACTTCAGTATTGAGGCGAATGCTGCCTCTGGCGAGTAGCGGGGCAGCAAATGCACGCAAGTAGTTGTGGGTTTCGGCGAGAGAAGGAAAAGGCTGGCCATTGGCGGTAGACGGGGGTTCGGGGAACAGGGGGTGTGAAGAGAACGAGAGAAACTCTGAAATTACGTTCCCGATGAGTCCGCGATAGGCTGGCGAGGGCCAGCGTTTTGCATTGGTGTTTGGCTTTGGATTATCGAGATGCCTGACATTACTGAGCCCAGAAAACACCGCCAAGTCGGACTCACCAGACACCCCCAACGTCGTCTCTCCGCTCGACAAGCTGGACATCCTCAAAGTCGCCGCGTTCAAGCAAGTTGCGCAGGGTGACGAGACCGGAAGGGCCACCGCCAATTACTAGTACACGCCGTGGCCGAGCTGGCGGGATATTCTCAGAGACTGGCTCAGACATGGAGCAGAGAGGCAAGAAGGGAGAACGGCATGCTCGTCGAGCATTGCGCGTCGTTCGGGAATCGGCAGGGAAACACAAGGAAAACGAGGGTCGGGGATCCGAGTGATGGCCGCTACATTCAGATCATTTTTGATCCCCTCCAGCCTCAGGGAAACCCAGGGTAAACCGCCCCGACTCCTCCGAGAGCACTGAATCGTTCCGCGAGTCAAGGGCTCAGCGCTCATCATCGATATCATCCATCATCGAAGCGATCCCGACCAATTTATAGCGTGAATCAATATGTCTGTTTGCCTTTTAGATAGCGACTTCGAATCGGCGTTACTCGGTCAAAGGTCTGGATTCCAAAGGGTTCGCTCTACTATTCTTGAGGCGTAGAGGCGCATCGAATACAACCCACTTATCTTCATTCCAACTTCCAGTGACCCGTTACAGTTACAGTGGGCTCGTAGTGTGAGTTGTAAAGCAAGAATTGCTACGAGTCCCAGTGATTAGCACCGAGGTACGACCTCAGAACAGAGGGTAAAATCTCTCACCGTCACGATAAGTTTATTTTAACTCTACCAATCCACTACGCAGCAATAGAGTTTCAATCATCAGCTATCGCGTGGTGTTCCTCCAGAGTCAAATGATAAGGATGAAGGCGGTTGTATGTGAGACCTTCGTGAACCATATACGCTCCCTCGCCCGACATTGCTGTAGAGAACCAACACAGTTTCCCCCATACAATATTTGATCACCGATCACGAGCATCACTTGAGTCCTTCCTGACCATCATCATCTCAGCTTTGCTCTCACCCAGTCCGCCTTGGCTACTGGCACCAATTCGTTTCGTCGATCTTTACCTGGACCGGCCTGATACTCCCTCGTCTCACTCATGCTTCCCTTGTGGCAACGCGCTGCCATTGAATGCCATCTTAGGACTGATGGCTCCGCAAACTGAATCCGCGAAGCTGCTTCTGTGGATTATGGCGTTCATTTACACCGTAGTACCAACATGATAGATCGATGGGGGGGCCTTCCAGTCAAGACCGGACGTGACAGGGCTCCGAGTATTCTTGTCCCCGGCTGCACCGCAAATTTAGACGAGCTCGGTCTTGCCTTATAATCAGCGGATGATCTATCCCAGCTTGTCCCTTTTGCCGTTGAGATGTCTGCGACACCCCCTCCACCAGTACCACCCCCAGGCCATCCACCCGCATTCGACCCAGGTCCGACTATTGGTATGTTTATCAATGCCAAATTTCCATCTTTGGTTGAATGGCCGACTAGGTGCGCTGCTCGTTGGGACGCTTGGGTCGGGCATTCTCTTTGGAATCTTCACCGCCCAATATTATCTGTATCATGGTCGGTTCCCAGAGGATACATTCGGCATGAAGGCGCTGGTAAGCTAGTCCTTTTCTAGCTGCACTTTTTGTCCGCCATCGGACTGACGAATGTGGTGTTAGGTTGCTGTTGTATGGTGGGCCTATTGCTTTCCAAGTATGTTTCGATGTTGATGCTTCTCGTAGGATATTCGAGCTGGTCCATGTCATCGCTATCAGCCACGTCACCTACACCTACGCCGTCACTGACTACGGAAATCCTCTCAGTCTTCTGGGCAAAATGCCCGCGACGTTGGCGCTTTCTGTACTCTTGGGATCTATCATAACTGGAGTCGGTCTGTACTTCGTTCGTCCACAACTGGCCGGTTCTAACTGCCGCTCAAGTGCAGGGCTTTTTCTCATTCCGCATCTGGACCCTCGCGCCAAACAAGTTGTTCAAAATGATCTCGATCGTCCTGTGGACCAGTGCATTCGTTTATGTCGTCGGCGCGGTAGCAAATACCGTCCTCTCGATCGACTCAACAAACATTCCGACCTACATTGCACGATATAATTGGCTCCTCCTTGCGCCTACCGCTCTCAATCTTTTCAACGACGTTACAATCACACTCTCGCTCGTCGGTATCCTGCTTCTAACTCGCAAGGGTGGATTCGGCAAAACAACAATCCTTGTGGATCAGCTTATAAAATGGACAATTGGTGTGTGTTCTTGATTCCTGCATCGGGCAAAGACTGACTGCGACGGCTTAGAGACTGGTTTGGTCACCAGTATCTTCAGTTGCTTGAATCTGGCTTTCGTACGGTTGTTTCATTTTCTCAGCTTCACTTTGCTTACATCTCTCTCCTTCATAGTATATCCAAGAACCTCACAACTGTAAATCGGATCTTTCCCTGCCGTCAACCGACTTTGTTGATGATATATCCTAGTTGTCTGGATTGCCCTACAAATAGTAAAAGCACGTTGTATGTCTTCCTTTATGCTCGTACTTGTTCGACGCTTACGCTTCGTGATAGTGTTCGCCAATTCGTTGCTTGCTTCCCTCAACTCGCGGGATACCCTGCGCTCCATGAAGACCACGCACGCCGAGTGGGGCTCTTCTGGCGGAAACCGGTCGCGAAATAACTATGGGGGTAACACGGGCAACCCGGGCCTTACGCAGACGGGCACGCTGAATATCGCGATGACGACGGTGACCCTCGAGGAGCGAGATGATGCGCTCGGCTCGCAGTATGGGTACAAGAGCAAGTAGAGTGTGAGCGGACAGGTTATACTTATTCTTTCGTATATTGTACTTGTACCACTGTTATACCAGACGGTTGCTCCATATTTGTGTTGTCAATGTGAAGTGCGAGGCCTCGCACTACAAACGCGCAGAATTGTCACGTGATAGCAGTCGCAAACGTCTTGGACCAGCATACATCCTTCTCAGGGTATCATCTTCTAATAACCAGAGCTTAGAGAGGAAAACCTATCTATGATGCTCTCTGGGACTAGATTGTCTCCGAAGAATTCATAGCCAGAAGAAGTGTGTTTTTTCGTTGACCAATCTACGCGACTCACAACTTCGCTAGGCTCTTCCCGTTCTTCATAGCTCTCATGCGCATGTGTCAATAAAGCACCACAAAATCAGGAGAACGGTCTACGATACTTAGAGGTCTAGGAGTGAAGGTCGATTTCCATCATCCATTACTGACCTGCTCCCAGGTTTATGTCGCGAGAACTTGTCTCCGCCCGCATCTTCCTTTCTCTCCTTGTCAGAGTAACAGGCCAGCTGGGAGGCTCCGGATCCTCGATGGCCTCTCTCTCACTAGGTCTTCAGGACTCGTGCTTTATGCTGAAGCCCGAGGCATGGTGGAGATGAGGTGTGTTTGTCAGTTCCTCTCATCGCCTTTTCGCTGACTTTCGAGGCTTGGCTTAGAATTGGCTTAGAATGACCGTAGACACCATGCCCGTTCTCGACCTCCAATTTCACTGTTAACAAATCGATTCGTTGTTTGAAACAGAACACCAACTCATCCTCAGTATCTCCCTCCAGCACCCGCCCCTTCTCCATGCCAACTTCTCCATGCCAAGATTACCAGTTCCTGAATTTACATATACCACCAGATATGCGCCAATAAAACGTGGGCGTGGTAGCCACCAGGTCTTCATCGTTGATGGTAGCACCTTACAGCGCTTTGCAACAGGACGTGGAATCCCCACGTAAATTTCCCCTCGGCTAATGTCTGACGGCACGCTATTGATTGACCACTTTTCCTTATTCTGGGTGCTATCTCGTTGTTACAAGAGAGTGAGCTATAAACACTTGTGGACAGGAGCCACCTAAGACAACACAAGTATGAGATAGATGTCGAATCGGAGGCTTCGCGATAAAACTAAGAGCTCAAGAATCGGTCCGATGATGAGTCGGAGCTGTTAGCCGAAGGGAAATTTACGTGGGGGATTCCACGTCCTGTTGCAAAGCGCTGTAAATGGTCTTATTCCACTGACATTCCTCCCAGTGGCAACCTCCATGCAGCGCAAACGCGCCGCAATACATCGTCCACTTCACTGGTTATTGCCCTTGGTCCACAGTATCTGACTGGTGGCGTCTGCCTCTCTTCCTCCGTTCTGGCTGAACACAATAAATAGATGCCTCTGCGCATCCTACAAGCCTTGTCTCCCTTTGTTCGCCCTCATTCGAATCTCACTTGTCGACGTTGGTTGAGCATCCGAGGCGTCTGACATAGGATGGCTCATGTCGCACTCACATTGGGGCCGCTGTTGCTTGGGGGTTCCATTGCACTCATGTTCGTGACTCATCTGGCGTATGTATGTTCCAAGATACTCACTGCCCCTCTGTTAGGTTGAGTGGAATGGTGACAGTTCAGTGCATCGTTTTCTACAAGCTCTATCCAAACGAAATTCGCCTCTGGATTGGAATGGTGTTCTTCATCTGGTGTGTCTTACTGGTGTTCTAAATGGTCCTGTCAAAGGAATTGAACCAAACAGGGTTCTTGATCTTTTGCACTCTATATTCATCGTAATCTCGCTTTTCGATTATTTCATCACGTTCTTTGGAGAAGAGTGCGTTGCTCCATGACTCGATGAGCATCTTTAACGGTTGTGCACAGATCACGGACGGACTTCATTCCTTGGTCTATCGCGGTAACTCCCTGGGCTGTTCTTGCACCTGCACTTTGGCGTCAACGGTGTCCTAGCTCTCCGTGGTTGTGACGGCCATTACGACGCTCATCGTCCATATGTATTACGCTCAAAAGATCTTCAAATGTGCGCAATGTCTTCCTCATATGGTTATTTTTAGGATTAAGTTTAGTTTTATAGCAAGCACTAGAAATTGGTGGATTACCGCACCCGTTGTATGTCTCGTGGGTTTTTTCCTACCCAGGGTTTTCAAATTCAATAGATAATCCTTGCATTCTTGCGTCTCTGTCCGCCATTTCCGTTCTGGTGAACCAGACTTGTTTGCTTATCGTGGAACAATAGTCGCAGCATCGGTATCCACCACAGAGATGATTCGTCTGCGCAGATATTCAGCCTTTATGGAAACCTATCCTGGGGTGGGTCTTGGCTCTTGCTACCTGGCTTGTGGACTGAAGAGTTCTGTCGTTTAGTGGGTCTTCACGACTGGCCTCTCTCTTTCTGCCAGCGTCGACTTCATTATCACAACATTACTTTGCTACTTTTTGCGCAAGTTGCGCCAGCGGACTGCATCGACGTTGTATGTTGTTATCTATCGAAACTGCCACAGTTGATTTATTTGCAGAATGGCGCATATGGTGGACGTGCTGACGTTGTTCACTCTTGAAAACGGGCTGTTAACCTTGTAGGTCGTATTTCCTTTCGTGTGATCGTTCAACTCGGAATTCGACAGCATGACCGTTACGGCTTCTCTAATCTGTGTAAGCCTGTTGCCGCTCCTGTTGTCTCGTCCAATCCTTCCTGCAGTGGTTGACTATGCCAAATAATCTCGTCTTCCTCGGCCTACATTTCGTCATCGGAAAACGTGCGCTCATTCATGTTGTCAGTTGTAATAGGAATGCTGATCGTACGGGTATGCCGACAGTCTACGCCAACTCGTGTCTAATTTCGCTCAACACGCGTAAAGAACTCCGCGAAATGAGATGGGCCAAAAATAATGACTGGGGCCCAGCCCTACCAGTGCTGACGCCGGACGACTTCGGTGGTGCCAGGCTTCAGCAAGGACGAAGGATTGGGCGATCATCATCGACACTACTGCAGGTTTGCTTGTTCGCCGTCCAAAGCCGGAAATATTGACCCGTTTCTAGCATGCTGCTTCATCAAGTCGACTGACCTTTGAACCCAGTCCGGCTGTTTTCCCACTGGGAATGCCCAGTTTTGCTCCGCTGCAGGTCAGCGTGGAACGCACCGTTACACGAAATTCGGAGGACCTCAGGGATGTCCTACAACGGGACTACTATCATGGGCAGCGATACCAGTGGCATCTTCCTGCAGCCCCACGCTATACTACTGGTGGGGCTCATACCCAAAACCCGTCTTCAGGCGTCGGAGCTTGATGTGGCTTCTCTGTGAAATTTTGGCCATCAGGGATGTGTTCGGAAGTTTGCCAGAGGCTTAAGTACTAGTCTGTCTACCTCTATCCCTTCATTAGTCGTATTGTAGATTGAATAACTAATAGCTGCGACAGATTGCTTTTCATCTTGCAAAAAGTACCTTGGTCACGTGAGCCTGCGGGCGGCTGAGTTTCAAAAGTTATGCCATCATCGCATCTCTTGTCAAAATCCGCGACTTTGGTCTGACTTGTTGTTGGCCCAAATATGTAGTCGACGACTTGCCAATGACACACGGCAAGGCGTTCTTCGACACTTACATCCTCGGAGACAGCTGTTGAATGAACTTCATGGCGGTATCGATATTTGGCTCTCCAAACGATACCACGGCTCTCGGTCCTCGGGCGGGTTGCTCAAGCAATGCATAGACAACTCACATGTCTTCCTATTTCGAGATGCTGCGCCACATGGGTCTTCGTCGCCAAATTTCCAATCGTATTCTGGAAAGATTTGCAAAGACCGGGGCCCGGGCGGGGCGGACTCCAGCGTCCGTCTCCCGACGCGCGCGATTCCTCCGGAGTCGCTAAATCCGCCTCACCACCGCCTCGCTAAGAGACTTGGTGCTCTCTCCACGAAGCAACGATCCCAAATCTCCAGCGCAACACGTGTGTAACATGGCTAGGTTATCCTCGGTGTCGCCGATCGGATTCGGAATTGCATTTGACCCGAAATTACTTATAAAGGGCTCTGCAGCTCGAGTGGTTTTCGCAGAACGAGATACCCTTTCCACCTCCAAGTATGCTATCACCTAGGATTCCTGTGATATATGTGAGTATTGAATCCCTTTTACTTGACGCGTTGCACTCAAGTCAAGTTATCAGGGCGCCGCCGCTATCGGTGCTCCTGGCACATTTTGTGCTCTGACCAACACAGAACAAGCTCAGAGGGTCGTTGACGCACTCTTCGACCCTGGAGTTGAGCCTCAGCCTGAGCTACGCCAGAAAATCATCAGTTTAAACGACGCAGACGATGGACACGGCGATTCGTCTGGACTTGTTCGAGAGCCTGTCTCCCTCTACGCGATAGACACTTCAAACGTGTATGGCTTCGGCACCAGTGAGAAGGTGGTTGGCTCATTTGCTCCAGTCACACCGAAAACTCATGCTTCTCCTTCCAGATCCTCGCCCAAATGGACCTTCATGGGTGTGTAATCGACACAAAGTATGTGCGTCATAGACAGGGCTATCGATCCTCACAAGCTGTTCATTGCGCAGGTTCTATCCTCTTGTCCCAGGCGACCACGCGCGTGTCAAACTGCGCGAGGCATTCGACCGAATGCTGGCTTCTCTAGGGGATAAACGTGTTCGGGTGCTCTATCTCAATGCGTATGTCCCTTCCGTCGTCTACTAGACCATACGGACGCGGAAATGAATGCGATTTTCTTTAGGCCAGACCATGCAACACCATTCTCAGAGACCTTTGCGGCGATGGACGAGCTACACAAAGAGGGAAAATTGTCCGTCCGGAATGTACGATCATGGTCGACCACTGACGTAGGATATGTCCAGTGAAATGCTCGGCTTGAGCAACTACCGCACACATGAGGTTGGCGAGATCGTCACACTCTGTCGTGCAAACGGCTGGGTGGTCCCCGCGGTTTATCAGGGCCTGTATAATGCCATAGATCGAATGGTGGAATCTGAGTAGCCCGCTCTTCTTTCTTTCCTTAGACCCGCATGCTGACAGAACACACGACAGGTTACTCCCATGTCTACGCCAGTTTGGCATCAAATTCGCAGCGTATGGCCCTCTGGCCGGCGGGTATCTGGTTGGAGACCTTCTCTTCGAGCCTGAACCCAGCAGGGTGAGGCTACACCTCGATCTTCCCCCCTCTGCTGCTATCGTCGATCACCTACTCCCATCAGTCAATGATCTCCGACAGAGCCTGCGTGGTAGTGGACGACATTTCGACTCGCGTAACCCATTCAGTGCTTGGTACCAGTCACGATACTTGAACTCCCGCATAAACAATGCCGTCTTTAGGCTTTGCGCCGTCTTAGTAAGGGTGTTTTCCCCTCCCGCTTTCACTATGGACAACTTCAGCGTTGCTTTTAGAAGCTCTACGGTCTTTCGCTTCATGAGGCATCTTTGCGCTGGCTGCAGCACCACAGCGCGCTCGTCCCGAGTGATCTCGGTATGATATTCGGCGGGCGGACGCCGGACCAGGTCAAGCAGACGCTGACCTATTGGTAACTCCGACTCCGCATGATGAGCACGTCCTGAGATATCTGACAGCACCTACGGCCCGCTACCGGACGTGATCCTCGAGGCATTCGAGGAGTGTTACACAGAGATAAGGGGTGGACTGCCTGGTTTCTGGATGCATCCTGCGTGGGATGATAGACTAAGAGAGAATTCACAGTGATATGGTAGATTGTGTCGGAAGTCGGGTACACTGGAGTCTGGCATTGCACAATGCATACTAGTAGGATATAGTATCAGCTCTCAGTGCATTCAAATGGGAATACTGATGTAGCTATAATCTGTTGATAATCTGAGAAATTCATATGAAGATGGTTGATTTGGCTTTTCGATATTTATGTCCAGAAATTATTTCAAAATAAAGAAAAAAATGATTTATACATAATATTAGTGCTAGCCAAATATGATTATATTATTTTATGGGCATAATATATTATAATCATATCACATTGAGAGCTCCAACACAATAATATATTTGTAGTATAGTATAATCATATTCAGCTGCAAAATATGAATATGTTATGAATATATTTAACTATAATCTAGTATGCATATATGCTGCTAGAAAAAAAATTAATACATAAGATACATGCTGGATTGTCAGGGCAACTTCCTTTTGGGCCTCTCTAATCCTAGCCTTGGATACATAGGACTCTCAAAATACAATGAGAGGGGATAAGGCCGCAAGCGGCAGATGCCGAACCTTACCGGATGATCCAGCCATCATGTGATGCAGCCAAAAAAGGGAATAATTCTGCACTGCCACTCCGAATGTGGTAGTGCTGATGGCAACCTTGTTATATAGAGCCAAACCTTAGGTTCGGCAATCAGGGGCATTGTCACTAGTATTAGGTTGACCAGTAGACACTTGATCAGGGGTTCTATACTACATTTAATAGGGTCAACCCAAAGTGATCACTCCTGACTCTTGTTCCTACTAGGATATAATAGATAATATGTGACATTTATCAGAAGTAGGGCTAACTCAGACTAAGATTAGTACTATGACTGACTACATGCACTGAGAAAATAGTGGTGATCATTCACCTTACTATAGTTGAATATTCTGTGACTATAATATAGTATAGTCATAATATAATATATTCAAACATAACCATATTCAAGTGATCCACCAAGGCATAATATATTCATAATATTCTGAATAATTAATCAACCATAATATAATTCTGGCCAGCACTAATACATATAAAATAATAAATACAAGATCATCTCAAATGATCCCAAGTCAATATACAATCCGCTGTTAAGTATGTACATATTATGCCACTCAGGTCATGCTAAGCTCAACTAAACAATACTAAAATCAGACATCTGTTGCCTGGGTGGAAACTGCATCACTCCGAAGAAACCATGGTGTACTGACAGTACGTTTTCCCCTACGAAATGTGGGAAGTTTCCATGTTGAAACATGAGTTGCTGTGGTATTTCCATTGCTATGTCCAGTGCCACGGGCCAGGGCACTCTTGATATTCATAAGCACCCGAGCTCCAATCACTGCAATAACACTAAGAGATAACATGAGAATTGCACATCAAATAGTAAGATGCAGATCATACGCAGTAGTGGGCCTAGTTTTGGTCATATTTAGTTTAAGTATATACTCAAGATAAAATTTTGGGACTTACACAACTACAACTTGAGCAAGAGAAGCTCGAGCCCGTGTCCAGACAATAAAGTCAAGAACACAAATTGCTGACCAGAATTGATTAGTCTTAGTATAGTACTTGACAAACAGAAAATACCCATAGTCATGAAAAACCAGGCCAACCCATCCCGAAGAAACATGGTCATCAAGGGTGTGTTCTGTGTGCCAAGAGTAAAGACTGCTTGACCACTTTTGTAAACTGTCAATGTAAACATAAAACATGACTAGGATCATGCAATTGATCAGTATAAGTAGGACTTGATAAATGCCAATGCCAACCACAATCATAGGCCCAATGGTAAAATAAGATAGGTATTTTGGAGCAACTATAATATTGATTGATCAGTATTTTAATATGTGAAGCAAATATTAAACCTGTTGGGTAGCAGCCTGGGAGGATAGAACTGTTGAATAGATTTATTTCTTCAGTAATTATTATAAATAATATTGGAATTTACCCAATGAGTATATATTCTAGAGAGATATGAGTAAGGACTAAATATAATTCTAAAATCATAATACCCTTTTGTGGATAAATTGTCATCCATCCATCTGCAAGCCTGCCAGTAGCAGTTGAGTGCAGATGAAATCATGATAATATATAAACAGACATGGAAATTAACTCCACTGAGATATATGTAATAGATTAGTTCTATTGAAGATTATTCATTTCTGAGACTTACAGACAACAAGAGGAAAGACCAGATAAAAGATAACTTTGGACCGTCCATATAAGATCCATACACTTTTAGAAAATCAATTAATAATGAGATTTCTGAGAGTCATCAACTGACCGGGCAGCAAGCACAAAATCAGTTGTGATAATAATGATGGTGGATGCACTAATGACACCCTTGTTAAGTTTAGCAAGCATAATAATAGAAAGTTGATATAGCCAACACACCAAGAGAAGATATGCATGGCAACTAAAGGCAATGAGCTATATTTAAATTTGCAAATGGCCTGTGGCTTACACCTAAAATGAATATGTAAGTTGTAATTTAGATCAAACTTAAATTTCACATACAGAATTGGATGTTTGTGCAGTATTCATATCTGCAAAGTAAGAACTGGGAATTATACTGATAGAAGTCACATACATGCAACACTAACACTGAAATGATTGTGAGTTCAAAATCTGAACTGCAAGTCAAAATATGCTGCATACCCAGTAACAAGGAGTGTAGAATATCGGATCTAATTGACAAATATTCAACAATGGCTTTTGTAGTTCTAATATTCAAGTTCCTTACCGCAAGCTGGACATTTTAAGTGTATCACAATGCAAAGAATTGCATGCACATACATAGAACATATTCAAAACACTCATTTTTGTCTGCCATACCAAAGTAATCTATATCAATATGCATTGTTAGGCAAATTGGCAGAACAAGAAATAAGCAGACATACCTCTTCGTCCAAATGACTGAAGTACTCGTATCTAGCGAATTTAGTTCAGAGTTGCTATCCGGTAAAGTCGACCGACATGACAATGACAAGTCCCACAACTTTTACGAACCGTGTCAGAACACCGCAAATCACAGGAAAATGCATCGCTCACGGCCCATGTAGTTGTTCAACCGAGCATCGCCAATCAGTCCGAAGAGCTGCTCCAACTCTGCCTGACTGGGAAGCTCTGCGGCCGACATGAACCAGGCTATCGATGGGGACGGGAGTGGGCGGAGGCGGAGGCGCGGCGCCAATCTGCTCGAGACTAGCTTTAAAAGACCTTGAGATGCTCCGAGATATTCCCCATCACATGCCCCGGAGAACAGAAATAGGACGGTATCAGCTCATGACTGTGCCACGGTGTCTAGCGGGCTGCTTCTTGGTAACAGTCAAGGAGTGGAGCAATACACTTGGCTAGATGCATTCGGGCCCGCACAGTTTGTTCAAACTTGCATCCTTGCACATCATGCCATGATCCTTTGCGCGGCGTTTGTTCATGGGAAGCGACTCCTTCTGAGCGATGCCTCGCACTTTCCCCAGGGTGAGCGTAGATAGAAGGGATCGGCGGTGATGGAAGACCAAGCTATCGACGCAGGGGTAATAGATCTGCGGCGACTATACAAACATCGGAGGGCAATACGGGAAGGTCGGGCCTGTGAGCTCTCGCTTTCAGCCTGCTACTAATCATCAATCAGCGAACGCCACGGACAAGCTTTCTAAACACACCCAATATTATCGACGAGGCTATCGTCACTGTGGGGGACCGGCAAGACTGAACAGGGGATAACTGTCAAACTTTGGTGGTTGGCGATGCAACAAACCGTCGAGACTATCAACGTTTAGGCGCTTGCACGACTAAAAGGCGAGGAACTCACACCTAACTCACAATCAACACAATTCAGGGAGCCTTCCAAGATACGACCAAGAATGCACGCGCAAGCAAGGACTGGCCTCAACGGCATCAAGTCAGCTTAGTTCTGGGGACAGTAGGACCAGCGGCTCAGAAGTATCAGTACAGACGCGCAATACCCACGGAAATTTAAAGCCACGATTAGCCAGCTTTATTTAGATGTCACAGGAACCCAGATGGTGATGGCGTTTGGGGGCAACGAAATTCACCTGAAGCGAGAACCGCGGACTGCATCTTCCAGGTTTGACGCTGGGAGGGCTGTGAGCAATTGAAACGAATTGCTGTAATTGCTGCCGCTAGACACTTGCACAGATAGAATCAGATGAATAAACTTGCTAACTCGAATGAGCCGAACTCTGTCGTTCCATTTTTGCTCGTTTCAAAGAAGTGGAAGTATCGATAGGTGTTTGGTTGAGGCTCGAAGCTGTTTAGTCCAGAGGATACTTATGCACATACAGTGAGACTCAGTGAGATGGATCATGGTGGAACAGTAGTGGAACAGAGTGACATTTCGAGTTGCCTTTTGCAGTCCTTTTTTGCATCACACCACCATGGCGTTATCCAGGCCTTACCTACAACGACGATGCCCTCCACACATGCCTCGTCATTCTACAAAGCCCCGGAATACGATACTCTCCAACTACATGCTGGTCAAGTGCCCGATACTGCAACCAACGCTCGCGCCGTGCCCATCTACTCTTCCGCCAGTTTTGTTTTCGACAACTCCGCCCACGGAGCGAACCTGTTCGCTTTGAAAGACTTCGGAAATATATATTCGAGGATAGGAAACCCTACCGTTGTGCGTGCAACAGTAAATCTGCTGTCGTGTCGCGTTGATACTGTTTTCAGGATGTTTTTGAAAAGCGTGTTGCAGCTTTGGAGGGCGGGGTCGCCGCCGTTGCCACTGCTTCCGGCCAGTCGGCGCAACTATTAGCTTTGACGACGCTGGCTGAAGTGGGTGATAACATTGTCGCCTCGGCACACTTGTATGGCGGGGTATAGGCATTTCCCTTCGTACAAGCACACTTCGTTCATGCCATACTCTAGTCCTTCAACCAGCTCAAGGTCACCTTCCGCAAATTCGGCATCACAGCTCGTTTTATAGACAGTGACGACCCCAGTTTGTTCCAAACTGCAACCTCAAAACTGGTGTTCATGTCTCTCCACAGATGATTTCGCGGCCGCTATTGATGACCGAACTCGGGCGGTCTATGTGGAGATTATCGCGAACGCGGATTTTAGACTAGCAAATGTTCATGCGCTTGCAGAAGTAGGTCGTGTCTTTTTTCTCTCCACAATTTTTTTCACTGATAGAAGAACGATAAAAGGTCGCGCATGCACATCACATTCCTCTGGTCGTCGACAACACCTTCGGAATGTGTGGATGGCTGGCTCGTCCACTGGATCTTGGGGCGGACATCGTTACAGCAAGTGCAACGAAGTGGATTGGTGGTCATGGAACTACCATCGGTGGAATTGTGGTCGATGGTGGTACGATAGCCCCATACCATTCAACGACTGCGGCTGACAATACAAATCAGGTAAATTCGACTATGCTGCCTCAAACAAGTTTCCCGCTTTCACGGAACCAGCGGAAGGATATCGAGGACTTGTTTTTTGTGAAGCATTTGGACAAGCTGCATTCGCTGTGCGGGTCAGAGTCGAGGTATACTTACATTTCAACACTCTGATCTCCTCGTTGATAGCTCGCTCGTAGATGTTGCGGGATCTAGGTCCTGCACTCAATCCTTTTGCGGCGTTTTTGCTCCTGCAAGGCCTGGAGACTCTTAGTTTAAGAGCGGCTAGACATTGTGAAAATGCGGCACAGTTGGCAAAGCAGGTCACCGTCTTATCTTCTACATGGTTTTGCTGATCTCTCATCCAAGTTTTCTCTCAACCCACCCGCATGTGGCATGGGTATCATACCTCGGCCTCCCTTCCCACCCGTCACACCAGCAAGCCGTTGCATCGTTACGACCAGGCGTGTTTGGCAGCGTACTTAACTTCGGAGTCAAGGTATACTTTCGCACACATGATTTCATGACGACAAGTGAACATCGACCAGGGAGAGTCTCCGGCGCGTCAAGCAAGCAAAGTCGTCGACCTTCTCAGACTTGCAAGCAACCTTGCCAATCTTGGCGATGCAAAAACGCTGGTCATCCATCCTGCATCGACAACCCACCAGCAGCTTTCGGAGGAGGAGCTGAAGTCGAGTGGGGTACAGGCTGATCTTATACGAGTAAGTTGCCGTGTTAATTTCTGCCACTTGTGACTCTGTTGACAACACTATTTCTGGCAGGTCTCTGTGGGGATAGAAGATATTAGCGACATCATTGCCGACTTTGACCATGCATTGAGAATTGCATTCGAGGCTGCGACCCCGCCGTAGTTGCGATGTCTATGATTTCGAGACTAGCCCATTGTCTGAGAGTTCCGAACAATCCAACTCGACCCTTGTGGAATTGAAAAGCGGGAGGATGTCAGCGACGGCGGGCAACGTCTTAATATGACCAGAATACCGTCCAATCGGCCAAATGGAGATCATGAGCCCTTAAAGTGCTGTTGGTTCCCAACGTGGATCTTTCGTATTCGATGGAGTTGACACCCAGGATACTGAAAGAACCCTACCTTTCGGGGTTCGCCACCGTTTTGCAGGGGGCAGTGCATATGTCCTCCATGCAATGTTGTCCCGAACAGAGGAATGGCGGACATATGCTTTGATCGACCCTTCATTTCGTCTTCCTGTTGACACCACGAGTGTTGAGGGATGATTTCTTTCCGGGAGGCATCTATAATACCATCGACCTCCGGTATGCAACTTGTTATCGAGACATCTTTCTCGGCGCAATCGCTCTCTCTGGACCTAGGCAATGGAGACTGGTGGAAACCTGGCGCCGTCGCTGCTCGCCAACCAGTATCTTTCAGGTGAGATTGTGCCCATCAGCTGCCAATGTTTTAACCCTTTGTCAGCCGCCGCGGTTTCTCTGCTGTTGTATGACCATGCTCTTACCTTCAACGAGGAAACGGAGATGATTTGGTGCAATACCGGCGCGGGTACGATGAACCGAGCCGTCTTTTTCTTCAATCGATACCTCAGCGAGGGGCTGTTGGTCTACGTTGCGTACAGTAGGTGCCCTGCACACCTGCAGAATATTCTCATTGATGACTTGCTTGCAGTGCTGGGTGGGCAAAGCAGGGGTTTAAATGACACGGTCCGTCTTTGGGGGTTCATTTTCTCCACCATCTAATCGGCTGCAGGAGTGAGCAAAGCCGCGGCTCCATGACGATTGTAGCAAGTTATCTAAACTCGTATCTAAGTTGCCGGGTATTCATGTGGCTGTTTGGTGCTTCAGCGACGGTCTTCATTGCGGTCTCGCACTGTCAGTATCCGTGCAGATATTGAGCAGTCCACTGAAATTCAACAGTTATCATCATCACCCGCCTATACATCCTCTGGGACCGACGAAGACCTATCAAGTGGATTCTAATGGCTGCCTTCGGTGTCGCCATCTCGATTTCATTCAGCTTCGTCATGGTCGCGGCACACCAAGTTCAGCGTATGCGGTTCGCCATAACGCTGTGGCTAGTTTTGACATACGTCCCCCATAGCTTTCGTGCTCTACAACGACTTTCTGCATATCTGCATCTTTCATGAAAAGCCGACCTTGGATCTGGGGTTAATGCTTGGTGGTCTGGCAAGTCAGCCTAATCCATCATGATTATAATGCTCATCCTGACCAGACGTTATTTGATCTCTTTATAATCCTTATGACCGTCGTAAACGCATACCATCGACCATACCAAAAGCAAGCAGAGGTCATGACTGCCTTACAGCGCGATGGCGCACTTATGTTTGCGGTGGGCATACCTCGGTTCTCGAGTAATCTTACTCATCTCTCCGCAGGGACTTTTTCGTGAATAAGTGCTCAAAGAAGAATCAAGCCACTGACCGTTTCATAGTTCTCCGAGTAATGAGCCTGATGATGGTGATATTTGGCGACGTAAGTCTACAGCAAACATTTTCTTGGGAAATTCTGACCACAAACTTGTCAGCCAACGAACTGTTTTGTCATTCTTTCGTACGATATTTGCACTAGCTGAGAGCGTGGGGGGATTGACTTAATTCCCGCAGATTCGTGTGGGCCATGTGCTCTATGGTCAACTCTCGCATCCAGTTCCGCGTGGAAGGGCTCAAGTTCATTCGATATACGATTCCTCTGGGAGAAGGATTTGGGCTCTGAGTTGTGGATGGTATCTACGCTTCGACTATATGTAGCATAACTCGATAACCAGTAATTTGAACCGGAGATGAAATCGGTGACCGTCACACTTCTTTCTTGGCCCGAATAATGTGCATCCCTATAATCTGCAAGTCCTCTATCCCAGCGCAATGTCTCGTTGACCATCTTTAGTTGGCTGCCCCGACAAAATCAAGCCCGAGTCGGGAGACGACTCCGTCCGCGTTTGCCCGAACTGCCACAATGGTCGCGTTTTTACCTCCCCCCGCATAGAGCAACTGCTCACACTTTCCTCCAGCGGCCGTGCATGCGGCCAAATCGACGACCTGGTTCGAGCTGTTTTGGATCCCCCTCATCCCGTTCTCGAGCGACCACATCTGGCTCTGCGCGACGTGTAACTGGCGCGGAGCCCATGCCGCGGGGTGTGTCTCCCGTCTTCTGCACTTCGTAATCGCGGCTGACGAAGCGTCTCCAGCCAACCCGAGCCGCCTATTGCTGGCTCCCAGCCGGCGGGCAACACACAGTACCAGCCGACATACATCAATCCGCCAGGCGCTGCTGTTCCCCCAAGCACCTACCAGCCTCAATATGTGCAAGGGAAATAAGAACCCGGCGCATGGCTGAAGATGCAGTCCAGGCCTTGGTGAGCTGTGCGTTTTCATCGTTGGGGTCAAATTCCTGATTTTGGCATTATAACTAGTTGCTCTCGGGGACCACTCCAGCTTCACCCAGAACACTTCGTCTTGATCCAATAGGCCAAGACATGCAGGCTGTGGGATCTCAACCCCTTCGCGTAGGATTCTTGCCAAGCTTTCCTACACGCCTCAGCATCACCGAACTTCTGCTTCGTTGTCCCTTCTACTTCATCTCCCTCAAACCTATCCTGTTACTTATTTTATCGCTACTTATATATTCTGATACCGTCATGTAATGTGCATTTGTCTCAAACCTGCCACTCCTTCTCCACCTTCTTCATGACCTCTTTCCATTTCTTTGGGACCATCGACAGCGCTGCCACCCGTTTTGTCTCCGTAATCCGCACAACGGGGTACTCAACTCCTTCCTCCTTGCCCTCAATCACACTACGTTCCCGTTCCCAACTGAACAGCGCTCCATCTGTGGTTTCCTCGAAGGGGTTCAACTCGATCAATGTTGCTCGCCAGACTGCCTCTGCGGAAGCGGCAGGTATGACGCCGAAGTCGAGGACACAGTTATCGAAACCCTTTTCTTTGAGGATCGGCCAAAGTTGTGCAAAGGTATCTGCGATAGCTTTCACGGCTTTGGAGAGTTGATCAGGGTTTGTAAGCCGGGGCGAGCAGAGCTGATACGCGTATTGTGAGACTGCTGTAAGACGCCCCGAAGAAACGAAAGTCCGGAATTCCTAGGCTTTGTGAGTTTTGAAGGCCAAATCGTGGAAGAGAAGATAATACCATGTCGATCGGAACCGGCTCCCATTGGCGCAGAATGATGTTCTGCTCCCATGTGTCAGGGTGGCGCAACGCGAGGGTCATGTCCTATGGATGCCTCATAAGTATCGGCACACAAAGAGATAAAAACTACTTGCTTGCCACACCCGCTCGCTCAGCACCAAAGCCCTGATGACCGCCTTCGCATCAGCATATCTCAAAGCGGCCCCTTCCGCCTCGCAGACAATCCACATCCGTCCTATGTCGTCTAAAACTTCGCCTTTTTCTTTGACTTTGCGGATTGCGGCCGTATAATGGGCCTCGAAAACTCCCGAAAGTACGGCCGCATCTTTGGCGGAACGCGAGCTGAGTTTGGCGAAGCAGCCGGCTCCAGCGGAGTCCAAGGAGTCGATGGAGCTTTGGATGGTGGGTCCTAAAGCATCGAGGAGTTCTTGCTCCTCCCCACACAACGCCGCAGTCATATTTCTTGTCTTGACATACTCCTCCGCAGCTTGTTGGACTTTTGACTCCGAATCCGCGTGGGACAGTGACTCGTATGCGCGCAGCAACAACCTTGCGTGGTCTTGGGACAAAGCGACGAACGAAGTCTTTGCGGTAAAGTCCGCCAAAAGAGAGCCCCAGTTCTCGATGTTGGCTTGCAGGATCGCGGAATCGTACTTGGCGGACACGGAGATCGATTCTGCAGGGAAACAGGAAGATAGGGGTCAGTGAAAAAGGTGACGATTGGGTAGAGAGAGAAAACAGCAAGTACCAGTGAGGTTGGGCCCGCTGGCGTCATGAGCGATACCGACTTTCTTCAGAGCCTTGCCAGCCCGAATGCTTTCCAAGAACGACATGGTGGTTGAGAGCAACAAGATTCTGTCAAGATGACAGGACCATCCCATCCTATCTGCACAGCTACCACAGCTTTTGAACGAAGGTGGTTTGTCCGCCAAGAGTATCGCGAACGAAAAGTGCACATGACAATCAAGGCCGTGTACAGGAGCGTATGTCGAGGTTGATCCATTTAGGTCCAGAGGTCCTTCGTCCATCTCGTTGCGGGCGTAGGCTTATTCAGAGGCTCGGAATGAGGTCGAAAGTAAATGGACCGGGGAGATACATGATAGCAAAAAACTGGTCATAGACTGTTATCCTGAATACAACTTTTTATTGGAAAACCAGCGCACTTTTTTTTCGAGTGTAGAGATGAAAAATCCGTTTGCCGCCCTTCTAAGAGGTTTGCACGAAAACCAAGTACTGATTCGGACATTCACGGTCTCTGAAAACAGTTGGTCGACCCGCGTTGAGGCTGCTGCGCTTCCAAACCAAGGCCCTCTAGATTCCGCGCCAGGTGTCCTAGTGCTGGTCGTGTCGGGATGAGTTGAAGATGTGGGAATACCACCATCGTCCAAAACTGTGCAATTCGAACTGAGCGTGGAGCGCTGAGCACCGATATTACACATGGACGGGGTATAACTCACGTTCTGTCGAAGCAGGTGTTTGCCGGTCAGACATTGAGGAGCGATTCGGGACTCCCAGAGTGTATGGTGTCTGGAGACCAATCCCGTCGACCCGTCCGCGACTTGTCTAGGAAAGCAGCAGGCCTTGAGAGAAAAGTCATGTTAAAGAAAGAGCACACATACTGCATGGTCTGGTTATAGAATAGAACGGCTGTCGCCAAGTTGGTAGCAAGCGACTGCCAATGGTACTTGACAGAGCTGGACAGAACATCGGCATAAGATGTGGTAGGATGGAAAGCGACAACAAAACGTGACGCCACTGAACTTGGGCACAACCCTTTCTCTTTCGACACTCCTGGCTTATCACTGCAACTCCTGCCACATTATACTTCGCTCCTGGCGGATTATGAAGGACTCTTTATTCAGCCAATCATAATATCAATGGCACAAACAGTCTTCTCCAACAGGCTGTTGTCTTCGAATCAAAACTCTTGCTTTGGCATTCTGCTCTACCGTCCGCATGTTCTCCAAGACCGCAATGCAAGTAATGATCTCATGATACGGACTCCTCTCAGCCTCCCGGATTCAAGGGACGTCCCTTCGCCTTGCATTGAACGTAGTCTGACTTGACTTCAATGTGTGAAAATCATCAACCCTCGGCGCATGAGTGAAACAGCAAGTTTCTCTCATCAGGAAGGATGAGAAGATCGGAAGGTTCGTGAGGGAGAATCAAGAGAGAATCCCGTCATTTGGCGATTGTAAGTAAGATTTCATATACGCTGCGTTGATCAACCATTGAACTACTTTTCAGTGGGCGTAGGATGTAGACACCGTACTACTACTACTTGTGGCTTTCTCAACTTCAAGATGTATTCATCCTGGTACCCAGCACCGGCCCGGCCCGGTGCCGCCCGACTCCAAGCTTTCCCCACCCTCTCCCACTCTCCCGAAGCAGTAACGGGCCGTGTATTCTCCGCTTTTTCTTGCGATGATTTCGTTGTCACTCCGTGGAGGCCGCTCTTGTTGGTCAACGACAAACTTTCGACGATGTTGCCTGAAGAACAGTGAACACCAGGGATTCAGCGGCCAACATATATAGACGAACAGTGCCATGCTACGGGATACATCTAAACTCTTCTACCCCACATTCCTTAGTATGTGTGCATTATTTCGACGTCATTTGTGGGCGCTTATTGTCATATTTTCAGGTTCCAGCAGCGTGTCAGGTCTACTCCCGAGTCTATTTGAGTTACGGTCACCAAACTAATGTCAATTGCATTCGGGACCATAATCAAGACCGAGCTACGCAAATGAGGTAAGTAACGACTGCCCCTCAAACTCTTTAAATACGGGTTTACTTTACCGCAGAAATCTTGTATGGCTGGGCCCAAATCCATCCTCGACCTGTCTATCCTTCTACCAGACGCGCCAAGACAGAGGGCGCCAATTGCTTGTGTACGCTGCCGCAAGCGTAAGATAAAGGCCAATCATTTGTCTTCATGAGTGTTCAGGGCACCTGCTAATATTAGTTTCTACAGTGTGTCTCCTCAGCAGGCTCGGCTAGCATGCAACCCTGTGAACGTTGTGTGAAGCGAGGTTTTCACTGCGAATATATACCAGTCGCTGATGATCCGACACGACACAACGTTGTCTCACCCTCACCCAATCCGAGCTCGTCTTCTTCGAGTTCTGCAACCCCCATCTTCCTGAATCCAGTCGAGTCAGTGGCGTCGGCTCCGAGACATGGCCCCATTGCGTGGCTGGATGTAGCGCCCAGTATGCAATCTCCGTCACGAGCCCAGAGTAGGATACCACCCGGGTCCGTGCAAGGTGGCCAGCCCCAGTACCCCGACCTTCGTTTGCTCCCTCGCTATGCGACGCCGCCGCCTCCGTCACCGCTGGACTTACCGCCGCTGCATCTACCCCACGATAGAGGTTTGTCCCATGTGTCCGATCCCCTTGCTATTGCCAGCAACTGGGGAGCGCTATTGGATGTAGACTGGCCAAACGGAGGTCATCCTGAATCTGACTCGATCTGGAATACCGGGTCTTTTGTGGTCGACTCGCCAAGGTCAGGGAACCCTTAGCTTCCTTCCAAGTTCCAGACCATTGACGCGTTAAACTATTGCACAGATACGGATGCAGGACTCGGCACCCTTCAGGTTCGGGATAGGGCCAAGTTGATTATATATTTTTGGGTGCGATTGGTGAAGATCTGTCTTGACCGTGACAGAGCACTTCAGTCGCGGGACTGTCGCGGGATTGGATCAGTGTGGGATCATGGCATACTTCTATATGTGCTGACCTGGTTACTAGTATTGTCTCTTGATCATAGTCCGACTGTCCGAGATTCCCGACGACAAGTCGAAAAAAAATCGAGAAACGGGACTTGCAAATACGATGGAATTTGATTCGAGTGATCATGTACTGAGATGCCAAACTTGGAGTGATTCTGTCGTTGAAGGTTTTTGGCGCTAGAAACATAATTCAGAGACAAGACTCTGTGAAAGAATGCGATCAGTACCGGAGTCCCAGCCTGATACAAAATGACGGAGCTGTGGTGAGAGTGTCAAGTGCGCGACTCTGGTCGACAAGATTACTGTAGGAGAATGTCCCGGACCGTCCCTGGACTCCAGTCACTCCACGCTGCTGCGCGGGTACTCAGGGCTCACATGGCGCGGCTATTGCTAGTCGAGTTATCAGCGGTGCATATCTGGGCGTCGAACCTTTAGATACGACGAGAATTCAAGTTGGAACAAGGATCAGCTTGACGGAGGACATTTATGATTTACTAGCAGTAGATCATTTACTTGCCGGTCGACCGTCGTACTCCTAGCCTCCGCTTATGGTTCAGATCAGGCATGCATGTCTTTTTGAGAATAACGGTCAAGTCATACTACCTCGCTAGACTTAGGACAGAGCAAAGAGGAAGCAGGTTCGATGATCTTCTGGTTGATCAGAAACGGCTTCAAGCAACAGGACGTGTCAAAGATATCGTCCGAGTTGCAGGTAATAATCCTGATTCAATTCTGCTAAAAATGGTCTCCGACTGTAACGCTCCGTTCCCTTGACCAAACAAACGTTGCTGGCTCGGCTGTGCAGAGCCCACAGCTCGGCTGTTGGACAGATTGCAAAAGAAGAAGATCGCAACGCAACGAGGCAGGTCAGTAATACTGGAGGACCCTGCAACTGGCAGATGAGAGAAGCTCCGTCAAATAGACTCAAGGCAAATGTGTGTTTGGAATGCTTTTTTCCATTGCAATGAATGTTTTTCAATAACATACTTGTATTTGCGAAGGATCTTTCTACAACGAATACCGAGCTTCTAACATTCTGCGGCTGCTTCGTTGGTACCCGACAATGCACACTCTAGACCACAGGCTTCTTGAGTTCGTCGTGCTCGGCGACCTGGAGAAGTTGGCCGGGAGGAACGACCTTCTCCTCCATGGCGTGGGGAACACCACCGTGCAGAACACCGACGCGGCGCATGGCACAGAGCTGTGGATCGAGATAAGTCACAGGGTTATAAGGGGGAACAAAAGACAAACGTTGTGGGCGCCGTTGGAGTGCTCGTAGATACCGCCGAAGAAAGCCGTTGTCGCGTCCTTGCCGATGTACTTCTTAAGGTAGCCGACACCACCGGGGTGGTAGTCGAAGAAGGTCGAGACATCGTGGATGAAGCCGCCGATGAGGATGAGAGGACGCTCCTTGGCCTGTTGAACGTAGGCGTCCCAGCTGACAACGGGGAGGTCCTCGGAAGTCTTGGGCCACTCGATTTGGGACTGGAATTCGCGCAATTTGCGGAGCTCCATCATGAGCTTGCCCTTGTTGACTTCGTTCTCAGGGAATTGCTAGAAATGTCATTAGAATGCTGTCAAACGACGCTCAAGAGATCTTACCTTGAGATGGGAAGCGAGGCCGAGTTGCTTAGCAGTCCAGATGAACCACTTGGTGGGGTCATAATGATGCCATGCGGTTCCAACACGGTAGTCGGTAGGGTACTGGTGGTGGTAGTTGTGGTAGCCCTCTCCGATGGTGACCATGGCGGTGAAGAGATGGTTGCGGGGAGTCTTAATGTAGTCGTAGGGCTGGGTTCCGAACATGTGCGCCAGGGAGTTGATGCAGAAGGTCGAGTGGTGGACGAACATCAGGCGGGCGAATCCGGCGTAGAAGAATCCGCCAATGGGATCGTTCCAGAAGACCCATGGGACGACAGTGGGGAAGATGAAGGCAGCGAGCGGGAGGAAGACAAGATAGTACTGAAGCCAAAATCAATGGAAAGCTTAGAAAAGTTGACACCATTACACACCTTGTGTTGGAACTGGACGATCGAGTTCTTGCGCAAGTCGGAGATGTCAGCCGTGCCAATCTTGCGACGGGGCTTGAGGAGCATCCATCCGAGGTGGGCGTAGAGGAAGCCCTCCTTGGCATTGTAGGGGTCGAGTTTGGTGTCGGTGTAACGGTGGTGGGCACGGTGGCCACGAGCCCACCAATGGGCCGAACCCTCGACAGCGCCAGCGCCAGCGAACGCAAGGAACCACTCAAGGAGAGCAGAAGCGTTGTAAGAACGGTGAGACCAGAGACGGTGGTAGCCAGCAGTGATACCTGATAGTCGTTAAGTCAGGGGAGTTGAAGAAAAAAATTGTAATGAGACGCACCAAGGCCGGTCACGTAGTAGTAAAAGACGGAGAAGACAAAAGTCTGCCACTTCAACGGGGCAACGAGGCATCCGAGGACGGTCATTGCTGGGACTCCCGAGAGAATGAAGACATTGAGCCAGTCGAGGTTCCACAGGAGGTTCTTCCAGGTGATGGGAGGAAGTTCCTTGCGGATGGAGAGAGAGTAGTCGTAGTAACTCTGGCCAACCTCGCTAATCTTCGCACCGGGCTCCTCTGAAAGCAATCCCGACGAAGGGCGATCGACGATAGGGTCGAAACCAGCGTCCGTGGCCGACATGTTGATGCGGAGACGGAGGCGAGAAGGAGAGGGGAGAGGATGTAGGTCAGTCAAGTCGAATTGCAGGGTATTTATGTGGAGTTGACGGCTTGAGCCAGAGTACTCGTCTCGAATCGATGATTGTCCACGGCATCAATCTGTTTCGCATCTTGAAGGCGCGGTCGTTGGGTGGAAGTCAGATTACAGTCCAGTCAATGAATACGCACAAGGCTTGACTCCCATCTTTCCTCTATGATAAGCAGCATCTATACGTCCATGGAACCGACATTCACCAGTGCTGCTCTGCCTTGTCCTTCCTTCAGCCTTTTCCGACCCTGCATTGCCGCTCTGTCTTGTGATCCCCGATCTGCCTCGAAATCTCGTTGTCGCGTGGGAGAGAGTAAGCAACTCTGATATGCCATCAACGATGATGGTCATCGCCAACGGCATCTTTCCCTTCTTGCGTTGACAAACGTCTCACTCAATTATCAGAGCTAGAAGAATACAAGCTTTCTGCGATTGCTACCTAGCAATGCCATCCAGCTAAGTAAGTACTTCCCGAGTTTCTCTGCCTTGGAGCTCAACATGGAGGGTGGACCGAGGATATCGGATGTGGAGAATGATGGTCATCGACACAGCCCCGTATAGCCATCCCTACTCCGAGTGTTGTATGGTGGCGCACACACGCGACTGGAGGAATGCATTGAGCGAGTGTGTCGTTCTGGACGGGAGAGCTGCAGGACAGGAACGCTGCGAGGACGAAAATGGTCCAAATCGGGCAAGCAGAAGCCCCGGATCGATGACATTTTCTCAGGCCTGTCATTCCGCTAGCCAATGAACAGCGAGCGATATCTTTCAATCGCCGGGATGTCGACACTGATTAGGATTATCGGGTTCGGGGACCGATTGACACTGAAGACGCCGTTGTTCGGATTCGAGAGGTATACGAGACGGTGAATGGTGATATATTTGTTCAGCTTTATGCAGCCTGCCTTGACTCTGCCATCGCCAGTCTAATCATCCGAAGAGCGGGTAAGATTTTGGAATGCGCAGATGGGAATCACGCGCGAGTTTAGATAAACTTTTAAGGACATGATGACGGTGTGCTTCTCCCAGCGGGTTATCTCAGGGTCGCCCAGCACGTGTGGAAGTTCCAAGCAATTGAGATCATCGCTGCCGCTCTTGCTCATGTTGACGCGACTCAAATCGGACCCGGCAGGATCGAGTACATTGTACAAGTATTGACAATTGACAATCCACGACTTCAATCACCTTCGAAGAACAAGATGTACCCGCGATTTGATGGTGACCCCCACGCACGAATTCAAACTTGAGGACCTCGAGCTCGGAGCCTAGATGCTCTATTCTTTTCCAACTTGCAAGCGTCCCGAGTATAGTTGTTTACCGTCGGATCACTACTGGCCAACGGGTCAAAGTAAATGCCTGATTGGCCCTTAGATGTAGCGGAGGACTGTCACAGACTCTATATTCCCTTATATTGTGGTACTACTACGTCGTCATCGTCATGAGTGCTCGTTCGTTCGTGTCCAAATTCTGGATCCCCGCGAAAGGCCACGGTGGACATGTTCCTGGACTGCTAAATGGCGATGAGTCGCATTGAACCCCGTAAAAGACTACTAAAAGTTACATACGCCGGAGGGGAGCGTGCTCAGCATGGTCCCGGTGGGTATAGTGCCCAGCGTCGGGTCGGGTTCGCTGGCGATCGCTCGCAAGGTAGTTCGGGAATTTAAGCTTGGAATTCGGATGAGTTTTTAGCACCAAGGTCGCATTGACGAAGAATCACCTTGCTAAAAGCGAATTCGCGAAAACTTTGAGCCTCGTCAACTTTAGGTTTTACTGAGAACCCGACGGAGGACACGTACGGCGGGCTTTAATGATTTGCAATCCAACCCAAATAACTTCGCAAGGTCAAACAGGATCTAAATAGTTCTCCGACAGGCTTACATGTTGCCGTGTGTTTCTGGTACTGAGGGCCGGATGAGATCGAATCATGTAAGAGTAGCCGGTGATAGCGCTCACATATATTATGGTCACGACGCCAAATAAGCTGTATTTCTTTGAATGTGAGCCTGAATACCAATGGGTTTGCTTGCCTCGTAATCAGCCCAGTTTCTCGGTGGTTGTTAATGGATTGAAACGGGAAGAATAAGGCAGCGTACCTACAGCCCATTTGATCAATTTGTCCACGAGTGCTGTTGTTCTGGGCGGGAATTGGTCGCGTCCACTAGCTTTGGAAAACACATACAGTGCGAGTCCTTTTGTCCGATTCCGCAGCAGCAAAACAACCAAGCTCCCCGTAATAGCGACGTCGTTGATCAAAGTGACGATCCAAGGCCCGAACAAGAGCCAGCCATATTGCCTGAGGAATTGTTGGATATTCTTCACGGAGAATGACAGGATCGTCGCAGCGAAAGAGGCACCGAGGTAGGCAACATCGGTCAGGCAGATGACGACGGAAATGAGTTTGAATATCCTGTTCGTGCTGAAGGCCCAAATTCGATAGGCGAAGAACCCTTGGACTGAGAGCGAGAGATGAGTTCATGGAACCGTTACGGATACGAGACCCAGACACGCACCGAGAGCTGTGATAACGCCTGTGATGACGATGGAGACGGGGAGGGTTCCGGGCACCTTCTCAAGGAGACTCTTTGGGTTGCCGTAGTTGGTGACGCTGTAGAAGTAGAGAACATGCCCGATAATGCCTGCGTGAACGGTTTCACAAAGCCTGGCAAGGTTTGAGGATCGTCATAACACAGCAGGGTCGACAAACCAGACAAAGATGACCTGGAGGGTTGGTTGGATGTTTTCGTAGTGCGTTTTGGAACAGATTCACGCACCAATAGCCTCAGAAAATTAGAATCTTCTGGGAATCGCACAAAGTAGAGGTATGTCTGGGTGGTCGAAATCCCGTAGAGCATTATTGATACTATTACGCCAATGACCAAGGCACCTGAAGCCGAGCTTAGTTGATCGTCAGTTTTCAGATATGCGGTACCGATTGTGTCGGTTGCATCGAAGGGAGGTGAATCCATCGACGGAAGGCGTTGTGGCCGCCCACAGCTGCAGCGGGCACGAAAAATAGGTAGTCGGTGGAGGAAGAGAAGCGAGGCGTCGGATTCAGCAAGCGGTGTTCATCTCCCCGTTCCGCTTGCTGCGTCGTCGTGAATTTGTCCCAAATTCGTCATGAGGCTGATTCAATCAACGGAAATCGCCGTCGGGTGATTGATTGACGCGATGCCGAGAGCGTCCTTTGAAGGAGTAAGAACTTGAAGGAGGGACAAAGAGGTTGAGTCTTCAACATTTGGTGTACAGTGGTGTTGGATAAGCAGCATTGTTACTCAAGGCCACCGCCAGTGTCCTCTGAGATAGTTGTCTGAATCACAATTTAGCAGTGCGGAAAGCATCTTCTACAATACACCATCAGAACTTCACATTCTCGTATGATCGGCTCACGATTTGCCATGGATCCCCGCAACACTTGCTTGATCGCAGATGCTGAGGGCGCCCTTGGTGCGCCCGAATAATCAGTCCACCCGGAACCACAGGAGACAAGAACCAAGACAAGACTGAAAACAGCTGAAAACCCGACGGGAGGGCGAATCGTTGTCGTAGTCCAGGTTCATGTCAGAGATGCAGTGTTGATGTGTTTGTTGTTGCTTGGAAACGAAGACAATTTTCTCTTCTGCTTCAATGATGAGGCTGAACTCACTATTCGTCACCCACAAGCTGCTGCTGTACTCTTCGACCAAGCAAGATACTAGTCCACGTTCATTCGCCTCGCAAAGTCGACGATGCCCATAATGCCTTCTTTTCCAGTCCTGGCAGTGTCCCAGGTAGCCAACCTAGAAAATCAATAGGCCTGTAGCACTCAAGTTCTGTATTTCGGCTGCCAGTGAGGAAGCAACTGCGACTCCTGGGTTTCAACCGCACACGAGTCTGGCCGCACCATCAGGGGTTAGTCAAAGCAACTAAACCATATTCTTGAAAATGATTTAGACCCAGGTCGAACAACTGTCCCGGATTGCAAACCGAAGCTGCAGCGCCAGCGAGCAGTCGCGTCGTGACCGACGCGACCAAGACAAAGTCGTCACAAGTGACAATGACATCGCGCCTTTTCTTGTCTCTCATTTGCATCTTGTTCTTCTCGTTTTCGTCCGACAATAGCTTCGTTCGTCCCGCGATTCCCCATACCACGAAACACCGCCTTCTCATCACGCCCAACCTTTTCCCTCTTCCTGGATGAGCACATCTATGGCAAACCCACTCCCTACAATCGACAGTGTCAGCGCCATAGCCGAATATCTCCTTCTCCCTGATTCGACTTCGTCTGCGTCTTCCATGTCCATATCCACCTATCATTCGGCTTTAAACAGTCCCGCGAAACCTGGCGTGTCTTCTGAAAAGGATGTGGGAGCTGGCGAGAGCGGCCCGCACGAAGTCCAAGACTTGATAGTGTTCTCTTCATCTTCTGGTTCGTCTCTCCGTATAAATCTGACCAAAGGTTGACTGGCGAGATTTAGGAAGCGGGCTTGGAGCTGAATCCGACTCGAGCGCAAGTTCTGACGACAAACTGAAACGTCCACCTCCACGCGGTCCTAATCGCGATTCGAGCGAAGAGATGGATAGCGATGAACAGGCACCCAATGTCTATATTAATGGTCTACCGCCTCGCTTCACCGAAGACCAGCTCCTCGCCATCGTCGCCAACTTCGGCGAGGTCATTAGTGTACGGACTTTCACGCGTGGCGGACCAGTCCAAACAGGCTATGGATTTGTTCTGTAGGTCTCGTTCTAACCGTGTTTTCTCGACTTACGCCCCGTTAGTTTCAAGTCAATGAGCGCTGCCGAAAAATGTATCACAACTCTTCGTCGCAGCAACCTCTTTCCGCGTCTTTCCAAGATACAAAGCCCATTACCGATGGATTCTTCGAGCAGCAGCAGCTCATTGCCGACCTCCATTTCATCATCTTCATCTTCTTCTGCCGGAAACATGGGTCAAACTAGTCCTGTTTTGAGTTTCCGTGAACGAATGGCGCGGATGGAAGACAAGAAGAGCACGAATGTGTACATTGAGGGGTACGTCGATATTTTATGCACGTCCTCGATTTCTGACCAGATTCAATTCAAGACTTCCGCTGAGTGTGGATAAACAAGTGCGTCGTCATATGTCCATTACTTCCTTTCTCATCTCTACCAGACTCTCCTGACCTTGGCACATCCCCATGTTATAATGAGCAGTCGTTTCATGAAAAGCAAGATCCCCAATTCTCAAACCATGATTGCATTTATGCGGTATGTGCCAATGCTTCAGTCTTTGTCTTCATCGATGACTTATTCCTTAATAGCATGCAAACTCGCCAGGCTGCAGAAGCTGTCATTGATTTTTTAAATGGTCAAACAGTACGCGGATGGGACGGTTCGGAAAGCAAGATACTTTTACGCATTGCGGATACTTTAGACCAACGGGAGCTCCGAGTATGTCTTCGCCTTCTACGGTTTCTTTTCGTCTTTAATCAGGCTGTAGCGTGTCGAAGCAGCTTCTCGCGATGGCAATGGAGACGTCTCCGCCGACCGCTTGAGTATAGCCGGGGCAACTTTGCTCAGTTATCGGGGGAAAGAATTTGCTGTCGCATTAACCCAGTCCAAATCCACTGGTAGCGATACCAGTTCTAGTGGCTGGGGCACAACAAGCGGCAGCGCAAGCGTTGGTTCTGGAATCAATGGAAGTACGAGTGAAGAAGTCTTGTTTGTTCAGGAGCCAGCGCAAACGAAACAGCCCAGCGAATTTTTGGTTTATCCCAAGCTTCCGACATCGCCTGTGAAGATCGCTAAACCTACGATTCCGATTACTAGCAAAGCCACTGCTGCCCCAAAAGTGGCCAAGATGGCCCAAGTTGCAGTCAATCCGCAATCGACACATGCGACTGTGGCCTCGGCGCAACCACCGCCCATGCGTCATATTCCTCCACCTTCGGGCAATCCACGACCTCTTTCTAGTCATGGCCAGCAGCAAAATCAACAGCAGACCGTTCACAATCATGTTCTTCCCCAACAATCACACATTCGTTTTCCGCCACAACCACAACCACAGCCGTTCCAAGCGGCTTTCGAAATTCAGGCTCAAGCAGCTTTACAGATGCAATTACAACTCCAACTCCTACAAATGCACCCATACCAAGTCCAGCAACTAGCTGCAGCCGCGATCGGGATGGGAATGGGTCCAAGAGCAAGCAATCCTAATCGGATGAGTGTCGGACTGGACGTCGGTGGTCTGGGGGGATATGACCCACTTTATGCACCTTATGCACATGCGGGAACGCCTTCGCCAGCCCAACTACAACACTTGGATATGAGCAGACGGGCCAGTTGGCAGGTTCCCTCTTCGCAGCCCACTCCTGGCTTGCGTCGGACAGTTTCGGCAACAAGTGGTGGAGTTCCGGTGTCGCTTGGTCAGAGAGTGGCCAATGTGAATTCCAACTCTGGAGGCGCGCAATCGAGGTCCGCGTTTGTGGCACCGGGTGCTAGGGGTCTCCAGCCGCCAGCTCCATCGCAGTTAAACAAGGCTGCGGCTCCATTCCACCCGCGAACTCGTTCTTCTGGTACCCTTGACCCTGCGTTTGCGGCTCCACAATCTCGCGTCCGACCTGTGAGTATGCATGGGGCTGCTGGTGTCAATCTAAGCGCCTCGCATGGGTCGACTCAAAGCCAACAACATCTCGATGGATTCGACTCGGCTCACAATCGGGCAAGCACGGCGCCAGGGTCTGTCTTCGTGGGGCGATCGGCCGTCGATGAAAACGCGAATATAGCTGCACAGACGAAAGCCGTAGAAGCGCCCGCTGAGCTGAAGAAGGCAAATGTGAACAAGAAAACTTCAGCGAATACGACAGGGCAACAGCAGCAGCAGCAGCAGCGATACTTTGCTGCCAATCTTCGAAACAACAGCCATGTCTTCAATCGCGAGCGGCCTTCAGTGACAGCGGGGAGACATGGAACCGGGCATAATGCCGGTGGGGGTGTTGGGCGGATGAGGGCGTTTTGATTCTTGCGTTTGGATCTGTGTGTTTTGTGCATATTATTGTGGGGACGAGTTGTAAAGCGGCATTATAGTATCTTAGTATTTGTATATGTGTAGTCGTACTCTGTAGCGTACATAGTTCGGGTCTTGTGTACAGAATGTAGCAACTTGAATTCATCAAGGTCTGATGTCGATGGGTGAAAGATGGGTAGCGGTAGTGAAGATACAGAGGCTTGTGGATGAAGAGGAAAGGTGGTTGGTTGAGAACGCAGTAGCAGACAATTTGTCGAGGAAAGTAGTGAAAACGTAAATAAGGAAGGAAAATAAAAGCGTCGCAACTATCGTATTTAAGGTAACTGTGTAGTGGGCCAATGTCCTGCGTAGTGAGACGCAGAACTACCAGACGATACAATGAAGGCGGCGTTACCGAGCGTGTGGATAAAGGAGATATGGCTTTGAGGTAGGAATTGAGCAGAAGCAGACTTGGAGCGTGTGATGCGAAGAGCGTTGGTCTTGCGAGGTGTCTTGACTTATTCGCAGATAACCTGACCAGTCGTCGACGAGCAGGTCAATCCAGCATGACCAACCGTACATTTTGATTGAGGGAGGAGGTGGCAGTCTTGGTGAATTGATCTTCGTCATCCAAGAGTGCCGTAGTATGCAATGTGGGGGAGCGATGGTAGGACTGGTTTTTTGCACCGAATATTGAGAATGCCTTCATCCAAAGGTAGCTGGAGAACCAAGAAAGACGAGAGAGGTTTGTTGGGGCAAAATTAGAGTGGTGTGTTTTTGCCGGTGGGCAGGAATCCGGACTTTACGCTCGATGGTGATGAATGTGCTTATACAGCGGCAAGGTTTGGAGTATCGTAGCGAGGCTCGGAACATCGTAGCGAGCTGTTGGTGAAATGGGGAGATGGTAGTTGGCGCACGCGAAAAATGCAAACATGGTTTCTGGTGGGTTCTATGAGATGTTCGGTGTTTTTTCCTGGAGGATTGAGAGCGGTTGCGCGGAATAGCATTATCATAGCAGTATAAGAAGGGGGCATATAAGGTGGTGGGTAAGGCGGCTAGCTCGTAAGTGCAGGGCGAGACCTGAAGTCCGATAGCTAGCTGAAGTTACGCTCCAATCTGGAGCTGTATTGGTGGATTGCGGTTGGGGTGTTTGTGATTGTGATTGTGATTCCGAAGTAGGGCCAGTATTCGTGGTCAGCCTCCATTTGTGAGGGACGCTTATTTGCCCTTGGTTTGTGGCTGAGAACTGTTGGGTGAAGCAGCGAGACCAGGTGCGGACATAGATGGAAGCCGGCTGGTAGTTCCAGGTGGCAGGCTCGAGCCAGAGGCAGCAAGAGGGGGTTCATATTAACTATTCAAGATCGTCAGGTTGGCACAATAGCAACAAAGAACACGCACCCTGCGACATGCAACGAGCGCCAGTTGCAGGTCAAGTACTATCGCTCACTTGAGGACGGTATCAACGGAATCCAAAAAAGCTCGAATGATGTCGTCGACTTGGCGGCATGCACGGTCGCTGGAGTCCTATCGGCTGGCTTTGGCGGCAGGAGACACTACCGTTGTAGCAATTTGGGCAAACGCGAACGGAGTCGTCGCCTGGCGCGGGTTTGAGTTTGTCGGGGCGGCCAACTATGAAAAAAGAGTGTCAGATGAGGCGAGTGGGATGAACAGATAATGGGGATGCACATGAGAGGAGGAAGCAGAAAAGATTACTCGTGACGTTCAACAACATCAAGTTGTTCTCAACTTCCACCTTGACTTTGACTCTACTTTGCGCGGTTTATCGATGTCTCGCTTTCTTGTCGCTTGGTCTGCGCGAGAAGGCAACCCCGTTTGTCGCCCTACAGACGAGGCCTAAACTTATGAAACGAGTTCAAACGACTGTCACGGTCACTTTCAAGTTCGGCATTCCTGCCGCGGAAGTGGATAATACGACAGCCAGAGCCAATACTCCTGCTTTGCGGTCTCCGTTTTAGACTTGGAATGGTATAAACTGAGGTAGACGATGGGCAGCTCAATCGAGACACTGGTAGGTCGCGGAGGAATCATTTCTTCGTGATTCAGATGCTCACTTTATTTCCGAGTCTTCGAATTTTCCTTGTGCTGGTACAATTCCGCAACCAACTGAGGACATCGTCAGGAAGCTCCACACCGTGACCTTGGGGTGCTTGTCCTACAACTTGCTTCGAGGCTCGTCATCCACTCAGACTGAGCGAGAAACAAAGCAAGAAGATTACACCCTGGCTACTTCCAATCGCATGGGCGTACTCTCTGAACGCATCTTCCACCTCTCGACCATTTCCCGCACCAATTCGCGGGCCCTCCCCTTTCGCAACCCTCGGATGGTTTTCCATATCGACTCGGTGGCATCGTCAACGAACAATTGGACTTCGGAGCGGACTTGTGCCGCTGCTTCGGAAGCCTGATATTCGTCCAATACCTGCCGGATATCCGCGTCAGTCAACGGATGTGGTCGGCCCGTACTCGGGTTCATTGAATGAAGGAAAATTCGATCCAAGAGTAGGGTCAAGTGGATTGTGTATTCGAGAAAGTGGCGAGCTGTCTCTGGACTACTCAAGGGTTAGGTTGCGGGCTATTCTCAGATGAATACTTACAGGTGCTTTCTTAGCTGAAAGAAGACACGAATGATCCAGAGAGCGGCAGCAACACCAACAGCGATGAGGCCATACCTCGCCGAGACGTAAACGCCACAGACGAGACTGAACACAAGCTGGTATCTCTCAAATCCTCCGCTATTGCCAAGTAAGTCCGCATTATACCGCTCTTGAGTATATCACTCACGACCCTGGAGCTTTGCTCTCCGAATGGTCTGTTGAAGGTGCACCAGCGATTTGGCGAACCTCTGAGACAAATGTCGGCGAGTCACGCTTCTGAAACTGGTCAGCCGCATGTCTTGGTCCCATTTAATATACTCACTACATGAGGGTCATCTAGGTTCCATCCCCGTGTCAACCGCCGATGGGATTTGGCGAGTATTGTGTCCAATCTATTCCAGAGAATGATGCTAAGCAATGCGCTGTAGTACACTGTGCGATACTTGTTCATTTGCGTTACACGGTTCAAAGCTGACGGACCATTCATTCCCGTTCTGCCAGGATCGTCAGCTTGGCTCAAGGCTTCCGCGGAACCACTCACTGCATGGAGGTTTCCAGCTGGGCGGGGACGCTTGCAAGTCGTTCTTGCAACGATTTTCGCCTCATCTTTTCGATGTAGCCTTCCGCAAGCTGATGCGTCAACTGGAGCCACGAATCTAGGTCACTTTGGGATTGTGGTGATAGCGGTTCTTGGGTGTTGAGCCCTAGACGCGGCGGATAATCAGTGTGTGCTCCTTTTGACGCGGTTGCATTGACCTTCCACCCGTAGGTATGGAATATTCGGGTTCGATCGTTTGAGAACTTCTACACAGCTTTCATGATACATGTCTTCTGCTTGTTGATGAGACGAGTTGTTAGCACTGGCATTGTCGGAAACATTATTCGACATGCGAAGCACTTCAAGTGCCTGTGCGCTATCTACCGCAAGATCGAATTGAGTGAATATTGTCATGACTGGGATTTGAACTTGAAAGAAACAACGCGTAAGATTCGTCGCCTATATATATGCTCGAACGGAATGACTGACTTTTTTGCTGCCAGTGGTTTAGGAACCCCAGTTCCAAAGGAAGCAACCCAGGGCCGAGATCATTGCCATATGGTACCTGCGTGCAAAACCTGGTATTAAGACCCGATAAATTTAAATCTCCAGCGTGAGCCTGCCCAAAGAGTTGTCCAACGTACCAAATAGCATGGATATGGCTTTCTAGAGGTTGCTCTTCCAGGATTGTGTTGATTATGGCTTGTATATTACTCAAGTTCGTCGGATCTCCTAAAGCAGCCTTTGGATCATAGGATATTTCATGGAAAATGAATCGCGGCTGGTGCGTAGTACTTATTCCAGATGCTTGTGACCAGCCTGCAACTTCTGGCATAGCAAAAACCGCCGGCTAGGTATTAAATTGTGATCCGACTCGGAGCGACAGAGATACTGGAAAGTACCTCAGAGTCCACGCCCAGCGAATGTTTAATGAGAGATGATTTGCCAGATTCATTCTGTTCCGGAGAGTAAAAATCAGCAGCACGGAGGCTAGGAGCACTGGTACACACCGCACCGACGACAAGAATATGCAAGCTGTGTGCACGTTTACGCGTCAGCTACTTGAATGCAAGGACGCCGCCGCGGACAGTGTCAATCGACTTACTGCGGATATAACACCTGAAGATCAACGCCGCTGCGGCTACTTTCGGGCTCTCCTGGATGTGGAGTCATGTTAAAGAGAGAGAGAGAAGCGAGCTTGAGTGGGTGCGCCGTGTAGGTGCAACACGAGGGCATCACGACGCTTATTGTATCCGGTTACGTAACATATACAAATGCAGTGATAGATAGGTTGAAGTAAGTATCGACTCAAGCTTGACAAAGTTGAATGGGTACATCCACTCTCGCATATCCAACTTGAAGCTCGTTTATATGTTACCACCTGTTTAATTTTTGTTGAGGTACTTTGGTGGATTGACCCACGTGAGCATTTGATGACTTGATATCGATTACCTATTACTACCCGATTTGGATAAGCTTGTCAATGATTTCCCACGTCGATGCTCTTTGCCCCCCGCGCTCATCAACTTCAGAGAACGACGGACTAAACAAGACATAGTGATTCTCCTTTATGAACGGTGATTTAGTAGTTAAGATTAAAAAGCTTCGCGCTATCTCTAATCTTCCTCAGAAACGGAGACCTCGACTCCAATATTGCGAATCCTCGTGACGGGTCGAGTCGGCGCAGACAAAACTGCATTGCTTCGCAAAGTTTGTGGGTCTTCATACCAGGTGAGTTCTGCTACGCTCGTTGTTAGTCGACAGTTTTGAACTTATCCCAATACAGGTAATAGTCTGCGTTGCGAGTGCCCTGGACGCATACTGATGTTGGTACAGTCAGGAGAGAATGATATCGAACGAGAAATACAACCACCTGATCAAAGATATGTCTACCACGACTCTCCTGGGTCTGATACGACAAGTGACCCCGATCTCTGGTCGATGAAAGCATTTGTTGATCGGCGGGCGCAAACGAACGCTCTCTCCCAGAGACTTCACGCAATCTGGTAACTAGCATCATGAAAATTGCGCTAAGCGGTTACTTGAGCTTATTCCAGGTACTGTATACGAACCGATACTAATGTGTCCGTGGCACGAAGTGATCAATACGTTTTCAACGAAGGGATCGCTGGGGATGGTTGGTTCAAGTTCATCCGTAGGAAGAACAAAGGCTTGATCTATTCGACAGTCCCGATCATTATCGTTTTCACCAAGTACCTTGGCCTCGTAGCAAGGGCATATGGAGAGCTGCGCAAAACATTCCAAGCTGAACGAGTAGAATCGAAAGAAAAGCTACTCGGCAGAGCTGCGGAGCTTCTCCAGTCAAGGTATATACAGCCATTACAGGCAATGCGACATCCTCCGCGCCACTTTGTTCGTATCGGTGACATGTCTTTCTCACTCGTCGATATCCTGTCACTTACGACCCCGCCAGACCTCCTCGATGAACAAACGACCTGTGACGAACTTCTGCAAATAACGCAAGAAATGTTAGCGGGCGACGCACTCAAGCCGATCATTCTAGCTGTTCAACAAAAGAACTTAGACTCTTGTATCGCCGCAGCCATTCGAGAGTAAGCACCCATCAAGCACAAGTTTTTGTCCCGGGCTGTTAATCGAAGTTGCAGTTGTCTCGACTCAGAAGTTAGTCAAAATCTCACAAGTATGAGCTATTGATTCAAGTTGTAAAACCCTGGTAATCCATTTTGCAGCGCTACCTTCCACCATTTTGCCGCATTTTCCTCATGTCTGGGTAATATATCTTGGATGATGAGCCGTTAACTCAAACTGATCATACTATCAGAGGGTCAGTATTTCGGTGCATCTGACGTCGCTCATTGACTTGACATGTCGCCACAGGATGAGGTGAGTCTCTCATCGCAGTGTAAGTTGCGCTGACTTCCAACCGAACAGAAGGTGAGTTTCGTGACGCTTGCGCTCAGAATTTGTGGGAAAATGGTAATCGATAGTATGTGCGTAGTCTTCCCATTGATATGACTAGCGAATGACCAGTCAAGCATGTGGGCAATCTTTACTCTAGAAAACACTCCATCATTAATTTCCGATAGGAACCAATCGACCGCCAACGAGAACCTGTACAGCCAGTATGTATCGTGGTCTTCCAATATATTCACCCAATCGATGCTTTCAGCAGGATAGCTTGGTGCGTCCCGCTGACAACTAATTGAATGCACTGATGTCTCAACTTTACCCAGCTGGTTCGTTGTAATTGGGCCGCTGTCCATGGAATAACTCAGAATCAGGTCAAAAATATCCGCAAATGCGCCTCCACACTCTCAGATCTGAATCCCTTCCCGGTGGGTCCGCTTCCTCCCCTCTTCCTCGTTTTGACACGGCGCACGACAGGATCTCCGTGCGCATGCCAAACGAGCCGAGATAATTGCAGGTGAATGATGATTTCCGCCCTGTATCTTATTTCTTGATGCTTTGTCAGCAATCTGCATTTGCGTTGAAGAGACTTTTATGGACCAATCCAATTCGAGTCCAGCAGTCGACTTCCCCGCGGCATTTCGTACAGCAGCGGAAGCCTACTTTTCTCCCAACTCTTCTATCCGGGTTTCCGTGACCAGAAAGATCGCCAAGTTATCGCCTCAGGATTATCGCGAGGCTTCAACGACGGATACCGAGACCGCTCACCCATCCCCAACGCGGAAGGCAGCCACGAAGCTCGTAGAAATGATAACGGCGCACCGGCTACGTTCGTTGATCGATACAGTTTCTAGCGATCGATGTTAATTGTTGCAGGACTGCCGGTGATTTCGCCTCCGAGTCGGACTTCTCCGGGGTGACCTTGTAGTCGCAACGAACATACTTGTACGCCAGTACTAGAGGCAGAGATGATTGTATAACCCAGTTGCTGTGGCCATGTTAAAATTTGTAGACCCTAACATTGTCGTTGAGCGGAAAAGAAACTTGTTTGCCAAGCGCGGCAAGTGTTGCTCGCCGCAAACTTGGTAAGTATTTCACTGTTCAGTACCCCGACATCACTGATTTTGATGCGCCGTCACGCGCCGTCATGATTCTATCCCACCTCAGTCGCTTCGTTCTTCGATGTCGTCCACCCCCTCTCTGCCTTATGAGCTTATTGCAGAGATCCTCTCCCCAGTACTTCACGTCCCCGCCAGTGTTTTTACGTACACTGGTGGCTACCCCGAACGCTACCCCTACCTTGACCAATCGTCCGCCGAGTACCTCCGCGTGAGCAAGTCATGGCTCCACGTGGGTCGGCCTTTGCTCTATAACGTCGTCATCCTCCGCTCGAGAGACCAAGTCAAGGCGCTTGCACGGACACTCGCTGCGAATCCCGAGGCGGCTAGATGGGTGAAGAAATTGCGCGTCGAGAGCGGCTACTGTACCGCGCTCAGGCATATTCTCATCGCGGCGGCGCCAACGCTGACCCACCTGAGTCTGTGCCTTGATGTATGGTCACCGGATACCGTTGACCCGACGTGTCGAGCGCTGAAGCTCGTTAACCCTTCGACACTTGTTTTGCACCACAGAGGAGGGGTGTCAAAGAGCGGGCGGACGAAGATGGTGACGAGGCTGGCAAATGGGGTCGAGGACGCTATTCCGGGGTGGACAAACCTTGTATGTCATCCATCCGCCGTTTCTTTCTGTTGCTGACAGACCCTATTCCTTTGGTGCATTCAAGACGACACTGTACTACAACTACCTCGACCACGAGCATAAAATTTCGCGCCCAATCATTGCAGCGGGACGGCTCAGGTCACTCCACTTATCGCACATCCACACGCTCGCCGCAACGTATAAGCTACTTGCTTCAGCCTGTCCTCTCGAGTCAATACACATGCGATACGACGTCGGCGCCAACTGGCGCGATTGGGTCGAAAAGGATCAAGCTTTGCGGCGAGTGGTTAGGTTCCCTTTGCAGCAAAAGTAAGTGAGCAATGGTTTGGAGCAGAACGACCTAACGTTGCTTTCAAGGAGCCTCCATGTTGACTGGGCCACGGTCAACATTGAACCCCTGCTTGCAGCATCCAGGGAAGAGCAAAATGCAATCTGGTCGCGTGTGCTCTACTTCACAACGCAGGAGAGTGCTCTCGGACATGTTAGGAATCATTCAAGTCGGCTGAAACTTCGTTTCGTTTCGAAATCCTTCTATGTATGTTTTTGTTTCTTCCTTCGCAAGGTTCACTTATTAAGCACTAATGCAGCAACTCGCTCTTCCGTATCTTTTCCGCCACATACATCTCCGCTGGGCTAATGTGCAACGAGATCTGGAAGTTTCTCTCCTTCAGCACCTTGAACGAGCTGAAGCAGAATACCAGTCTGTCATTGGACCCCAAACGCTTACCACTGACAACGTCTATGCAACTGCTCTTTCTTGGGACATGTTTTGTCAACTAGCAAGAAAATTTGGGAGCACATTGCAGCTGAGCGATGTCAACGTGGATGGTTCCGGAGTCAAGGAGCCCAGGAATGTGGCATTGCTATCCTCACTCATAGAGCTGACCAGGCTCGTGTGGAATTGTGTGGTTGTGTTTGACATAGCACGCCCCGATACTGAATTGACTATTCTGCCGAAAGTGAACGAGCTGGAGCTGATTGCTGCAGACCAGACGTTCTTAGATGCGCTTGCCCACAATCCGTGCGATTATCCTTTTTCTTTGCTTTTTGTTTTGACTTAGAAGACGGACAGCATCCCCAAACTTACCACGTTCCGCACAGAATACCGACCCGTGAAGTACAGCTTGTTTTTGGCCGCCCATGGCCCCACTCTCATCGACCTCGCCATGGACGGATGGAGTTTCGAGGCGCTTTCGACACCTGTGCTTGAGCTGTGTCCCAGGTTGACGAGGCTCGCTATTTCATCGCCTGTGAATAAACCTTCCACCGTTTCATCTGTTTCCGACTAGACTTAATTGATAGGGTGTGGACACCTACTCTCTCGCGAACCTCCTTCCGCGGACACCGCATCCGTCATTCTTGAAACTGACTGTTAATTGGCAGCCTCGCATTGTGTACGTTTTTGTATCTATCTCAGTTGGAGCTGTGCTTACTCATATTGCCCCCTCTTGCTCTGCAGTCTACCGCGCCATTACTCCGCTTTCGAAAGCCTCATTACCTCTTCAGAGACCAAGCGCCTTCTGCCAGAATTCCAGGAGGTGGTGCTAGTGCAGCACCAATGGCCGCGGATACAGCGCTTGATCGCAGGGAACTCCGCGATCTGGTGGGCGGAGATGTTGGAGAGCAAGCAGAAGCTTTGGTTGGTGGATCGGGATGGGCGCCGATGGAGGCGGCGGTACAAGTTTCCTGGTCCTTCGTGATATTCCAAGCTTCACTTATTACCATTGCAAAACATATCAACTACTGTACATGGTCGAATTCAAATATACCAGCTGGCTGTGTGTCTAATGCTTATCCGACGATATCAACTCGACATCTCCGCTCTCCGAGTCAGCAGTAGGGCTAATGGGAGAGTTGTTTTTGTCGTCCACACCCCATTTTTCATTGGTCTCCCCGTGGAGCGTGAGATGCTTCATCAATAGGCTCGTCAGAAGGCCCAGGCCGGCAATTCCAATCATCACCAGCCAAACAACGCTCAAAGCACTGGCAAATGCTTCCCTCGTAGCTTGAGCCAGATCCGGGGGGAGCGTTTTGATGAGTGGTATGGCTGCATACGCGATCTCGGTGCCCTGCGGGAATGCGCCATCAAATGCAGCAGGAAGGTGACGCCCGAGGTAGTTTTGGAGGACCGCGGCACCGATGGTGACACCCCAAACCTGGCCAAATGCGCGGGTGAAAATAAAAAAGGCCAAGGCGTGTGCGTTCTCCGAGACGGGCAGCGGTGCGAGAACGGGGAAGTAGGTGCCCGTTGTCAGAATACCGATCCCGACACCGATGAAGACCTCATATCCGATGGTCCTCGCGCGACTGCTCTCCGCGTGGAGTGTACTCAGGAGCCCAGCAGCGATCATGACAATAATCCAGGATAGCCAGAGTTGAGGACGATAATGTTTTGTGCGTGCAATAGTGATGCCAGCGACGATGTTGCTCGGCGCAATAACGAAACCAAGGCCAAATGTGTCGACACCGGAAGCAGTGGGAGACGAGCCATGGCAAGCCTGGAAATAGACTGGGAGATAGTCTGGAATGGGCAAAAATCAATCAGCGGTCGAGAGTTGGATATATCAGCTCACAAATCGTTGCTATCATCACAATCGAAGCCACAAAGGTTTGAAGATATCTGGTGGTTTTTTTGGAAACATACTGTGTAAGAGGAAAGGACCCACCCGCTTAAGCCAGTGAGCGTTGACATGAGGGAAAATGGCACCTTGAGAGACATAAATATTGTCTCAAATCACAACCAGGAGAAATTGTGCGCACGATGGGGTTCACCGCAACATTGGCTTCATAAACGAAGAAGCCAATCAAGCCAATTGTGCCAAGGATCAATGGAGTGAGGACTCGCGGAGATGACCAAGGGTATTGGATTCCGCCCCAAGTGAGGGCGATGATGACTGCACTGGAGGCTGAGATTACCAGCAGATTGCCGCTGGAGACAGTTGAGCTTTGCCAATGCGACAGAACACAATGGTAAAACGAACATCCAATCAATACGCATCAGCTTTTCTTTCACCGTTCCCGTTGGGGTCCGCAGGCGAAGGAACAGGAAAACCAAGACCGCAGCGAAGACGGACGTGAATATATTGAGATCTGATCGACGGTCAATATCCCGTTGACTGATTGGAGGAGAACCAGACAAACAAAAGAGCCAGCGCCATGCACCATGATCAGCTAGGACCCCGCCAATGACCGGCCCAATGAAGGAGGCTATGGCCCATGCGCTAATGGTTGTGAGTAATCTCGATAGAGCACCATTTGCCCAGCACGTACAGACCCAGTAAACCACTGAAAAGCCCACGATCCTTGAGCGAGACAAGGTCAGAAAGGACAATTTGGGTCAAAGAGGTTAGGCCCCCAGCTCCGAGACCCTGAATCGCTGTTGGGAGACAGGATGAAAAACTATCTATTGGAATGAAGACGAGTAGCTCACTTCTTCCGACAATGAGAAAGTTCATACTGGGGGCGGCGCCGCACAGGACGCTACCAAGCGCAAAGAAGAAGAGAGCCGCAATCATAACAATGCGTCGTCCAAAGACCTATCGACATTCAGCAGCTCTTCGGAGACGAAAAGACCGGGTACCTCAGCGACGCCGCCACTCATTGGAAGGAACGCAGTCGAAGAAAGGGCATATGCAGATCCTACCCATACGAACTGAGTCCCATGGAGCTCGCGGGTGATCACAGGAAGAGCTGTCGACACGGAGGTCTAGGAGGGAGTTTTTAGTCCATGCATGATATGTAGCGAACCCATGTACCAAGTCAAGAGCAGACGTGAATGCTGAGACCATTATGGCGGCAATAACGCCCCAAAAACGCAAGTCCCGTTTGCCAGTGGCACCAGCAGTGGTTTGGGGGACGAGGTAGGTTTCGTCTTGGGTGTGTTTCTCCATGTCCTATGTCGAATTGCTTCAAGCTAGAAGTCGCTTGGTACACGAGCGTAAGGTTATGAAGGAGATGGCTGAAGGAAGTGAGGCCTTGCAGACTAGCACTGACTGTCTGAGACTGCACCGTGCCACATATTAAGTGACAGGCGCAGGACTGGAATGCCAAAAGCAGGAACACGATTTCCACAGGAAAGAGGTGGCTTCTCCCGCTCATTGTTGTGCGGCGACCAATAGCTGCCAGTGAGTGCAGGTTTTGGGCTGAGTCTCGTGGTGGTACAATGATGGCGTGCCAGCCTGAGTGTCATCATCATTATCACTGCCAGTGTCACTAGCGCTTCTTTGATCGCTTTCCTCGACACGGATAACTACGATAAGGAAACGAGGGCAGACGATAGGACGAGCTTCAAGCAGCAACGTCAGGTTAGTGTCTCGTTGTGCAACAACTTGAAGTACTAATATATCGGGCCTACGTCCGACGGTCGCTCTCAGGGCACGGGGTCTATAGCTACTACTAACTCATTTATTGTTTGTCGAGATTTGTCTCAGGCTGAGTCGCCGCGAGGTCATTCTGGTTGGAGCAGATGATGAATGTTAAACTTAGAGTGGCGGGCCGGGTGCCAGACTGCCAGTGTGGCCCTGCCAGCGTAGGGAACAGAGATAGATTCCCTGCCAGTGGTGCCAACCCGCGTTGATCACGATAGCGGATTCCAGGAGTTTGCCAGGTGCTTTGGATTTCTGAATGTCCGTGCCAGCGTTATTCCCGATATCGAATGTATTAGCTTGCCAGTGGGAAAACGGGGCAAACGACACTGGCAGTTAGACTGCCAGTGAGGCAAGCCGCAATCAAGTTGAATGAACTTGAAGGCCTCTTAGTTTTAAGTTGCTGTGAGTCACTTTGAACACTGGTATTTGTTACTTATATTAATTAGACCATCCAAGTTGTGACTCGGATCCAGCAGTACTACTGGTAGCCTCAGGCCAGTCACCAGTGACGATCCGACTCATCAAGGGCAGAAACTTCAGATGGTACTGGCGCCACCGCCGCCGCCATGCCACGGGAGGGTGCATTCAGGGTACGGGAGGGTGCGAGTCGTGGCCCGTCGAATTTCCGGATTTACGATCATCAGCCCGCCTGATGCCCCTTAGGCTTCTCCCGCTATCGGTATCTGATTGACAGTACTGCTTAGTAGTGTCGAAGAAGTTCCTACATATCACACACTGTCCCTGCGGAATCTGGATCATCGCAACTACCCATCTGAGATAGCTCTCACCAAACCCTTATAAATTCCAAGTCTGTAGTGGACCAAGCATCAGGACCAGTAGGCATCGGAGGCTCCACCATGTCCCAACCCATATCATTTGCAGAGAGTATGTGGTTGCAAGTTTTCAGGTCTTTACTGATTCATATATGATTAGCATTGCCAGTGCTCCATAATGCAGCTGCAGATGCAGATGCACTTGCACAAACTATGCATTCAATCTTGGCCACTCGGTATATGTCAGGTGAATCCGGTTTATATCTGAAAACCACTTGCCATATTAACAAAGCTTACAAGCTGTAGCAGCATCAGTGCTGCTATATGACCATGCATTAACCTTTCTTGATGAGATTGAAATGATCTGGTGTAACAATGCGGCAGGGATTAGCAACAGAGTTGGCTTTCTCATCAATAGGTATCTGAGTGCAGGAATAGTGATTTATGTGGCATATAGTGGGTTCAACTTTTTTTTTTTGATTTACATCATGAGACTAACTCTTAGACAGTGTTAGGTGGCAATAGTAATAGTCAAACTGTCACTACAAGAGTATGTTGTATAGCCATCACTCTTTAAGTTGGCAACTACTAGTAACTAACTTCTTGTCTAGGAGTAGGTCCCCTCTGAGACTGATATTGTCTCCTGATTCAAAATACAGCTGTGAAGTGTTCATATGGCTATTTGCCTTGTCTTCAGCAATATTTGTGACAATTTCACATTGTATGTCTGCTGTTTTTATCTATGAACAATTTATACTTAGTCAACTTGAATATTGCAGTTATCATAATGTCTAGACTGTATACACTCTGGGATCGAAGAAAAGAGATCAAATGGATTCTCACAGCTGCATTTATAATTGCCATATCAATTTGCATGGCATTTGTCATCCTTTCTGTCCACCAAGTTCAACGTAAGTTAATAGTTTTGTCATGGGACCAGCCTTAACATTATAATAGCATTCTTAGAGTACAATACAATCATTCATATGTGCAGATTTTCACATAAACCTCAAGCCCTACCATTTATGTCAGGAACACTTGTATGTGTTCTGCCTATACATATCTTGCCATACTGACAAATAGTGGATAGACTATCTTTGATCTCTTTATCATCATTATGACTGTTATCAATGGCTTTCACCGTCCATATCAGAAGCAAGCAGATGTTATAACTGCCCTCCAGCGGGATGGTGCAATGATGTTTATAGTAAGTTAACATTGTTGCTCTACAGAGTTATATTAATATGCTGAAGGGCCTGTTTGGTAAGATCAGGAGCTATTACTTATTTAAACAGCTAACTCATCTTCATCAATAGTACTTCGCTTTATTGAACTCATGATGACAATATTTGGAGATGTGAGTTGAATTATAGAATCTAGAGCAATGATTGACTTTTACAAGCCTACAAATTGCTTTGTTACAATTTCGTAAGGATATATTCAAACATATTCTCTATAGGAAGTTGATAATCTGTTCTAGTTTTGTTTCAGCTACATGCTCTGTTGTCAGTTCACGTATTCAATTGCGGGTGGAGGGACTACGTTTTGTCCGACATACCATGACAGCTGGGATAGAAATTGATGACTTTGAATTACAAAGCCATTGGGATTTTTGATCATTGTATATTACTTTTATGGCTTATGCACTTCAATAGAGCATCTGTTTATTGTAAAGATTGAGCCTGCAATTTCAGCTATACTAGCACCTATATGCCCTTTGATTCCAGGCAGAAACTAAGGGACTTGCCACTTCTAATGAAAGGCTGGAGCTCAACTGGAGCACCTCCACTACCTCTGACTACCACACTGTTCTTTACCATAGTATTTTAGTCAATTCAAATGCCATTTTTACTGTGATATCTGATATGAAATTTTCTAATCAGGCCACTCTGGGCGCTGGAGAGTTGTGAAAATTTCAGCAACATCACACAGATGCGCAGTATCCAGAAGGAAAATTTGTGCATATGACAGTGCCTTATCTTGAGATTGATGTGCTGATATGTGATTCATTGCTTCATACAGTGTTATATACCAGTAGCAAGTTGACTGAGAATATATTATAGAAATTTATTATTGTCTTGAGTTACACTGTATGCAGACTACAGGTGGCCAATAAGCTGCAGGCTTGACTTGGCACTGGCAAGTGGCATTGGGTCTTTCCTGGGTCTTGCCAGCAAATTGCTAGTGATGCCGTCGACTTAAGGCTTGATTGATATTGCAGTGATGCAGTCATGGTTCTGGGCACTGAGTCTGTTGGAGAGGTTGTGTGGCAGCTATGCCCCTCGCTGAGGGGGAGGGAGGGGGCAGTGACAGCAATGAGTTTGCAATGAGTTGGATTGTCAGGGGAACCTCCCTTTCACCCCCTCGGAGATAATCCTGATTCCAGTCTGATTCTGGTTCCGACTCCAGTCTGGCCCTCCATCTTGCCTGCACAATCACCAGCCCTCCCGACGGTCACCCTGGGACCTTGCCTGCGACGCCGCCCAGGCCTTCTATGCCTGACAGCGGCAGCTAGTGTTGCCACGGCTTGGCTTGACTCCGGCTGAGCCGCGGAGTCGAGCCGGTTTTGAGCCGACAGGAGCCGACCATTGTGCAACAGCTCAAAACGGTTTGGAGCCGGTTTGACTTGACTACCTCCACGGTTAAGCCACAGCTCGAGATGGTCTCTGGCTATTGATGGCTCCTCAGTGCTGTTAACACCTAGAAAATGTCTTGACATTCACATAACCATGAGTCTGGTATACGACCTGGGTGCTCAAAGTCAGCACACTGCGCTCAGTCTCCTTGGAGAGTCAGACTTCGCTCGAATTTGCAATGTGTGGTCATCCACCACGGAAGTGTTACGACAGTGTCACGCTGGTGTGACAGTGTTCTCACGTTTTCTTCTGCTCCCACTCTCGCTCGACAACGAGCCTCTGGGCAGACGACTCATCTGCAGGGGTCAGGCAAAGGTGAGTAGGCCCGCGTCGAATTCTCGCTCGTTGATTTTTCTCATGCCCGCGTACAGGCAACTCGAAAGACAAGGACAGTAACAACGACAACGACGATGACTCCCTTAGCTCTGTCACACCCATCCCACATATTATAAGAACCGCTCTCATCCTCCAGAATCGCAAGATTACAACTGACTCATGCTCTTGGGCACTACGCTCATCGAATACATGCTTTCCTCAACGTCAATACTGTGCCTGACTCAATTCAGACTGCTTCTGTCGAAAAAACCTTTGCTGCTCCAGTCGTTGCGGTAACGACGCCAAAGTTAATCAGATTCACCAACGAAGCTCAGCCTCATTGCAAAAGAGGGTTTCATCGGACGATATACATGCGTACGTGCTCCCACCATCGACAGGATCAGTATCTCATAATTGTCCTTTAAGCTGACCAGTCTCACCCACTTCTTGCTACTTTCAGCTCTTTCGCACATGCCTCCTCGTCGACAGGCCGCTGCGACTCAATCTACACCCGGTATGTGCCCTAGCCTGGTAGCTGGTCGTCTGCCTGACTCGAGTCGAGCAGCTCCCACTCTTCGGCGTGGCCAAAGGGATAGAGTCACACCTCACCGACGCGATAGGACGCCAACACCACCTCCAGAGCCTCAATCTCACCCATTAACATCGTGTCGTCGACGTCGTCAGCCTGACATTGACCCGGAAACTACTGAAGACTTTCACGGACCCAGACCCCCTTCTCGTGCGTTGCTCAGGCTACTTTTTAGTTCCTCAATGCTGATACAGCAATATCGGCAGCCGAAGGCGATGTTTTCTTGCAGAACGGCACACCAGCTCCACCCACTGCTCAATCCTCTCGCCCATCCCACCGACGAACTACTGGCATCCACTTTGTGGTCGATGATGCCTCTGAAGACGAAGATGGAAACTTCCTCCCATCTCCCGTCACCCCACATTCGCCCACTCGCAGTCGTTCTCGTAACCAGGTACCGACTCCCTCTCGTCGTCCACCCGGAACGCCTCGCTCGCGTCCACATGCAACTCTGCAAACACCACACTCTGTTCAGGCTGCTCCAAAACGGACAAAAAAGTGGAAGACTGCCAGCGATGTGTGGGGCTTTCATCGAGAGAGTGAATCGGAATGGGAAAGAGGAGCGACATTGTCTTATTTGTCGGTATGTCTTGCTTCGAAAGGCATTCTTTCCCTTCTCCTGATATCATCTCCCAGCGAGCTTAATAAAGCTGACTTAAAACACGTCGTCAACATCTTTGGCGCGGAGACCTCGACTAGTACCATGCGAAATCACTTTGTCTGCGAGCATTTGGGTCCATGGATTACCGCCTGCGATGACCAGAATATCAAAATTGGAGGCAAGGATATTCAGCGTCTTGTCAAGCAGTATCGTGCGGAGAAGCTGGGAAGGCTGGAGAATGGTTTGAATCCAGACAGCCCAGCACGGCCACGGCGTCCGTTCTCCATCGAGGCACTCGTCGACTATATTCTTTTCTTCGTTGTTGCTGATGATCAGGTTTGTATCTTTCCCCGCATTTCATCGTCACCCGCTCAGTCTTTCGCAGTCGATCAACGTCCATCGAGAACCACCAGTTTCGCGATCTGATTCTCTTCCTTCGTGGCGAGCTCAAGGACTCCGACATACCACATCGTTCAAAGCTTCGCAAGCGTATAATTGAGGTCTGGGACGAGCATGTCGTGAACTTGACGCAGGATATGTCAAAGGTCTGTCTTTACCTATCGAGTTGGGATGATTCTCAGTTGTTCGTTGCAGCACATGCTCGGTAAACTGTCAACAACGATGGATATGTGGTCTGATTTGAAGAAGACGCCATACATGGCATGCACTGGTCATTGGCTACACGGCCAGCGTGTACCAGCAGCCAACGGCGGGGGCTATATCTACAAGCTTACCTTACGCACCGACCTCCTTGGCTTCACTCGTGTTCCCGGCCACCACGACGGCGACCATCTGTGTGCAGCATTCTTGTACGTTATGGACCGTCTCCAAATCACACCAAAGGTAATGCTATTTGCTTGTACTCTGGAATGTCCTCAATCTGTTCCCAGATTGGTTGGGTTACGCTCGACAACGCGTCTAACAACGACACCTTTATGGCTGCTCTTGAGACTGAGATGCTATTTCGCAAGATACCATTTGATAGGGCAGCACGGCGTATTCGGTACTGAATGCAATTCTTCACTTGAGTGTATTTGCTCATTCCTTTACAGTTGTTTCCCTCATATAGTCAATCTCGCCTGCAAAGCCATCCTCGCTGCCATCTCGGACATGGATTTCGACTGCTATGCTGGAAATGCTTTTGAAGATATCGAGCAAGACATCATCGAATTGATTCGCAGCGTGGTTCGCCTGGTATGCCCAAAGGTTTTCATTGACTTGTGACTTTATTGACTTGGGGTAGATTCGTGTATCATCTCTGCGTTGACAACAATTTTCGGACGTCCTTCGAAGCCTTAAGCTTGATGTCCTCGAGCTTCTGCGAGATGTGGATACTCGTTGGTCATCAGTATTACTTATGATTGAATGAGCTCTCCTACTACGTGCGGTATGTATATGACTGCAATTTGCATATGACCTACCAGATTCTGATGTTGACCTCAAGGCCATCGACAAGTTTCTCCTCAAATACGGCTTTGAGAGCCATCACATCTCGGACAATGAGTGGAAGGCTCTTGAATCGTTCAAGCAAATCCTCGATGTCCATTTTCCGCCTTCATTTGCTTGTTCACTCTCTAATACCGAGACAGATTCCACATGCATTCCAACAACGTCTTTCGGCTGAAAAGATGCCGACTCTCGCATATACGTTTCCCGCCTTCGAGGCCATGACCAATGCCCTGGAGACGCAGAAGCTCGATCATTCTGAGCTGGCCTCCATTGTCGACAAGGGCTTGGATAAGCTGGGCTCATATCGCGAGCGTGTGCCGACTGTACCGGCATACACGCTAGCAATGCGTATGTCTTGTCTGTATCATTGATTCTTTTACTGACGGTTTTCAGTTCTAAACCCTAGTATCAAGCTTCAATGGCTGCAGCGTTCCCGGTCGGTGAGCGACGTCAACGACGCGAAGGATCTCCTGCTTACTGAGGTCCTTTCTCCCTCACGCATTACCTCTCTTACTTATCCCATTTATAGGCCCGCAAGTATCGTACTGACTTACCACCTGTGGAACCGACGACTACTGCCAAATCAAATTGGGCTGACCGACTGCTCGGACTCGACAATCTCGTGCCATCGACAGATGGTCATGGCATAGAGGATGAGGTAGACGCTTATCTTCTCGAGCGCCTCTCTCCTCTTGGTAGCGTCGAATACTGGCAGGTAAGGTGTTCATTTCCTTTTGATTCCGCAGTGTAATAACACCATTGGTAGGAAAACCAATTGCGTTTCCCATCCCTCTTCCTCATCGCATGCGACATCCTTCCCATCCAGGGCTCTGCAGTCCCCTGCGAACATGTCTTCTCTTCAGCCGCTGAGACTGACACTCGCCGTCGAAACAAAATTGCGCCGGAACTCATGGAAGCACTTCAAATGCTCAAGTTCTCACTCAAGAAAGGCCGCGCGCTGAATTTCACAGCGGGAACGTCAAAGGAGGATGAGAAAAAGGCCATACAGGCTGCATTACTTGCCGAGGAGCTCATTCCAAACGAGGCGAACAGGTTCACGGACTTTATGAATGTGTTAATGGATACTGAGTATCATTCGGACTCTGACGGTGGCGCCTAGGGATAGTATTGAATAGATATGTCTACTTCTATCGGTTTTATGGCTGTATCTACTCTTTTGCACTATTGCTTCATCTTTGGGCTGTTTGTAACTTGAGCCATTCTTTAAGCCGTGGCTCGGATGGCTTGGTCCGACTCAAATCGGCTCCGAGCGACTCGGCTCGGCTGTGGGGTACGCCACTGACGGTTTCGGTCGACTTTGGAGCCGAGTCGACCGTGACCAAACCATGGCAACACTAGCGGCAGCTATGGACAAGCAGTATATAGTCAGCTACCTAGCAGGTGGACTCTTAGAGTTTCTTCTCTTTGGATCCTCCCCTGTGAGAACCTTGATCTCAGGCCTCCGGGGTTACCCTTCCAGCAAAAGAAACTCTCTACAAGATCAACCAGACAAGATTGCCAGGTTTGGCGCTGACTCAGGCTCAGAGTACAAGTCCGTCCTGCCCTTGTCACCGGCCCTGCCACTTGTCCACTCCTCCACTTCTGTGGTCCCCACACCCGTCATGCTGTCCAGGATGTTCGGCTGAACTTACTCGAGGCCAAAATCAACAGCCTAACTGAGGCCCCTGCTCTTCTCTCCAACCAGGCTTCTGCTGATAAGTGCGGAGTGCGGACAGCAAATGAGCTCTCTAACCAAACTAACCCACAAGAGCGATAGTGGTAATATTTAGTCTAAAAAGCTCTAGGAATAGCTAGAATAGTAGTAGCCTAGAAATCTAGGTATTCCTAGTCTCTATGTTCTAGCAGTGTAATTACTATGACATTTATATTGCCTTAATTTTGATAGGGATTGTAGTCCTTGATATATATTATTGATGTGGAACGATTTTTGATGACCATCAGTAGTTTTGATCACTGTATCAAGCTACATCATTTTGGTCCCAATTAGGATAATCCTGGACACAGGCCCTCTGTCAGGGGATGAGGGTCCAGATGCCTAGTTGATACCAAAGCTGGGGGAACAGCCCCACAGCCAACTACTTAAGTACAGGGCTATCTGCGCACGGACCAGTCACGTGATCAGTCACAGCTGTCACATCACATGCTCCCCTTACACCAACCCCTCCTCAAGATCCGTCGCCTCGACAGATAGGCGGAGTGTAGGGTTCTGCGAACTCGTATTCGGGATTGCCAGGGAAATAGAGGTTGTCGCCTATGAGGCGGGATGACTGCGCAGGTACGCCCCCTCATCGGGCGGTCTGCCGGTTACGCGGCCGGGCGTGAGCTACGTCGATCTGCATAGGAGAGCCGATCGGGGTAGGTGACGCACTGGTCAGCGCCGACGGAGTGGCCATAACCACCGAGGGTGCGAAGGGAGTAGGGTAAGGCTGAGGGGTAGGAAGAGATGGTGCCGCGGCCTGCATAGGTTGGGTAGTGGTGGCAGCAGGTTGGCGGGGTAGGGAAGACGGGAAGAGGGGGGAAGACAGTCGCGAATGCCCAGCTGGCCCACCGGGCGGCCGAGGCCCTCGGATGAGTGGCAGGTCGAACCGCAGTAGTGGCGCGGGGCACCTGAGACTGGGCGTGGATCACGGTGGATGAGCGGTGCAGAGGGGCATGGTCGACATCCATCTTCGTGGCACGTGGTACAGGCACAGGCGCGGCAGGAGGAGGGGGGGCAGGTCCCTCAGCAGACGGTGGCTGACGTTGCTTCTTCGCACGGACACGCTTGCGCATGAACCGTTTCCCAAGCGCAATAAGCGCTTCACCGATTTGCTGGTCGGTTCCCCGGATAGAGACCCGGCGCTCGCCAGGCGCAGCACGATCAGAGTACGCGCGCAACTGAGCACCGGAAGTGTCGTGAGCTTGGTGGAGACCCTTGCCGCCACGACCCACGATATGCCCGACAGCCGAGTCAGGCACCACAAGCGTACAAAGAGAAGCGTGACAGTATCAGGCGCAGTAGGAGGGAAGGTTTCGGCAAGTGGTATAGAAGTGTGGGCGGCAGCAATGACGGCAGGGGTAGGGGCCGGGACTGTTGGAAGAACCCAGCGACTGCCATCCCAGACACCGTGGAACGTAGGACCAGGGGAAGGGGAGCAGGGGGTGGAGCAGGCGTACCATACTCAAGGCGGTCTAGACGGTCGGTGAGGCGAGTAATTTCGCTCTGCAGGAGCAGGCAGTACGAATACAGGTCAACAGGGACGCCAGGAGTCGTCATTGGAGAAGAGCAGGCAAGCACAGTAGGGTGAGGACGAATATAGGAGATAGAGAGGATCAACTGGGGCTAGAAGAGTGCCAGAGTCGATATAGAGGCTTTGGTATGCTGTCAGGGGATGAGGGTCCAGATGCCTAGTTGATACCAAAGCCGGGGGAACAGCCCCACGGCCAACTACTTAAGTACAGGGCTATCTGTGCACGGACCAGTCACGTGATCAGTCACAGCTGTCACATCACATGCTCCCCTTACACCCTCCCCACTATATACTGGGTCATCAGCCTGAAGAAAAGGAGTTAGCATTAATATATATAGTATTTTTAGCATCATATCTATTAATTTGATGTATTAATAACCCATTTCTAAAGTCTTTTTTTGACTGGGAAAAGTCTTCCTAGAGTTTTAGGCTATCACTATTCTAGCTATTCCTAGAGCCCAGGCTAAATCTTACACCTACGGATGCCCACAAAAACAACCAAACTCCACTTGTCGTAGAGAGAGAGATGAGATAATGTATAATGTTGAGTAAGAAAAGTCACAAAACCCAAAAATCATCTTCTCCTTGTGCAAGAACAGGCCCCTGTAAACAGAGCCTTGGCACAGATGTGTAAGGTTGTAGGGTAGATACGAAGTTTCCTCACCCTATATAGCCCTTTCTATGGAAAAGATGTGGGCTGAGGCCCAGGGCACCATTGCAAAAGATGTGGGCACCAGCCTAGGCATAATGTATTTCTTAAATTAAAGAGTCAATTTAAGAGATATGACTAATATTACATAATATATGAGCAGCTGAGTCACCTTTTCTTCAGGCCGCTGATTCATTATATAGTACTAGGGATTAAATAACACAGGGAAAGGAAATTGATGATTATTAATATTCCATTGATGCCAGATCACTGAAACATCAGATTCAGTGATCTCGATCAAAAATGGTTCCACATTGGTTCTTATATATAGAATACATTGATCCCATCACCTATACCCTTCTAGGAAGCTTTAGAATAATTAAACAATAAATTAAAAAGTGTGACATAAGTGACTCTCAAGGCCTTGCCCACATCTTTTGCAATGGTGCCCTGGGCCCTCAGCCCACATCTTTTGCATAGAAGTAACTATATGAGCTGGTTTCCTTGTGAAAACCTCCATCAGGAAAAACCAGATTTGCTAATTCATTGCTAATTAGCACAAATTAGCACTAAAATAGATAATTTTGCTAGAATGTGTAAAGCATGATCAAGTATAATCAATTTGCCAGTAAAATCAGTTTCATCCAGCATGCTATGATCATAGGACCATATATAACCACAATATACAAGGGTATGGATTGAGGCCTGACAAGGCAGCACTGGTCTGAATTCAGGCAGTGAAAAAATACTCTAAGTCCAGCTGGGCCTGATGACAAGAGCCCGTTTACGAGGCGGTGGATGCAGGATCTGTATCATCACGGACCATCATCCCTCCACAGTTACTGTCACAGACTGCGTTTTTCTTCCTCTCCCCCCCATTCTTTCGATGCAGCGATGTCCAGAAGAGCTCTATCGTGAGTTTGTTTGGTTCAGCGCTGCCATACTAACTGGTCCTGCAGCCCGCCTTCTCAATACCTCTGCAAGGACCATCCCCGTAACACCCACGACTGCAGTCCGACAGCACCAGCTTCTCGCTCCCTAAACTTCAAGCTATAGGCATTAGGGAGTTGGGTTTCTCAGGTATGTGGTCTTCTTATGTTACTACATGCTAATTGACATGGACATTTGCGAGGGCTGCTCCGGCGGCAGTGTGAACGATGCGTGGCACATTCGGTGCCTGTGCGGCAGTCCCGCGCTTGTCCGAGTCATTGTGTACACCATCTGCTGAAGGTGTGTGTCCCCTGTGTGCTCCTTGTCGTTGCGTGTTGCTGACTAGCGCAGGCCGCGAAGGGCAAGGCGACTGCCTCCAAGGCCGCGAAGGGCGCCAAGGCGAGCAAGGCCGCCAAAGACGGTACGTCCCCCGCTGTCCCTTCCTGTCTGGCCTGCTGCTAATCGAGCTAATCGAGACCCCAGGCAAGGGCAAAAGCAACCGCGTCCAAGAGAAGACCACTGCCACCGGCATGACCACCGCGCCCCCGCCCCGACTGCACCACCGGCCAACCCCCGCCTGCCGACAATAGCGCTGCTGCTCCCCCGCCACCTCC